TCTCAAGACCGTTTTCATAAAGAATGAAGAAAGGATTTCTCTTTTCCGCTGGACACAAATTGACAGAGAAGTCTCAATGTTCAGAACTTGAACTTTTCTCGACCGCTGGATGAATTTCGAGAGTTTACATACAGTTCAATACAGTTTCACAAGAGTAAAATTTTTAAATCATTTTTTTAATAGGATACATAATAACATTGAGAACTGGAAAAATTGAGAGAAGGATTTTCTATCAGCGAAAGGCTAGACGCTAGTAAAGTTCAGAACATGAACTAAATCCGACGGTTGGATAGATCTCAGGATTGTTTTCATGAAAAAAGGGATGAAAAAAAATTGACAGAAAAGCTAGGGGGCGCAAAGCCCCGCCCCTTCACGCCACCAAAATGACGATTTTTTTGTTGCAAAAACGGTTTTGAGGCGTTTATACTAGCTAAAGTCTCACTTTAAAAATCAACTGTTTCTGAAAACCTATGTAATCGACAACGCTCTACAAGACTGAATATTTTTAAATTTATGTATTTTTCGAAAATAAGCGAAAAAGTAAGATTTAACACGAAAAAAACTGACAAGTTTCACAAAATCGTCGCGTTTCAGAAAACCAAGTGAGGAACGCTTATAAATTTTTAGTATGTTATACATTAACACTTTCTTTATTTTTTGAGTGAAAATGAAAAAAATCTACCGACGCGAAAAAAATATTAAAGCTTGTAAAGTGACACCAAACTTTGAAGCTGAAATGCGGAAAAATTTCAGCGACATGGTATACTTTTTATTTGATTTAAAAACTAACAGTGTGTCCAAGAATGAAAATTCAAAATGAAAATAATTATTGGGACAGCGAATCAAATTATATTTGAGTTTTACCAAAACCTCCTTTTTTCGCCTGCCTCGTTGACGCATGAGAGAATAGGATCGCGTCTATATTTTTGATTATGTTATTAAGCGTTCAAAAACTCTATCAATGAAAAAAATTATGAAAAAAATCGATCGACGCGAAAAAAATAACGGCTTTGAAAACCTCGAAAAAAATGGCAATTTTTTGAAATTTCGGAAGATTTCGTGCAAGCGTCCGTAGCAGTGTTTGCGTCAAACACACCGATGCGCCCCTTTTAAATGTCGCAGGAGCCGTTTTTTTCGGAGTCAAATTGTACTTTTTTTCTGTTTTATTTCGAAATAACATTATTTTTTTCATTTTTTTCTTTTTTTCCAAATCGAATGATAATAATTTTTTTCTGAGTAGAAAAAAAGAAAAAAATAAGCTGAAAAAAATCCCTTTGACCTTTTTTTCTAGGTAGTTTTTTTCGATATTTTTATCAAAAAAATTCTTATGAGGATTGTACAAAAAGATTCATACCAAAAACATGAGGCTCAGTCCGGACAACCTCTCAGATCAGAAAAACCGATTTAAAAAAACGGTCCAGAAACGCGCAAAAAAACATTTAAAAAGAAAGCGTGCGGCAGCGGGTAAACCGTGAGATTTTGCCTCCAGTTGTACGCCGCGCGCGCTCGTTTTTTGGCCATAACTTTTTTCTTAGTGAACCTTTTTTCAAAAACTAAACGGATTATGAAAATGGACAGTCTCCTCTATCGAACAATGTAAAAAACATATTTTTTGAATCGTTCTGAAGAAATGGCTTGCGGACCCTAAGAAAAGCTCTTCAAACTTGGAAACTAGAGTATTTCCAACGGTTGGATAGATCTTATGATCTGAAGAAAGTTTCCATTTGAAAGAGACTTTTATCCCTTTCCGATGGACAAAAAGTAGACAGGAAAGCATCTGAAGCTCAAAAATAGAACTTATTTTTCAAGATATTGGGTAGAAATCTGAATCTTTCTTATTGAAAAACCCATCTTTTTACATTTTTATGATAGAGAAAAATCTGACGAAATTTAAAAATGTATAGCTCTCGCTCTTCGAAAAAAATAACTGACAGGTTACTCAGAGCTTAAAAATCTTTGAAATGATTGGATGGATCTGCATTTTTCTATGACAGTATCTAAATGAAGTTTATCAATCTTCAATTTAAAAAAGTTCAATCGAGACAAGGAAAATGGCTGTGATTTGCCGACTCATTAGAGATTTTAGAGAATTTTAAATTTTCCTGAAAAAGTTCGGACTTTTCCTGTGTACCCTGCTCAAAAAAACCACTCTAAAAATATTTCTTGCATTTTTAAATTTTTTTCCTAGTTGTAATCGATCCATCTCCATGGTCCGGTGTTCAAACTGTCAAAAAACCAATAAAAAAAAAACTGACCCTGTCCAGCAGGTCCCATGGCGGCTTGAGCTTGCGGTGAAATGTACTGTCGCATTTGTGGCTGCTGAGAAATGCTCCGATATTATTCATAAAGTTCTTTGAAACTACCCCAGGTCTTGCGTACATCTGCGGCGGGTACTGCGGCGGTCCTGCGTGGAACTGCGGAGGCTGTCCTGGCGGCGGGCCAGGCTGCGGAGGGGCTCCGCCCGGATAGGGATAGCCGGCTGGCGGTGGTCCATTCACTCCGGCTGGATATTGGGGCCGTGACGGACCGGGGCCAGCTTGCGCCGCGTTGCCTCCAGGAGTGCCGGGAGTGGGTCGCTGAGGCGGCTGCTGTCCTCCGGCTCCTTGCGGGGGTCCTGCGGCGAACGGCGGCGGTGGTGCGCCTGGAGGAAGGTTCGTCGGCGTTCCTGGAGGCGGTCCGCCAGCTTGCATCTGACCCGGAGGGTAGCCTGAAATTTACATTGAGTTTAATTTTATCGAAGTGCAAAATTGGAATAAAATCTTAATATCTTTTTTCCAGTCATATCTCACGGATTAAAAGATTTGAATAGACATTACAAAGTCCACTCAGCTTGAAAACAATAAAGTTGAAGAAAAACACAAAGAGCTTCAAAAATATTGGTCCGAAATTTAAGAAACTCTGAGGCGACTGAGAGGAAAAATTCAAAAATCACGGAAAGCTTTGTACAAATATAAATCATATTTAAATAGTTATTCCTTTCTCACAAACCCATAATGAGATCTAAAATTGACCCTCAATCACATAAAATCAGCGAAAACGGTTTGAAACTGACATGGATAAATTGCAAATAATTTTAATTAAGAGTAATGTGACGAAAATAATTTACAAGATGAACTCGACTAATATTGAAAATTAAAATTCAATATATAGTTCCTTTAACTACCTAACTTCCATTCCAAAGTTACAAGTCCCCATCAAACTTTTTGGGTTTAAAAATCATATTCAAATTGAAATTCAAGTGATTAAAGAGACAGGCCAAGAAAACAAGCCGAAAATCAAAAAAGGTCGACTAGAAGTACTGAAGTTCCTTTAAGTATCTAACTTATATTCCAAAACTAGAAGTCTTCTCCTACCTTAAGAAGACTCGAAATTAGTCGAAAAATCTATAAAACAGCCCAATTTCACCAAAAAAAAAAACTCATTCAATCCAAAAAATGATAAACAATCTCTGAAAAACGCCTAAAAATGACCTGAAACTTGTTGAGATTGAAGCATAGATAAATTGCAAGTCAGTTGAATAAAGAGGGAGGCCAAGTAGCGGCGACACGACACTAGACGACGCAATGGTCGTGTCGCAGGTCAACATATGGCATGCACACAATTATTTTGCAAAGGCGAGCTCCAATGGCCCGAGCGGCGGAAAGGAAGCAGAAAAATGTGAAATAGAAAGAAAGAAGTTCCTTGGGAGTGCATTCAACGTTTACATCTTTTGGGTCCAGGTTTTTACGACGGATTGAGTGGCACTTCTTGGTCATAAAATCCGAAAAAAAAGTCGGCACTTTGAAGAAAGATTCGAAAAAAGTGTCGATATTTACTTTTCTTGTAGTTCAGACCGCTTCAGTAACCACTAAAAGCTCTGAAAGCTTGAGAAATCCTTTCAGCCCTTTAAAATGACCGCTATAAGCTCCATAAAAATTTTAGAGTCCCCTGACCTCTACAACGGCTACTTAGATACCTTCGAAGTTAACAATTCATTAAGATCTCTATAGTGACCATTAAAAGCTCCAAAAACATCAATCAACGAATAGAAGCTAAAGTCTAGGTTAACAACTTCACAATGCGAGGTTGACACTTCTGATGATCTTCAAATGAAAAAAACAACAAGATTATCGTAGCTCAGCCGTTATTACTTATTTCTAACGATAAGACGGTCTCTGGATCAATTTCTGTAAAGGACTATTCTTTTCGCTGATCACCGCTAAGAAGCTCAAATTTCCGTCACAAGCTTTGAAAAAGCGTTAACCCTCCTACCGTTTATATTTTCTTCTATAGTTTGAAGATTCGCGAATGCGTTTAGTGACGTATATTAATTTTTATTGATGCAGTAACATCAGTCACTAATAAAATTTAGAGTATTGACCTGAAAAAACAGTCAAGCTTTTACCAAATCACAGAATTTCAAGTAAAAAGACTACGTCTTAGCCGTAAAACTTCTACAAAAATGGAAGGTCAGCCGTTGAGAGTAACTAAAGACATCATCTCGAGGTTTTCGCGTCACCTAGATACTGTAGAGCTAATCCGCCACATCATCCGGCATCTTTACACCTTTCCCCGTTGAGCAACGTAAGAAGACCTCTCCCATTACTTTCTTGATCTCTTCTTGAGACTTCATTCAAAACTTGCGTAAAATTAGAAAATTGGGAGCTACTGTCATGCTACTGACAAACAAGGTGGTCTCATTTTGATGTTCGATTATTTCTGAGAAATCGCCAGAATTCTTCTTAAAGTCATGACCCGTTTCACTGAAATTTGATGATTTTCTTCAAACTTGAGGGATTATTTCTCGACAACCAGGAATATTCCCAGATTGAGACTTTCATTATCTTCATTTGTTACATCAACAAACCTTAGGGCCGGTGTTTAAAAGAATCTTAACCGAAAACCGGAAACTAAAATGACCGCCTTTTAGGTCCAAAAAAAGAGATTTTTAAAAAATACAGTATAGAACATCCCTTAACCCATTCTCTAGAAACTTCATCCACTTTTTTTCGAAAAATATTTTAGCCGTCCATATGTTTTTTTATCTTCTTCCTATCATTAAGTGAGATGAAAAAAAGCCCGACCCAGGGAAAAAGTCCACTATATCTCCAATGAAACTTCTCAAGGCGGTAACCAAAAACGCAAAAAAAGTGCGCCTGAAATGAAAGGAACAACCCAAAACCCGAGAAAAGAACAAGAAAAGACAACACAAGCAAGGAAAAAACACACGCGAACACATCGTCGAGTGGCAATCATTGTGTTGGTTCGTCCGTCGGTCGGGTTTCAAGTGGCGGGTTTGGCCTCACCCACCGTCGCCGCCAACCGTTTCCAATTGGTTAGGTTGGGAATTTCTTGTACCTTGCAACTTCCGCAATGAGTCAACCAAAGAGCACTAGAAGGTCACTATTCCTCGAAAAGCTTCCAATCGGTTAAGCTATAATTGTTTTTTCTATCTTCAGACTTCAGAAACGAGTCCAACTATAAAACATCCAGGTGAAGCATGTCGACCATTACTTGTTGAAAGTTCTCGATAGGTTAGGTTAGAAGCTTTTTCCTAACCGTTTCCAATTGGTTCGGTTAGGGTTTTATTCCACATTCCAAATTTACCAACGTGTCCAACCCCAGAATACAAGCATACAGGGTGACAAGTAAATATTGAAACCGTTTTTTGTTTGATCGCTGCTTTTTGCACAAAGGACTGGCCTTTGAATTTTTTTGTTTATTTCGTTCATTCATGCTCACTTATCATGTGTTTGAAGTCACAGCTCATACTTTTTTCAGTTTTCAGGTAATGGTGGCCCCCATCTCCGTACCGTACCGCAATCATTGATTGTGTCAAAAGCGGAATGACGAATTCAGAGATCGTTAAAAAAAGCTGAAAGTGTCTCGTGTTCTCGTTTTTTTCGAACTGCACAACGTTATCGGCGTCTCGGTGCTTCAGATGAAATGCAAAAGAAGTGGACGTCCAGTCACCGTCACGACTCCAGAAGCAGTCAAAGCCGTTCGAGAGAAAAATCAGACGCACTCCGGAAGAAGCGTGAGAAAGATGGCAAAAGAATACGAAATGAGTCGAGAATCGATGAGAACTATTGTCAAGGACAAGCTGAAGATGATTCCCTACCGTATGCAGAAAGGAGCCTTCCTCAGTCAAAAAAACAAGACATTCCGGATGAAAAAGGCTTGAAAGCTGCTCGCTGGCACGAAAGATGGCTCGCATCTGACGACGCTGTTTACCGACGAGAAAATCTTAACTGTGGAGACGAACAAGAACGGCCAAAACCATCCGATCATCGCTACTGACTATCAGAGTGCCTGTGAAAAAGAAAAAATTCTGAATAAAACTTCGCATCCGGCTTCCGTGATGGTTTTTGCCGGAATTACCGCTGACGGCAAAACTCCGCTGGTTTTTGTGGATCCTGGAGTCAAAGTGAACCAAGTATACTACAGGGAGTAGATTTTAAAGTTGAGGGTGTTGCCATGAGCCAATTCTCACTACGGAAACCGACCATGGACCTTCCAGCAAAACGGCGCCCCCGCTCATCGTGCCAAAGGGACTCAAGAGTGGTGTCGCGCCAATTTTCCGAGTTCATCTCGGCTGCTGATTGGCCTGCTTCCTCGCCCGACCTCAACCCGATGGACTATGCCGTGTGGATATATCTGACCGAGAAGGTCTCTTCTAAGAACTACCCAAGTATCAAAGCTCTGAAGACCGCGCTCATCAAGAAATGGGACGAAATCGACGACGACTACCCTCGTGCCGTGATCGATGCGTATCCGAAGAGACTGAAGGCCGTTATCAAAGCTAAAGGAGGACGTTTTGAAAACTATTCTTGAATTTTGTTTCTACATTGTATGAATAAAATTTGTTCCAAGTTTGGTGATGTTTGGTTGACTTTTTGAGAAAGTTATAACGTTTCAAACGCGTTTCAATATTTACTTGTCACCCTGTACATTCCAATTTTCCAATAGGCTCATTCTATCAACTCAGACATCTGAGAAATCAACAAGACTCTGACAAACTTTGGTAGGTCGCCCAACGGTTAATTTTTCTGAACTTTCTCAACCTCTCTCCAACCGTTGGAGATTAGAGACTTTTACAAATCCAAAAAAATTCGACAAAGTAGGAAACTTCATTTCCTCGAAACACCGTCTTAGTTTGACTATTTACGCTTCGTAAATCTTTCAGACTCTTCCTTTACCTTGCTACTTCAAGTTTTACTGCTCTGACTTTTATTTGGAGCTCCAATTCTCTACCTAACCTTTATCTACTCTTATATGAAAAACCCAAGTTAGCCGCTCAATCTCAAATCAGAAACCTTGGAAAACTTGAATTCAAAACTATTTTTCTGTGAAACCAGTACAAAACGACTTTTTCACATCTCTAATTGCCATGTTTTTCATACTTTCATCCCATTTCAAACAATGTACTTTCAATTGTAGTTTCCCCTAATTACAAACAAGTCTAGCCGATTTAAAAAGTGAAATCTGACAAATAAGAATAAATTTGTTGATAACCTCTTTTTCAGCTCAAAAACTGGAGAAAAACTTTCAAAAAGCCTCCAAAAACCAGAATAAACACGATCTGACCCGACTTTCAAGGAAAAGACCACACAACGTGTGCAAACATACAGCTTTTCTTCAAAGACTCTTTTTCTGAGAAACCAATAAGTCGGCTTGGATGCGATTATTGAAAATCGAAAAACATTTTTTCAAAAAATTTTTTAAAGCCCATTTTCCTAGGCGATCAGAAGTCATGACAATTCATATTTGGAAAAATGAAATTTTCTGAAAAATCGTGAGAAATCTGACGAAAGGGAACCAAAAAGGCGTGTAACCAAGTTTTCATTCCTTCGCGTTTACACCGTGTTCCTCGCTGCTTTTATTGCCCAAGGCGCTCAAATTCGTATCCAAATCACTTTTGTCGCCCTTTTTTCGAGGTCTTCTTTTTTTTGAAACTGAGTCATAGAGGGGAAAAAGAAAAAAGAAAAAATTCAAAATCTGCTTTTCAGCAACTTGAAGCCATTCGAGTAGCGTTGAAATTTAGATTTTACAATAATAATACATTATAGCTGACAAAAAAATGGTAACGTTTTTTTCTCCAAAGATTTATTAATATGGAACAAATTCCCCGTCTACTTTTTAAAGGTTTCCCCTTTCAAATTGTAAAACTTTTTTTCAAAAACTTTTTTTGAGGTCTTTTTTTGTTAGAATTAAAAATATACTTCATTTTTTTCATTGAAAGTCAAGTTATTTACTTTTTTTCGAAAAAGAAAAATATTTGTGAAAAAGATTATTAAACAATTTTTTTCCACAAAAATCTCGCATTTCGTTCCTCTATCCAATCTGGTCAATTTTTACTATTTTATAAAAATTAAATTTAAACTTCTTTGAGTTATTTTCTAAAAATGCAGTCCATCCTTTCAGAAAAAATTTAGCCAATAAGATTTTTGGACAAAAATCGCCTTTTTCAGTTTTTTAGTTTTTATCATTCGAAAAACCATTAAAAGTATTTTTTTCTTCGAGGTATCAGGAATTTTTTTACACATGAAAAACTGAAAAGGGTTCACAAAACCATAGTTTTGAAATTTGTTGATTCCTTTACTTCGTGTCATTTTTCTTCCGTCACAACGGTCTTCCATAAATGTTCCCCTGACATTTGCTTAATTTTTTTATATGGATTGGAAATCGCGCTTCGTAAAATAATATTTTTTTCCGCATTACGAGTTTTTTTGTTGATATGACTTCTCAAAAAAATATTCTTTGATTATTTTTTTCAATTTGTACAGTTCAAACCTCTGTTCTATTACACAAATTCCCTCTTTAAAAATCAAAAAAATTTTGCTTCATTTTTTTCACCGTTCGGTGTTCCAAATGAGAAATATTCCTTCCCCCTTCCGCAATTCAATAACTCTGTTCCGCCCATCTCGGTGGATGAAAAAATGCTTTTAAAATCCACTCACCAGGTGGATAGGGTACTGGAAGCCTCTGTTGTCCTCCGGGCGCAATCATGACTCTTTGACCGCCTTGCCGTGCGAAATGTGCTTGTTGCATCTGAAAAAAATTTCGATTGTAACTATCTATGAATTCCATCCATCTTTTATATACTTTCTTTTTTTCTATTCTGCCTTATTTAGCTTTTTCTTGGAGGAGGACTTGGCTCTCAGAGAATATTTTATGTATTAAAAACGAACAAACTTATGTTGATTCAATTTAATATGAACTAGTTTCCCATTTCTCATTAACCAAGTTTAATAGGTTTAAAAAACGAACTTCTCATGAAGAGCATTCATTCTTATGTCGCGTTTAAAAATAATATGAATCATAATCAAGGGTTCCCTCTAGGAATGCTTACTAGTATTTAGTTAGTATTCTTTAGTGACTTCTTCAATCTGATTCTCTTTTCCCTAAATCTCTTATCGTATTTTTTATTAGCGTTGAAAAATTTTGTTTTCAAATTTATTCAAATGGCAAATACCGTTCAATAATATCCAGATTGACTTTTATTTTCATAAAAAAATAAGCTTTTTAACGAAAAAAATCTAATTTTCAAATTGATGTATGAACTCGCTTTCTCCACAAGAGCTGCTAGAAAAGTCTGAAGGACGAAAAAAAGGAGAAAAAGTTGAAATCATTCAAAACCGCTTAAATTTCCAAAGAAACAAATTCCACTTGAGAGCCGCAGAAAAAAACTACAAAGACTTGAAAAAGTTGTAAACTTCAAAAAAGAATAGAAAAAAATAATATTAAAGAAAAAGTTTTGAAAAAAACTTGACGAAAATTAAAAATTCGCGGTTTCTGTCAATGGAGCGCACATTCCCCTAACCTTTCGGCAAACATTTCTGAGCTTTTTCTAAATTGAACTTTTTATATTTCTATATCCTGCTACAAGAAACATATAAGGTTTAATTATATTTTTTTATATTGTTTTTATAAAGGAATTAAATTTCGAAAAACGTCCCTGTTTCTTTTTTTGCTAACTGTGCGCAAACCATACAAAAAACAACACAGATAATTTTTTCCCTTTTTCACCTTTTTCAAAAACTGTAATAATCTTTAATTCTAACCTGTTGCTGTTGCTGCCATTGAACGTAATTTGGCGGGTACTGTTGATGCATCATTGGCTGTCCGGGCATCATCTCAAAACATTATTTTGAAAAATGTCTCGATCAAAAAAATCACCATAACGGGCCGATAAACGCCTGGCGACTGGGAAGCTTGCTGTTGCAGGTGCATTGGGCCTTAAAAATGATTTTTTTGAAATTTTTTTCGTGAAAATTTGGTTCAGCAAGCATAGGGCTGACAAGGAAGGTCATTTTACTTTTCGGTTAGGATTTTCCTGAAAATTTGTTAGAAACTTCTTGACGTACCAGGAACAGATTCTGAAAGCATTAACCTGCACAACTTTCTACTTTTTGAGAAAATACGCTGTAGGTTCAAAGAAAAAGCTCAGAATCCATTAAAATGAGCACTTTTGGGGCTTTAGACCCTATTTGCTTGAGAACTAGGAAGTTGTGCAGGTTGAGACTTTCAGAATCTTCTTCTGGTACATCAAGGAGTGTTCTGACAAATTTTCAAGAAAACCGCAAAGTAAAATGACCTTCCCTGCCAGGAGAAGGGGTAAAATTTCAAAAAAGCTCAAAAATTACGATTTAAAACTAAGTTTTGAGCTCAGGAAGTTTGTGTATTCAAAAAGCAAAAAAATAAGTTTTAACTTTACGAGGTACTAGTGCCGTTAATTTAGTAAGTTTGGACCATTTTTTGGGAAAAAATGGAAGAGGAGCCTTTGAAATGGATCTACCCATGTATTTTTATGATTCAAATTCGAATTTTCAGAAAGAAAGATCAAAAAATCAATATTTATCGACTTTTTTTGTCAGATGGCTAGGCGGTAAAAAAATTGCTCTTTTGAGGGGTTTGAGAAAAAAATAGAGAAAACGCGAAAAAAATCTTGAGAAAAAGGTATGAAGACGAATTTTAAGCTCAGGAGGTAGTGTTGGAAAAATTAAGACTTCCAAAAAGTTTCAAAAAAGGTTTAAAAGCAAGTTTTCATTTCAAGAAGGAAGTTTTTTTTTAAATTTAAACTTAAGAAGATTCATGAGAAGGGATTAAGTACCAAAAATCTTGACAAAAGTTATAAAGGCTTTATTTAGTTTAAAGTTGTAGTATTTCCGTTAATTGAGAATATTTAGGAGGGATCTTAAAAAACGGTCTGCCCATCAAAAATAAAGAATATTTTTTTCCTTGTGTCCTTTTATTGATCTATCCATGTATAGTTATAGTTCAAATTCGATCTTCAATAGAGAAAAAGTAATTTCTACCAGCGGGACCAGGATACGGCGGTATCTGATGTTGGGGTATGGAGCCTGGCGGATATTCAAACGGAGCTGGACCACCTGAGCCAGGAGTTCCCGCCGGAGTTCCACTCCCGCTCGGCGTCATTGGTTGAGCTTTAAACGATGGAAATGAAAATTTTTCGTCTCAGGGATATTTATTGTTAAAACTCCGTAAAAATCAGAAAAATCTCTTCATTTTTGAAATTTTGTCAAACATTTCACTTCAACTACCTGAATGAGGGCCGAGAGGTGGATGATTTGGTGTCCCGGTTGAGCTTCTCTGGCTTCCGGGCGTATTCGAGCCTGTCGCATCGATCCCTTCAACCAATTTTACATTGGTTTTTCATTATAGCCTATCCAAAAAAATTTGCTGATGTGTTTAAAGGCGCATGTACAGAGTTCAAAAAAGACCCTAAGCCATTTTAGAGCTATCTATGAAAAACACCCCAGCAAAAGGTTTTGAATATAAAAAATTGTGAATTCTCGCTTCTTCCATATATTTTTCCTTTGCTTGAAGCAATAAATCGGATAATAATAACAAAAATCTCTTCAACCGATTTCACTTCAATTTTCCATTATAGCCTAGCCAAAACTTGCTAAGGTGTTTAAAGGCGCATGAACCGATTTCAAAAAAGGTCTCGAGCTTATGATACGTTTGAGTGCAATTTTTTGGTAAGCAGAACACCTCGAAAAAAAGTTTCTAGCAGGAAACAATGTGAAAACCCCGTTTCCCTCTAATTTTCCTTATAGCCTATCCAAAAATTGCTAAGGTGTTTAAAGGCGCATGAACCGATTTCAAAAAAGGTCTCGAGCTTATGATACGTTTGAGTGCTATTTTTCTAAGCCGTTCACCTCGGAAAAAAGTTTTTTAACAGGAAAAAATTTGGAAAACCCATTTTTCTCTAATTGTCCATTATAGCTCATCCAAAATTTGCTGAGATGTTTAAAGGAGCATTAGCAGGTTTCAGAAAAGGTCCCGAGCTGAATAGACGTTTCAATGCCGGTTTGAAAAGGTAAACGCATTTCTAGATAGTTTTGAACAGAGAAAATTGCAAATCCTTACATCTCGCATGCATTTTCTCTGGTTTGAAGCAATAAATCAGGTGATAAAATAGATAATAATTACACGGAGAGGAAGTGGAACTGATTGACAATAACTGATAAATCGATATGGACGCTATCTCTATCACACTTCAGTCCCAATTCGCAACGCGGAAGGGTCAATTGATAATCTTTGACCGTTCGAATTGTTTTTTTTTTCTTTTTGGTATCTTGGTAATGCTTTTCCGATTTTTATCAAGAGAATTATCAAGCTTTTTAGATAAGTAATGGTTCTCAAGTTGAACTTCAGAACTCACTCAGCTTTAGAGGGTTTCGTGGGCTTTTTCTACCTAGAGATCTGTATTTTTGATTTTACTTGAGCTTCTCGTTCGCTTTTCATACCGAGTTAAGCTTTTCTAAACATTGTGAAGCTAGAAACTAGCGAAAAAAATCGCAATTTTTTTACTCAATTCATGAAGTTGAATATCAGCTTGAAAAAGTATTTAAAAAAATTCTTGACCTGTCATTCTATGTAAAAAAATAGATCCTTCATTTTAAAAAGGAGCTTTCAAATTTTATTTTCAGCTAGAAAGGCAGTTTACCAATTGAAAAACAGGGTGTTAAATTTCAGGAACGGTTAAAAAAAGTAAGATTTTCATGTTCAAATAAAAACTTTACTTTTTGGTACATATTTTCAATCAAAAAATTTTTTTTCAACATATTTTTTTAATGTGTTTGTAATTTTATTTCAAGTTACTAGTTCGCTTTAATTTCGATTAACATACCAAAAGATGTTTTTTTCAACATTTGAAAGCTTGAAATCAGCAAAAAAATGTTGTTTTTTTAAGCTGTTTTGATACATAACCTTGAAGAATTTCAACCAATTCGCTTGAAAAAAACTCATTATCAGTACGAATGGCCTTCAAAAGTTGATTTTTTTAACTTATTATATTAACTTATTATATGTTCACTATCGACTCAAATAATTTTCCAAAAACTGATCCTTAGTTTAAAAGAGAATGTATCCAATGCAGCCATTTATCAATCTTCCAGGTGAATTTTAAAAATCTTGGCTTACAAACTTGATAAAATTAGGGCATTAAAGTGACAAGGTTAGTGAGAAAACCGATTTTAAGCAAAAACTGTGCTTTTCAAACTCAAATTCATAGTTCTGAATAGTCTAAAATCCAACACATTTCTGAAGGAATTTTTTGGATTTCGAAGCAAGTCGACAAATTTTTTTTATGAAAGATAAACTAATTAAAATCTTTTAGAACACTCAAAAAACATTCTGAATCTTTGAACCTTTTCCTACAAAGTGACACTGAAAAAACTTCAAAAAAAAAATCATTTTTACCTGTCCCAATGGCGGGGCTCATTCCTGGCGTCCTTTGCCATTGCTACAAAAATTATCCTATTTATTTTCCAGTTGATTTTCAACCTGAGAAGGAGGTCCTGGAACGACGAAACCCGACTGATCCGCCAGGACATTTGTGATCCGCGACGGGTCGATTGGACCAAGTGGCGGACTTTCGTGTCGTTCCTGAAAATAGTAGTGGATTGGCTCGAGACGGTCCGGTTTTTTTAAGCACAGCATCAAAAAGTTACCGTAAACGTTTTTATTTTTTGATTTTACTCTTGAAAACTGCAAAAAGACAGCAAAAAAAAGGCTTGAGGCGATATTCGGTCGAAAAGGGTGGAAAAATATTTCTAGAGCCTTTAAGTCCCAGAAAATGGAAGGCTCGATAAAGGGAATATTTTTTTGCTGCCTTTCTGCGGCCTTTTTGAGCCTCTCCTTTTTAGCGACCATTATCAATTTTTTTCCGACTTTGCCCGAGTTTTAAAATTATTCAAAATGAAGAGTCTTGTCAGAAAAATTTTAGGCAAAAATCAAATTTTCCATCTGTTTGATACCGTCTCAATTTTTTATACAAAAATATTAGAATATAGTTTTTTTCTCAGAATCATTTTTAGAAATTCAGAAAAATTGATTGAAAAAAAGGTAAGTTTTACGAACAAAAAAATTTTCGGCTCAATTTTTTTACTCAAAATTGGTACGATTCTACTCTATCATTAGACAGTTTTTTTCAACAGAAGAAATAATCCGAACATTTATTTTTTTATAAAAAAAGTTCAGATATTTTCATTTTTTTCTTCGAAAAAGCATTTCATTTTTATAAAGTCCCACAATATGGTTTTTTTCATATAAGTTGCTAGAATCTCAGCAGGAATTACATTTTTTTAAATAGAGGAAGTGAAACCGTATTGTCAAGAAAAAGGAAAAAAATTGATATGTTTTGCTAATTTTTTTCTTTTTTTGATGCTAATAATTTCCTGTTTTTTTATTTGAAAAGAAAAAAACCCCTAACAAATGACCACGAAATCCAGTTTATCATTATTTTCAGAATAAATCTCATAAAATTTTATGAAAATGAGCAAAAAGCCAAACCTCTTCCTTGACATCCTTCATTTCAACATCGCCCATAGCCCCTGAGAAGCGGACGAGCCGGAAAAAACAAGAAAAAATCAAAAAAATCACAAAAAACCTCAAGTTCAGATAGTTTTCCTGATGGAAGCGACAAGAAACGAATCAAAAAACAAAATTCTCAGTATATTTATTCGAAAAACGAAATCAACATGGTACAGTTTCAACCGAGATCTTTTCAATGGGAATTCTGTCAAAGTGAAATTCAAAAAACAATGCGAAAAGCCGTGGAAAAACCGGTTAAGAACCCAAAAACGTAAGTAAAATGTGGTGAGAGTTTAAACAGAGGTGAGTTTTTCATCAATTTCTGGGATGAGGGCCTTGAAATTCTCAAATTGTTCTCTCGACAAGCTGATGCCCTTCTTTCCCGGCTTCATCTTTCCGGAGGCCTGAAAAAATGGAACTTACTTGGCTTAGAAAATACGGTTCAAAATGAGAACAATCTTCCAAGTTTTTACTTGATTCTGAAGAAAATGAAGTTCATAAGTACTGGTAAATGGTTTTTTTAAACAAGTTTCGTATAATAAATTCCAAAATAAACTTTCAGAAAGATTAAAAAGAAAAGAAAAGCAAAAGATACGTTTTTTTTATCAATGCTGTACCATAAACAAAACATCTGTTTTCCTTTCCTCTTTTAAATATATAGTTTATTGGAAACAGCTTTCTGATTTTTTTGCAGAAAAGATTGGAAAATGCGTAATTTTTTAGTACTATTATTTCTGTGAAAACCTAGACGATTCCTCAAATTTCCGCTTTTGTCACGAAATTGAAACTTTCAATAAGATTTAGTCAAAAAATGATCGAAAACCTCAGAAATCCATTTTAAAAATAGCATTTTTCTACTAAAAAAAATAAAAGCGGCCAAAAATCTAAGATTTTATCAGTTTTCAGAAAACATAAGGAACTCGAAGAAAAGAAGAAATTTGAAAAAAGCTCAAAAATAGCTATAACGTTTCAAAGAGTAAATATATTACTCTATTTATTCTGGCTCTTGATTTTCCCATAAGTAAAAAGATTGAAAATTTGGAGAAAAAAACTATGAATTAGATTATTTAAGTGTTTTCTCGCAAAAATCGAAGCTTCTCAATATAACTCGGTCAAAAAAACAACAAAAAAATAATAACTATGAGTTTCGGACAATTTTTTTAAAAGCAGCTTTGTCGTATAAAAAAACTACGATGGACTGAAATTTTGATTTTTTTATAAATATATCCCTTTCCAGAGTGATCAAACGTGAGGTACTTACAAAGAATGAAAAATTGAAGAAAAAACGGCTCAAAATAGCAGATATGTTTCAAAGTTCATCGCGTATCGGAGAAAAAAATAGATTTAAAAAAATATATTAAAGATCATGGATCCCATTTTCGTCAAATAATTACTGGAGAAAAATTAACCTAACTGTCTATCCATTGGAATATTAAAAGTTGCTGAAATTTGAGAAAAAAATTAACCATAACCAAGGAAGAAAAGAAACAAGAAAAAAAGCAAAATTAAAAATTCTCAACCTTGTCAACGTAGAACTCGCGGATATCAATGAGAGGCTTCCCGCGGAAACTTCTGACCGTCAAATAACGCATGCTTCCCAGTTCGATCATCTTCAAAATCATCATTTTTGATCAAAAAAATTGCGAAATATCAGACTTCATCCCCTTCTTCGTTCGTGATACGAGCCCCGCCGGCTTTATTCGTCGATTTCGATTTTTTGACCGGTTCCCGGTCTTCAATGCTCTGATCAGAAGATTCGCTGTCTGCTCGACGTTTCTTAATTTGAAGTTATATTTTTTTTTACGAAGATTTAACTGTGATTTCAGATTATTTTAATTGATCACCAACACAAAAACTTTTTTTATTGAAAAATCTAATCTTGAAAAAAATTTCCTCTGAACTTTCACAAAATCAATGAGATACTTGGGAAACTCCTCATTTTTTTAAAAATTTAGCTATAAAAAAACCGTTTTTCATCAGGATGTAAAGATTGAATTTTTTTAAAACTAAAGTAGTTTCGATTTTCCCTGAATTTTCCATCAAAAAAACTTTCCTATAAGAAAAATCCTTTTTACCTATCAATATGTAGAAAAAAACTTGAAATTGATAACATTTTTTTAACCACACAAATCAACGGAGAAAAAGAAACAATAAAAAAAGTGAAAAACAAAAAAATTTCCAAACGTAATAAAAAAATGAATTTCAAACCTTTGCTTTTTGAGCCTCCAACCTTTGGCTGGGATTTTTTTCGAAGTCTTCTTAACTTCAACCTCGGCGTCAGAGTCAGAACTCATTTTTTTCTTCTAAAAAGACGATAACTAAAAAATTGGAAAATGAAAAAAATATACAACATGGGGAGAAGCACAACACGATTCATCACTTTAATAACTTCTGAAAAATGCTTAAAACCTTTATGAAACACGAAAACTGTAAGAAAACGCTGAGAAAACGGCGAAAAAGGGAAAAATCGGTTTTTCCAGGAGGAAATTTGCGTTCGACGACCCCTCTCGGTGCGATGGAGCGCACATGTTCGGGCGTGTTTTGGCGGCGTCCAGGTCAAATGCCAAAACTACTCGACACGGGTGATATTGGACTTTATGCCGTGTTCAAAGTAATTTCCGCGAAATGCGAAATGGTCTCTGCCCCTCCAAAAATTCAGTTATCTTTCTCTTTCTCTAACGGCTATTTTGAATTTCGCAGAATCACTTTGAACACGGCATTACAATGAATGAAGAAAAAATCTTTTTCGCTTTTATCGAGCGTGGCTGCGAATGGAAACGGAAAAAATGGATAGGCGGAGGGCGGCGAAAAAAACTGTTTCCAACGGTGGTCTACTTGACGAGATCGACATGGTGAAGCTCTGAAAATCAATATTTGCGAAAAATTCTACTTCGACTTTCAATAACTTTAAACTTTCAGAAACTTCGTAAAAAGGCCGAAATTAAAATTTGGAAAGATATTTCATAAAGTCTGTCGGATTTATTTCTAAAGATTCAAAAATGTGCCTTCTAATACAATTTCGAAACGCTTCAGGATCAAGTTCGCCTCAGTCGAAATTACATATAAATTTCAGGTTTCAAAGCCAATATATGAAAGTTGTAAAAACCGTAAGATTATAATTTTGGCATGACTTCTCAAGTCTCAAGTATAAGCTTCGAAGTATCTTTTTTGGAAAGAGAGGAAAAATCAAAATCACAATTACTTCAAAACTTTGGTAAAAAAAAACGGCTCATTCCTAGCATATCCATGTGATATTTCCAAAATAACGTGATTCCCGACTGCAGTCAAGCAATGAGCATTTTCGAAACGCACTGGGGTCAAAGGGTTTGATGAACTCCTTGTCAGCCTTGGCCGCATTCGAGTCGGTGTCAATGGCGATGGCCGGCGCCGGTTTGGCGACGACGGTCGCTGGAAGCGGCGGCGGCGCCATTTGTTGGAATGAAATCTGAAAATTGGAACAATATTGAAATACATCATCAAGATTTTTTTGGTTCAGGAGAGTTTGTAATGATCTTCTTCCCAATAATTAACATATGAGTTTGCTAAAAGGAGACAAAAATTCAGCCCGAAGTAAAACGATAACTCTCAGGAGTCAGAGCCAACGACACTTAACAATAAGGAATTTATCAAAAATTACGAAAATCGATCGATAATTAAAAGATCGTTAAATCTGAGAAAAAATCGAAGCCAGTGTATACAGTATCAAAAACGACGGAATCTCTCATTTAAAGAAGTATCAAAGAAAGAGGAAACTCTAAATCAATCAATAATACTTGAAAATCGAATCAGACGGTCTTCTAGAAGTATCAAAAATGGAGAACACTCTGAAGGGATAACTTCAAGAAGCCATAGCAACCGGTATTTTACATTAATAAGTATCAAAAAAGAAGAATAAATTCTAAATCAATCGATAATCGAAAAATCGATAACTCATAGAATTCAGAGTCATCGGTATTTAACATTAAACTTAGTATCAAAAATAGATAAAATCCCAAATTTACGATTATTTGAAGGTCAAAAGCCGTAAATTATGTAAGTTATACCATTCCTACAGATCCTTAGTACAAAATGAACGTCAAATTGGATGAAAAACTTCTAAAATTTTAGAAAAATCACTAGGAATCGAATACAAATCTGAGAAGACAATGATAATTTCATTGAACTCTATTTCAACCTCTACCTCAAGATTGGAATTCAGACAAACGACGGCGGCGGCGTTGGTGAATTGCTGGCAATAGTTGGGTACAGAGAAAACCGTGATCAGCCGTCGACCCGTCATCATCTCGTAACCGTCTTGGACCACCTTCAATTTTTCGTGATTTCTGACGAAAATTTATTGACACGGCCAAAGTTCAAAAGAGCTTTCAAAGGCTGAGGATGCCTTCAGAACACCATTTTGCGATTATAAAAAGGTTCTCTTAAGGGGGCGCTTCACAGAAAAATACAAAAAGGTTGAAAAAAACAAAAGAAAAAAATAAAGGTTCAGAAAAAAAGGCTCAAATACCTCTATGGTTAAAAAAATAACAGCGACAAACGGAAAAATGCAAGCTGAGTTTTGAAAAAAAGAATCGAATAAAAATTCTGGTTTACTTCAAGAAAATTTAATATTGTTGGTTACCCTCTAGGGTTACCTCCCCTACAGGCCAACAAAGCTGGCAAAAGCGACCACTCTAGGGGAAAATGCTATAGCTGATCCACGGCTGGCTTGAGCCATCGAAAAATGGTACTGACACGATAATGCACGAGATAGTGCCTGGCTCGTGGAGAGCGCAGACAGGAAACGCCCCCTGAGCGTCCCGAGCTGGCCGTGAATAAGCTATAGTTCTCCCTAAACGGCTTTTTCATGAATAAAAAAAGGCCACTGTAGGGACCTCTCAAAAAAAAATAGGGGCTCAGAAGTTAGACCGTAAAATCCTCTAGTGACACCCAAAATTTCAGCCCTCTGGGCACTACTCTATCCACTTTGGAGGCTTTTCATGTCCAACCCCTCTAGTGACCACTCTAACCTGTTAGCCTGAATCACTTTCAACAGTTGGGAGTTGAGTCGGAGGAAAGATTTGAAAAATATTAGATAGAAGATAATTCTCCATTATAGAGGCCGTTTTTCCCTCACCTGATGCGCTCTGATGATAAGGTCGATGCCGAGGAGCTTGCTCGCCTGTTCGACGACGCCGCGGCCGAACATGTAGCTGATCCCTTCAAACTTTCCCATGACTCCTTGGACATAAATGACACGAGAAACCGCGAATCGAGTGGAACCATCCCTCTCCCTTGTTGGTTGGGTCCGACCAGAGCAAGTCGATCAGGAGGCCCCGATCCAGGGGCTCGCAGGGCCGGGGAATGTTCCGGATCACGTCCAAATGGGTCAGTTCTGGGGAGAGGCCGCCGTGCATGCAAAGGACCTTGAAAAAGAGCAATCCATCTCCAGGAAAAAAAAATGGAACCTTCTTGGAGATGAGGCCGGCCATGGGGATGCGGTTGAAGCAGGCCTGGAAGTCCCACCAGATGCCGACACCGTACTTGAGGGCGCATTCGTTGTAGAACCCGTAAATCTTGTTGACGGCGGGAGTTTCGTGGTTGCCGCGCAGCAGGTAGATACGGTTACGGTAGCGGATCTTCAGCGCGAAGAGCAGCATCAGAACCTGGAAATTTTCATTTATCAATCAATATATACATTTTAAAAAAAGGTTTCAAAACTTGAAAAGTCTGATCACCTCGATTCCCTGCGGTCCGCGGTCAATGTAGTCACCGAGGAACATGAACCGTTCTTCTGGAACGCGGCCAATTATGTCGAACAGTCGGTTCATGTCCTGAAAGTTCGAAATTTCCGGCTCCTACCTGCTTCATGCTCAACTTTTTATTAAGAATCAAAGGAAAAAGAAATAGGAAATCGTTTTACTTCCGGGCTATCTTCACTATTCCGTGACGTCTATGGTGAGGGAAAAGAGAGCACAGACAGGCCAGAAAATTTCAAATGGTGGCCAATGAGATATACTTTTCTAAACATTCCGGTTTTGAAAGGAAAAAAAAGAAGAATTCGCATCTTTATAAACATTTTTCAAAGAGCTTTTAACTCGATCTCATGCCCATCTTTTCAAATCCTCTCTGGCCGCATTTGGAATGGCTCAACCTGTTTTCGTTTCTCTCCCAAAAAAGTTAATTTTCAAATGGATCTTGGTTACAAAAACGGTAGTGCTTCGACGTTACTGAGCGATTCTAGGGCTCACTTAAAAGCTTTGACGGTACTGAAGTGGTCACTAGAAATGTTCCGACACATCCGAATCGCGTTCGGTTCGCTATACCCTCGGACCTTGGTAACGCGAACCGGACATGTCGGGAAATTTCTAGTGACCACTTCAGCGACTTCAGCACTCTTTAGTGATCACTAGGGTTGCTCAGAAACGTCTGGAACACGTCCGGTTTTCGTACTGAGGTCGGAGCAAAGGTACCTTGTTCATTAGAGCGCAAAAGCGGAAGATTTACTTGCACTAGATTTTTTGGTCTTTCTCTACAAATTCATAACCCAACTTTCAAAAAAGGAACCTGAAACTGGGCGTGAATATCGCCGATGACTTTGATTGGCGCCTCTGCTTCGCATAAGTTGCTCTCCTCCATGAAAACGTTTTGTGCCTTGACAAATTCAGTCATAAAATTAATGATTGATCCATTTCCAACCATTTGGATAACGGCAATCACTTCGTTGCCGGTCATGACGTGCGTGATGTTCTGTTGCTCGTTTTTGTACAGGCCTAAAGTCGAAGAATGATAAAAGCAACGAAATATTGATTCAGTCGAAGGTATTTATTACAGGGAAACAACTGACAGTTGAAATACGAGAAATTTAGGTTTCGTAGGTGCCGTTTTTTGAGCTGATTCTGAAACTTTACTGAGAAAAGCCAAAGAGCTTTGTGAATGAAGCTCTGATCACGCAAACTTGTGAAAGAGGCGTTAAAAATAGCTTGGCTCAAAATTTATTGAAAAAACGTCATTTTTCTTGAGTATTAGTGCATCTCTACCTACCAGGCAAGAGAGAGAGCTTGACCGGAAACCTCAAACTCTAAGGAAACCCTCAAAACCCCTTGAAATAGGCTATTTCGAGGCTTAAAGCCCATATTTCTCGAATACCAGAAAGTTTTGCAGATTGAGACTTTCAGGAACTTCATCTAGTACCTCTAGGAGTGCCCTAGCCAATTTTCAGAAAATTTTCGATAATTTTTATGAAATCCATATGTGCAGAAGCATTTTCTTGAAGGAAACTGAAAAATAACTATTTTTTTGAATAAATTGAACGACCCCTGTAGGGACCACTTAAGCTTTAGCGGCTAAGAGACCAATCCCTAAACCCCTATAGGGACTACCTTGATTTTACCCCTACAGTGACCCCTTTTCGGTCCCTATCGGGGCTGTTTTTTCCCCTAACCCCTAAAGAAACCACTCTGAACTTTTTAAAAACCGACTATTGAGCCTCTTGATGAGGTCGTCCATCCATTCGGCGAGCCGAGCGTCGATTTTCGGGATGGCTTCGGCCGTTTTCTCGGCGCTGTTTTGCTGAGACATCCGACGACTGCGACCGACGCAGCGATTCGAAATGTCGTCGGTCGACTGCTCGGCTCGCCTCACGTCCACGTCTCATTTTCGTGGGTCTTCAAGTTTATGCCGTGTTCAAAGTGATTCCGCGAAATTCAAAATAGCCGTCAGAGAAAGAGAAAGATAACTAAATTTTGGAGGGTCAGAGAAAATTTCGCATTTCGCGGAAATTACTTTGAACACGGCATTATGGTGAGCTTTCGTGTATTTCATTGAAGTCAAAATATCAACATGAAAAGGAAAAAAACTGGCCAAGAAATCCGAAAAATACTTCTTCCAACAAAAAAACATTCGACGAAGTTAGGCTCTGTTTTTCTCGGTTATTTTCACAGTCATAAGATAAGAGGGTTTTGCTTCTGTACAGGCTTTAACTTCAATTTTTACTCAAGAATCCTCCATGAAAAGTTAGGATAAATGTGCTGGTAAACTTGAAAATCGAAGAATTCCTAGCTACCTAGACCTCCAATTTTTTTATAAAATAGATTTATTTCCAGATCCTGACATTTTCTATAAAAACTATAGTCTATTAGGAATTACTTCAAACTGTCTGACCTGTCTGCGCTCTCTTTTTCTCTCACATGCGAGGCGACAGAAACACGGAAATAGCCTTCAAAAATTCCCACATGAGGTGAAAGAGCGCAGTTTGATCAAGATGTAGCAAAGTTGAAAAAAGTTGAAGAAATTGAGAACGAGAAGCTCAACTGATTTCATATTTTCGCGAAATTTCCATCAAAATCCATTTCGAGTTCCCTACCAAAAAAAAGAAAACGTCAAGTCAAAAAAGCTTGAAAATGGTACTAGACATAAGAAAAGTCGGAGGGACCCTAGAGGCTGCTGGAAGGCACCATAAAAAAATGTTCCTTTTCATGGTGCAAAGGCTTCTTTTTTGCTACCTTTTTGCGCCTTTTTCATGGGCTGTTATGCACCATTTTTGCTGCCTTTCCCTTTTTCCACCATTTCATGAGTCTTTGAAAAACATTTTTTTCGAGCTCAAAGTTTTTCTTTTCAATCTCTCAGAACTTCTTGGCATTTCCAAACATCAAACCGAACAACAAAACTTCAAAAATACCCTTTATTACAACATTTTTATTCCGCCTCCAAATGATACAGTTCCGAGCCACGAAAGGTTGATGAGGATGACATTTTTTGAGAAAAAAAATAATCGTATATTCACACACTCATATGGCGGTTTTGTATTTATATAGATAATATGTGATAGAAGGGATATAACAAAGCAAGGTATAGAAGAATAGAATATTTTGTACAAAAAACAATCAAAAAGAGCGAAACGAGGCGGAAAAAGTGTTAGGAATTTCCATTTCGAACAAAAAAATTATTAGTTTTTTTATTTATTAATTCCGCCGTCGTTTCACTTCTTTTCTTTTAAATCGAGCTAAACAACAAAGAATAAAAATAAAAATTCATCAGTGAACGAGGAAAAACATTTCTTGAGCACACGATTTTCAGAGGCATCTAGGGCAAATATAATATAATTAGTTGGAGAAAAATTAACAAATGATCGGGAGGATTTGATGAAAATCGGGGAGAGAGAACGGGAAAGGTGGAGAGCCGCAGACCCTTAGAGGCCCTGAACTCTCCAACTTTCCCATACTCTCTATCGCTGATTCACGGCTAGCTCGGGACGCAAAGGGACGTGGCCTGTCTTCTTCATCTACCAATCAAAATGTGTCTTTATTTTCAAAAATCGTGTCAGGACCCTTATTCGATGCCGTGAATCAGCTATAGCCCTCGATTCTCCTCACGAATCCAAACACTTCGCGCCAAAATTTCCAAACGAAAAATAGAACATCTCCTGTTGAAATACCCACGTTAGTGCTTATGAGGTACCCGTAATGCATAACATCCTCAAAGAATTATAAAAAAAACATGGAAAGGTTAATAAACGAGGGAGAAAAGGTCATGATTTCAATCAGAAGGGGAGAAGGTCATGGTGATTTCCTTGGCATATATGTTCATATTCACAAAAGACTCGGATTCGTCCTTTTGGACAAAATAAACAGAGAAAAAAGAAAGAAAGACCTCTCCAAGCACGGAGTGAACAAAATGGAAGGCTGAACGGTGATGTTGATGAAAGTCTCGGAATTGGTAAGGGGAAAAAAAATAGAATTTGAAAAGCAAAAGCAAAAACTCAACATAAACATGTACAAAAAGCTCTTGAAGAGAACTGTAAAATATATAAAACGACAAATAAACATCCACAAATGAAAATACTAGGTACGGTGTAAATCAAAAATGTGCATTTTGGCGTGGAGGAACTGTAGTTGAGACACAAAAAAAAAAGAAGATGAGGTGAACAAAGAAAAAGGCCCTAGAACATTGGATACGATCAACCGGTCCAACTTTTCACCAATTTTTCAACGAAAAATCTATATATACACAGTGAAAAACAGACCGAACAAAAAAGCCTAAATCGAATCGTTCAGAGATGATGTGTTTGTGTGTTCCAAGTTATTAAATAATTTAGAGAGACACGAAAAATAGTGAGAAAAGAACATAATGTTAATAACGGTGCAGATAGGAGAAATTGAACTCGAGGCGTAAATGTGCACTTGTCTTTTTCGAAAAAACTTTCACGGACGTTTCTGAGCATTTCTAGGGATCACTTAAGAGCTCTGACGTCACTAAAGTGGCCACTAGAGATGCTCCGACACGTCCGATTCACGTTACCAAAATCCTAGTAATTTTCATTCTTAAACTTAAAAACACAGCTTCATTTTTAAGGGGCTTTTTCTGCCGAATCCAAAAAATTCAACCAACTTTTCGGCAAAAACTAACTAAATGCACAATCACGCGACGAACAAAAATCGAAAACTATAAAAGTTGACTCGTTGAAAATGAGAATAAAAACAATCATATGATAAAGCTGTTCCATTTTTGCACGTTTCTTTGAAAAAAAGGAGCCACCAATATGTACAGTTCATTTTCCTTGTTTTTTCAGAGAAGGAAACGGCGAGTAGGAAGAAAAGAATGAAGACGTCGGAGGTATAGGGAAGAAGTCGATTTTGAATCGATTGAATCAACCAAAGATGGAGGATAGAACTGGAGGCCAATAGACCGAGGCGACGTTGACGATGAGTCGGAGATCCGAATGATCACAGCCGACAATGGAGCGGACTCTTTCTGGGGACAGCTCCAGGGTTCCGTCTTCTCCCTGGAATTCAATCGTTCGAATATTTGAACTTCTTTCAAAGGAATGTTCTGATTGAGTCCTTCTCTTTATGTCAGAAGGAGTTTCAAAATTGGTTAGTTAAACCTTTTACTTCAATATAAACAATGAAAAATTGGAATCGAGAGGAAAAAACTTTTCAAAATAAATCGTGTGTCTTTGCTACAGACTTCTGTTACAATTTGATACTTTTTTTTTCATCATTTCATAACATTTTCTTTTTTAATAGCCTTTTTCCATTCTAATCCTCACCGGCGGCTCTCTGCAGACAATCTCGACGAGGCTCAAGCTTTTGCCCAGAATATCGGCCAAGGAGTCTTCGAGGAAGGTCACCAAGAAGTGGGGAGCTATTCCGATCTTATAGAGCTCGGAAAACTGTTCCAGCATCAGGACAACAGCTTCAGATGGGGACGGAACCTCGTCCAGGCCATCACTCGACATGACCTGGAAAAAAAGGTTTTGAAGTTTTTGAATGTATCGGATATATAGGAATTTCTTAAGGGCCCAAAAAAAAAATCCCAGAAAAATCAAAAATCTAAGCTCACTCAAGCGAAAGCCCTACCCTTGAATGTACTAGATTCTAAAAATACTGGATCCGGAATTTTTTTTAACGGCTTTTTGAACGAAACTGTGCATTTCTAACCTTATCAAGAAACCTATTTTTATTAAAAATCTGAATTTCGTATTTCACAAGGTCTTCCTTTCTAGTGGAAAAGCTAAAACCTCTAAACCGAATTTCCATGATTGAAGCTTATCAGTTATACCTTAACAGTCCAATCATTGGTATCGGCCAAGATCAGGACGTTGTCCGGCATCTGAACGTCGCAAACGGAGGTCGACGAGGGCGCCATCGAGGCGAAAGTGGCTCGATGGCTGGCCGAATCCGAACACCGCACTTCATCCATCATTCTTCATCAAGAAATGATTAGGAAGGGTAAAATGGCGATTTGAAACTTTGTGAAGGTGTCGTTCATGTTGACGAGATTCTTCAGCAGGGCAGACACGACGAAATGAGGATTGTAGTAGGGGACGGGGCCGACGAAGAGGGACCTTCCGAGGCCGTCGGAAGGTCTGACCGAAGACGACGTCGGTGACCATAGCTCTTCGCTGACTTCGTTCGTCTCGCAGCACGTCAGCTCGAGCCGATCCATCAGGGTGATGGACGGCGTTGGGTGATCTCCCCTGTAAACAATATATTTAGAAAGAACAGGTCAGAACTTTCACCAGTCCCTATGATTCTCCCAAAACTCACAAATGAACATGATGATTCGTGACGGAAGGCAACGAGTCCAAGGAGCACGACGGCGAGATGAAGCTGTTCAGAACGTCTTCGTCGCTCACTGAACACAAAGCTTTAATTTACTTTTTTTTTGAAGTATCTCATTAGAGATCCCTGAATCCCTCTAAGCTCCCACCAAAAATCAGGAAAAGAACAATCGCTCTTTAGAAATATATTTGCTTGTCCTTTTCTTCCTCTTGAGCACACACACATGGATGGATACGCTCAAAATCAAAAAGTGCCACTGTTTAAACAAAAGAGGGAGAAGGGGCAACAGTTGCGGAAATTGAGTTCACAAAATCAAAAGCGAAACATCCTACAAGCCGTGAAGCTCCTTTTTGAGCCGTAAAAAAATCATGAAAAAAAGTTTAATTTTTTAATTTTAAGAGAACATCTATAAATTCAAATTTTCACAACTTGAAAGCAATTATAGCCGATTCACGGCTAACTTGGGACGCTGAGGGGGCGTGGCGTGTCTGCGCTCTCCACCAACCATGCACTCTCTCTTTTATCATCGTGCCAGGACCTTTTTAGTGTTTCAAGCCAGTTATGTATCAGATATACCGTAGTAGTTTATTATTTTTACGATGCGGATTTCGGCGGGAAACCAGAATTCAAAAAGCGACGCCTATTTTAAAAATTTTTCCTTCTGATAAACTTTCATCATTTTTTTCTTGGTTCAACTCTAAACTTGTACACCGGAAGCATGAAAAAAACTGTTTCTTTCTATGGATTTTTGGACTCCTCCGTTTCCGCACAATTACTACAGCAGGTATGCGTCCATCGTTTTAAACATTAACAATTATAAAGTCAAGTAAAAATAGACTAAATATATGACTTAAAAAAGGTAAAATAACCTATGCTTTCTTCAGAACCAATAACTTCTAAGAAAGGGCCGAAAAAAATCAAAAACCATTTGAAGTTTGAAAAAAACTTTAAAGTGATTTCTCTACAAATCTATCACAGTTCGACTCAGAAGATACCTCTTTCGGGAATGAAGACGACGTTGACCGACGACGGCGGACTGGCTGCAGAGTCCGGCGTCGCGGCAGACGCTGACGGCGAAAATGCCTGCTCCGTCGGTAGTTGCCAGCACCTTTCATCATCTGAAAGCGGAAAAAAATAAATAGCAAATCTATGGAAAAATGTTGTATATGAGATCAGGAAAACTGAATCAAAGTGGCCTTTATATTATTAAAAAGTCCATTTTCCCTGATTTTTTTCAAGATACAATTCTTCCTTTTTACACGAAGATTCTTAAAAAAATTAAAAAATTTATTATTTTTCCGGAGTAAACTTCCCAATATATTTTTCCAAACTCGAAAAATTTTCCTTTTTGTGTGTAATAAGATTTCAGGGGACTCTATTAATTTATCTATTTTTTTGAAACTTATAGTTATTTAACTACCACATAAACTTGATTTTGGGACTTTTTAACCTTTAAAAATTATAGGCTTTATTAATTTCCCAACTCATAATTTTCAAGCTCTTTGAACTATTTCCAAATATTCCAGCACCCTAATTCCATTTCACGTCTTCATGAAAAGCAAACTTTCCAAACTTTTGCAATAAAATTTGATCATGATCTCCTCGAAACTCTTGCAAAAGTCCATCTTATCAACTGCCAGAAACCCCTCTCTTTCCCTCATCCCCTCGAAAAAACCAAATGTTGCCGTCAGTCAGGAAAGATCAGGAAAAAAACGATTGGCTCTCGGAAAAGTGCTACACAGAAAAAAAAGGCGTTAGGTGGGCGAGATATATGATTTGCCGTTGCAACAGATGAGGCAACTCTCTCGTCTCTCTTTCCGGCTGTTTGTGCGGAAATCACAAAGAACGTTCAGATTTGCTCCTCGAGTTCAGACACAACAATCGGGTCATAACGAATTCCAGGAACACAAAAAAAAACGTTTGTTTAAACTCGTCGCTAGTCAATCTTCAGAGGTCACCTTGACAAAGTTGAAAATTGAAAGGCTGCGACAGACTTTAAAAAAAAGGTTTGACAAGGAACTTTCAAAAAAAAAAAACGCAGTTTGAGGATCTTGTTGAGCTGCTTTCTGAAGCTACCCTATCTTAAAAGAAAATGAGAATAACCAAATATTCTGCTTTTTTTGATCGAGTCATACCATCTCAAATTTAAACACTACGAAAACAAAATAGAATCAGCTTTAGAAAAAAATGGGAAAATTTCCAAGGAAAAAGGAAATTTTTAAAAATTATTTCATTTCATTCTTCACCCCTTCTGGTCTGTCTGCGCCTCTTCTCTCTCCTCGGTGAGGTCACAGAGACATAAAGAGACAGCACTTTTAAACGAGAGACAGAGCAAAGAAGTTAGAATATTTTTCAAGGCGTGGTGCAAGGACTTCGAAAAATCATCCGTTGCAAGACTTTTCTTCAACCAATTCTACCAACTCAGAACCAACTTTCCTCTTTCCTAGCCTTTCTACCTCCATGATATCTACCCAAAATTCTCTAAAAACCATTATTACCTTTGTGCTGAATGGCCGAGCAACGGATGAAGTAGGATAGCATGTGGCAGAGGGCTGAGAGGAGTTTGTCGTCGTCGCCGCAGACGACCGTCTTCGCCGTCCTCAGCTGTCCCATGCTGCCGGACAGCTCCAGGTACTGGGCCAACTGAGCGTTGTACCCGAGGGATGGAGCGTCATCGTTCAAGGTCTGCAAGATGTCCAAAAATATTCTCTTTTCTTCAAACTCGATTGAATGAGAAGATAATGCACTAAAACCGGATGGATTGCGAATTAAATCACAAAAAAAATTTTCATGTATTTTTGAAACAGAAATAATCGAAATCGGAAAAATCTGTATTTTGGATTATCCGTGGAGCACATATTCCCGTTATGTTGATTTACAAAAATCTATGTTCAAATATTCGTTACTGCTCGTTCCTGGGCTCGGACGCGCCCCGGAGGTTTCTGACCAACTCTAGGGATCACTTAAGAGTTCTGACGCCGCTAAAGTGGTCACTAGCAATGCTCAGAAAGGTTCGGATTTGACGAGAAAAAAGGGTCTAATAATAAATCGTTTAACCGTGGAGCGCACTTTCACCAAATTCCTGGTTATTTTTGAATACTGAGTAAAGAAGTTGACGAATGTCATTCTACAGGACTTAATGGTCGAAAATATTGTTTACATGGAAATGTGAGGCCGCTATTTATTCAAGGCTTTCATTATATAGATATCCCGAAACCCACCATGCCAATGAAGAGATTCCTGTCGGGATTGGCTCTGGCGTCTGGCCGAATCGGCGGCGAAGCGACGCTAGCTACCCACGACATGTGGTGCATCAACACCGTCGAGATCAAGTTCGACACGAAGCTGAAAAACCGCAATTTCTTCCTGCTCCCTGACCAAAAAATCCCACTATTTCGTGTTCTTGGTGTCGTAGCGATGGACGAGGGTCGCGAGTTGGTTGCAGAAAACCGAGGCGACGCTTTTCTCGTCGCTCGCCCGTTCGTTCAGCGACAACCAGACCGGACGGCGGATTCGAGGCGCGTTGTGAAGTTGGCAGATCGTTTCTGACAGCTCTTCCCAGGCCTGAGAAGAGGAAAAGTTGAAAAAGGAGAAAAATCAGCATGACAACATTTAAAAAACATCATGAGACTTGATTAAAGATGAAATCATGCAGAGCTCAAATTTAGAAAAAGGACAAAAAAAAAGGGAAAAAGCAAATTTTATTTGAAACAGAAGACCCAAGACCAGTAAATATCGGTCTTGATATAAAAACTCCTACGCATATTCCTACATTTGTAGAGAACTAAATTAAAAGAAAACATTTGTAAACAATATAATGAGATTACGGTAAGTCAAACTTCTGTACACCGATCTTTCGCTTTAACTGGTCAAATATTGAGTTTTCTTTTTTTCAAGACACAGACTTTCTGCAATTTCAAATACACATTTGGGATACAACAAAAAGTTCTAAAAATTGGTTCAAAAAAATCTCAAAATTCATTTTTTTACCGGCCATATGTATTATAGTAGATCTAACGGTAAGAATTCACACTAGAAATCAGAATAAACAGACCTAAATTTATATATTGCTAAACCTAATGTTCTTTTAACTTTTCTTGACTGGACCCTACTCGAAAACTCTGCAACCAACCTTGCTGACGTTGGTCAGGAAAGTCGGATAATTCGAAGCCGCATTCGTGATCCGCGACTCCAAACGGCTCAGCTCCGACTCAATCAATGGCATGTGCTGAAATAACATCATCAGGATCCCATGTCGATGAAAAATCAACCTGAAACATAAACTGCCGTTCGGTGAACCGGAACAAGACGCCAAAGGCCAACGTCCGGTTGCCATCTTCGTCGTTCTGCGATCCACACGAGCTGAGTCTTGACCTTGACTTCCAGCCCGATGGGACGGCATCTGGAGAAGAAAAATTCATTATCACAGTTCCAAGAGCAAGACTTTCATAGTTTCTTCTCTTTTTCCTCAAGAGAAGGTCCTCTAACAAAAATTGCTGTGCACCCCGCGTCGAACTCTCGTTGCACCCCGCAGTGTAACCAGGGGTGCACCCCGTTTAGCTTTAAATGCCTATTAAGGTAATTCTTCCGTAAACGATTTCGAAGTGGTTTGTTTCCCAATATCACCATTTTGTACTGTTTCATCTTAGGTCGTTACGGTAGCTTAAAAAAAACTTTTTATTTCCGACCGGTTGCCCCAGGGGTTCACCCCATTCAGTTCCAACGCGGGGTGCAGCGCAAACATTAACGAAAAGTTCACTTTTTTCGGGGTTCACTGCGGGGTAAACCCTCATTTTTGTTAGAGGACGTTCTTTACCGAAAACTAGGAATTTTCGCAAGTTGAGATTCTGGAGTTCTTTACAAGGAAGGTTTTTCTCTTTGCTGATCAGAATCTCTTAAAAATTGGCCAGAAAGCTCCTCGATGTTCCAGTTGAAGCTTCTGGCAGTTCCAACTTGCGAAAGTTCCTAGGTTTTGGAGAATAAAGTCTCAAAGTGTGAAAATAGCCAAAACCATGAGCTTGACTATCTCTTTGTGACGTTTTTCCTCGAAAACCATGAAGATTTGAGACTTTCAGGAGCTTCATCTACTACACAAAAAAGTACTCTGGCCAATTTTGAGGAAGTTCCCAACCGCAAAGTGAAAAGACCTCCCTTGTGAGTTTATTCCATCATTCCTGTGAATCATTCTCCAGCTTATTTCTGTTCAATGACAATCTTTCCAACCAAAACTTCCCCATTCCAATACCAACAACTCAAAACTGCTACAAACATAATCATATCAAACGCTGAACTCAGCAAAGTCTGCGTTTGGCGCCATCACGTCATCGTTTTGGCATTGAAATGCGTGTTTGTGCGCGTTTTCAAGTGTACGTTCTCTCCAATAGTGAAAAATACAAGTAAAATTTCTAAAAAAATAGGATTTCCTGTCCTCGGCTCTTAAGGAAGTCCACAAAAAAACTTCTACCGATCTTTACCGCCTATACAGAACCTGAGGGCTCATCTTTAGCTAAAATGTGAGATCCTCCGAAAAAAATTATTACTTGCTCTAGCTTTCTCAATAAACAAAGGAAATTGACCAAAAATCGAGCCAAATAAAAATTGAAATCGAAAAAAATAAATTCTTTAACTTTTTTTATACTGATTTTTCTCTGTTATGAATCAAAAAAATTGAAAGTTTTGACTTGAAATCTTAAAAATCAAAATTTCTTTGATGTTTTAGAATCTACCCCTGCCTTTCTGACTTGGAAAATTTAAAAATTGGTATTTCTGACCTGCAATTCCGAAATTCAATACTTTTTTTAAAAAAATTTGCGACCGTCCTTTACCACTTCCGAGCCAAAAATCGCTTTTATCAGCTCCGAACTCAAAAATTAAACGTGCTCTATTCTGAACTTCCGAACTTCACGATCCTCTTTTCCGACTTCTCAATCAAAATTGAGTTTTTTCCGACCCCTCACTAATATTATTTACATTCATAAATCAATGATCTAGGTGTCGCAGGACACAGAACCGGAGAGCGTATCAAATCAACAGCCAACCGCCAAATAATCTGATAATCGGGGAAAATATATTCGCCGCCAAAACCCATAGACCTCGCATAGACCTTTCACAATATGACATCTCTGTACATTGATAATACGGAGTTAGACAGGAATTCTCAATGGAGCGCAAAATCCTGATGGGGATGACTGATTATTGTGCTGATTTCTTTTTACCCGAGGCTGCAGAAAAAAAAATACTTTCCGCTTTTTTCAAAATTTCGAAAACCAAGCCTAAAAATTAATTTCGTCACAGAAAAGAAGTCGAAAAAAATCAATATTTAAGATGCAAACTTAGCAATGGAGCGCAAGAGTCTGAGACAAAATAGCCTCTTTTTTCACTCGTAAAAACTCGAAAAAGTCAGTTTTCAAGAAGATTCTCAACAGAGCGCAGAAAACATGACAAAAATAGCCTTCAATTTATAAAAAAATAGTTTTTTTGAGTCTTTCTGTTCTATAGAGATCTCAGCTTTGAACATTTGAATATTGCTTAATATCAAAACCGCAAAATTAATTTGGTTCTCGAATTTTTTTTGGTCATGACTCCGGGAATGCCCTTTAAACATATAAATTAAAGTTCAAGTGCCACTAATTGACGAAAAAACGTTTTTTTCCCCATTCTTGAAATAACTCTGGTATCACCCATCTTTTTTTCTATGTGTTGCTTTATTTGATACTCTCGTTGAGGTCAACCATTCTGCACCTTTCATCATGATGATGATGCCGTTTATCAGGAAACGGAAATGGGGGTTGTTTTTGACCGGAGAGAGACGACCGATACAGACAATATCTATAGAGTATCTCTTCGTTTTCTCGAAAGGAATGCGGCGGAGAAGGGAAGAGGGGCGAAAAACGAGCGATTGGGGCGAGACACACGAATTTCCTGTGATAATTGCCTGACTGATCAGTGTTCGGGCCGAAAGGAAAATGACCGGAAATGATTTGATTTGGTCCGATATCGGCTTGTATTTGACGAATATGGATTCAAAATTGAAGAGAATGATGTCATTTGCTTACTTTTAAATTCATAACCTTGAGTGGCTGTTTTTTTGAAAGCCAGAAAAAATCGCCGCCATTGTATGGCTTCTGGATGTCACTTGCGCTCCATTGATAATAAAAATTTTCTATCTTCTTTCAGTTGAAATAAACTTCCATGAAAACCTTCGATTTTTCAAAAAGAGATAAGCCCATTTCCTTGACAAAGAATGTTGCGATTCTTAATTGGGGCATCATTTTTCGCCCTTCCTGTGCCGTTTCAAGGAAATTTATGTCGGTTTTCCCGAGACGACAAGCTTGTTTAACGGCCAGTTTCGTGGATGAAATGTTCGGGAACCGACGAAGAGAAAATCACTTCCGCTTTTCTTGTTTTTATGCGATTTTTTCGTCTGTTTGCTTTGAGTGGGTGAAAAATGATAGAAAATGGTTTTCAAGTTGGAATTTGAAAGGAACCACGAGAAAATCGCGGCAGAGAGAATACTTTAGTTAGGACAATTTTTTTTTCCCAGTACATTTCCCAAAAACTAAGATTTACTCCTCCAAAAAAAGCTCACAATTTTTATCCAAAAAAAATTAATTGCTAAATTATCCAAAGAGCGCAAAAAACTCCTTTAAGCCGATTTATCGCGGCTATTTCTTCTCAATAACATAAAAAAGTCTTCTTAAACCCGAAAGTCTGAGAAGCTGCCCTTTAAGAAGAAAGAAACCCAAACCGGCGAAAAAAATAATTTATCCCAGGATAAAGCTTCGAACGAATTTTGAGCTCTTTATCCTCAGAGCGCACAAGACCATTCTTCGCGTCTATTTTTTTTCAAAATTGAACTGCCAGGAGTGCTCAAAAAGCTCCCACGTCACAAAAAAACATCCCTTCTGTTCTTATTATCATCAGAGCGCAGTTAGTCTAAAATGTATTCCCCAACTACATCCCGAACCACTATTTTCAATTTTCCCAATTTCTTTAATCTCTTGTTATCATTAGAACGCAAATAGTCCAGTCACTTGCGGCTATTACTTTCTCCTCACCAAGAACCTAATCTTTACCTTTTTTCTCTTATATTTCACCATTATTTGTAGTTATACAGCGTAGCCAAATGCGCCTGTTACTTTCTACTCTTCTTGACTAATATTTCAGTCTTTTCTCAATTTTTTGAATTTCATATTATCATTAGAGCTCGAATAGTCCGCATAGAGCCTAGCCAGTTGCGCCTATTACTTTCTACTCTCCTCCACTAACATTCCAATCTTTTTCCACTTTTTTCTCATGTTATTTTTCTCCATTTTGTAGCTTCAAAACGAACTATTTTCTGAAAGACTCGTCTTGTGAGCCATCTGTCGGCGGCGATTGTGCGAGAGACGGTAGGGCGGCGAGAAGGATTCTCGTTGGAGACTCGTCGTGCCACAGATTCGCTCGTCGTCGTCGTCGCCGATCGTGTAGCTGATGTGTCGGACCTGAAGCCTCAATTTTGAATATAAGAATTTAAAATCATTGGTCAAAAGCCTCATCAAGCAAGAAAGTATCAATATTCAAATTTTCGTCGGATTCTTCTCAATTTCATCTACCAACCCTGCTGAAGGATTCTGGCGTCGCAGTCGTCGACCGTCCTTTACTGGCCCAGAGTCCGTCCAAAGACCTCAGCGTATTGTAGTTACTTTGAGTTTCCGAGTCCGATGAAGCCACCGACTCGCTGTCTTTTCTGAAAATATACAGTTAGCTAGTCTTCCATTTTCTTACGAGGGCAGAAAATAGGTCGCAAGTCACAAAAAATCGATCTCAATTTTCAAAAAAACTACAGTTGTCACTTGTCCACAACAAAAATTATTTTTTTCTAAATTCGGGATTCGGAAACGCTGGGCGACCGCCACGCATCGTGAACCATTCTCTCGAAATAAATTTCCTCACCTTGCCTGCTTCATCTTCGGCACACTGAAGACCTTGCTCATGAGCATCTGTTCTTCATCTCTGAACAATTTTAAGTTTCAATAGATCATTTAAAAATGGTATACTCACTGTAACGTGTGTATTTTGAACGAATCACTGCCGCTGACGGTTGGAACCGAGCCAAAGGCCATGTTTCCAATCATTTTTATGTCACTTCGCGGCTTTCGGAACTGGAATGGAAATATTCTATAGATGAGCAGATTGAAGCCAAATGAGAAAAAAGGACATCGACTACAGAAAACTAAAAAGAGATCCGAAAAACTTTTTCTTTTTAAAACCGATTTCACGGCAGAACTTGAAAAATTTTGATTTATCTGTGCTCTCTTATCCCTCTCTCATTTTACATGCTATTTTGTTATTTTCTTTCTTTTCTCTTTTCGGTAAGAGATAAGAGAGCGCAGACAGGTTAGACTGTTGCGAATCTTGAAGAAGTCATTATAAGAATTTTGATTGTCGTACCGCTACGATTTCGATCTGTCCGCCTTGTCTGTGCTCTCTCAATCTCTCATCGGCTCTGAATGATGAGAGGAAAGAGAGCGCAGACAGGTCAGACTTTTCCGTGGCGATTCATGTAAAAGTCTTTGATATCGCAACGAATCCGGTCAGTCTGACTTGCCTGTGCTCTCTCAATCTCTCACCGGCTTTGAATGATGAGAGGATAGAGAGCGCAGACAGGTTAGACAGTTACAAATAGTGGCGAATGAAACTTCACAGGATAAAAAGTAGAGCCCTTTTTCCCCAAAAAACGCACATGAAACTCCTTTTTGGGATCTCTGACGGCGATTTCTTCCGGCGTCCATTTGCTCCGCGGCACGACCGTTTTCGTGTCGAAAACTGGCATCGTTTTGTCGTACTCGACAAGTACGAATCGGACATCTTCCGCGTCCAGCGTATGGATGATTTGTGTACTGAAAATTGGTCATTTTTCAATGAATATAACTTTTCTTAACTGCACAAATACTCTCGGAAATATTCCGAACAGCCTTCATGTAAAAAATGAAATCTTAAAAAAATAGATAAAAAAATCATCAAAAAGAGCGCAAAGACCACAAAAAAATAGTCTTAAGAGAAAAAATTAATGACTGAATAAATTTTTCTTTTATAGACAAAAGACTAAAAAAATATAGGGACCAAATCTCGTTAGAGCACAAATTCTCTTTTAAAACGGCCTTACAGTCGATTTTTTTGAACTATTTCACAAAGTTTCTCAACAGAGCGCAAAACACGCAAAAAAAAAAACAGTCACCACCGAAAGAAAAAAAAATCTGCGCCAATTCCTTTCCAAAACAGGCTATATACGAACATTTTACGAAAAAAATTTCAAAATTATAAAAAAATATTGATATAGCCCACTATTGCCTAAAAATGAGCGGAAAGTCTCCAAAAGGCCTCATTCTATAGCTGGAAACTCATACGCTGGGAAATATTCTCAATGGAGCAACTGTCCATTTCAAAAAAAAGCCAAGAACCTTTTGTTAACTGATTCAAACCTATTTCCTCAGGATTATTCTCGATAGAGCGCACATTTATTTCAAAAATTTACCAAAGGCTATCCGGCGCGCTGCTTGAACTGGCGGCCGTGTCTCTTGAGGTCTTCCGCTCGAGTCTCGTCCTGGGACCGGCTGGGGGTCTCATCGAACCTGGAACTATCTTCATGAAGGAAAAATACAGAAAAACAATGAAAAGGGCAGTAGAACCAGACCCAACTCTCAAAAATGTCAGACAAAAAAATGATCCGATTATAGTAAGTCGCGCGCCTCCGAGTATTACAATTGCACTGGAGACGAGGTGAAAAGTACAATAAAATATAATTTTCCAGAGAGTACGGCAAACATCTGGATCAGTTATTTATTTTTTTCGTGTCACGCCTATAGAAGGTACAAAAGTTTTTCCTTTTTTTCTTCTTCTAATGATTTTTGATCAGAAGAAAATGAAAAAAAGACTCAAGATCATATGATAGAAGATGAAAATTAAGAAAAAATTTTTTTTCTTAAAAAATTCGTCAAGAAAGTCAAGATTCCCTTAATTTTATATCCTTTTCCTTCAAAATCCAAGAATTTTCGTCATAGAGACGGTCATAAATTCAGTAAAACACGAATTTTATTTTCATCCACTCAGAAGGCGAACAAGCTTTTTACTGGAAAGATTCAAAAAAGTCCAGATTTTCTCAAATTTGAGCCTCTCGAATTATTGATAGAAATCTTCAGAAGTTCAGTAAAACTCATCTTTCTTTTCGATCTAAGAATGATAAGGCAAGTAAAAAAAGAATATAAAAATATAAAAAGAGATAGCCACTTTTTCTTGAAATTAAAAAAATCTTCTCAAAGCACAGTGTTGAAGTGAAAAATGGAGATTTTCACGTGTTTTTCTCTATATTTCTCAATATTCCAGTTCTAATTTAATTACTTTTATTCTGTTTTTTTTAAGATCTACTCGAAGGAAAGCTAGTACAAGCTATGAGAGTGAAAAAAGAACATTCAACGCATTTTTTCCCTCAAAAATAAAGGATTTTGTGTGTAAATGATACAAATTTTAAGGCTAAAAATGCTGTTTCTGGCAGACTTTTGAAGTGAAAATGAAAACTTCACGGTTTTTTTTTCTCAAAATAAAGGGGTTTTTGGTAAGGAGAACCAAAACTTTAGATCAAAAAATGCTCTATTTGGCAGACTCTTAAGGTGAAAAAGAGGGTTTTACGCGTTTTTTCACTGCTCGTTTCAACAATTTTCTACTGATTCAGTTCATTTACTCGTTTTTTTCAGGCCCGTGCAAGTATTGCGAAGAAAAAAATCCTTGTCACTTTTTGTCTTACATTTTTTTTTTTTTTCTGTACTTTTATTCAACTTTTTCCATGGGTGACTTTCGCTAAAAGGCTAGTACAAGCTATCGAAGTGAAAAAAGAACACTTGACGCGTCTTTATTTTTCTACATTTCCTCACTGATCTACAGTCATTTTTGCAGGATCGACTCACGAGATGGCGAGTAGGGCAAGCTGTTGACATGGAAGATGGGAATGGGGGCGGAAGTCGCTGAGGAGGACGACGAAGACGAAGAAGAAGAAGACGTCGGACCGCTCGTCGACGTCGATGCTGCTGCATGGGCGTCCGTTTTGCGGCGTTTCGATGAAAATAGTGTGCGTACGATCGTCGCCATCCTGCAAATAAACTATATACACGCGAATGATAACAATTTTTTTCAATTTTCCGACGAGAAACGAATTTTTACCAATTTCTTTGGAATGAACTCTAGAAAAGTATAGAATTTTGGCTCCAGGCAACAAAATCACAACTCGAGAACCTTAAACCAAAAATTATTACGGCATATGCAGAGAATACAGTACTTTGAAATTTCCATAAAATGAGTTAAAAAACTTGAATTTTTACATTTTTCGAGGAAGGACCTTTCCAGAGCCCTTCAGCGGACACTTAGAAAATTTCTCTAGAACAGAAAAAAAAACATTTTTGAAACTTTTCAATACCTCCATCTATCAAATAAAGATGATTTGTGAAAAAAATCGAAAAAAAGGGAAAAAAAGGAAAAAAATTTTTTTGGTCAACCTTGAGGATTCATTAAAAAAATAATAATAAAAGACCCAATTTTTCCGAAATTTTTTTCTTAACTTTCTTCTCATTATCGTTTTTTTCTATCAGGAAAAAAAGCTAATTTGCAAAAAAAGTTCAACACAAATCGCACCACAGATCTTTGTAAATTTCCCAGAAAAAAAGTTGAAAAAAATTTGTATTTTTTTACAAGTCCAGCAGTTCAACAACTACAACTACAATACTCATCACATGTATTTTCGAAAAAAAAGAACTACAAAAATGAAGAAAAGTTGAGCAAAAAAAGCTTGTTTTTTGAGGTGGCAATATATAAAAGTGAGAGGAAAAGCCTGGAAAAAGGCCTAAAAATAAAAGGGGTTTTTAAGATAGATTGAGGAGGGTTTTGCAGGTCTCGGTGAGGCGAACGGTGTAAACTTTACACATACAAAAACACACACGCACACACATTCAAGCGTACTAAAAAAACATGAAAAAAATAATTGAGAAAAAAAAATCCTACTAATTAGTATCAGTTTGGATTGGAAGCTTGAGCCTAGGACGAGACCTGAGTGAAAAAATTCTAAAACAAAATATGATACATTTTTTTTTCTTAATTATACATAAAAGCTTGAATCGAGAGGTGCGTTCGAAAAAAATCTACTATCCAAAAAAATCAAATTTTTAAAGTTCTATAGAAAAAGCTTTAAAAATAATATAATATAAAAAAATCGTTTTATAACATCTTGAAGTTCACCGAAAAACACTAAAAAAACTGAACATCAAACTGAAGCATTTTTTTCAAAAATTTTTCCAAAAAGAAGAAGCTAAAAAAAGAAAAATAAATGAAAAATAAAAATAAGTGAAAAAAATTCTGTAAAAAAATAAAATTTCAATTTTTTTCAACACTTCATTGTAGGAAAAATTAATCGGAAAAACTTATAAAAAGTTATAACTCCATATTTCATAAAAATATTTTGAAAAATCGAGTCGTCTAAAAAACCTTTAAGAAAATCAGAACCATGTGAAAACTTTTGAAGAATTCAAATTGGAATGATCAATATCAGACAACATTCATGTCTTCGAAAATACTCAGAAAAAATTTTTCCTATGCAATTCTTCTACACGAGCTCAGTTACTTTATAAAGAATCACTAAAAAATTGTTACTAAAAAGAAAGATGAAAAATATTCCCTAAAAATAATCAGAGAGAATTACCAAGAGGTGTGAGTATCACTGAAAAACAGAGGCAAATGGCTTCTGAGGGGTGGGAAAAAAAATGGGAAGAAGAAACAAAAGATTGGCGCCAACCAAGTGGTCCAAAGGGGCAATAAAACGGGGCCGCGCAGCCATCTTCTCCATGTACCCACACCAACACACACGCACAAAAATTCCTCGCGTCTTTCTACCGTAACGGGAGGAGAAGGAGGTGGAGAACCGCAAGATAATGAACAAACCGACGACACTGACCGGCAGAGGCAAGCAAAATAAAAGTGAAATCGAGATAGCAAATTGGGGCTTATTAGAAAAGAAGACAAAAAAAGCTTGTTTTTGTGGAGAAGACACTAAAATGGCCACTAAAACCACCTCTACAGTGGCCACTATTTTCCGTTTTAGTGGCCACTATAGAGGTTATCTATTTAGTGGTCACTTCAGTAGTTTTTCATCCAGTATTCCTTCCAGTAACTCTGATAATTTTAAAACAAACAGATTGAACCAGATCCATTGACCTTTAAAGTGGCCACTAACATTTTCTGTGGTCTAGTAGTAGCACTTAGACCTCTATAGTGGCCACTTAAAAACTAAGTTCGAAAAAGTGTATAATGCCTTGTTCAAAGAATTTCCCGCGAAATTTAAAAATTATCACTTTCTCTCCAAAAAAATTAACTATTTTTTTCTATTTATAACGGCTATAAAGAATCAGCGAAATCATTTAAGGCACGGTTTTAAGACTAAAAAAAAAAAAAAAAGTGAAATGAAGATACCAAACTCAAGCTGTACGAATTTTAATTCAGTTTTTCTTTCACTTTTCCCTTTTTTATTTATAATTTCAGATTTTTTCTTAATTTCCTCACTTTCAAGATTCATCTTACGCTTCGAAATATACAGCTTGAAGTACTTCTTGAACAGAAAAAGTCACATGAATCATAGAAAAAAATAGAAAAAAATGGATCTGTTTCAAATCTTTCAAGTTTTAATTCATTTTGAGAGCTCCTTTGAACATTTAAACTGAAAAAAAGTATTCAAAAAAATCTCAGAATAAACAGATTCTAAATGATCAGCAAAGCAATTGCTAATAATAGAGTAGATCTAGAACCATCATATTTTTTTGAAACAAATTTGTAAAAAAATCTACTTTGATTAGTTCCAAAAGAAATGCCATAAAATCCTAAAATGAACCGAGAATTATTTTTTGAAAGTTCCTTAAAACACTAAAACCCTACTTAAGCAAAAAAAAAGCCAAGGGAATTCCAAAAAATCAAGGAAACTCACTTCAAGTAGCAATTTCAACGATTTGACGATTCGAGTAAATTCTTCACCAAAAAAGGTTTTTTAGGGAAGAATCATCGTCGTGCTGCCGCCGTGGGAGTTTCAAATCAATTCTGCAAATTTCAACATTTTTTTCGAAAAAAAAACAATTGATAACGATACGAAAGAAACATCATGGCAGGTGATTTTTTTGGGGGTAGAAAAGGGTGAAAAAATGACGTTAAAGGGTGACGAAAAACCGAAATTAGTGCGTGTGTGGGCAATTTTGTGAAACGTGACACCGTTCAGAGAGGGAAAAAAAGCAAAGGTCCGCACTTTTTGAGTTCACAAATCGCAGATCTTTTTGATAAATTTGAGAAAATACGTAAATTTAAAGTAGAGGGTAAAGGTTTGAAACAAAAAAGGCAGGCCTTCAAAAATAGTAAAACTGAAAAATTCAGCTCAAATGGAAGAGGGGAACTATAAAATTTTGAAATTGATCGACTTTTTCTAAATTTTCAGCCCTAAAGAAAGGAAAATGTTGCCTTTCATGGAAAATTTTTCATTTTCAATTTCCTATGGGACTTTTCAAATTCAATCACATTTTTATTCTTATTATCAAATAAAAAGTCCTTTAAATTCCATTTTCACTCTCAAAATTCACAAAAAGGTGGTGTTTGAACACTTCAAACACGTGTTAAAATACAGCTTTAAAAACAATTTTTCTTCAACAATATGAAAGAAATGACAAAAAAATGAAAACTCACGTCTTAAAAAAACCTTCTTAAACTTTGGAAAATGGCCTTTACTCACGAATAAAATTTATTTTTTTATCCATTTTTTTGTAATTACATCAATTGCAACCTTCGAAGGCTCATAAAAATTTTTATATGATTTTTTTCCATCCGTTGTAACCTTGGAGTTTGTTCCGATGGAAGTGTTGACCGAGGTTCTTGGAATGAAGAGAAAATATTTTTCGAAGAAATATTTTTTTAAATAAAATCCATCTAGATCGAGAATCCACAAAAAAACAGGATAAAAAAATTTTTTTTACAGGCATAAAATATTGAGGAAAAAGGTTCCAAAAGTATTCGTAACATAGAAAAAAGCCAAGGATTTATGAGAAGGTACCATAAAAGTTGAAAAAAATAACTTTCAAGCAAAATTTTTTTGCAGAAGGGTGCAAAATTACACTATTCTGCGTTAGATACAAAAAAACCAAGTTCTGATGAAGAAAGTAGCTAGAAAACCATAGAAAATTCAGAACATGAAAAAAAGAGGAAAAAGAAGATAAGCGCTTTTCCAGGTCAAAAAGAAACACAAAAAATAATCAAAAAAAAAAAAATTAACGAAAATCCAAAAAACATAGAAACCCGTGAAAAATATTTCCAAGCCGAAAAATTTGTAAGATAGTCCGTTCGTAATAACTTTGAACAGTGTTTAAAACATGAGGAAGACTTGATATTTTTCAGGATCTTTCCTGAATCTTCAAATAAGCGTTTATGAACGAACTATGAATTTTCAAGCCGAGAAATTCTGGAAAATGGTCAAAAAGCTAATTCGTATCCATTCAATCCGCCGAAATCCCGGCGATTCAAAAGCTAAGAAGCCATAAATGGGAGGGGATCTGTGGAAACCAAACGGAGGAAAAAGGCCATTTTTGGCGAGCGGCCAGAAGGGGCGTTTCTTTTTTTTTTTCCTCTTCTCTGTGTTCTTTTTCCGTTTTTGCCTCGTTCTCGAGGAGGTCACGTGCAAAAAAGCAAGGCCAATGACGGCAAAAGCACGCGGGCGATGAATATATACACACAAACGCCCTCAGGGCGCTGAACGACGATAATAAAATTGAAGAAGATGAAGAAGAAGAAGCAAAGAAAAAAGTCCACACACTCATCAATTAAATATGATAATAATTACGTAGGTTTTCTGGAAGTAAGGTTTTCCCGCGGAAAATTCAAAAAAGCATTCAAAGATTTCTGAAAATACCATTATTATCTCAGATCAGAAATATTTTTCGAGTAAATTTAAATTTCTTTTTTCACTTATTTTCAGAAAGTCTAATAGCAATTTCGAAGGATCAACTAGAAAAAAAAATTCCTGGCTCCGGCCATCTCTAAACGATTCAAAAAATGTTTAGGAACAAAACAGCCATTTTTTGATCATTTTTGACACTGAAAAAAATTATTCTACCAACTATTTACCACCTTTACGATCAAAAGTCACCTTGAAAAACTTTTTAATTAAATAAAACATCGAGATTTCTCAAAACTCAACCGAAAATACTTAAAACCCCGGCCAAACTTCACTTTTATCAACTCAAGAAGAACCAGTACTTCAAACCATACGATAGCTAATTAAAACGTCATTTTCAAGATTGACAGGGATGAAAAATCAAAAAAGACGTAAAACCATAAAATTTTGGCGCCAAGGAGGTGGACAGTGGACAGATAGCGGCCGAAAATTCTTCGAGCTTCGAAAAAAAAAGTTATGATACGAAAAGTTTGTCTCTTTCTGTCAGGGCTGAATGTTCACTCAAAACCAAAAATTTTAAATAATTAAAAAAAATTATATTTTCATTATATGACACTTCTGAACCAAGATCTTCAAAGAAAAAAAGCTCAAACTCATCACCATAAAATCGTAAAAAAAAACCACGATCTCATGAATAATCAAGTTCGAATCCTCAAAGTTTGCTCCATTGACAAGAACAATAATTCAGAAAGCTTGTACAAAATCCCACACAAAGCCGAGCACTGAAGAAATACTAAAATCACTTAAATTATCACTGAAAGATACGGACTCATCCAAGATGAAGCCTTTCCATCTCACTTTCCGAGTAAAAGCTCCAAATTCACTTCCCTATAGCCTACTAACATATCGAACAGAGAAGCTCCACTGATAAGGAGCAATTTCTCGGACAAAAATCGCCGCTTATGATCCTAATCAAAATTTCAGAGTTTGCTTCGCTGATAAGGGTCTTCGAGGCGAATTATTTGAGCTCTACAACAACGAAATACCTTGGAAGTCTGTTTCGCTGATAAGGAATACTTTCTCAGGATTTTCAGGAATAAAAAGATTAGAACCAACTGTCGAAAAAATCGGACTGTTAAAAACAGTTTGAAGACGAAAATCGCCGCGATAAATCATGTCTAGTTTTCAATGTGTGCTCCACCGATAAAAAAAAACCACTCTAGAGGTTTTATCTAATATAAAACCTCAACATGAACTGCCAGAAAAGCTTCACTGCTTCAAATCAACTTTCCAAAGAACTCCACTGATAGGGATCAGTTTCGTGGACAAAACCGCCGCGATAATTGCTTTCAAAGTGCGCTCCACTGATAAAGAAAACTTTCTCGAGCTTTTTCAAGAGTAAAAAGTTCCAAATCGACTGTCCAAGCTTCTCTACTGATAAAGAAGCATTTCAACGACAAAATCGCCACGAAACCCGGATGAAAACTTATGAAGTGCGCTCCACTGATAAATACAACTTTCTTAAACTTTTTACAGAGGAAGAGCAGTAAATCAACTGTCCAAAGAGCCTTACTGATAGGGATCAGTTTAATGGAAAAAACCGCCGCAAAACCGTTTTCAAAGTGCGCTCCACTGATAAAGGGGCGCCTTCTCAAACTTTTCTCATAGTTAAAAGTTCCAAATCAACTGTCCAAACAGCTCCACTAACAAAGAACAGTTCAATGGACGGAATAGCCGCGAAAATCAGATTCAAATTTTCAAAGTGCGCTCCACTGATAAGGAGGTACTTTCTCAAGCTTCTCATGAGCTTCCGAGAAAGCTCCACTGATAAGGAAAAGGTTCTCGGAGGAAAATCGTGGCGATAACAGGAAAAGTGAGGTGATTTCAGGAAAACGAAGGAGATAGTGAGTGAGGTACAAGCAGACACGATTCGAATGGGTCACATGAGTTAGCGTCAACCTCGTTGCGCAATGTTTGGCCATGGTGGAGCGTCGGAACCGAAAATCAGTTTCGAAACGTTTTGCTTCGCTTTCTTGGCCACACGCGCCAAAACGCAACACTCTCGAGTGCACGGCGAACGTGGCCGAAATATAAACAGACCTCCGACCGGAAGGATGTTACAAAATACCTCTCAACCTATTTTTTCAGGTCGCTTCAGACCGCACGTGTTGGGGAATTTCACAAAAATCTCTGAATTTTTCAGAGTTCGGAGAAAATAACCGCACCTTGTGAGCTTCACAAAGAACTTTTAAATTCAGCAAGGAAAAAATAACCCAATAAAAAGTCAGAGTGGATCAAATTAATACAAAATCCATAACTTATCAATGGAGCGCACTTATTTCTTTCATTTTTTTATTTTCATTCCCAAACTGTCAAGACTTTTCTAAAACTAGAACGAAACTGTAAAAATTTTCAGTTTCGTTCTAGTTTCAAAAAAATTAACTGTAAGAAAAAATGTGAGAGATCGTGTGAAAAACAGCCACGCCTCATGAGCTCCAAATTTTAGACCATAAAAGTACTTTGAATCACGCGGAATCCGATAAATAACATTGAAGATTCAAATTCTCAGTACAAAATTTCAGAAAAAAAAGTTTAAAAAAATTACTCCGTTCAACCAAAAAAATTGGAAAATACAGAAAATTAACAAGCAGTTTCACCACTGCTTGGCTTATCAGTTTGAAAAAAATTAATACTGACAAAAATACAATGAGCTGTGAAAAAAAGAGAACTGAAAAAAAGAGCGACAAATTGGACAAAACCCGACTTTTTAAAAACTTTTTATCCTTCTTTTTTTGAGGTTTTTATCAAAAATGTTTATAAGATAAAATGAATGACGAAAAATCACAAAAAAAAAAACGGAAATTTAACTTAAATTTTATTAAATTTTCATCAATTTCTTGAAAATTTTCGTCAAAACTCTCTATTATAATTCTAGTCAAAAGCTTTTCGATCTTTTAATTCACACTAAAAGCTCAAAAAAGGCAATTTTTGTTGCGAAAAGGTGAATCAAAACCATGGATGAAGTCCTACTTAAAAGATTATGCTCTTTTTAAAAAAATTAAAAATTCCAAAGATCACCTGGGAAAGAATTAAATCACGTGAAGTTCGTTCATTAATAACAATTAGACGATAATTCAATCAAATTAATGGGAAATTATGGAAACGTGTCCAAACAAGTGCGAAAATCCAAGAGAAAAAGAGAATCCAACAAAAGCCTGAACAAATATTTTGACATTTCACTCATCCAAACAATTTTTTGCCTGTAATTCGAGAATAAAGAAAAACGTCGCCATAAAACGCAACATTTTGCGAGGGAGGGAAAAGAGAAAGATAAACAATTTCACGACTTTTCCTAGCGGAAAAAAGTGAATCGATCTGAAGCTGTACAAAATTGCAACGTATGGGCCGTTAAGATCTCGGACGTTTTTTGTCTTATTTACGCAAGGCGACTTGAATAAACAAAGAAAAGGAGGGAAAAAACTTTGCAAACTGGCGGACGACGTTGCACTTTTAAAAAGTGCAAGACCGTTTCGCGCAAAACCGTCCAGCGGCGACGCGAAACCAAATTAGACGCGTAAAAACGAACCATTCAATCAAATCGAAGAAGGAAGAATGGAATTTGTTTGAAACGTGAAATGAAGAAAAAATAAATAAAGCAAGATTTGTTTAAAGAGGCGAAATGCGCTCTGTTGAGAAGCGTACGAGCGGAGTCACGTTGAACTTATTGTTTCATTTCGCATTTTTTTTTTCTTTCTTTGGTTTCTTTACATTTTAAACTCGAATAGTTCGTTTTTTCCAGTCCCACAGAATAACAAGCATGTGACGTGTGCGCGAACAGCAATAATACGGCCCCGTCGCGATGGAATGTGCGCAATGCGGAACAAACACTGCAAAAAAAAGAGAAAAAGGAACAATGTTCAGGTTGCCAAAGTGTTTCAGCTGGTTGTTGATCTTTCAAAGCTTCAGGTAATTTTTATTGAAAGAATTTCCTAGAGAAAGGTGTGAGGTTTGAGCAGAAAAGACTATTTTTGATTTCAAAGAGGCCGTTTTTGGCGCAGAACCTTTGTAAGGCTTCCGTATTGGAATATTTTCAAACAGTTTAAGCTCTTAATCGTTCTGATATATATAAATATCGAAGATTATAGGGGATTCAAAGGGGAAAAAATAAGTGGATTATCTTTCAAACCAATACTCCGGTCATTTCTGCCCAATTTTTTTCGTGAATAAAAATTAAAAAAAGTTCGATTTTTACATACAAAAATGATAAATGAGATGCTCAAACGTGTTAAATGAAGAATTATTTTTCGAGGGCGAACAGTTAAGTTTTAAAAAAATTTATAATATTCCTATTTTTTTCCGGTTTCAGAATGAAAAGTTTGTAAAACGATAGTTTTAAAATCGTAATTAAAGATCTCCATTAGCAAAAAAATTTTTTTTTCCAAAAAAATTTGTCAGAACAATAAGAATTAAATAAAAAAATATGGAAACTTCAATTAGAAACAAACTTTGGAACCGTCTGCTTTTTTTGAATAAATTTTACTTCAAACTTTTTGAGAAAAAAATGTCACAAAAAAATCAGTTCCAAAATACGTAAGAAAAATATAAAACATTAAAAAAATAAAAAAAAATGGCAACTTTTTTCTCATTATCCTGAAAAAAACCTCAAAAATATTCCAAGAACATTCCGTGCATTAAATTGGGTTTTCATTAAACCAAAATGCAAAGTCCAAGATAAGAAGATAAACAAAACTATAAACGTATAAACAGATGAAGTCGAGCGCATTGAATCGTGCTGAAATGTAAACGGCTTCAGAGAGAGAAAAAACGCGAAAAGGTCCAAAAAAACGTGTGAATCAGCACGTCAAGTACAAGGATCACAATGGGAAGGGGAATTTTTTATTTGAATTGGTTGAAAAAAGAGAAAAAAGTTGTGTGAAAGGCGGTGTGTGTGTGGTGGCGGCGAGGGAACGCAAAAACAATGAGAGGGTGCAGAGAAGCAAAGAAAAGGAGAGAGGAAAGAGGGTGAGAGGGCGAGAGGGTTGGCGCGTCGCCAAATCCCTCTCCTCTCTAACCAATCACGTGTCTTTTGGCCCGATGCCAGCAAATTCCTCCGTCTTCGCCCACCCACTTGCGACGCGTCACGCGCGCGCGCGCGCACTTTTTGGTGCTGCTGGACTTTTTCTCCCGTCTATTTGCCCGCCGCTCGAGCCGGACTCGTGCGCCGGGACTGTTGCCGGCGTCTTGTCCGAGTGGGAATTGCAACAATTTCTTGGCCAAAAAATGATCGCCTTGTCTTGAGTCGCCAGGCTTGTTCTAAGCGAATATTCAGTGAAAAAATAGCCGTCATGCTTCGTGAAGCCTCTCTTTGATCGAGCAAATTCCAATGAAGAAAATAAGACAACTGGGAACTTCAAAAAATTTGTCTTAAGTTTGATCTTATTGGAGTGAATATTGCAAGCTTCAGATGTGAAGAAGTAACCTAAATTTTCCGACAACGAATTTTTGAAGAAATCGGAAAGTTTGTAATATTGTTGAAAAATAGCCGTCTTTCTATGTAGATTATAAATACTCTGATGCGAAAAAAATTATGATAAAAAAACTTGAATTTGTAATAAAAAAATTTAAAAATTTTGTCAAAAAAATTTTTATCCGAAATGATCTCACTTGATCAGATATTTCAAGCTCCCGGTCTAAAAAAATGGCCTATTTTTTTTTATTATTCACCTGATCAGAAAAGGAATATTAGAATTTTGAATATTCAAAAATAGTCGATTTTTTTGAATAGAAGGACTTTCATGATTTTAAAAAAAGCAATTTTTTTAATTTAAGATTTTTCCAGCTCCATCTGAATTAGCGAAAATCGGAAAGATCAAAAAAATAAAGTGAAAAACTTTTTTAATAAAAAGACAACCTGAAAGAAAAGGGAAACTTTAAGAGTCCAGAGAAAAAAAAATTTGAGCTGAGAATTACATAAAACCATCGAAAAAAACGCCGAAAAAAGCTCATTCGCACATTTTTTTCAACCTAAAACTATTTAATTCTGAAGTTTTTGGAAGTTTTTAATATTTCAAATTTTTTGAAGAGTTCAAAATGAGCCAGAAGCTTCAAGTCTTAAAAAATAACTAGAAAATTACGGAAAAGAGGACCACAAAAAGACCAAAAAGACCAAAAGAAGGGTGAATCTAAAACATATATAATCGGTATCAGATCAAGATCGCCCTAATAAGAATGATGAATGACTTTCCGTCGGATGACCCCCTAAAATTCTCAATCTTTTATTAGAGAAATTTATAGGGTAACTTATAATTTGGATATCGTTAAAATGTCCACTGGAACGAGAAAAAGCGAAAAAAAGTAGTAATCAGAAAATCTGACCAAGTCAACTAGTAGCTACAATTTCGCTATGCTTCAGAGTGAAAATTTTGACTTTTTTTAAAATTCACTAAACAAGAAATTACAAAATCATTTGCACTGGTTCAAAAAAACTCGAAAAAAAGTTCAGAACGGCAAAAGTCGGTCTGGCTAGAAGGATTCTCATGAGCCAAAAAAATTTTTAAATCTCTCTAATTTATTGGAAAAAAACTTATTTTTTTCAAAAATCCTCCTTTCGACGAAAAAAATATAGAAAAAAAGTTTGAAAAAGAGCCAAAGTCTGAACAATTCAACTTACACGTATTTGGGAGATTTAACACAAGTTCTCTGAGATTTTCGAAAAATATGTTGGTACAATAATTTTTCAAATTTGTTTTTCGAGCTGAAATTTAGATACAATGTTCTTAACTATGCGACCTTCTTAACTTATGACACCAAGTTTCGACAGGCTCCGCCCATTCTTACGGTTACAGTGACGAAAATAGCGTAAAAATGTAAATTTTTTTTTCTAGTGGAGCAATTCGGTTCAAACAAGCTGTAATGTGAAGAACATGTCTTTTTGAAAATTTTTCATTCTGAAAAACATTTTCTTCTCGTGGAAAAAAAATCGTTAAAAGGGGGGAAAAATGACGATTTTCGCAGTTTTTGAGCTCTACAAAAATGGGGCCTTGATTTTTATTTTCTTAATCGACAAAAAGCCCTAAAATCTGCTCAGGTTGGCTTCAGAACGTGTACATGAGCTCTAGGGAAAAAAAGTCTAATTTTTTTCAAATTTATTTTAGAAGGTTCACATTAATTTCTTCAATGGAAGATGAGGTCATTCTGAATTCTCAAGCTTTTCGAGGTCTTCAACAAATTTAGTGCAAACCATATCTAAAAATTTACTAAAAAAATGGCACCTCATTAATCACCCCAGTAAATTTCATCAAAAAAATGATTTAAAAAAATAAAATCAAGCTACTAGACTAGTTGAAGTCTTCATTGAATCCACTACTAAATTAACATCGAAAGGAGGATTTGACCAAAGGATGGTCCGAGAGACTGAAAAAACGCTACGCCGGCTGGTCCAGACGGAACCAAAAAAAAAGACGACGCGTTTTTTAACACGTCTGCTTTTTTTCGTTCTTTCTACAGACGGTCATCCTCTTTCTCTACGTTTTTGAAATTGCAACAAAAAAAAAATCGATTCAGAAAAATCACTATAGTTTTGGCTATAACTTTGTTCACCTCATTTCAGAAAATGAACAGATAAAACTGAAAAATAGAGTTATATGAAATAATTTCGCATAATTATTTCAAGATCTCTCCAAAGAAGTCACTTAAGGGTTCTCAAAAAGTGCGTCAAAAGTATTGAAACATCAAATTATAGCGTTTTTTACTTTTCAAATTGCATCCTTCGGTTTATATTTTACAGAGAAGTGAGTGAAGTACAAAAAAAAACACGCTGCAATAAGGGAGTGGCCAACCAATCAGAGAGGGGCCAGAAAAGTGCGTAGTGCGTCTTACCAGAGCTAGAGCGTAGAGCGTGTTTTGTGCTTTGGCTCTAACAGGCTTTCATGTACAAGAAACTCTGCGCAAAATTAATTTTATCCAGAAAAAAATATATAATTATTTTCTTGAAATTCCCCAATTTTCTTCTTTTTCCCCACAAGAAAATAGTTCAAACTGCAGATCTCAAAATTTCAAAATTTCAAAAAAAGCTCATATTCAAATATCAAGTTCAAACCCTCTATCCGAACCCCACCCCCAAATCTTTAATTTTCAAAGGTCGCCTCCCTGACAGGTCGGTAACTCTCTAAGAGATGCAGATAACAGTCAAGGACACAAATTTTCTTCTTCGTTTTTTTTTTCTTGTTCAAGGAACTCGATTTATTCGCTTTTATAGAGATCTCAGGTGCATTTCTATCCAATATTGACAGTGAAATGAAAGAAAAATTGAAATCTAAATGCTTCACCGGGAAGGGGGGGCAACTAGAACACTAATTTAAGGAGAAGTACACGTAGACGAAGAAAAATTATGCATATCGGTACGTACAAAGATGGTTCGAAAAAGAAGAGAGGGTTGAGATAGTTCATTCACAGATGTCTTTATGAAGAAGACAGGAATCTGAAGGTTTTAGGTCGAAGAAAAAATATTTTAGAATTTTTTAAGGAAATTTTAAAAAAAGCTTATTTTTTCGACCACTGTAGCGTTTAGGACTATTAACTCAAATAAAATTTAATTTTTCGGATTTTCTCCGGTAATCTTGATCCTTGAAAAATTTGCCTACTCTAGCGCTTCAGGACATTTTCGCAAAAATTCACGATTCTTCTTTGATTTTTGGGTTACTGTAGCGCTTCAGGACCACTTTCTCGAAAATTCAAGGATTTTCCGAAATTCCGCTAATAATTCGTGTCAAGACCTTTTTTTTTGAATTTTCTGGTTACTGTAGAGTCTCAGAAGCGCTTTTCACAAATTTTCATGGATTCTTGACTTTTATAAGTTACTCTAGAGTGTAAAAACCATAAAAAAAATTCTTTGACCCTTGAAACTTTTTTTCAACCAAGCTGTGAATGAACTAAACCTCCTCTTCCTCGATTTTTCGAATCAAAGACTTTCCTAGAAATCTCTCCTGCTCTGTTCAAACCGGGACAAATCAAAGCTCTAGTGGGCGTCTAATATGATGCGAATTAGTATCTAACAAGAAAAGTGAGGATAAAAAGGTAGAGAAATGTTTCGTTTTGGATTCAGGTATCGTCTTTAAAGAGGACAAGGTTTCTCGTTGATGGGCTTGGAGCTGAGGAGGAGGGGCTCGTTCTGCGACAGGACGCTCACCATCGGCTGGGAGTTTGGCTGCATCTTCTCGTCGTTTTTCTCGCAGTCGACGTCCTGAAAGTTCAGGCTACTTACTCTTGTTTTCCTCTGAAATTTCCGAACGCAGGAAAAATCGCCTAACGCGTCGCGGTCGCGCTGCGGTTTGGGTCAGCTTTTCAAAATTTTTCGAGCTTTTTTTTATGTAAGCAGCTGCGCAGCCGTTAAACCTCTTTTAAAATGCAATCGAGTTTTTTTTTGCAATTTTTAACTATAGGAACAAAAAAGTCGTCTCTTTTAGAGCCGAAAGTTCACTTCTTAATTTATCCGCTCCTATGGTGTTGTTCTCATTTGAAGGATTTAAAAACCCGAGTTTGAAAATTCCTCTTACTCGGGAGATATTGAGAAGGCGTAAATTCCTATGAATTTTAAGAAGTTTTTTTTTCTGTCCAATATCAGCATTTAGAACTCATCAACACAAAACTGAACTCAATTTTTAGTCTCATCAAACCAAGTGAATTTTCTGATCAAGCTTCATCTCTTTTTTCTCAACGAACTATTCCTCAAAATCCGTTTTTTCAATGCATTTTCTTATTTTTCTCCCAAACGAACCCTCTGCTTTCGCTGGCGGAGTTTCTTGAGCGTCAGATGGACAGCGGCGCCAAGAAGAAGCGGGCCCGGCGTGAAACAGGCGACGATAACCGGCAGAACTGCGCCAATGTCGGCGTCAGGCTGACTGAACGACGCCTGAAAAGTCATCTTTATCGATTCGGATCCGGATCCCATGAAAGCTGCAGCTTCTAACACTCAAGTAAATATTTTCCCAAATTTTGTTCTTTCTTACCCTATTGAAGGCTTCAGCTGGCATTTTCTAAATCAGAAGCTTATTTTTTTCATTTCGAACCAATAAATTTCCAAAACTCCACCTTCAAGAGCAGAATCGCGACGCCGGTATTCTGAATGCCAGTCTCGACAGCGATCGCCGTCACGTCTTCGGGTGACCTTTTCGTCAACAGAGCCGTGAAGCAGCCGAACATGAATCCGCACCAAGGGAGGGCCAACCCACTGAATTTCTTTTTTTTTTGAAGATCTTATTGGAATTCTTTGGGAATACCCGAGCAAGACAGGCCAGGTGATGGTTCTGAACATGTAGAGGTTGGTGGCCGTTCCGAAGACGATCACGAAAATGAGGACGAAAATGACAAATGGTCGCATCACCTTGAAGGAAATGATTCAATTTGAGACCATTTTAAATTATGAAGCTTGCTCCGAAAATTATTTGAAAAAAAAACATTTTTTTTTCATCATATTCCACACACAAACTTTGTATAATTATAAAGTCAGAGAAAAGTGGAAACCAATATATTTTTCTTCGAGAATCCATTAAAGGCTCTGAGAGCGTCATTTAGAGCAAGTTCTGATTTTTTTCCTTTTCTTTTCATATTTAGAAAAAAATTCCAATATTTTTTTACATTAATTTCTATAGAATTTCATGCAAAAAAATGGTAATAACTTCTGATTTTTCAAATAAGTCTCTTTTACTTTTTTTCCGAACTTTGAACAAAAGCCACTCGTTTATTTCTAATTATCAAAGAAGGCAATATATTGAACCCCATTTTCGCTCCACAGCTAATCGAAAAAAACAGGATTCTAATAAATTTTTCTTGCATTCCACTGGGATCAAAACTGAAAAATATAAGAAAAATATAGGAGCTCGATTGAAAAAAACAATTTGTTTTTCATCTTTCTGTCTTTCGATCTAATTTTCGTGAGAAAAACTTTCAAAAAAATTTCAAAAACTTTTGAAAACATCTTTTTATTTTTTTCAGCTGGTAAAACTTTCAAAAATCAGGTAAGCGTTAGTAATTATCTAAACAAAGATATTTCTAGGGACACAGAACTTGACGTTCTTCTCTAGATTTTTCGATCCCACTTAAGTTCCCATACCTTTCTCGACTTTTGAGCCCAGGTCGGCTTGAACTTTTTAATTGCAACTCCAATCAGCAATGGTACCACCAAACATGCCAAGGAACGAGTGATAGACCCTATAAATAGAAATTTCTCTTTTTTATTGAGTTCGACCCAAACCATAAGGAACTTTGAGAGTTCCAGCCGTGGAGAAGCCTTGAAGGAACTGTCCTCCGAGCAGGAAAAGCCAGGTTGGCATCATGACTGAAAATAGCCTTTTATTGAAAGGTTCAAATTCTTCAGGTCGCATTTAGAATGGCTTTAGAGGCGTTGCGATCGCGAAAGAGTTCGCGCTTTGTGGCATGCTGTATCATAGAACGGAAGTCGTTACAGAGTTGTTATCTGTCATTCAAGGCCATTTGAAAATATATATTCTTCTGATCGCATTCAGAATGGCTCTAGTCGCGCTGCGGTTTCAGGTCTCTCCGTCCGAAAAAAAAAGTCATTTGCGCACTTGGCATCCCGTTTCATATAACCAAAGTCGCTAAAGGTCGGGCGCAGTTACAAGACAAACGTTTCGAACAAAATTTTCACATAGTTGAGGGTGAAATAAACGACTTGAAACATTCTGGTCGCCTTTGGATTGACTCACGATCAGAGCGCTCGCAAGCCTTTTCGAGGTCGGACTGATTTCAACCACGAGTTCAGCCCTGCCCAGTGCGACCTGTATATTGAAATGGCTCTCAACGACTTATTCCAGAGCTTGCGACGCGTTTTGAAATCGGAGCCAATCTCCATTATTCATTAGAGCTCATTTGAACCGGGTCATTATATTTTTTTGAAACTATAATTTCTCGAAAAAAAGAGGGAAAAATTTACTCTAAAAAATGACTCGATGCATCTGACACGAAATGAACTACGCAAAAGGCCAACTAACGCGAAACGTTTCGAGTCGGGCGCAGCTTCTTATTCACTCAAGTAACTACTTAATTTTTTTAATTTTCTCAAACCTAAAAGAAAAGAGGGTCGAAATGAAGGTCATCGTGACGGACAGGTTCAGGTTGCCGCCCAGCAGCAAAGTCCAGAAATTCGAAGCGCCACCCCCTGAAAAAAAAGAAAACATAATTTTATTTTTGTTTCACATGATGATTTTGTCCGTTGCCGACTCCTTTTGAAATTTCAAAACCTTTTCAAGAATTTTCGTCAGATTATTTTTCATAATCAACAAGTTCAAACCAAAGATCCCCTAGTTTTCATAAAAGACGAAAAAAACGCTGCAGTCGTTTTTTTTTTCAATTTGTCCACTTCCTCTTCCCACTCATCCCAATTAAACTTTTTGCAACGCCATGTGAAATAATCCCCAATCTAGTGGCCATTCATTCTTTTTTTTTACATTTCCGTTCATTTCTGCAGACCTGGTGAACATCCTGTCACAAAAACGCCTAAAGCCATCGAATAGAGACCGCGAGGAACGAAAACTGCATGGGCGATGACGAAGGAGAGCTGAAAATAATGCGGATAGGCCTCAAAAATGATGATATTCATTAAGTTTCTAACCATTGTACAAAAAAAATAATTATCTCCTAATGCATTAATAAAAATCTGTTCGAGGCATTTGAAAAATTAAAATTAAAACGCCCAAAAACCCTAAAATTCAGAGAAATTCAAGATTTCTGAAAAAATTGTTGAACCCCATTTTCGTAGCTTCACTTCTTGCAGTTTAAATGATAACATACAAGCTTGAAAAAAATGCTAAATTTATCAACAAAAAAAAAGTTTACTGCTTTTTTTACCTTTCAAAACTATTTTTTTAAAAATAAAAAAATTTTTTTGCCGAAAAAAATTTGAAAAATCGTATAGTTCTAAACATTTGAAAAAGCACTCTACGGGTGGATTTTTTTGGCTATATTCAATGTTTTTCTCAATCTTACCATCGGCATGATGAGAAATTGCGCGAAAAGCCCAATGGCCGGTGCCACTGGCTTCTTCAAAGTTGCCATGACCGCGTCAATGTCCAGCTGCAATAAAATTTTTGAATAATTTTTTCTTAAAAAATTAGAGAACTTTACAAGCTTCCTCAATTTTGTCAAAATATATAAACTGAAGTCTTTTTAGAAATTAAATTCATATAAAAATAAATTTTGACCGCACCTCACAGCCCATGAGAACATTGGCCAGGGAAATGAGGATGACGACGGAGGCGACGAAATATTTGGTCATCCGGACGGATTCTGCGTCGCGTACGACCCAAACGTCGAGCATTTTCCCGTCGTTCACCGGATAGTACCTTTTCATTTCAGTTGGTTCGTGGAACTGCTGAAAAAGGTCGTTTCTTTGAATTCCATATATGGGCAAAAAGGACTCGATAATTTCTGATGAGAGGCCGCATTAAAAACCCCCTCATTCCTTTTTGACATCTTTGAATTCGAAATATGATTTTTTTGTAATTCGAATTGGTTCATGGAACTGCTGAGAAACGTAGTCTTCATTCTTGAAATTCTAGAAGATTCGATAGAATAATAAAAACAAAACTCTGAGTTCATATTTAAAAAAACTCTGCAAAACATTTTTTTGAAGTTGCATCAACTTTTTTTCTTCTTATAATTGATTTAAAAAAACCCTTTCCCAAGTTTTTTTAAAAAAATTTTTTTCTGAAGGTTAAAAATAGAGTTTCGTTTTTTTAAAGAAGATTTCGGATGAATATCCTTCTATCCTTACATCGTCTCCTTTATCGACGTCGAGCCAATTTTTCGGCCGGTACCAGTCGAATTTTTCATTCCCGTCTTTCCCAGCATGTTTCCCTTGACTTTGACAACGGTCTGAACAAATATTTCTTGAAAAATCGCCCAATTTTTTTAATACCGATTTTTTTATTATTTTCAGTTTTTCCTTTCAAATAAAAAAATGTTTTGGGTCATTGGATAATTCGAAATTCTATTCTCTTTAACTTTTTCCATTTTTTTGTGAGTTAAAAATAACATAAACTCTCTAACCTAGGCTGCAAAAGAACACTTTTTTTCAAGGTTAAAGAAAGTTGGCAAAAAAACTTCAGGCTAAATTCGAATTTTTAAATGTAAGTTTTATTAGTAATTCACGCAACTTTTTTTCAAATGATGAAATTGTCTTTTTGAGTGGGAGCGATTTTTTTGTTGATTCTGAAGCTCCTATTTGAAAAAAATCTTTTTCTAAATCTCTACAATCTCAAAAAAAGTTGAAATTATTTTTCCATTATTTTTTTAAATTTCATTAACTTTTAGAAAAAAAGTCGGGGAATCAATTATTTTTATCAAGTATTTTCCACTTTCCTGAGAATTAAATCAATAATTTCAAATTTTCCTTCTTTCAACCGCACCTCAGCCTCATAAAAGTTGTCGGGCTGGATACTAAATTCCTTTCGAGTCAGGGCAAGGGTTGGTTCCTCGACAGAAGCCACTTCAGGACTGAACGACCTGAAAAAACAAGGATATATAAATGAAGAAAGTCGGGAATGACTACTTCATCTGAAAGGAGAATTTCTCGACGTTCTCAGCTTCGAATTCGTTTTTCGGGAATCTCAAGGTGACGTTGACCGTTTCCTCCTTGAGCTCTTCGAGGTTATGAAGGACTGGAGGGTCGAACTTGACAATCATCGACCGGGACAGTTCTGACGTCAGCGAGAGAACCACCTTTAAATTATGCGTTTTTTTCAAGTTTTGGGGGATTTTTTTAACAGGAGGTCATTCAAAGGAGTTTTTACGCCGCGTTTCTCAAAAAAAGTTTCTTAATTCAATTTTTTTTTTGTCTGAAAAACTCGCTTTTCTTCGAAAGAAGTACTAGTTTGGTCACGAAAAGTGCATTTCTGAACCCTTACACCTCTGCAAATCCCTGTCAAATATTTTAAAAGATTTTCTTTAATTAATTTGAACATTTTTGAAATAGAAATCGGTTTCGTTTTCGTGATATTTATATACATATATTTTCTTTTTCAGTTATAAATTTTAATAAATCGCAATTCGGACCATAATTTATCAATTTTTCTTTCTTTAATTCTAATTTTTGTGTTCATCTTGGCAAAATAATCCATTTTCAGACGCTCAATCGAAAACAAAAGTACAAGATCCGACCAGTGAATGAGAAAATAAATACATGCATACAAAACTTTGCGTGGAATCTGAAAACAGCCAAAAATAGAGGTTGAGTGGGCGGAAAAATATTATTCAATTCGATTCATCAGAGTCGAAAAAAATAGAAAGTTCATGGGATTATGAAATCTAGGGGAAATCATTGTGGAAAACATCCGTTTCCGATTATTTCGGAGAAAAATGCTCTACTTAAAACTATGAAAAATGTAAAAAAAAATACCGAATATTTCCAATATTTCTAATAGATGACTCAAAAGACTCGAAAACGCGTTTAAACTGAGAAAAAGAGTTTCGAAAACTCTGAAAAATTTTAAATAAAAATCATACAACTATAATTTTGTTCTTTTTTTGTTCAAAAAAATTATCTCCATTTCAGCAAATAGAAAGCCTAATATCAAAGTTCTTACGTGATAAATACTATTTTTTTCAACTAAAACTACAGAGAATACAAATTTTAAAAAAATGTGGAAATCCTACAATTTCAATAAGTTTTACTTGTCTGAAATCTATATAGAGATTCAAAAAAAGAACAAACCTGAAGAAGGAGGTTGAGAAAAAGAAGCATTGGGCATTTGTTGCCCGCCATTTGACCCCGCTACAAAAGAGTTTCGAGAACTCTGGAAACTAGTTATTTTGAACGACAAAAAAAGCTTTAAAAAGGAAAAAAAGTATAACGATCAGACGGAGGACTGAAAGAAAATCGCGAAAATGAAGGAAACGGTAATAATATTTTTATTAATAATGGATGAGAACAAGGGCACGGCACTCATGAGAGTAAATGATTGGAAAATCGCGAGGATTTGGAAAAGGGCTGAAACTGGAAGAATAGGATTTCAGTTCTAAAAATGCTTGAAATTGTACAAATCTTGATAGAAACCAAGAAAAAGCGAATGGTTTTTCAAAGGTTCAGAATCCAAAAATTATTTCCAGAATCTTAGAACTACCTTAAAAGTTCTCTTCTCCTTTTTTCAGATAAGAATTATGGTTCAAGAACTCAATTTCACTATTAAACGCGGAAATTTCCTTTTTTTGAGCTTTAAAGTTTTGAAATGCCTCTAGGGATCCATATGCTCCGAAATCCCACAATTTTTGGGTGATCAGTTCCAATAAAACTTCTCATTTTGAAGTCCGGCTTCAAAAAATCGATTTTTTTCTTCCAGTTTTGAGCCCTAGTCCTTCGAAAAACAGTTCAAAACCACATTCAACAATAGATAAGTAAAGCATCATCAACAAAAAATAAAAAAGGAAAACAAGAACCTTACGGCAAATAAATATACACGTAGGTGAATACCTCATTCGCCGCTAGTGTGGGACAAGAAAAAGAGTTTTCTAACTCTCCGTTTTGCATGCTATTTCGCGTCGCAAACCAGTGGTGAATGAACTATAGAATAGTGGTTAAAAATCATTTGGCATTGTATGGGGGAGGAAAAACGAGTGAAAGCTTCCGTCGTTCAGTTCATTCCATTCATTGGTTCACTCAGAAGCGTCGTCGGCTGAAAAACAAACCGGAATTTTCAACTAAACTTCTATTGAAATGGGAATAGAAGCCGCATTATATGAAGGTTCAACTTTCAAATGGGTACAAACCAAATAAAGATAGATCATTTGCTTATTATTATGCCTCCAAGACGTTGAAGGAGTGAATTTTGAAGTTAAAAACCAACTAAAAGCGTTTTGAAAGAGAAGAAAAAAAGTTTTTCCATGGAGTATAGGAGGGGAAAGCTTCGTGAATTAGAAAGAGAAAAAAGCCGTTTTATATAAAGGTCCACCAAAAAATAGATTACTTTCAATGCCTTCAGGAGATTTATGAACCGCATTTTACAGTTAAAAATCTACTGAGGTTTTTTCTTCATGTTAAATAATGTCATGTGAACGTTTTTCAATAAATTTCCTATAGCTTCGAAAAATTCTATAAATCAAAAAGCGGCATTTTTTTCACATTTTCACCTCACAAATGGGTACCGAAAAAAACAATATTCATTTTTTTTAACTTTTTATTTTTAAACTTTAAATAACGGTTTTTGGAAGGTTTGCCTCTTATAAATAGGTAAAAAAATGAAAGAAAAAAACTACTATGTTATTTATATATTTTTCTCAGTTTAATGTAATTAAACATTAAAAGTCGCACTTTAAAGACGTCTTTCTCAACGCGAAAAAAATGGAAGTCTATCAAATTTGACATTTTAACATATAAACGGCTAATGAATGCAACCAAAATGCGAGCCTGGACGGTAAGAAATCGTATTTAAAAAAAAGTCATCTTCTGCGCGATTTCAAGGGAAACATTAAGCAATTTTTCCTATCAAAAGGACATAAAAAATCGTAGTTTTTGATTGAAAATGAATGAAAAGTGAAGAAACTGAACTAGACTACGAGTAATTGTTTCTGAAAGGTTAACCTTCACCTCCACGTGTTTACCTATGTGGTGATTGCGTCATGCGCCGTGGTATTGCCTAACAAAAATCATCCATTTTGATTTATGAAACACTTGTGTTGATTTTATGGAAGATAGGTACAAGATATCAATTCTGATAAGATCTCGAGGTCAAATAAGAGGCCTGGAAAGGATTTTTGAGGTAAATTTGCATGAAAGAGGGCTTTATAAAGTTCGAAATGACCAAAAATCTTTCTTTTTACCCGATTTTTGTGTAGTTTTTCTGAAAGAACTCCATAAATATTTGCTTTGAAATTCCTCATTTGAACTTATTTTTCAAAAATCAAGAAACGCTGTTTTCTTTTTAAACAAAAATTGAACAAAAAAACTTAACTGCAAATCTAGAAAAACGAGGAGAAAAAAATAAAATAAAAATTTAAAAACGTTTTTGGATTATTTTCCAACTATAAGTCATCGTTTTTTCGCGCCAAAGGTCAAAATTTCGTAAGATCTGTAAAACATTATTTCTCAAAAAGACCGAAATCATCAAAATAAGTCTGAATCTTACTTGAACTTGTAAAATTCATTCTCTAACTAGACATTTCGATTATAAAACTGGATCCAAAATTAATCCCAAGACCAAGAGATTGTATCTTCTTTTTCGCCCTTTCTTAAATATAGGTCGTAAAATATCTACGTGAGATCTGTCAAGTCGAAAATCTTCAGAAAACTCCATTCTTCGAAAACTTCAACATCAATTTCTATTAAATTTTAATAATCTGGCTTCTTAAGAAATAGAAAACTCTAGAATCTTCTTCCTAAAAGTTTGCTACTTGAAAGAGTAGCAATATTTGCTGAACAGAAGCTACAATATTCTTTCCCATAGTCACGTAGTTCTTGTACCCGGGCTGAGAAAGTGACGAGTTGAAACCAGAAATTGTCAAGTATTTTTGCAAATAGTTCATTTCAACACAAAAACCAGTACTTTTAAAATTAATATGTCCTGGAATACATTTGAAACGTCAAAAATTTGGAAAGTACAGATTTTTCGCTTAAAACTTGTCCACGCCTAGTCGGATACATTTTGACTAAAAACAGGAAAAAAATTATTTTTTTCATTAATTTCCCAGTGGAATTTTTTTGCTTTTTAACCGAAATGAAACCTTGAGATAAAATGACAAGATCGAAAAAGGACCTACAAGATATTTTTGTTCACTTTCATTTGTTCTAAATTAAAATCCAGAGAAAAAAACACCCAACAAGGTCTCAAAAATCAGCTAAAAAGGAACACGAAAAGGCCCATAAATACCCGAGAGCCAGGAGCCCACCAGAAAAAGCGAGGCAAAAAAAAAGCCACGGAAAGACGTGCAATTTCCTCCACGCCTTGCAAAGACACGCCTCCGTTTTTCAATTATTGATGCCAAGCGGCTCCAAATAATCCTTCTCTTTTCCTATTTTTCCACCTTTTTTTCCGATTCCAATTACAGAAAGACAAGGACAGCGTTCATGGGGATCACAAAATGAAAAATTAATCCGGAGGAAAAAAAAAAATCAGATTGAAGAATTAAACCTCGGCAATCGGGAAAAAGGTTTTGAAAAGGGATAGGAATGGGAAGAACTTTGAACTTTTTTGCAGTTCGAGCAATTGAAGAAAATTTTTTTTGATAACAAATACTCGAACTATCCATTTTAACTCCATTTTTTTGAGAATTTTTTTGGTTGACTTTAAATTTTTTTATTTTGCTTCTTTCGAGCTGTTTTTGGATGGCGGAAATTGCGGACTTTGACATTTTTGCGAATAAACTTTTTCAGCTCAAAAAAATAATTCATTTTTTTAATTTTTTTAGCTTCTTTTTTTGACAATTTCAAAAACTTGATTAAGTTTGATTAATTGATAAAAAGCTGATTTGGATGGCATGAAAAAAACTGAATAATTTATTTGATTGAACTTTTTCCAGCTTGGGAATATTATGATTATCAATTTAAAATTCCTTTTTTTTGAGTTTTTTGACGACTTCAAACTTCAAATTTGCTTTCTACAAGATGATTTGGACGGCGAAAAATTTTGGAACTTTTCCAGCTTAAAAATACATATACTATCCGTTTCTAGCTTTACTTTTGCGATTTTTGAAGACACAAAACTTTTATTCTACTTCCTTCAAGCTGAAGAGCTTGAAAAGACTGTTCCTATCAATTTTCGGCACCTTCTGATTTCATTTGCCCTAGGCTAACTCTCAAGCAAATTTTCCTTTAAATCCGAAATTCCTCACTCCAAGCCAGCAGAAGAAGAGCCGTACGATTGACGAGGCTGCAGTGCGTAGTCGTGTCTGTTTGACGGCGTCGACGAGAAACCTGAGAATTCGAATCATTCTCAAAGAACTTTTCTGAAAAAGTAAACCGTCATAGCCCCTTGGCGTAGAATAGGTAGACGAGCTCAGGTATGTCGAAGGACGTTCCGAAGAATACACGGGACGGCGTTCTCTGCTAAATGAGGATATTTTGAGTACTTGAGCAGAAAATGCGAACAATCTATTATATTAAAGTTTTCGAAAAAAGTTGAATACTACGGACTTCTCAACTCAAATTATATTTTGTACTCGATTTTATGGAATGAAAATTTTAAAAGTTAACAAAATTTTATGAAAAAATATGAAAAGATTCTGTTCAGTCCGGAAAATCAGTTCAGATCAAAATTCCAGTGTGTTTCTATCGAAAAAAAATGGTAGTTTTCAACTTCTCTTAACGTTGAAAAATGCACTAAAAAAAGTTGATCTGCCGGAAAATTTTGGATTTCACTAGTTTTTCTGTTTTTTTTCTCATATAAATATCAATAACTGTAAAAATCTATAGAAATTCAACTTTATAAAAAAAGACAATGATGAATTTTAACGCCTATTCTGATATTTAAACGATAATTTTGAGACATTCTTCCAAAAAATTCATTCGCATCGTATCATTTATAAACCTTCCTTCAGAATCCCTTCCTCTCCAAAAACCTCCGAAACCAAGAAAATTCCAACCATCTTATCGAAAACTCTAAGAAGACATTAAAAACCGGTAAAATTCGCGTGTAAAACCTCCACTCTGGAGTCTAGCTAATAAAATATTCACGCATTTTTCTGATAACACGCACGAAGAAGCTTTTAACACATGAGATGGCGTGGAATTAATCAAATGAGGAATTTTTGCTTAAAAGGTGCTCGTCACGCGATAATATCGGAAGAAACCCTAGCTGAAACGGAAATTTCATCAAGTTGTTTATGATGGGATGGGAAAATATTTTTCGATTTTCGAAAAGCTAAAGCCAGTTAAGCTTTTAGAAGAATCAAAGGGTAATGCATTTTTTCCATTTCAACGGAATTAGATTGGAAAAAGACGGATTTTCAATGGAATTAATGGAACGAGAGAAAATTTTCATGAAATTTGAATGGAAATCACTCGAAGGACCAATTTTTTTAATTGAGAAGATACAGAATTTATATTTTTCGAGAAAAAGAAGCTTTTTTTATGTCTTTGGGAGTTTTTTTGATGAAACTGAGGTCTAAAAAAACGACTAAGGACCAACTCGATGAAAAATGAATGAATTGACAAGAGAATCATCCAATGAACGACAAAAACCAGATTTTCAAAAATATTATTTGAAAAAGAAGAAATTTTCGAGTTTTTTTAGAAACTTTTTATTGCGGCAAAATTATTGTTTCTTCTGGGTATTTAGTTTAAAAAAATTTTTTTCGTGAATTTTGATTTTTGGGTTGTTTTTTTGAGTTTTTTTCCTTGCAAATTTACCTATATTGAATGTCACGCGTGTCACGAGAATCATAGCCCGGAGCAGGATATTCACGTCGACGGGGAAGAGAATCGCCGTGGTAGCCTCCGCGGGCACCTGGAAAAATACTGAAGAATTTCAAACTTTTCAACGATATATAGAAATAAAACTGGAAATGAAAAAAATGCAGTCAAAAAAATGCAGTCGAGTGCTTGAAAGTTGAATTTCTCGGAGATTTCAAAAAAATCTTTAAAAAACCTTTTTGGACTTCTGAAAAAAACCTGAGAAAGGCCAATAACACTTGGAAAAATTTTTTTAACTGCTAAGCTTCGAGAAAACATTTAATAATAATAATTTATTCACAGATCAGTGTGAACCCCAACGAGTTCACTTCGATCTACAATTTAAATGAGGAAAAAAAGTTTAAGTAAAAAAACAAAAAAATTGAGATCAGTAAAGTCTTGGTGGAATAGAGGTAAAAAAATTCGTTGCGAGGTAAAACGACCAATAATTTTTTTTCAAAGAATTAGGTGGAAGTGTGAACTGATATTTGGATGTAAGTTTATTCCAAATAGGAATCGTTTTGAAAAAAAGTTGTTAGAAAAACTGACCTTGAGAACGTAGCCGAAGTGGATTTCGCCTTAAATTGGATCTGAGGGCAAAAATTTTTCGAATTGAGGAAAGTGATCATGACCAGAAACAATTTTTTGGAGAGTGAGGAGATCAGAAATAACTCGTCTAATGTACAGTGGGGTTTGTTGAAATTGCTCTAGACGATCTGAATAGGAATCAAAGGATAGGTTCGACCTAATGTAAACTTTGCGGGAAAAAATTCTGAGTGGGGATTCAAGCTTGTAGCAAAGGTCAGAGTTAATAGGTGGGTTAAAAACTTCAGAACAATATTCCAATATAGGTCTGACGTAGGTGTTGAAAAATTTGAAACAGAAGAGCCGGAGATTTTTGTACGAAAAACAATGCAGAATTTGGTTGGATCTAAGCGTTGCAAGAGATACAATATTATTAATGTGCGGAGCAAGAGTGAGTTTCTCATCGATTAGTACACCAAGATCACGTACAACAGATTTATGAGGGATGGGAACTCCATTAATCAAATAAATAGTTTTAGGATTGCGAGGGCCCAGGTGAATAGCAAATGTTTTGTTAGCGGCAAGGGGCAAGCCCCAGGTAGATGACCATTCAAAAATAGAGTTTATACTATGTTGGAGAGATTCAGGGTTAGAACCGTAAATTTTAATGTCATCCGCAAATAGTGAGATGGAGGTTTCAGGGTCTATCAAGTTAACAATGTCGTTGATAAATATCAAGAAAAGCAAAGGCCCAGATACAGTACCTTGGAGGACACCAGACGTATTAGCATAATTAAAAGTAGATCGAGAACCATCAATGAGCACAGTAGAGCAACGATCAGACAGAAAGTTTTCATACCATCGAATAACGGTTTCATCAAGACCAAAACTTCGAAGCTTAAGAAGGAGCAAGGAATGGTTAACTTTATCGAATGCCTTAGCAAAATCAAAATAGATGACATCTACAAACCTTTTAGATGCAATAGAATTTTGCCACGAGGAAAGGCAAGATAGAAGGTTGAGTTTACAGGATCGTTTGTTTAAAAAGCCGAATTGCGAATCAGAAAAATAATGTAGAAAAATCTATGACGGATCATGTTACAGATAATTCTTTCACAAACGCGAGATAATGGATGTGTCAGGGAGATTGGTCTATAGTTAGAAGGGTCACATATTTTTCCACGTTTAAAAATAGGAATAACTGTAGTGGATTTCCAAGACGAGGGAATGGAACCGGAGTAATAAGATTCATTAAAGAGAATAGACAAAGGGATTGAAATAGATGTTGAACACCTTTTCAAAACAAGTTGATTGATTAGGTCAGGAGAAAACCCACATTTAGGGGGCAAAGCTGAGAGTGTCTTATAAACAAGATCGGGCGTGAAAATAATCGAGCAATTGATGGGTTTTCGAGAAGGAAAAATAGGGATCAGATCGTAACTTTCTTTAGAAAAGTTATCACTGAAGATTTGGGCGAAAACATCAGCTTTAGACGGACTATCAGAGATAAGAGAGATTTTTGATTTTTGTGAATTATTACTGAATTTACCTAGTTTCCGGATCAAAAACTCTATTCCTAAACAATTTTGAGACGCTGTAGAGCGGCCTTTTTTCGAAAAATCAAAAAATCTTCGTACCCCTGGCAGGACCGGGACGACGAGTGGCGCGGAAAGCACCGCGTCCGCGCGGCGGATAACCACCACGGGAAGATCCGCGGATCCCGTCGCGGTAGGAGGCAGGCGGCGTGCCGGACCTGGCCGACGGTCTTCCGCGGCTCGGCGTCAAGAGTCCACGGCCGCGTTTTGGCGGACGGGCGCTGGCGATCGTCGAAGCAGGCCGCTTGGCTGCACAAAATAATTTTCATAGTGTTTATTTTTTGTTTTAGTTGTCTTTGAATGATGAGAAGAAATCATATAAATGAGGAAAAAAATATCAGTAGCTATACTCCGAAAAACTTCAGAAAATAATCTTTCAGTAAGTTCAATTCATGAAATAGGACTTGAAGGAACTTCAATACACTTATTTTAATTTTTATTTCATTAACTATGATTTTTTACTTTTTTTTTTTACTCGAAGATCTACTTCACTATTCAAATTCCACCTCAAAATAGAGCCTACAAAATCTCGGAGAGCCCCAGAAAATAAACTTTGCGAATTTTCTCTAGTAAAATGAGGCCTAGAAGATGCCCTAAAAGACTATTATCAAAATCACTCCGTAAAGTACCAACTTTCCCATTTCTTCCTGATTTTTCTACTTAACTATCTTCATTTCCTATCAAATTGTCACCCAAAAAACCCACCAGCCGATCCAATATGCCTAGAGCTCGGTCCTTCGCTCTGCTTGCGGTCAAATCGCGTGACAAGGGACCCGAAGTGAGCTTCGACTGAAGAAAAACAAGGAATTCTATTATTTTATACACAAAATCGTACAATTTAAACCTATAAACTAGTATAAACGGAAGGCAGCTGGGCACACGTTCAAACTCAAACAAATTGAGGGGAAAAAAACACTGTGCAAATAGAAGCCTTTTCGACGTGCTGCCCACGTAATCGTTTGGGGTCAAAGAATGATAGAAATTCATTTTCTGGATGTTAACTCAAATTTTAGATTTTTCAAACTTTTTGGTAGCAATTCCGAAACCGATCCTCAGACCTTCAAAAAAAAAGTTACCAGTTAAATTTATAATTTAAAAAAAATTTCCATCGACAAAAACTTGATTTTTACCTCCTATCACTAAACAGAGGCTTTCTCCACTGGAGTACAAAAAAACTAAAAAAATTCGAACATTTTCGATAATAAATCCCTGAATTTTCTAGATAAAAAAATTAAAAACTTTTTTTCAGTGGCAGAACCTTTAAATTTAGCTTACTTTCCGATGATGAAAAATGTCTAAGTGACCCCAAAAAAATTACTACTAGCGATAACTGAATTTTCATCTTCCCCCAAATAAATAATGTTTTTTTAACACTAGAAATGCACCAAAAAAACTACTCATTTTGTCAATATTTATATCATATTTCAAATCCTTTGCCTCCAAGGCTTGGAAAAAGTTCCATCTGACCTTTTTTTGTATTATGAGAGTTGTCTTGAGACATGTATTCACCTCCTCGCATGAAAAACCGAGCATCTCTTCTCTTTTTTTCGGTTTAGCCGACTCTTCAGTTCCGTTCGCCTCGGGTTCCGTCGAAACCACCACAATCGACTTGGAAGCGTGTGCCGCGACGGCTTCTTCAACCGTCTCAAAAAGTCACGATCGCGCAGGGTTGACTGAAAAAAACAAACTTCTCAAAACTTCTAAAAAAAGTCAATAAATGAAAAACTTTTCCTCAATTATATTTTTGAAAAAAAGGAAAAAAATTATTTATGAACGTTAACTTGGAACGAAAAATATTCAAAAAAAGAGAAATCGATAAATGCGCCCATTTTTTTCCTCACTGAATAGTTTACGTCTTTTGACAGTTTTCTTAATCGATTTTTTTTCTAACTATCAAATAAGTATAAAAGTGAATGATCTACTTCAGCTCATCATTTTCCAGTTGGACATCGGTCACCGACTGGCTCGGGAACCAGGCACAAGCATCGTCCAAAGTTGGCTGAAAATGAATAATTATTACCAATGCTCCAATTTCTTTCAAACCTCATAACCAGCCGGCAGGACTTTGACAATCAATTGGAACATACGCGGCGTCGGTTTGATCAAATGGCCCAACTTCAGTTCCAACTCTTCCTTTCGCTTCACGGCCTTCGGTACTGAACACCAATTTCAATTTTTACGCACTACTTCGAAATTAAGAGCGTTTCTTTTTGTCTTCATCCTACAGAAATCTTTTTTGATCCGCTTAAAAGTTGGTTCACTTATTTCAGTTCGAATTTTAAAAATTGCCTCTTCCTACGTTGAAATAAGGAAACTCGATTTTGCAACCTTTTATTATGGACTTTTTATTAGCCATTTTTTTAAAAACTGAAAAACTTATTTTGAATTGATGAAACAGGAAAGTATGGAAATTCTTTTTATTTTTTTGAAATATCGTTTTAAATCAACTTTTTTTCATGTTATCAGGGCAAAAACATTTCGAAAGTTAAAAATTCGAAGAAATTGAACTTTTCAGGAGATATAACTGGAAAAATCACATTTTAAATCGTCAGATTAGAGTTTTCAGGCCAAAAAGGAGGCGAAATTGGAACCTTGTGGCAGGAAAATCTTGATCCGACGATGACTATCCGTACTGCGGAAATAAATCAGATGCTTGATGACCTCGCCGAGCAGTTGGCCATTGAAATCGTAGAGAAGGGTCAGCTTTCTGGAGGGAAAAATGATGAGAATGACCAAAAATGGACAACTAATGCTGCTTTTAAAGCAACTTCGCGAATTTTCCTAATGTCTCTGAATCTCTGAAATTTAGTTCGCTTCGTTCTTTTTTGGAGGTGATTTTAGAACGCAATTTATAAAGTTAATCAAATATAATAACTAAGCCCAAGATCCCTTAAATTGCCACTTTACTTTCAACTATGAACGAAACTGAATCATTTTTGATATTCTCAATACTCTTATAGACATTTTGGAACTGCCAGAATTGAGAAAGAAAAAATGTAAAAAAAAACCCTCAACAATTACTTAGTTATATTACATTCTTCAAAAACTAATTTCCTTAAATAATCGCAAAGAAACACTAAAATTGAGTAAAACTAAGAAATTAGATACTGATACCGAGAGGAGATAAATTCCCTATTTCCTTCAACAGTTTCAAGGAAAAAAATACTTCGAATAATTCTATGAATACATGGAAAAAATTGGAAGAAACTCTTGGATCGAAATTTGAGAAGGTTTTGAAACTGGAAACACACTTGCGATCATGATTTTTATCATTATCGGTAATTTCTTCAAAGTTATTCAAACCAATTCAAGATAAAACTATAAAACGGCCAGTTCGCAACTTCAAAGTTGAAATTTTTTCGCCAAAAATTCCCTTGATAGCTCTTCAAATCAAAACAAAACTAATGGAGTCAAGCAAAAAAACGCGAATATTTTCTAATAAATTATCAATGAAATCCTCGAGAAGATCCCCAAAGATGCAAAATAATTGAGTTTCACTCTTCGAATCGCCCTTTTTTCGGCCCGAAAGTTTTTTTTTTCAATGATTATACTATCCCGATGTTGCAAAAATGAACTGATTCCTTTGAAATTCCTACTTTTTGACTCTTTGAAAATTCTTAAAGTCAAAAAAATCGACTAAAACCGAATATTTTCTAACATAAAAGCTCAAGAAGTTCCCCAACAACCCAAAAATCGATAATTACCCGTAAAAGGGCCGAGTCCCGTCCAAATTATAGCGCATCGGGAACTGAATGTCGACGTTTTCCGCCTTGATCATGGCCCGGTAGATGAACACGTCCCGAAGATCGCCCCATTGGACGTTCTCGATGATCAGCCGACGTGTGTCCGCATAATCAGAGGGAACTGAACAAAAATCACAATTCTCCTCATTTTTCTCAGAAAAAAGGACCTCTCCACTGGAATTCCGGGGCTCCTTCCCAGCTGACGACAAACGGCGCATTGTCGTCCTCGTCAATATACACCTGATTTTTATTTTGATAATCGAAACCTCGAAAAGGAGTCTCATTACCTTCTTTTTCTTCTTCTCCGCTTCTTCAGTCTTTACTGATTCTTTCTTGGAATCTTCTTCTAAAAAAATAAAACACTTCGAATAGAAAATTGTCTTTTTCCTTCAAGTTTTCTAGATCCTCAAAGGATTTTTCTGAACTAACCGTTCCACTTAAGAATTCCTGTCAAAAGAAAAACGTAAAAAGTGCAATAATACTAAATCAAGGGCATTTTTGGACGTTTCAAAATTTCTACCACAACTTGAGATTACTTAAAGCTAATCTTTTTAGAAAAAAATACAGCAAAAATTTTTAAGATCCCTGATTTTGACTTGGAAAAAGCTTCAAATAGTTCAAGAAATTTCTGATTTGCCTTTTTAGAAAAAAATTATTGCAAAGAAAATATCTAAGATATTCGCCTTTATCTTCGAATTAATTTTTTTAAAAAAATACGGATTCTTTTTGAAGTTTATAAATATCCTTCCAAAGTGACTATAGGCCAACTTCGAAAAAATTGTGCTTTTAAAACCTCCCAAGCACTTCACAGGCTGAAAAATCTAGCCGAACTGAACATTTTATAGATAATCTGAAACTAAGCTCTTTATCGACCTGTGAAAGGTCTAAAGCTTCAAATTGCTTTTTTTTTTATCTTCCAAATTTAATTGGAGATAACTTGGTTCCGAGCTACATAAATCTCCACCAAAAAGAGGTCTTCACCTCGATTCGTTCCTGTTATTCAAATCCTTGAGAATAGTTCAAGCTTACTTGAGCTTATTCCCTTAATTTTCACCCATAAGCTTTTTTTTGCAAAGCTTTCGTGTTTGACAGCCTTTCGACCCAATCCAATCATAAAAAGATGCACCTTGGTCAACCTGTTCCTTGGGTTCCTCCTCTTTCTCGTGCTCCTCCTCCTCCTCGCCGAGCTCGTCTTCACCGACCTCGTCGGCCATTTCGAAGCCGGCATCTTCATCGTCTCCGCTGTGCTCCTCCTCGTCCTCTTGAAGGAGTTCGTCCTCATGGACGTGATCCTCCTCCACGACGGGCTCTTCCTCCTCCTCCTCGTCGGCCAGATACTCGTGCTCCGTGGCGGCCTCCTCCCGCTCTTCCTCCGCCGATTCCTCTTTGATTTTGAGGAATTCTTCGGGGATCTTCTCGATGCCGTCAACGTGGAACGTCGACTCTTCCGCGTGTTTCTTCTGCGCAAAAACCCGGTGTTTGTGCACCCGGTTTTTGAACGAGACGATTGCACGCAACGCGTTCTCCTGCAATTCTTTCGGATTTGATTTCGGGATCTTTTTTCTTCTGCCAGATCTCCAGATTTTTTAAACAATTCAGCTAGCGAGAAGAGCAGGGAAACCATCACCTCCAAATTTTTTTCTAGCTTTTTCATCCTCAAAGATCAACATTGAGCTACTTCAAGCTGCTTATCCTTCTATACTGTGATATTTTTCTTGTTTTAAGCCGCTTTTCATGTTTGTTTCAATCAATATCGAGGAGCACAGAAGAACTTAAAAATGAACGAGCGAGGCACGACGCACAAAAAAACATTTTCATCAACCAAATAATATGGTAAATTGTCATAATAGTTTTCTTTTCGAAATTCACCCAATAATAAAATCCATGCAATGTTTTCCCTTGAGAGTCTTCATAACTGATTCTCGATTGAAGTTCAGAAAAGAGTAGAATTTCTCTTTTCTGAACTTTTTTCCATTTAAATGAATATCTCGTATTTTTACATTTTCGGACATCTCAGAAAGGCCGCATTTTTCAGATTTTCCATATACGGTCTTGTTGCATGTGACAATTTTTTCGTGAAGTCCAGTGAAAATAACCTCGGAGCTTTTCTTATGTAACGACTATCGTTATGGATAGAGCTCGATTTTTTTCGAGATATTTTTTTGACTTGTGAATTTATTTTCTTTCAAATATTCGCTATTCTCCACCAAATAAATCCCTGTCTTCACAATATAGTGAAATTAAAGCTTATTCGGAAAAAAATGAAAAATATTATTAAATTGATAGAGTCTTTTCCAGGCTTCTCAATCAATACTATGAGTTGGTCGTTTCCAACTAATAATCATTCCATGAGAATGCGCTTTTTACTGCGAAATCCATTTACTCAAACTTTTGAGCCTCGGATCCTGTAATCCTCATACACATGAGAAGTACATTTCTGGAAAATGGGTTAGATCATAAAGTTTAGATCGAAGATAAAATAAAAGGCTTCAAGTGAAGCTATTACCGAAAAAAAAATCAAATTCACTTGGATTTCTTTTTTTTCTACCCAGGATGTGTAAGAAACCTCTGTGACTACTTTTCTACTTCTTGGTAGAGGATTTTAAAGCTTCTTTCTACTTTGAAGCTTTGAACAGCCCGAAATCCAATTTCTTTCTCTCAAAAAAGTTTCAACTGTTTTCAAAACTTTTCCAAACTGATGAAATCTGTAAAAAAAAAATCGAAAAAAACCTGAGTAGCAGCGTCTTTCTGCAGCGAAGGAATGCGAATGATCTGAAAACAACGCAGAATGTTTTGAAACGGCAAATTGAACGTGCCGCGTCAATCACATCCGGCTGAATTTTGAAAGTTTCGGCGAGCAAATCGACGATACAGTCGCGGAAAATGTCGTAGGAGTCGTTGAGAAACGAGGATGGCAGAGAAGAAACGATCAGGCATCTTGAAACAGAAAATGTTTCCAAAGGTATACGAAAACAAATAGGGTGAAGTCCAATAGGAAAAAGAAACTGAATAGCTCAAAAACTATTCTTTTTCTAATTCAAACAAAGCATTTCATATTCAACCGTTAATAATACCCCAAGCCAACAGAGCACTACAAGATTTCGCTATATGAATTCAACAAATGAAGCAAAAATTAATCAGTGAGATTTTTTTCCTTATAAGTAAAGATTTTTAAAGTTCAAAAAAAGAGCCCCTATTTAAAACGTAAAAAAATCCTACAAAAACAATAAAATGCTCATCAAACCCTTATTTTTTTCTATTTGAAAAAAATGAATTTATTTTCAACAGTTAAAAAAATCCCAGTAGCCAAAAAAACCGATAACTGAAGATAGAATTTAAAAAAATGAAGCAAAAAAGCTTTTAAAAATATTTCTAGAGTGAAAAAAATATTTCATATTAAAAAACGCTCTTATTCTAAAGGTACATAATTTCAATAAACAGTGGAACTGATACAAAAACAGTGCAGAAAAAACAAAAAAAGTAAAAAAACTTCACCGATTTTATGCTTATCAGTTTTCTTTTTCAAGGACTTTCGACTTCAAATATTACTTTTACTCACATTCAGCTTATTTCTACGTACCTGAATCATGAAAATAACGGGAAAACTCAACTTTTCAAGTCATTAACACCCCTAAAAACATTTTTTAAAAAGCTACCTTGTCAAATCCAAATTACTCGGGTTCCCTCCATGGTTCTCATAGATCAGATCGACTTTGTCTCCCTTGATCTGAAAAAAAAAATGAAGATTAAAAATTCCAAAAAACATTTCGGCACCTCTTCAGGAGCAGTAGCGATGTCTTGACCTTCAACGTTTGAGGCTTCGGTCATTCTGAAGAAAGTTTTATTGAATACGAAAAACCTGATAGAACGCGATCGGGAAAAGCACGAGAAAAAGCACAAAAAAAATAATCTAGTTCGGCTTGAACCACATTGAAAAACCGGTAAAAATGTTCTATTATCATCTAAAAATAGACCAAATTTCTTGAATTGGAGTCCCTACAAGTTATACGAGCTCTAGAAAAGGAAAAACAAGTTAAAAAGACTTGAAATGCAAGTTCGAAAAAAACGGACCAAAACGACAAAAAGTAGAATTTCTCCAACTTGAAGCTATTTATTTTAAAAAAATAGCAAAAACCTTGATTATCGTCAACGAGGTTTCAAAATAAACTTTACGATAAAAAAATAAACGCTTCGACAAGTTTAGTGTGCACTGGTTGATGAAAAACGTTCTTAAAAAACGAAACAAGTTTGAAAAAAAGAGAATGGCTTTGATTTGCTTTCATAAGCCTGATAATCAACTTAAACACGATTTATTTCAGAATAGACGTGATTCTAAAGAGTTAATAAGCTTTGGACAATAGAAAATAGCTGCTGAGGCTTAATACCAAGTTAAAAGAACGCAAAAAATGCTCAAGTTTGTTTTGAATCATGTCTACTGAGAAACTCAATGACAGTAATTTGTTAATTAGAAGCCTTTCAAGACGATTAATGAGCTTTGATCGATGAAAAAGGAAGAATAGACGCAAGAAATGACGCAAGGAAACGGAAGGAGGACTTGCCGGCGGCTTGCACAGAGTCCACGCCAATCTTAGCTGTTAGCGCAAACTTTGTGCTAAATTTTATCGAGTTTTATTTTATATTTGAGAAGTTACAAGAACTAAAACGTTGATGAGATGATTGTAACATAGACGCAGTTTTTGAGGTGAAGATAATCAGGAAAATACTCACAAAGTATCATGCCTTTTTAAAGACAGGTAATCACAAAAAAGCAAAGACGTTGCTTTTACCATTAATTTTGCTAGGTTTTTAAGGAAAAAGAAACCAAATGTTTCAAATGGATGTTCCAACCGAACTTCAGAGAGAATGAGTTTGTTCCCACCGAAGTCTTGAACGAATCGAGATTTCAAGTGGAAAATAGAACGAGTTCCACTGGACGTGTCGAAATTGGCCATTGTGCCTCTCGAAGAATGAAATGAAATTGAGATTTTTAAAATTCTAGCCCAAGTTATGATAAAAATCTGAAGAAGTTTGATTATATCAAAAATTTCCGATGGGCCGCAGTATTTTTTTCCATAGCAGCTGTTGTCATTGGCGCGTCATTCTGATAAAGCTATTTTGTTCAAAAATTAGATGAATTATACTCGAAAAAAATAGGCTGAAAAAAATAATATTACCTAATTTCAAGCAGACCTAATTATACTGGAAATTTGACCTGTGGTTTTCATAATTTCTTTTGAAACGTCGCGGTAGCGCTGCGGTTAACATTCAAATGCTATTGCAGCGGAAGTCGTTTTTGGTCGGGCTCAACTACAAATAACCGCGTCGAAGCCGCAACGCACCGATTCATTCCAATGTGACCAACTTACAATACAATACAATATTTATTGGTTGTTTTAGTCAGATGGTATCGACTAAAAACTTATTAGAACTTATGATGAATCAACTTCCTAATTATAGTTGATATAAGTGAAAGGATAAGAATAAAAACAGTTAATTAGAAGAATAATTATAATTAGAACTGATGAAGATGCCAAAATGGCCGTGCCATTGTATTCCGATGGCCTGATCGATCACATCCGAAACAGGTTTCCCAATGGATCCCAGGGATCCGCTCGAAAACTGTGGGCGGAGATCCCCACGTCGTCGAAAAAGAGAAGCCGTCTCCTCTTCTTGTATGTTTGGCCATGAAAATTCTAGCTTCTCCCCTTTTGTGTTTCATTGATTTCATTCACTTTTAAAAGTTTTTTGTCCTTTTTTGAACTTTTCAGCGTAAACTAATAGACTTAAAGTTTTCAAACTGTTCATACTGTCACTTTTCTCTGGCTGGGTATTCCAATTTTTGATTTTCTCTTCTGTAAAAATGTTATTTTTCTTCCTTTTTTGGTTAATATATACTCCTTAAAAAGTATTCTTGAGAAGGAAATTGGAATTTTTCTATCAGAACTCAGCGAAAATCGTTTTCATTTGAAAAAGTGAGGCATTTTTATTTTTGGGCCGTCTTCTTGATCTAATATAAGGAAATTTGTTTCATCATGGTCAATTATTTAATATATTTTTTTCAGGTTTAAAAATCGCCCTAACTAGAAATTTTGAAAGTATCAGCTTAAAAACTGTATTTTTAAAATAAATTTAAAAAATTATCTTAGAATTTTTTTCTGCTGGAATCCTCTTCGAACATCCTGCTCTTCATCGTGTTTCCCATCGATTTCTGTCATTTGTGGAGAATTTCCTAGCCTTTTCTCATATTTTAAAAACATATTCTGAAGCTCGATATTCATTTAAAAAAATAACTATTAGAGTATGAACTATAACTTTTTTTAGTGAAAAACCTTGAAAAATTCTCGTGAAAAATTTCATCATTTCTTGTTTCGTTTCAACACTAAAATATGCTCCGAAGCCATCAGCCCAATTTATTTTCATTGTAAAATTCCTCCTTGCTCTTTTTTTTTGATAAATATTTTCAGCGGAACGGGAAAAAAAAATTGGAAATCTCGATAAATGCGCTGTTTGAAGTGCCAAACGCATGTCTGCAAGCGGCATAACTCCTATCGACTCATTACCAGGTTTTTAAAGACCGATTACAGTCAAAAATGTCAATTTGATTGAATTTTCAATTTTTTTAGCCTTTTAATGAGAGATTTTCTCAAAAATCGTTTAAAAAAAGGACGATTTCCAGAGATCGACTGCACAAAACAATGTGGCTGAACGACTACGTTATCAAACACTACAGACCCACTAAAATGTCACCTTGGATGTGTATTTGCAGGTAAATATTATGAATTATGACTCATAATATTTATTCAAGTTTCTGGCTTGGCGAACTCAGATTTTTCATAGGTGACTATCTGCAAGTTCAAGAAAATACTTAAACTAGCCACTATTATGATATAAATAGGGTCCGCAAGCCATTTCTTCAAAACGATCCAAAAAATATGCTTTTTACACTATTCGATAGAGGAGACCGTCCATTTTCATAATCCGTTCAGTTTTAGAAAAAAGCTCCACTAAGAAAAAAGTTATGGCCAAAAAACGAGCTCGCGCGGCGTTCAACTGGAGGCAAAATCTCACGGTTTACCCGCTGCCGCACGCTTTCTTTTTAAATGTTTTTGCGCATTTCTGAACCGTTTTCGAATCGGTTTTTTGTTCTGAGAGGTTGTCCGAAACTGAGCTTAACGTTTTGGCATAAGTCTTTTTGTACAATCCTCATAAGAATTTTTTTGATAAAATATCAAAAAAACTACTTAGAAAAAAAGGTCAGAAGGAATTTTTCAGCTTATTTTTTTCTTTTTTTCTAATCAGAAAAAAATTATTATCATTTGGTTTGGAAAAAAAGAAAAAAATGAAAAAAATAATGTTATTTCGAAATAAAACAGGAAAATGTGTAATTTGACTCCAAAAAACGGCTCCTGCAACATTTAAAAGTGCGCATCGGTGTGTTTGACGCAAACACAGCTACGAATGCTTGCACGATTTCTTCCAAAATTTCAAAAAAATTGCCATTTTTTCGAGGTTTTCAAAGCCGTTATTTTTTTCGCGTCGTTTGATTTTTTTCATAATTTTTTCATTGATAGAGTTTTGAACGCTTAATAACATAAACAAAAGTATAGACGCGATCCTATTCTCTCATGCGTCAACGAGGCAGACGAAAAAAGGAGGTTTTGGTAAAATCCAAATATAATTTGATTCACTGTCCCAATAATTATTTTCATTTTGAATTTTTGTTTGTGAGCACATTTTGAGTTTTTAATTCAAATAAAAAAAGTATACCATGTCGCTGAAATTTTTTTCGTATTTCAGCTTCAAAGTTTGGTGTCACTTTACAAGCTTCGATTTTTCGCGTCGTTAGTTTTTTTAAATTTTTTTATTCAAAAAAATAAAAGAAAGTGTTAATGTATAACATACTCAAAAATTCGGAAGCGTTCCTCACTTGGTTTTCAGAAACGCGACGATTTTTGTGAAACTTGTCAGTTTTTTTCGTGTTAAATGTTACTTTTTTTCGCTTATTTTTTTGAAAAAAATACATAGTTTTAAAAAAACATTCAGTCTTGTAGAGCGTTGTCGATTACATAGATTAACAGAAACAGTTTATTTTGAAAGTGGAACTTTAGCTAGTATAAACGCCTCAAAACCGTTTTTGCAACAAAAAAATCGTCATTTTGGTGGCGTGAAGGGGCGGGGCTTTGCGCCCCCTACCTAGACTCCTAGACGGACCACTATACATCACCAGGATTCAGAAGCTCCGGTTTTCGTTGTGGAGATCCGGGCAATGAAAAAATCGGATGTTTCTGGGCGATTCTAGGGATCACTTAAGAGCTCTGACGCTATTATAGGGGCCACTATAAATGCTCCGACATGTCCGATTCGCGTCAGTTCTGCGTTACCAAAGTCAATAAAGAAGTAGTTCGCTAGAGCGCACTTGTCTTACTTTTTAAGCCATAACCCCTAATTTAATTCAACTTTTTCGAAATTCAGTGCATTCCACTGGACGAACGAAACGGTGAACATCTGGAGCCACCTCCTCGGATTCATCTACTTCTCCTATCTTCAGTACCACACCAGTCTTCAGGTCCTACCCTCCATCGGTGGTCATTTTTCTGACCATCTTGTCGTTTTCTTGTCTCTTTTAGGGAGTCAGGTAACTTCATAGTATCCTCAAAAACTTTCTAGAACTATTTTTATTTAGATGTGTATGTTATTATCCGCATCGTATCACACATTCGGATGTACGAGTCCAGAAAGTCGAAGAAAATGGCTCAAATTGGACATTTTCGGCATTTCGGCCGGACTTTTGGGCATGTACTTGAGCGGCATCTATACCGCCTTCTTCTGCTTTCAGGTAAGTCTAAATTGAAAAACAGTATGAAAAAAAAGACAGAAAAATCATCAAATACGTCCTGAATTCGCTTGAAAAATAAAAAAGAAACTTTTTTTCAGGATCATCTGAACACCTACGCCTACCTGTTACTTTTGATATTTGTCATTACGGCCTACGTTCCTACGCGACAAGATTTCTTCGAAAAGAAAGTCGCAGGTTTGACTTTTGAGAATTTTTTTCTACTTACAAGTAAAATGGATACTTACTTCTTTAGAATTTTTTTAAAAATTTATTAATTCGAAAAAAATTATTTTTTTCGGTTAATTGAGAACGCAAAAAAACTGGAAAAAGACGATGAAAAAAAGCCTTAGAAAAAGTTAAACATGTTTCTTCAGTTAAATTTTTTTAAAAGCCAGGTCGGGCAAACAACTGATAGCTTTTTTTTACGATTCATCCTGCTCAATTTGTGCCAATTTGCACCAGACCCATTCCAAATGCGACTTATTACTGTAAAATTCAAACTTCAAAAATTCTTCGTTTCCTGAGAATATTCACCCATTTTCTTTCCAAAAAGTGTGGCTGTGCTCTGTTGATCTTTTAGCGAACATTTTCATTCTTCCATGAGTGAGAGAGAAGGAGAGCGCAGAGAGTCAGACTCTTTCAGGCTTTTCAAAAATGCTCCTAATTCCACCTTTTGATCCTCTGACCGTGCCAGGACCTTCCTTTAAAAAATCTCAAGATTCTTAAAGTTTAGGATAAACTAGCGACCTCATCTCATAATTCAAAAGCTGCATGAGAATTTTCAAAATTTCACTTTCAATGAGATTTTTGCTGAGTTAATTTTTTTATTTTTTATTTTTAGAAGACCTCAACCAGTCAAGCTCACTCTTTCGGCATTCCGAAGACCATTTCTTGGAAAATCATTGGATTTTCACCAGTTTAGGCTCGCGGATCGGACTCCTCCACGTCATCTACTGCGTTATCATCACATTTGGCATCTGTCCAACGATTCATTGGGTTTTCCTGCACGGCGGCTTCGGCAACGCTCACGTCACCGTGAGTTTGACTGACCCAGTTGCCTCGAACCTCTTCGTCGCGCCCTCATTCTTCTCCTTCTCACTTGCAAATCTCAGAGAATCGAACAATATGATCGTGAAATCGAGCGCCTCATTAAATAACACATTTTTTTTTTGAAAATAGGACAAAATGTCGTCGCGAGACGTGAAGTTTGGTACCATAAAAAGTCAATATTTAGTTTCTTCCTTCAATTTATCAATCTTAACTCGGAACTTGGTTACGCGAACGGGATGCGAATTGGACGTTTCGGGGCATTTCTAGTGACCACTTTAGTAGCCTCAGCACTTTTAAGTGATCCCTAGAATCACCCAAAAACGTCCGGAGCACGTCCGTTTCGCGTTACCAATGTCCTAGGTCAATTATTCAAAAAATCGCAGTTTTTGGAAAAAGTCAACTTGAGGCTTTGGAGCGTCTTCTGCGCTCTGATGAGAATTTTATATCATTTTATTTTCTAACGCCAGATTTGTTCTAAAAAGCAATCGTGTACTCTGATGAGGATTTCATATTTTTCCATTTTTTCAACCCGAAGTAGAATTATTTTTGCTAGTGAAACCTGAAGGCTATTTTAGATGTATTTTGTGCGCTCTGATGCGAATTTTTTTTTCAAAGTTGGGATATAATTTTAACTCATTTTTAACGTAGCCAATGTCCGAGAACTCAATTCGAATTGCAAGAGTTGCCCTGGAGCGTAAGGCTACCCACAAAAAAATGAAATAAATTTTAAAAAACATCAAAAATTTTGTGATTTTTCCCACTTCACTTGTAACCAAGTCCATGCCATTTATTCTATTTTCAAAATCAAAAACTCGAATCTGAATTCCAGAAATGGATCCCAAGCATTTTCGTTCTCTACGGACTGATGGCCAGCGCATTTTTCTTCTACGTCAGTATGGTTCCTGAGCGAATTTGGCCAGGTTGGTCTTTTTTTTCCTTTTCCTTCGGGAGATCCAATCCTTCCAATCCTAAAAAAGACATTTGAAAATTAGAATTATTTTACAAATATATTCAGTTTAAACTTCTATGAGTGAAAGACTAATACAGCATCAGAAAGTTGTTGCGAAACATATCTTTGAACAAATTTCAGGCTTAAAAACGAAGATTTTTCAATATTTCTAATTCGGGCCAAATTAAAGATTTTCTCGTTATTCAGTAAGCTTTTTCTAGTGGGACATTTTGAAAAAGTTTGGAGCTCTCAGAAATCTTCAGGTTGAACAAAAATCGAGATAAATGATGTTACCATATTTATGACGCAGACTACAATTTCTCCACTTTCTATACATATTAACTCTCTAATACATAACCATTTAATTATGTTCGATTTTCCCTTACAGAAATCATTAATAACTTCTCCTTCCAGGCCGATTCGACGTCGTCGGCTGCTCCCATCAATGGTGGCATCTGCTGATTCTGGGCGCCATGGTATACTGGCAGACGGCGGGGCTCAATCTCCTCACCGAGTACCGTATCGTTCAAGACTCCTGTCACCGTAACCTCAATCCCACTCCTCCCAGTATGCCTGCAAATCTCACAGCTGCTTTGAGGTCTTAGACCGCGACGCGACTGCAGCGCTCCTAAAGATACTCATTTTCCTTTGTTTTCTTGAATTTTAGCTCAACTATTCTATAGAAATAGAGGTTGTTGAGCTAACTCGAGAAATTTTTCTCTCGATTTTTTTTTTGTCTTTATTCTCAGGCTCTAATGGATTTTTCTCAAACTTTGAAGCCGCATTTGGAATGGCTAGAAACGTCAAGGTCACGCGTAAGTCGTTTCAAAGTCAGGAGACGTTTGAGCCTTTCAAAATCCGACCATAGTGATGAAAAATAGGAACGGTCGCATTTGGAATGACTCAAAATATTATGAGTAGACTTTTCAGTTGCACTAAGCGCAAGTCGTTTCAAAGTCGGGCGCTTGAACCATTCCAAATGCGACTTTTTTCAGAAAGTTTTCCTTTATCTACTTGAAACGGCTCAATGAGTAGTATATTTAAATGTCCTTTTCCTCCACATTTTTATCACTTTGATTTCTTTGTGGTCGCATTTCGAATGGCTCAGAAACCGAGCCTATCCTAATGCGACCCTTTGTTGATTTTCTTCACAATTATTTCACGTTGATCTCATTTTTCCGGCAATTTTTATAACTTTTATGGCGAATAAACTCAGCAAACTGAAAAATAATGACAAGAACGGGGATACGCGTACATTTGTGATCAAACCAAAATAAAAGGTTGTTCTTATTTTTAAGTGATATATTATCAAACTTTGTTCTTTTCTATACAAGGGTGCAGGTGTGCGAAAAGGCCAAGAAATGAAAAAATAAATGAAAATAGAAGTTTCGGGGATCTCAGAGGCGATTCAAGTGGGCGCCAGCGGTTGGAAAGTGAGGAATCTGAACTTTTTTCGTTATAAAGGAAAAACTCTGGAATTTTTTCTACAGTACTATACAGTAACCCCTCGAGAATTTTACATTTTTCAACGTGTCGACGAGGCGAAGCGATTTGCTGGCAATGTCCTTGTTGCTGTGCTGGGCCAGGAATTTCGCCTGCGTTTCCAGTTCTTCCCGATTTTTCAGCCCAAATATGGAGTAGTACAAGGTGTGAGCTGGGTTGTGGAACGGGTCCTGAAGCGATTTTGTTGAATTATGGTACTTTTGGAAGTTTCGTGGTCTAAAATGTAATACTTCAGCGTTCTACTGAACATAGGAAACGTTGGAACAACCCTTTAAGCATCTGTTATGGATGCGATGGTTTCCATTAGTTGTTCCAAAAGGTTTCCATTTTACTGCCTTTTTCCGTCCTTTCATCGGCCTTCATACACCCTTTTGAGAAACAAAAAATTTTTTTAAAGGATAGTCTTTACGAGTGACTGTGTATGTACCAAACTGTGTTACAGTGATAAAATCGGAATCATCAAATGACCGAGGCTGTCTTCACCCTTTTTTTTTGAGGCTTTTAGTCCACCAAGAAAGAAAGGCTCAAAAAAGGCCCAAGAACGGAAACATTTTAACGACCATTTTGCACCCTTTTCCGCACTTCCCACTTTGGCAGTGAATATGAGTCCAGAACAATTTTATTGATGAAATTTCAACTTTCACTGTAAATTTTCGACGCGATAAAACAATGATACCGGTTTCGGTAGAAATAGAAAATAGGGTTTTGGATTTTTACTACGCTTTCCAGAAAAATGCCTTCCATAACTTTACCAGGGAACGTTTTTTACCCCCTGGTTGAACTTTTGCTGAAACTTTGCTGGAGCGTACTTTAGGACCCCCTGATTGCAGAACAAGAAAAAAATTTCTCGCAATAGATCTTGTTTCCGAGTTATGGAGCTTCGAAGTGTGCAAAATACGCAAATTGGGCCAAAAAAGCGCTATTTCGGGCTTTTGAAGTGTCCTAAATCGAAAACGAGATCTATTGCGAAAAATTTTCTTTGATTAAATTATCAATGATACAAAGTTTATCATCACTCGATGCGCGATCCGAAATCTTTAAATTTCATTTTTAGACAGAAAATTGCAAAAATTGACAAAATTTTGAGCGCTTCGCAGAAAGTGACGCGGTTTACCTACAGTTTTCATTTTGGTTCAAAAGTTTTTCTCTTATGCCGTGTTCAAAGTAATTCCCAAAATTATCTCTGACTCTCCAAAGAGGCGCGCCGTAGCTCAACAGGTTGTGGGCCTGTCTACGGTCCACAGGGTCACAAGTTCGACCCAACCAAGGGGTTTCATAAATGTTGGTAGTGGGAAACCACGACCTCAAAAATGCCCAGCCGTCACACAAAAAGACGGATCGAATTTTTTGGAATCACTTCGAACATGATATCAAACCAAACTTTCTTCACGAGTTACCTGATTATGCTGCGCCACTCTGTCATAAGTGAGATGAAGTTCGTCGACAGCAGAAGACGTGCAGAGAAGCCAGGTGACGGCTCTCAGAAGCACCTCTTCTCGGTCCGTATCAAGGATCCTCAGGAGACCCGAAACTGCCTGAATAGAAGAGAATATATTACTTTCATTAACTATTCGAGTGATTTATCGAATATTTTTCATCTTTCATAATTCACACATTCTCATTCTCCAAAAACATAGCCTTTTTTACGCTTGTTAGGGCGATTTCTTTCGGGTTTCATGTCCTTTGAAAATTCTTTCCCTGCGAATTCAGGAAAAAACCTTCTTTTCAAATTCCAAATTTTTTTCAATTAATTGGGGCCCAAATACACAAGACAGATAGCTCGGAACCGAAAAAAAAAATCGTAGAAATTTCAAAATGAAAATTATTAAACGCTCCCTAATTTTCCCAAGAACCACTTTTTCATTCCCCTTCTTGTGTTATTCTTTCACATTTCGGCCATACTCTCGACTTCCCAGCCTCCATTTCAAAAAAGGACCTTTGATCCGAGCATGAAGGGCACCAGGTCGGGACAACAGGAAATGTTGACGAGAAGCCTCAAGGCGTTGAGGTTGACCTCGCCACGGACCCAGAGCCTTGCCAAACAGTGCGGGATGGCTGGCAGGAACTGCGGGATCTGTAAATGAGAGAGGTTTCCGAAGAGAATCATGTAAAATCCAAAAAAAAAAATATTTGAAAGCGATGGTATGATATAGAGCCGTTAATTTCCAATCCAACACGGGAAGTGCAAAAGGTCGAGGTATTGGAATTTAATGAGACGTAGTATATAGGTTCTTTCGGACATCCTTAATCCAAAGAAGTTGAAAAAAAGTGAGCCTTTTTGGTTCTGGTCGAGTTATGGCGCCTCAAAGTTTGCACGCAAAAAATGCATGGTAAGGGAGAAGGGAATGTGTTGCGGCGGCGAACTCTAGCTGCCAGCAGGCAGCGTGGTGTAGTGGCTAGCGGCCTAGCGCTATGGAACCTATGCAGGTTCGAATCCTTTTTGGTGCAATTTATTTTTGCCATTTTTTTTTCTTGGAAAAAATAAGGAATTTTTGAAGCAGGAATAAAAATAAGCGCTCAAAACTTTAAAATTCACTATTTTTTTTGAACAAAACTTTCGACAAAATTTTTTTTGTTTCACATTTTTTTATATGGTCAGTATAGTCGTCATAATTAAACTTCGAGCCGTTTGGAATTTTTTGTATCAAACGTTGATTTTGAAAAATAAATTTCTTAAATTTTTAAGTTCATCCAAAGATGAAGTAGTTAAACGGTCGACTGTTGAGCATGTTTGAAACCAGGTCATCTGTAGAAAAAAGATTGTATGGACGTTCAATTAAACGGTTCCAATTGACGACTATGTCAGGAGACCCCTTCCTTGAAAAACTCAAATAAATAAAAAGTTAAAAATTAGATTCAATTTTTTTTTTCTTCTCTTTTCTCCGATGAACTTTTGAGAAAAAATTTTTACTATCTATTGAAGCCCATTGAGCTTGAACGAGAAAGGCGAAAAAAAACTTTGTCCAGAATTTTTCTCAAAACGAAGTAAATTAGTGAATTTTAAAGTTTTGAGCGCTTATTTTTATTCCATCTTCAAAAATTCCTTATTTTTTCGCAGAAAAAAAAATAGCAAAAAAAATTGCACCAAAAAGAATTCGAACCTGCATAGGTTCCATAGCGCTAGGCCGCTAGCCACTACACCACGCTGCCTGCTGGCAGCTAGAGTTCGCCGCCGCAACACATTCCCTTCTCCCTTCCCATGCATTTTTTGCGTGCAAACTTTGAGGCGCCATAACTCGACCAGAACCAAAAAGGCGCACTTTTTTTTTCAACTTCTTTGGATTCAGGATGTCCTAAAGTACCTATATACCAAGTCTCATCAAATTTCAATACCTCGACCTTTTGCACTTCCCGTGTAAGAAAACAATTTGAGAAATTTTGACCTTTCAAAAAAAATAAGCGACTGAATTTTTCGAAAAACTAAAATAGAAGCGATCATCTTCAAAATCCTCTTGAACAACTACAGAAAGTGTCAGGAAGATTTACGTCCACAAAAAATTCTATAAAAGTAGGGCATTTTTTGTATCTGAAGCAACTGCAACTCGGGCCGCAGCGCAACCGCAACGCGTTCAATCATTCCAGCCGGAAAAATTTTGTTGTCCGTTTTTTTTCTAATTTTCAAAACAATGACGGTTTGATTTTCTGCAGGAAACGCGAATTTAGACGCACTTTTCGTTCTTTGATGATTTAAAGACCGTTTTTTCATGGTGAGGAATTTCGATTTAGTGTTCTAATCTTACTGGGAAAATTTTTAGTGGCCTCTAAAGGGTTTTGAAGTTTTAGTGGCCACTATAGTAGTCAAATTAGTGGCCACTATAGAGTATTGCAGTTGTCACTAATGAACAAAATAGTAGCCACTATAGAGGTGGTTCTAGTGGCCACAAAGTCCTCTTCATGTAGTTCTTGGGGAGCCTCTATAGTGGCCACTAAAAGTTTTCCCAGTACCTGGGAATGAATTCATTTAATAAAGGAAAACTTGAAAATCGACCAGATAAAATACAGAAAAGTCAAAATGAACTAAACCTGATCCTTGGAAATATTAATCGACAGGTTGGTCAAGGCCTGAAGAGCCACGACGACCTCCATCTCATCGGGGGAGTTCAACCGTTGGACGACCTGCGGCAGAGCCTCGCGCATCGTTTTCTGAATCTAAAAAAGTTATTTTAAAGGCGCATACCTGGCGAAAATATAAACTAACCTGATTATCGCTGGAAACCGCCATGTTAGCGATACACTGGAGTAAGATGACACGGGTTGCCCTCGGCCAATGTCTCGAGTCGGCCAACATCTCCACGGCACGGTCCGTTAGCCGCAGTTCTCTCATCAAGGCCTGATATTTTTTTGATAAATGAATTTGAAAAAAATCGTCTTCATGAAAAATTCAAATCGACATGATAACACGATTAGAAATACGAAAAAAAGGTTCAATCTAAATTTAAAAAAAGGGCTAAGGCCCTTCATTAAGAAAAGTCTCTTTTTTTAGCCATTTCAGATCTTTTCAGACGCAGCTGTCAGATTTAATTGATTTTTTTATTGTTTATTCGTTCTTTTTGTACAGACTCCGAAACGGCGAATAAAGATTTGAAAATGAAAAAAAAACTTCAAAAAAAATTTTTTTAACCATCGATCATTCCATGATCCGACAGAAAAGATTCTCGAAAAATGGAAACAATTCGAAACGTGAACATTTTTCCAAGTGAAGAATCGCTGAATTTGAAAAAAAAAAATCCTACCTGATTAGCCGGATAAGCCGTGGCGTTGGAAAGAACTGTTAACAACGGCAAAAGTAGCTCTGCGGTCGGATCCATGCATTGCAGAGCTGACAGAATCTGAAAGTTAACCTTTTTCAAAAGCATACAATCACTGATTCAGGGTGTCATCAAGCATGATAGTCTTGAATTTATTAGCGGTTTGACAATTTTTGATTTTAGGATGTTATTTCCAACAACAGATTGAGCTAAAATCTTGTAAATTAAACATATTTTTAGAGCAGAAAAAAAATAAGTCAAGTATTCAATTTTTTTTTGTGTCAGTTTTTGCTCTGTAGTGAACCTGGTTTGAGAAAATCTTGGAACTTATTAGAACAAATTATTTTTTTTAATAATCAAAATTTATTATAACGTAAACTTTGTCCTTCATAATAACACCAAAAAATGAAAAAAAAAGAACTCAAATTTAGTGACTTTTCCAGTCTTTCAGAACATCAGAATCAAAGAAACTATACAATGTTCGAACCAATTAATAATAGGAACAGAAATGATGAAAATGGAGTAGAAAAAAATTTCAGAATTAACTTCAAATCTAATTATTTCATTTGGAACCTCGAAAAGCAATCAAGAATAACCTGTTTAGCATCATGTTCAGTTAAGAGCTTCTGATGGTGATATAGTCGATCGATAAGAGCTTTTAACCTCGGCGAACCGATCAGCTCGGCCGCTGGATTCACAGTTATTCGCCATTCTGGGGGTACTTTCGTCCGGATCTTTTTGGGGCAGGGCCTGGAAAAGTATGGATGTTCTCAAAAACAGGTTTACGAAAAAAAATAATTATAAATAAACGTATTTTATCGTTCTCAACCTCACCAGAGGTACACAATACACTGCAGAACTCAAAACTTCCACGCTCTTTTTCCATGAAAATTTCAAAATTCTTTTCTATTGTCATTTTCTTTGTCCACCTTCTCATGAATCGGTCCTCTGAAACATCAAAAACCAAGAAATCAAAAGTCTCTATTTGATTTGATTCCCAGCCATTTTTTCTTCGGGAAAATTGCCTTCAGCTCCAAAAAAAAGTTCAAATGCATTTTGCGCCGTTGTCGGCTGTGAAGAAAAAGCTTTTCCTTGTTTGATGACGTCACTCGTAAATTGTCCTTTTTGGTTGGGGGGTTTTTTTTTCGAGGAGAGAAATGGGGCAACAATTGGAAATTGAAAAGAGTCGAGATAGGAGGAAAAGGAAATTAAATGGCCCTTTAAAATGAGAAGAGAAGAGGACCCGAAATTGAGTTGTTGGTTCTGCGGATTGGAATTGGATTGGATGAGGTTCGAATGAAATGTTCAAAGGTACTTTTCAAATCCTATTCTTGTTTTAATTCCGAAAAATAATGGTTGGAAGGTATTTCTCATTTTTTTTAGTTTTGAGAGACGAATAGTTGCAGTGAAGCTGAAAAGGATTCAAAATATTCCATTAATATTTTTTTTTCTCTCAGTTCCTGAAGTTTTACGGACCTTGAAGCTTTCTTTGTGAAGCCAAGAAAATGAAGCGAGAAACTGTAGGAACTGGAGAGGTTCCAGAGAAAAAAAGGATCTGCGTCTCTTCAATTTCTAACGCTCTCCCACTCGCAAAGTTCCATGATTTTTACCAAAATATGAAAAAAAAAATCTCAGTTCCTATGAAATTTATCTACCGGAAGCGAGAAATAGTATAAAAAGTTGGAGAGAGGTCAGAGAAAGGGAAATCTGCGTCTCTTCAACAATTACACTCTCTCGCTCACAAAAAAATTCACGATTTTACCATATATATCATGGAAAAATGCCAGGAGAAAATGTTTTTGAAAAAAATCATTTTTCAGGGTCAATATTTTCAGTCCTACTACCACATCTGAAAATTCTGAATCTTCGATTCAACACTTTTTGGAAGAACCATAATAAAAGTACTGGATTTCGCGCTTGCCTTCACACCCTGATTCGGTTTTCTGCCAGGGAAGATTCGCTCCCAAACAACTTGGCTTTTTTTTTCTCTTTCTCTTCTCCTCAAGCTCGTTCCAAGGCAAGACTTCTCCGTTCGGATATACAATTTCAAGCAAAAGTGGAATCGGATCAGTTTTCAGGGGGCAAAAGTGTTACACTCAGGAAAGCGTCAGAAAGCACTTGAATAAGTGACCTCTTGAGGGTTATTTTATTGCGAAATTAGAGTCCCTTTAATTGAAGGCGATTCTGGTTGGGAAAAATGAAATAATATTTTTTTTGAAAAGTATATTCAAAAAAACTTTTATAGAGATTTTTATGCCGCAATTCAAAAATTTAAGCTTGAAATAAATTTCGAGAGTGTATTCCAAAAATCGAAAAAAACATTACCTTAAAAATCGGTACGAGATTTTTCAAATATTTGCGTGGAAGCGATCACTTAAGGGTTTTGAAATCTGTTTAGTGAGAATATAAACACTTTTTGAGAAACCTGCTGTGACTGTTTTTCGTGAAAACTTCCTTAATTTGTTTATTTCAAAAGCTTTTTGACACTTTTCAAAATTCCTGCAACTCTTTTCAACCACTTCCTTCTATCTAATACGTCAAAAAACAATTTTTTTTCCTTTTACATCATCATTCTTGCAAAAATAGTCACGCCAAACCATCATATTAAATATTAAAAGCGCCCTTTTCACTTGTGTTTTGCAATGTGCGTAATTGATGGGCCCAACCGAGTAATCCATCAAAAACGGCGTCGACAACGGAGCCTTACACACACATAAATTGCCTCAATGTGAAACTTTCCTAAGTTATTCGAGCTCTAAAATATCCCCCAGAAAAAAATTACAGAAAAAAAGCAGGAAAAACGGCCGTAAATCGCAAAAAAAAGATTCGAAACTTTTTTTTACTGCTTCCAGCTTTTTTCTGTGACAATGCACCAACAAAAGAACAAAAATCAGAAAATTTAGCAGTAGAGAGCAGATTTTTGTGCCATATTTGTTCACAAGTAGTAAAAGCAGTCCTTCGGGTTGATTTTGAAATTTTCAAGAAAAAAATAGTAAAAAAATTACTTCATCTGTATTTCAATTCTGGTTTTGAAGTGGAGATCTTCTTCAAGTTTAGAACTCAGTAAAAGTTTGAGAATTGTTTTGATGATTTAAAATCAAAAATTGAGACCCAAAATACTCTGACGCGCATGTCTTAAGATAATTAGCCAAAAAACTTTTTTTCCAAATTTTTATTCTATCATCATTTTTTGGTTCCTTTTACACGTTGTAAATTGTTTTTCTCTCTCTCTCTCTTGAAATTTTTCAGCTTGTAACAAACTTCGAAGCCGGCAAAAAAGAAAAGGGATTAGCGTTGGCTTAGAGCTGGACGTGTTCTTCATGAATTATTCCGTGGGAAGAGGCTCCGCGACTAGTCTCCGTGGTCAGCAGAAGAGAAAAATGATGAGCAACGAACATGAGTTTTTTAGTGAAAAAAGGGTAGGGATTAGACTTCAACTGTTCTGGGATTCAAAAAAATGTTCATCCTCGAAAATTTATTAGCATTTCGGAAAAAAAGAATGGTTTTTTTTTAGGTTTTTGATTTTCGAAGGAAAAAAAAACCTCTAGAATCTTAATATTTGGGTAGTCAAAAAAGGTACTTCATGAGAACTTTTTTGTTAAAAGCGCATTCCAAAAGGAAAATTAAAAAATGAAAATCAATAATCATAGGAAAATTACAACGCTTCGAAGCCCGTCAATATAAAGCTGGGTCTCAGATTTTCAGGAAACTCGGAAGTTTCAAGAAAATAAACGAAAAATTTAATTCAATGAGACAAAAATCAAAAAAAAGTTTCACATAAAAAACTTGCTTGATTCTACTCATTCTCACAGAAGTTTCCTGAGTGGAAAAAAAAACCTCAAGAATTTCAAAATAAAAATGGAGTGCCATTTTACATTCTCCTCAAAATTTTCAGTTCTCCAAAAGAGCGAAAATCATTTACATACAAAGTCTGCTATTTCACAACCAATCAAGTATTCGAAAAAACAAAAAAAAAACTCGAAAAAATGCAATAAAAGGAAAAAACCGACTTGAAAGCGTCCCAATCGAGGACTGGCGATCTCGACGACGAATCCCGAGTGCTGCTGACCCATGAAATGGTCCAAGCGGAGCCCAAACGCAACAGCCGACACCAACGGCGTCTTCGAGCTTCTTCTCCACTCACACTTCAATTCTTTCTCTTTCTTTTGCCAATCTCCCCTCTTTTTCTCTCTAAACCCTCCTGTGGCAGGGATCGATGGGGGGAGAGAGTGGTGCGCGAAAGAAACAGACACACATTATTCCATCTAAACATGGACGTCGGCTCTTGGGGTGGTCGGGAGAGGAGGCGGAGCTTCTTGGAGAGAGAGGGAGGCAGAGACGCCGTGGGAAAGCCGGCTGGTATGGCTCCTGGATGGATCACGTTTGGGAGGCTCATTACGGCTCAACAGCTGCCGCTCAGATGATTGGAGGCTTCCATGTATGTACGTGGTGATTAGGATTCGGCTTAATACCGCATTTGGAATGGCTCTTGCATCCAAAATGGGTGATCAAAAGGTCTTATTTAAGGCTTCAATACCTTACTGAAGCTTGTCGAAGCAGCGCTATTGCTCGATCTGGGCTCAGAAATGTCGGCTTTAATCACAGAAATTCGATTTATAGTAATTAACAGGTCACTAAACAGCTATTCAAGATTTCCATAGGTTGTCTGGTCGCTGTCGCGTTTGAAATGGCCTTTTCCTCCATGCTTCCCATTCCAAAGCTTCAATAACCTCCTAAAGCTTGTCGAAGCGCTACTGATCAAGCTTGCTTGAACAAAATTTAATAGTCGCACTTGGAATGGCTTGCTTGAGTTTGGCTTTATTAGATAACCAACAGTCTGAAACTGATCTTCATTTTTCCTTGAGATATTAATAGTTGGATTTATGCTCAATTTCGCATTTGAAATTGCTATTTTTAACTCCCAGCCCATGTAGGGACGGTACTACAAAAAGTCTTAAAGCGCTAATACCGAACTATGCATTCTCAATGCTCAACAGATTGAAAAATTCGGAAAGCCTTTTGAATCCCGATTCTCGTGTTAAACTGACAGCTATCACCCGCAGGCTTCTACCAAAAATACTGGGCCTTCAAAACAACATTCCAAGTGAAAGTTGAAAATCCACGATAATTACGCGAAAAAAAAAACTCAACTACTTACCTTCTTAAAACTTGGAATCGCTTTTCAAATCATAAATCTATTCAAAAAGCGGATGACTGTCGACGAAAAAAGAAAGTAGGTCCTGGCCGGGATCGAACCGGCGACCTTCTGCGTGTGAAGCAGACGTGATAACCACTACACCACAGGACCACTTGCTGCCGTCGCCGCGCTCGCCGGCCAAATTGGCTCCCAAGGACGTGATAGGTTAGAAGGAACTGCGGAAAAATTGAAAAAGGTTTGTGTTTTTGAGTGTTCAAGGTATTTCTATATAGTGTAACATTCTATACGATGAAAAAAGCGAGAATGAATTGAAATGAAGTTGCCAAAATTGAGGGAAAAATTTGATTTCAGTTGGAAAATGCTTAATAAATGAGGTCAACCGGAAGTGAAAGAGCGGAAATATCCCATTAAAACTTATCAGGCGGATCTCATGCCATCTGTTGCTATTGTTATTTATTGTTATTGTTGTTGTGGCAATCCAGGGTGTCACTTATTCATATCGCTTCACACCCAGTTCCCTGGCTCCAATTTCAGTTTTTCATCAGTTTTGATTAATCTAAAAACAAGTAAATTCGTGAGTTTTAAGTTTTACTACCAAAAGAGCTCGCAGATTCGGTAAAAACTCAAAGTTGTGAGTTTTTCAAAGCTAAAAGGTCATCTATTAGAAATTAGGTGAGTTTACAAGCTTTGAAGCTTCCAAAATTCATCAAGGGTCTCTAGGAAAACTTTAAAAACTCCCAAAAGTTCAAAAAGCGTCTTTCCTGAACCGTAGTTTCAAGTTTTGAAAGCGTAAAAGTTGTCGAAACCACGACTTTTTGTAAAAATTAACCCTCTCTAGTTATTCCAGAATGAATAATCAAGCCTACGACTCACCTAATAGCCCATTACTCATTACCTGAAATAATATTCAGCTCATTACTTTTCTCGGCTTCCGAAAACTCATCACCTTCGCTCCTATCTTTAAATCCAAAATATATTAGTTTTCCCAACTTCCCAAAATAACTAAAAGTTACTTCAAACTGTTTTTAACGAAAAATGAGAGAGTTTAAAATTATTATTTTCATGCACCAATTTTATTTTCCCTCTATTCTCTCCTTCTTGATGTCTCGAAACGATACGAAACTCCTCAAGTGGCCCCTTTAGGACAACTATTCCGAGATAGACAATAGCTCTTTTGTCATGCGAATTTTGGCAGCGGTTGGGGTGGAATTTTGATAAACTTGTCAGGCCACATTAGCCTTCAGCTCATTCTTCATCCGACCCCTCTCGACGAGGCTCTTTCTATTGGCTTTCCGAGTTGACTACGGTAGCTCTTTTATATATTTTTCTTCCTTATCATCGTAAGAAGAGCGAGCTTACTAAATTGAAATATATAGTAGATTTGAATGTTTTTCTATTGTTTTTGAAAAAGTAACTTTATGGAAAATGTCAGAGTTAAAAAAAAATCTGTTTTTTTTTATTATGAGCTTCCGTTATGAATTATCACAAAAGTGAAGTTTTCGAAACTTTTCGAAGACTTTTGAAAAAAATTTACGATGTATTCATTTTTTCGAACGTCAGTGATTATTTTCCTGAAACGTAAAAATATTTCTCTTCGAATAATTTTGGTTTTCCTATCTTATCTGTAGCCAGGCACCTTGTTATTCTGTTTTCCAGCATTTTAATGTTCCAAACTCCAGTTCTCGGATTTTTTTTGCTTGAGGTGAAGCTTCCAAAAAGCAGAAAATGAGCCGACTTATCAATTCATCTAATGAAAATCCTCTTCTTTATCCAAATATCTTTGGATTTCCCATGTCATGCAGAGGCCTTTTCATCGTCTTCCCGGTTTCCTAATTGTTTTTAGAAAGTATTTTCAGCTTTCTTACCGAAGTTAATCGGAGCACATTCACACTAGTGGGAAGGGAATAAAGTTATTTATCAGTTAACCTAACAAAACTTCCTTATTTATCCGAATAATTTTAGTCACCATGTCCTGTCCGGACCCTCTTGAATGTCTTTTTCGTAATGTTCTGAGGCTTTTTTTCTATTTTTTTCATCCAATACTTTTTTTAGAAGATATGTGTTGAAGCTTTCAAAGAGAAGAAAATGACCTGATTTATCAGCTAATCTAACGAAAACATCTTTCTTTATCCGATTATTGTTTAGCTTCCATGTCTTGTCAAGAACCAGGCGTACGACTTTCGATCAACCTCCGAGAGCGCTGTCGAATGCACGACCTGAACGAGGCGCTCGACGACTTGAGGGCCGTCATACCGTATGCCCACGGCGGATCCGTCAGGAAGCTCAGCAAAATCGCGACCCTTCTGTTAGCCAAAAACCACATCATCATGCAGGTTTGTTTCAGTTTTGAACAGAATTTTAATTCTCAAGTTATTCAAAATAACTTCAAACTTTATCGGACCACCAATTGATCACGTGTTCGAAGGGATCTAGTGAAAACTCGAAATTTAGAGCTGAAGAGTTCTGGAACATAAAAAGAATTGTTCTAGTGATAACTTGATCGATTTTTTTCTAATTAGAAAAAAACAATTTTGACTCTTTTTTTCTTTCGCCATCAACCCATAACGGAAAAATTTTTATATTGAAATGTATAAAAAAATTTTTTTCGATCTACCTGCCTGAAACTTTCATTAAATTCTCCAATTTGTTTTTTTTACATATTGAATTTTTTTCCTTTTTCGACTTATAGTTCAGTGTCAAGTTTCCTCTAAGAAGCTAATGTTTTCCTCTCTTCTTTCAAAAAAAAAAATTTAGAAAAAAAAGAAGCCATGTTTTTTTTCCTATGGTTAACTTTTTATTTTTCCTGTATTTAAAAAGTTGTTCTTTCGATCATATTGTCATATCATGGTTTCTATCTGATATTTTCAAAATCGAAATTTCAGGCGAAAGCCATTGAAGAGCTTGGGACCGTCGTTTCCCAACTAAAATCCCAGTTACAGTCGTCAACTCCTGCAGCCAACAGTCAATCTTCAACGTCTAACAACTCCTAACTCTCAATACTTACCTTCATTTTCCTGATAAAACCGTCTTTTTGAATCGAAAACAGTTTCCTAAAAAGAAGATTATCAAGTTCCAGCGTGACAAATTGTGGTCCAACCAACTTATTCGATCAATGAAACCACTCCGTCTCTCTCAACTTGTTATGTCCGTCTTATCGGTTCGAGAGATGAAAAAAGGCAGCGTCAAAGATCGTCGGGTTCGGTCTTTACTAACCATGACGCAACTTTATCGGTTCGTCGTAGTAGAATTGTAGATTTGAGCTCATTTTCTAGGTTTCTGATAGTATTCTTGAGTTTTTATGGATCCATAATATTGATAAAATACAAATGAGATCTTACGTCGGAATCCACTTTTGGAAATTAAGCTCAACTTTTGCTTTTCGAAAGTTTATAATCGAGAAGAAACGTATTCGTTACCTTTTTTTATATGAACATGTGCAGATTTTAATTAAGGATTAAATTGGATCTTTTTTTATCTATTAAATAATTTTTTTCGAAGTTCTTTAAGCAAAAATGGAGATTATAATTTTTTTTCGAATGGATATCTGAATTAATTTAAACGGAATGGGATGATTTTCAATTTAGAAATGTCAAAAAAATTGGCAAACCCCATATTTAATCAAATTTAAAAAAATTATTCCCTAAAAATAAATATTTTTTTCAAATATATTTTTTTGGATGATTGAATCTCCAGTTGACCTTGATTTTTTTCCATATTGATCCAAATTGAATATGACGGCGTTCTGACAAAACAGGACACCAGAAATTTCCTGGTCAATTGATTGTTATTTTTGGCTTGAATATGGAAAAAAGCTTTACGAGCAAAGATGATAAGGAATAGAAGATAACGGTTAAAGAACTCGAACAGAAATTTGAAAAATTTACAGTTTGATCTGAAGGCTCCAATTTACTTCATTTAAGAAAGAATGTCAATATTGAAAAAAAAATCTCCTGGCTTCTTCGCCAAACCTTAAAACTTGATTTTGAACTTTTTAACGCATTAAAACTTTCAGAAAAGTCCAAAAAGTGCCCCCAAGACTGATTGAAAGTCACGTTTCGAGGTACCAAAAAATTGAATTAAGATAAGAAATTCGAACAAAAGATCGTCCTCTTTTTCTTAGAAGACAACGTCCATTTTAGCCATTTCAACTAAGATTTAGGCCATACTTTGATAATAACTTCAAAACTGAATTTTAAAACATACTTCGGCTTCTTACGGTTTCCGTCAAAGTACGAGGTCTCATATGGAAATAATACCTAACTAGAAACTCAGTGGAAATTCGAATTACTTTGTCTTACATTACTAATTCGAGTCACGTTTCGAGGAACGAATGAAACTGATTTGAGATAAGATCCGAACCAAAGATCGGCCTTTTCCCTGACAGACAACGCCATTTTTTTCTGTTACACTTGACCTTGTGATAGAGATGAAAAGAACGAGAGAGCGTTATCGGTTTCTCGTTATCAAAACGCGAACTTTTTTCGAAGAAGAAAAAGAAGAAGAGGATCACCCCACAAAGTAGAAGGTCGCTCGAGAACAGAAAGTTGAAAACTTTCTTATTTCAATCCATCAACTTCAAATATTATAATTATCATCTTGACCTACGACTTTTCTTCAGAAGACTTGCGTGTTCAAGAAAACGATCGTGATAGGTTAAAAACCGCGTAAATTCACTTATCTTCCGACAAAACTTTAAAATCTTGATAGTGATAGGTAAACGGTTAAAGTGAAAATCTTCTGATCCCTAACTATTCCGAAACCCCAAATTTTCATGACTTTCATTTCAAATCTTTATTTTTCCTTCAAGTAAAACAAAAACTCGAAAAAAAATTGAATCGTAAAAAAATTTTCCTTGAAGGAATTTTTTTGAAGAACTTTTTTTCAATTGGGCTGAGTCGAATTTTAAAAATAAGGTACTTTTTCGATTTCAAGAAGAAAAATTTTTTTGAACAGTTGTAGCAAATCTATCTTTTTCAATGTGTCATGGTTTTTGAGATAATCTCGAAAATCCCGAAATTTATGAGTTTAACTAAATAATTTGAAGATTAGACTGAAAAATGAGAACTTAAAGCTGTTAAATTTAGATATTTTTTACTTTTTCAAAAATATAATTATAAAAAGCCCTTTTTCCAAAAATAATCATGTTTCCATGCTTTTGATGAGAAAAATTCCATGAGTTTAATCAGGAAAAGGTTCCCTTATTTGGAGGAAAAGAGCTGTCTCATGACAATTTCAGTTTCCTGAATCGGATAATCCTTTCAAAAATCTCAAACTTCATCTTCTTGAGCAATTTTTTTCGGTCTTTTTTTTCATAACACAAAAAAGCGAAGTTGAATGGACCAAAGTTTAAGAGTATTGGCGGAGAAACCGATCTTTGGCATTCGACGCTGGCCGCGTGTCGCCGTTAAATTTGCCTCGTCTGTTCATCTCTTTCCGATAAAAAGAACAAAACAAGTTGAAATTCATTGAGCGATTAGGTTTTTGATCGAAAATCGCTAAATCTACGTGTACTACAAAAACAGTTTGAGGCTAAAAAATATACTTACAGTGAAAATACTTTTTTATTAGAGAACGCAAAGTTCAAAAGAAGTTTTTAATGGAAACGATTCTGTGTCTGATACAACTTCGAAAAGTTATTTTTGAAGGATAAATTGATCAGAAGCGTTGGAACGTTTAAGATTCAAAAGTTGGCTTCAATTATTGATTTATGAAACATGAAAGGTTAGACTTCAAAAATAGCTCCTACGAATAATTTTCATGGAAAGGTCATACTAACATAGGTGGCACAAAATTTTTTGTTAATCAACTAATCTATTTGTAATAAAAAAATATACAAAAATCAATCCCAAAAAGCTAAACAAATCCTCAAAAAAATACGATAAAACGAGAAAAAAAGCCTCTTGATTCAAAAAATTAACAGTGAAAAAAGCTTTAGAGAAAATTCAATTCTGGTAATTTAAAAATAGTCGTTATGCATTTCTTAACCATTGACTTACTAACGTTGAATATGTGGTCTAAGATGAAAAAATATGATTATACAGTTTAAATTTATTGTCCTTGTCCAGGTGTTCATTAGTTTCTAGTAAATGGAACAGTAAAAACTTTAAAATTAAGCAAAGATAAAATTCCCTTCTTCCATCATTTTATTAAGTAACATTTTTCAAAAATTTCTATTGGCGCGTTGATCAGGCTTTTTTATTTTGTTTTTCAAGTTTATCAGTGGGAGAGAAACGACAAACTTCGATTTTTTTTTTGACAAAGACTCGAAGGAAACCTTGATGATTTGTGGTATTGAAAAACCGACTTTTTTATTTTCGTCTTTTCAGTCTGAGAGATCAACACGAGACGGAAAGTTTGACACAAGAAGAAAAAGAAAAAGGTAGAGAAGAGACCGAAGTTCGCTGGGTTTCCGCCGCCCGATTCGGTTCTTCCTAGACCGTTACGTCCTATCTTTGACAGAAACCATACGGTGGTAAAAATTAGAGACTTCAATGAAATCTAGATTTGGTTGATTCATTGCTAGGTTGATACGAAATTGATATTTTTTATATTGGAAGAAAGAATCCATTGTTGTTCAAATTTCTTAGGACTTACAGTTTTTTCTTCAAATCGTAAGCCTAACTCAATTAAGAATCTAACGTCTTTTTATTTCTGAAATAATAGAGAATCGTTCTCAACCCTCGGAATTTTTGAGCAAATTTCCAGAGCTGGGAGAATTTTTAGGGGCCGCTATAGAGGCTCGCCAAGGACTACTTGGAGAGGACACTAAAGTGGCTACTCAAACCACCTCTATAGTGGCCACTTTTTTCCGTTTTAGTAGCCATTATAGAGGTTCTCTATTTAGTGACCACTTCAGTAGTTTTTTATCCAGTATTCCTTCCAGTAACTCTGATAATTTCAAAACAAACCGATTGGACCAGTTATGTTGATCCATTGACCCTTAAAGTGGCCACTAAAATGTTTAGTCGTCTAGTAGTAGCACATAGACCTCTATAGTGGCCATTAATTTGACTACTATAGTGACCACTAAAAACTTTCTCAGAAAGATCCAAATTTAACACCAAAAAGACTTCCTTTGTCAGTCAAAACCGATAAAATGTGTTGCCATTTGATTTCCAAGCGTAGTAAAAACATTCTTCTTTGTTTTTCAATCAAAGTTGTTTGTTTCGCGTAAAAATGACCTTCAAAACTATACTGTACTTTTGAGTAGATCTTTTTCTCTTTAGTAATAAGTGTCGACTATGAATCAGAAAACCTTTTTTTTCTCTTCTTGAACCAAAATCAAACGGCGCTAGTAACTCTATTTCCTTTTTTGTACTTATTTCCAAAAATAATTACAAATCTTCAGAGGTTATTACCAACTTTCTTAAAAAACTGTTTAAAAACTGTTTATTGCATCTTCAATGTAAGAGTACATGTGCAATCGACTTTCATTGATTTGACTGTGTTTTTAAACGGCGGCAGGAGCTGTGGCTTAGGCAGAGAAGTTGTGAATTTCGCTCGTAGAACATCAGGTACAAGAGAGGTCGTAGGAAGAAATACGGTGCCGGCTTTCCAAAAGCCGATGGCAGAGATTGAGCCTTTTCGCTGCATGCAGCTTCCAATATTATCTACCCCGGAGGAGGGATGAAAGGCTTGGTCGACCTCGGGGGGACTCGAACCTACGACCTTGCGGACGTTAGAAATGAGTTATGCCAGCTGAGCTATGCCGCCTTTCACCAACTTTCTTGATTCAAAACATTAATATTCAGCTTGTAATTCCAAACTTATTTTAGGTATGAAATCCAACTTTGCTGAATTTTATTGCCTTCAAAAAGTTGAATGAAGATTCTCGAAAAAAAAAAATTCGGTTGACTGAATTTTGATTTGATCTTGAGATTTCCTGTCTGACCATGAAAATCCATAGTTATCCATACATGATTCGAAGGTCGTTCCGGAAAAACAAGCCATTTCCATTCTTCGTCAAAAAAAAAAACTTTTCTCTGGTCTTTTGATTGTTATGGTCGGCTTGAGATGGACTGAAACCGTTTACGACCGAATTTGATAAGGAAAAGAAGATAAAGGCCAAAGAATTCGAATTAACATTCTCAACCTTTGTAGTTTGCTCTGAAGGCTTGGTTTATTCGACAAAAAAGCCGGTATCGAAAAAATTTCGGAAAATTTGAGGTTTCCGTCGAACTTTATTATGTTCCAACGTATTTAACACGCATTTAAACTCTCGGCAATTTTTAAAAGTTGCTTTACTAATTTGAAAATCACAAGATTCAAGAAAAAAATATTCTGACTTAGCAACAGTATTCGGTATTCAATAAGTATTCAACATGTGTTGGTTCATGCCAAGCTCTAAAATTTCCTTCATATAAAGATTATCAATTTCCCGGTCTCCGAGAAGTCAGAGAAGCGACCAAAAATTGCCGAGTCAGGTTTACAGATACTGAAAGACTAATATAAGATAAGAGTCAAACCAGAAATCGTCCTTTTCTAGTAGATAACGCCGTTTTTCTTTTTATTGGCTCCTTTTAGTTTGTAGTTTGAAACCATATTACCAACTTTCAGCGATTTCCGCGAAAATTCACTAAATTTAAAAAGAGCCAAGGAAGCCAAAAAGTAACTGTTCAAGGGCTTCCTCGAAAAGTTGGACTGTTCAAAAAAAAAAAGATTAGAAAATTGTGAAAAGCTACTTGAAAAAGTTCCAAGCTTGAAGTAAGCAGACCAAAATAAAAATAAGCAGTCTCAAAGCTTTTTTTTTCAAAATTCGAACTGTCCTAATATGTCTCCTATTAATAACTGAAGTGAAATGAAGTTGAATGAAACAGCCCTCGGAACTCAGACAAGCCAAAGATCGCCATTCGATTCCACGATTTTCTCTATTACACTTGACCTTGTGCCTGAGATGAAAAGAACGAGAGAACGAGTTATCGCTCATGCGTTATCAAAATCGAATTTCTCCGGGAGACTCAATTTTTTTGATCACCCCACCAAGTTGAAGAAGAAACTTGTCAAGTTCTAAAACAGGAAATTGGTGTATAACTAAGAAATTGGAAAAAAGAAAGCAGCGGAATTGCTCGAGGGCTTTTTCTAGTCCAATATTAAGAGTCTAGCGAAAAATTGGAAAAATTCAATTGTTCCTGCAATAAAAAATATATAACCTTATTCTATTTTATTTCTTCGTACTTGCCACTTTTATCTGTTTATTTATCCTATGAAAGTTCCACAAAGTGCTAAGAAGGGAATAAAACAGTGGGTCTTGTTTTGCGCAAACAACGCCGTAAAAACTGTCCCACAACCAAAAGTCCATGATTTCTATTTCTTGAAAACTCTGCATGATATAAAACATGGGAAATGGAAAAAGCTATTTTTGAAAGTGATACGTTTCCAAAGAGAATTTTCTGCTGGGAAACGTAAACTCTCATGTCAATTGTAGCTTGGAAAGTCCAAAAGCTCCAATTTTAATCAAAACCTGTTCCATTTTACAAGTTTTCCATGATTTTTAGTTTTTATTGGCTTAGAAACAATTATTTACACAAAGAAAAAAGGAAAAGAAAAAGAAAACAGACCGTTTTCAGGGAGCCCAAAGATAATCGGTAAACGCATTCGTCGCTGTTTGCCTTGGAATTGCGGTTTTTTGAACTTTTCCGGCCACACGTACGCTTGAATATTGAACCTGAAAAGCTTTAGAAATGAAATAAAAAATAAGAAAATAAGAAAGTCCAAAAATTTTTACAATTTTGTTTATGAGGTTTTGCGTACGGTGTGGTGAAGGAAATGTTTACCGTAAAATGAATGAATTAATCTCGGACGTTTCTTATTTTTAAATTCAAAAATTTCTTACTGTTTTTTTGTTTTTTTAATTTTTTTCTCTTCTCCCTAGAATATATAATTTATTTGAGTAGGGTTACTTGAGTTAGCGCAACTTTTTCAAAGATATATAATAATGATCAATTCTTAAAAAAATTTCTAAAACTTTATGAAGTTGTCTTTAAACGATTCAGTAACGAGTATTGAAATGACGTTCTTGGTCTTGATACTTTTTTTCCTATCCGTTTCGACGCCTGGCGTCTCAGATTCTGGCGAAATGCCTTCGCAGTGGGCGGAGCTATCAGAAAATATATAAACGGTCATCGCACACATCTGAAAAACGAACTTTTTCGATACTGTCGACAATTTCTCGCAACCGCGATTTTGATATTCTCACTGTATAACCAAATTACTTTTGCCTTTCAATTTTCAACTCATCTATTGTTCGATTTAGGGAAATTTTAAGAACTTTGTGAATAAAGCTCACTTTTCAGCGAAGAATTTTCATTTACTTTAGTTATCTTAGTATTTTCTACAATATTCTTTCTCAAACAGAAATAAACTTTTTCGATTTATTACTTAGAAGCTCTCTTACACAGTTTGAGTACAAAGTTTATTACTTTTTTATCTTTATAGTCGCCCAACCGAGTCTATGTATAATTTCTGCCTCTCAGACAATAAAGAAACTTATCAGCTTTGGTTGGCTCGTGTTTTCGTTCGAGAGCCACCTTTGCTCTTCGAGATAAGATAATGAATGCCTAATACCGTTTTTATCAACTAATTCCGACCAAAAAATGAGTTCTCAGCGAAAAAGACGGAAAATCGACATTACTGATCTTTTCTGTACGCATATTACTTCACAGAAAACATTTTAAAAGACGACAGCTTTTCAAAAAATGAATTTTGCTTTTTTTTTTTAAATCTTAGCGTTTATCTAGTTTGGTTGGTTTCCGTGTACATTGAAGGGATCACTCGCCTCTGTATGTAGTTTTAACGAAATGCAAATCATCCGTAACGTCAAAACAAATTTTGACCAGTTATTTTTGACCAGGTCATTAAATATAGCCGGCAAATGTTGTTTTTGCCGCGACTTTTTTCCATTCGTCGCTTTGGCTTTCTTCTTCAATGCCCGCTTTTGGTAGTAGTTTTAATTTCAGTTTTTAAAATTTCAAAGCTTGAATCATACATTCGAAACAGCTTGCTGCGAGTCAAAACCTATTTCCGTTGAAATTTAAAGCCAATTCCTCCTGTTGAAAACCCAACGATGTGTTTTGAATCGCATTTACTATAGTCTATAGTTCAAAACTAATTCGATAAGATTTGAATTACTAGTTGGTTCGGAAAACTTGAATTTTAGGTACGGAGCTAATCGAGTTAAAATTTTTGTGTCAGCGGACTGAGGCCACTCCCCCTTTGAGGAGTTGTTATCAACTAGTGCACTCTCCATCTCTTTTAAACCCCTCATTTTCGAGCCGAACCTCGTCTCCTAGTGTCCCTTCGATTCAAACCTATCAATTTTTACGATTTGATAACCTCGAAATGCCCGGTATGCTTCTTTTTTTAAGTAATTTTAGTTTTAGGAATGGCTTCTTTAGTTAGTAGGAAAACGATTTTATTGTGATTATAGGGCTTTAGGATGCCGAAGATAACTTTTTAGGTTAAAAGTAAACTATTAAATTAACTATTTCGCATCAAAAATTTTTGGAATTTCTTTTTTTCTTTATTAAAAAGCCATAGGAGTCGAATTTTTTTGAGTCAGAAAAAAATTTTTTTATTCGTTTTTTTAGAGCTTTCATTACTTTCGAAACTCTTCTTAAAAGGCTCTAAGTATTTTTTCGGAAGTTTCCATTTAAACATGGAAATAAATAAATTTTTTATGTCGACAAAAAGCTGGACTTTTGTCTGGTCACCCGATGTTACACCTCTTTTTTTCGATTCCGAAAGTTCAGTCCAGAGGAACGTATAGAACGGACATTTGTTCTTTACACAAAATGACTGCGAGAGGCCAATTTTTCAATCCTGATCTTTTTCCTTAGTGGCTGACATAAAAAACCATCATTTTCTCTCATTCCCTTCGCTTTGGTTGCTTCGAACTGAAGTTAAGTTCGGTTTTTCTAACATTTCATTCGTTCAGGTATGGCGACTTCCCTTCGTTCCCAGTTCGCGATGGACAAGAGCGTGACGAGCCGCTTCTGGCAGCTCGACCAGCGCGGAAAGGTCCAAGCCAAGTACATCTGGATCGACGGAACCGGCGAGCACATTCGCTCCAAGACCCGTACTCTTGACTTCGAGCCGAAAGATCCGTCTGGTAAGCCTTCGATTGATAATCGTGATGATAATAAGTTATAGTGTAGTTTTTGGAAGGTTTTAATGATAAGGATCCACTGAAAAAAATGAATAATTTTTTTCAATTCATGGAAGCGATTCAAACAATTTTAGATATATAAAAAAACGAAATTTGAAAAAAAAAAAATATTTTCGTTTTCATAAACCAATTTTTTTAAATGATGTTTTCTTGATTCAAAAATTTGAAATCAAACAAATTCACTTGAAAAATCAAACTTTTTTCAATCAGTTAACGTTTTGAAAATGTTAAAACCTGTTTAAGCTCATTGGGATTTGTAAAATTCCTCATTTTCAAGAAAAATTTGATCATTTTCCTTCTTTCCAGAGCTCCCAATCTGGAACTTCGACGGCTCTTCGACCGGTCAGGCCGAGGGCGCCGACTCGGACGTCTACCTCAAGCCTGTGGCCATCTTCCCCGACCCGTTCCGGCTCGGCAAGAACAAGCTCGTCATGTGCGAGACCCTCGACAACAAGAAGCAGCCAACTGGTTCGACCTTTCTCATTTCGAGAAAATCGAAAGCCTTATCTTGAGTTTTTAAGCTGAAAGGTCTATAATTGGCATGGATGGGCGGCTTATCATACAGAGTCGAGGGCCGGGAATAATCTGTTGACAGAACTGATTTTACTCTCCTAGGGCCTCCTTTGTAACGAAGGAATTTGCCAACTTGTCTGTGGTTCTTCAAAACCAAAAAAATGGAGAACTAAAAAAATTCCGCGAAGCGCATTTCATTACCAATATTTTTCAAGATAGCTTGGCTATTTATATTCAATTTTCAAGAAGCGAAAAATTTTTGGAAAAATTCGATTTCCTTCCTTTGAAGCACTGAATAAATTTTTCGATATCGAGAAAAAAATTTCTAATAAAAAAATGCTTTGAATATTTTATGGTTCTTCAAAAATAGAGAAAAAAAATTTCATATTTTTTTATTCGAAGCGATTTTCAATATTTTTCAAGGATTTTTGAATATTTCGTGAAAAACGAAACTTGAAGTGTTCTATTTTTGGAGAAAAAAATTCCCAAAAAAAAACCGTAAAAAAATTCTCGCCTTGAATGTTTGATCGATCACCAGATGTTGATGTTTATTGCAAATTCCCGTTTTTCTTTTTTTGAAAACGTGTGAACGGCGGAAAATTGTCTGTTCAACAATAAACAGGTCGAAAGATTAGATTTCGGGGGGCCGATAAATATGTTTCTCTCAAACAACCAAGAGATCATAGTTGGAAAATATGAAAGAATATTTTGGATTTCGAAAAGATATTAGTGTTAATTTATATTAGATTCTAGCGGGAGAACAAAATATTTTATTAATGAAAAATTCAGAATTCAATATGACAGCGATTTTTTTCATATGAACTGAGCTATAAGGAAATAAAATAATTATTCCAAAAAAATCAGAATTTAAAAATGAAGTTTTTTTGGTCTGCTTATTTTTAATTTTGGTCTGCCTATTTAGAAGCAACAACGTTCTTTTTTCCAAGCAGATTTAAAAGAATTCATCAATCAATAGGAAATAAATCTCAAAAATAATCATCAAACTGAAAAATCAACGAAATCAATAAATATCATCATTTCAGCCACCAACAACCGCCACCGTTGCGTGCAGGTGATGGAGAAGGCCGCTTCTCACCACCCATGGTTCGGCATGGAGCAGGAGTACACCCTGCTCGACATTGACGGACATCCGTTCGGCTGGCCCAAGAACGGCTTCCCGGGACCCCAGGGACCTTACTACTGCGGTGTTGGCGCCAACAAGGTCTACGGCCGCGACATCGTCGAGGCTCACTACCGCGCCTGCCTCTACGCCGGCATCCAGATCTCCGGCACCAACGCCGAAGTCATGCCCGGACAGTGGGAATTCCAGGTAGCGATTTCGCGCTTTGATTTGGATGATTAATTAACTAGAGCTCAAATTTATAAATTTTTAGGCTACTTTTTCAGGTAACAGTGGGATTTTTGATAGCTACTAGGTTCAATTGAACTATTAATTTTTTTGAGATTTCAAATATGTGCTTGAAAATGGTTACCGAGCCTAGTTTAGAATTTTATGATAGCTCAAAGTTGAAAAAAAAAATCCTGAGCCAAGATATAATTTTTGGAGTTTTCTCACGTGATTAAGACTTTAGCCTGTACTCTTCAGGCTAGTTTTTTTTTTTGAAAATTCGAGCGTCCGAAAATTTGTTCAAAAACCTTCTTGACTCTTTTTGAGCTCAGATTTGGAATCGCCGCGAAAAACTGCGCTTAGAGCCGACCTAGTCTTGTCAAGAAGTCTCATTGTGAACTAATATCATTCCGTTTTCAAGTTAAAAACTCAAAATCGTATCACTCAAGGACGAATTCAGGTCGGACCATGCGAAGGAATCTCGATGGGTGACCAACTGTGGGTGGCTCGATTCCTGCTCCACCGCGTCGCTGAGGAGTTCGGCGTGATCGCCACCCTCGACTGCAAGCCGATCAAGGGAGACTGGAACGGCGCCGGATGCCACACCAACTTCTCCACCGAGAAGATGCGTTCGCCTGGTGGCATTAGGTGAGTATTTCAGTCTTTCGAAGGGTTTTTAGTGATTCTGAAAGTCCGAAAGGTCGTTTATAGGCCTAGGATAACCTAGAAAGCATGATGGATATGAGAAAAGAAGACTTGAATGAGTAAAAGAGTAGTAAACTCTTCGCATGTTCCTAAAAGTCAGAATAAAAGCGCAGTTTTTTTTTTCGCTTCAAGACGCTCCAAAAAGGGTCTTCAAGTGAAGTTTTTATAAGCCATTCCGCGCTAGCTTGTCACGTTTTTCTTTCCGCCAAAAGGCCAGGTCAAATTTAACCAACTTTCGCTTCAAGACCTTTGTTTCTTGCCGTTATAAAAGCAGAAATTCGATCTAATTCGGTATACGGTCTTTTTGGCGGAAAGAAAAACGTGGCACGCTGGCGCGGAATAGGCTATACGAAAGAATGAAGTCCCTCAGAATGAAATTCGTTTAAATGCTCACTTTTCAGCGAGATCCTCTCCGCCATCAACAAGCTCTCGCTGGTCCACGCCCAGCACATCGCCTACTACGATCCCCACGGTGGAAAGGACAACGAGCGTCGTCTTACTGGTTAGTTGTCGAACAAAATCTCTTAACTTTTTTGAAATGAATTGAAAATAACAATTTGATACTTCCAGGACTCCACGAGACTGCCAAGATCGACCAGTTCTCATATGGCGTCGCCTCGCGTGCTTCTTCCATCCGTATTCCTCGCCAGACTGATGATGAGGGCTTCGTGAGTTTTGAATCACGTTTCGAAAAAATTCCGAACTAAAAGTTTCTTTTCCATTTTCAAGCTTTGATCTATCTTTTTCGAGCTTGGGACTGCCAGTGTTTGATTGGGGACTGCCAGTTTTAGACTTGGGACTGCCAATTTCAAGTTTGAAATTGCTGTTTTTCCATTTGAAAAATCGGTATTCCAGTTTTGAGTTGGGACTGCCAATTTCCTATTTGGGACTGCCACTTTTAGACTTGGGACTTGCAATTTTCAGCTTTTAGGTCTACTTACTTGAGTCAGAATATTTGCCAACGAAGTTAAAATGAAAATTTACCTCATATCCTATTCCTGAAACATTTTTTTATAAAATAAAAAAAAACGAATATCAATTCTTCAAATTTTCCAGGGCTACTTCGAAGACCGTCGGCCATCCTCCAACTGCGATCCTTACACTGTCACTGCTGCTCTGGTCCGAACCGTGTGTCTGGAAGGCGCCGAACGCAAATTGTCGATGATGTACGTGCCCAGCTCTGGATTCCAGGCTCCACCATCCGCCCATTAATTTCCCCAAACTTTTTCCAATATCCAATTCCAACAAAAACTAGCTGTTTTCATCAGTTTTCAGGCCAAATAATTGTTGATTTCCGCTCCTTTTCCCATCTCTTTTTGTTGAAGTTGTGATAACGACGGATCTATATGATTATTTAATTGCATGCACCACCCAAAAAAAAAGTCTTCGGACTAAAAGCTTCCTTGTACATTTTCCATTTTTGCTAGAATAAAGAATGGGTCTCCAGTTTTGTCTTATTCAAAGAGTTTGAAAGTTGAAGTTGTATTCCGGAAGTAATACTTGGTGCAATTCAAAAAAACTTTGAGAAGTTCCTGAGATTATGATAAGTGGCAGACATAGGGTTTGAAGGGTTAGGTTTTTATGGATGGTACTGGAAAGAGAAAGATTTTCTCCTATAATACAAATTAAATGATATGCGAAGAAATTTTAAAAAAAAACTTGTCTATATAATATATATCATTTTAATTCGATTACCTCAAAAAGACGTTTTCGATAAACTCGACAACACATCGAAAAACACAGGGTCCTTGAATGAAATCTAAAATTCCCAAAAATCAAAAAATAAACTGAGAACAAAAAATGATTCAATTTTAAGGACAGAATGACATTTTATTACTTCGGTACTGCACAGAGTTCCAGTAATTATACAGCCACGTTACTAAAGTGGTCACTAGAAATGCCCCGACCCGTCCGATTTTTTTTTCTTTTTAGGAGTTTTTCATGCCCTTTTCGAAATTATTCCGCGACATTCAGAATAGCGGTCCGTCAGTGAAAAGAAACTCAGTTTTCATCGAATAAGCATTCATAAATATGAAAAACACTAATAGATAGAATGCAGAAATAGAAAAAAAACCTTGTATGGCGTATTTTTTAATTAAGTTCGAAAAACCATCGAAAAAAAAACTAGAAAAAATAATTCAATCAAGACTATTTATATTAAAAATTTGAAACTGCAGTACTGCATCAGCAAGTTCAATTTGGCTCTGAGTTACGCGAATTGTTTTTTTCTACAAGAGCACAGAAAAAAATAATAAACCGCGAAAAAACTAGGGAGTCCAAGAAATAAAAAAATTTTTAACTTTAAAAAAAGTTTTTAATGTCTCCACTAGCTCTACCTTTCACGTCATATGACCCAGAATTTTATTCAGAATAAAAAAATTCATTCTCTGCAAAAAAATAAAACGTGAACTTCATTTCAATTTTTCCTGATATCGAAAAAAATTAACACGTAAGAAAAACAACGTGGCAACGTGTCATTTCTACTTTTTTGACCTGCGTTCAATCATCATTTCGGCTTCCTTCACGATTCGTCTGGTTTCTACATTCAACAATACGTCAAGATGAGTTTTTAATTTCCATAAAACTTCTAACTTACAAAATAAGTTTCTGAGTTATAAGCGCTAGTAGACTAGGCCCGCGGGACTCCCGGAGTGCCGATCCTCTTCGCTTGCGAATTGGATACGCAAAGTCACGCCGAAGCCCATTCCAGTGGCCGAGGCACAAACTGTTGGCAGCGCGATACTGACAAAGCGATGATGGGACCCCCGCGGAAAATGCCGTCACGGCCTTCGGCGTCTAGGATTTTTAGTCTGACAAGGCCGAGCGGAGCTCTAGCGCACCGCCTAGTTAGTTCTTCTGACTGCATAAAGTTTCCCTAACTTACTTATGACTTTAAACAGCTAATCACTCAAAACATTGTAATCCAAATAATGCAATCGACTTGATTTTTTCAATGTTGAAAATATTGCAGGAAGCTTTCAACGATCTTTCTCTGAGCAGTCCATGGAGATTCAACGACAACTTCAAATAGTGCAGTTTGATATCTAAAAAATTCTTCTTCAATTACTTTTCTTTCAGAAAAGACGTCTGGACGCATAAAAACTGGAAACAAAAAAGCAGATTGGAAAAAAAATCTACTGACTACAGGAATATCAATGTGAAGGTTTTAATTTCGAAAAGCTTTTTGATGAAAAAAAAAGAAGGCTTGACCTTATAACACTGAATTGAAGCTAGAAACTCTCGCGCCAGATTCGGCGGTTTTTAGTGTGCAAAATTTTATCGCAATCGGGATAAATAATCGATTTTGGTTCAAGGGCCCCGACATTCTGGCTGCGGGATAAATAATTCAATTTTGCGAGCTTTCTGTATAGACTTCTGTATTTACAGTACAGTAGCAAAAACGGGTGATTATGTTTTTTTTTTTGGGTTTTCGATCATAACTTTGTTAAAAATTATTGTTTTGACCTGAAATTTTAAACAAGTTTGATGTTAAAAACGATTTTTTGAGCCTGAAATTCCGAAAAAGCAAAACGAAAAAGTTTGGAAGAAGATCCCAAGGAGCGTACAAACTTAACGAGTAAATGTCCCGAAGATACAGGGCGGTTTTCAAATCCAACAGTGGCTTTTTTGAATTTATATTTGTTGATTATTTTTTGCGATTCAAAATAGAATTTTTTCGGAGATTTTTTTTTGGAAACGGCAAAACTCTAATTTAAATCGTCAATAGCATCTTTGTACTCAATTTGTTGGAATTTCAAGTCAAAATGATTTTTTTTGACAAAGTTATGAAAACCAAAAATACTCACCCATTTTTACTACTGTGTATCCTCTTTTTCCGCTTTTGACAGTCTTTATCTTCGAAAATTCAGTCGATAGCGATGACGATAAATCTGCCTTCCTTACTCGAAATGGCGACGACGACTTCAAACATGATCCATGGCGGACGGCGTGCGATCAACTGCGAGGCCAGCTAGAAAATACCAGGTACCAGCCCAATGCTCTTAAAAGCAGCTGAGGGTTTTTCGTTCTGTGTTAAATTGCAAAGGAGAAAAGGAATAACAGTAAATTCACAACAACTGGAATTGTCAAGAAGCAAAAAGAATGCAATTATCGTTTATCCAAAACTGATTGGACCTGTTCAAAGCAGGCTTGTGCGAGGTCCACATCGCTAACTTATCGGCCTCGGTCCATTTCCATAACGTTGAGAGACTTTAATGAAAAAAGTGAAAACTAATTTTTTGGGAAAAATTAGAGTTAGGATGATAATTTTTTTTGATGAAGTTTGAAAACTTTTTTTTCGAAACCCGGCTCTATCCGAGCCTCCGCAAGCTTCATTGTTTTGAATTTCAATTGCATAGACCTCGGTAACGCAAATCGAACACATTTGAGAGTTCTGAAGTCGGAAGGGGTTATTGGAAATGCTCAGGAAAGTCTGGGGCGCGTACGGTTCGCGGTATCGAGTTCCGGGCTTGTGCGTCTCTACTGAATTCGTGCAAAGAGCCGTGACTATGCCGTAATTTTGCAAAAAAAAAGTTGCATTCATCCTGCAAATCAGGGCTTTGCATTTTGCACAGAAGTTCCTCGCATTTTGCATTTCTTTATGGGCTCACTTTTTTACAGACGAAAAAAAGTGCAAAATGCAAAGCACAGATTTGCAGAATGCAGCGAAGCTTTTTTGCAATATGCGGGCATAGGCACTGCTCTGTGCACGAATTTAGTATAGGTCATTCCGCGCCAGCTTGTCACGATTTTAAGTTTCCTCGGAGTTAGAGAACCCCTTTCGGCGCTTCGCTTCGATTCTATCGGTGTTCCCCCCTGCGTGCGCCTTTAATAAAAGATTATTTTTGATTAAGATATTGCTTCAATTTCCTCTATCTCTTTTATTGATTTACGAGGTTGTTTTCAATGAATTGATTTCATTTTTCGCTTTCACTATACACTCAGATTCTGTGCTGAATTTAAAAAAAGGAAATCAAAAAGATTGAATTATTACTTTTTTTAATTGTTACTAATAAAAACCGACTGTTCGAGCTTTTCTTGCATATAATTTTTGGGTTAGTTTAATATAAAGTTTGATGTTACAATTGTTTTTGTAGAATAAGAAAATTCCAAATTCGGAAATAATGAGTTTTATTAAAGGCGCACGCAAGGGGGCACACCGAGAGCATAAAAGCGAAGCGCCGAAAGGGGTTCTCTAGCTCCGAGGAAATTTGAAATCGTGACAAGCTGGCGCGGAATGACCTATAGACGTCTGGCTGGACTTATTTTTTCTAAGAAGCCTGCGCAGGCTTAGGTCAGGTATCAGAAAAAAATTTTTAATCTGATTTTGAAAAAAATTTCATCCAAACTAAAATTTCTCACCGAAAAATGCTTATTTTCAAATTATTCGCCGTTTTTAAAGTAATTTCCATGAAATTTAATTTGAATTTTTTTTCAAGTCTCCAAAATAAGTTTTTTTAACTATCTGACTGCTAATTTTAAGAATAATTTCGCGGAATCTAGTCGATTCCATCTGACTAAAACAACCAATAAATATTGATTGATTGATTGAATCACTATGAAAAGCGCATGAAAATCTGCCAAATAGAAAAAAAAAATCGGACATTGGAAACGCGAAACGGACCTGTCGGATCATTTATAGTGAACACTTTAGTAGCGTCAGAATTTTTAAATGATCCCTAGAGCTTTTCAGAAACGTTCGGAGCACGTCCGTTTCGGTTTACCGAGGTCTGAGAAGATATAAGAAAAAAAAATTAATCGAAGAGCCTCTTTATTGTACAAAAAATTCATGCGAATTTTCATCGGCTTTTTTATTGTTTCAAAATTTAAATGATAAACTGACTTTTCCCTCGATTAATCTCAAAAACAAAAAATGATTTCTTTTCTCTGTATTGAATTAAAATGAGACAAATTTTACGAAAGGAAACTACTTTTCCAATTAAAAAATGTCATTTTCCAGCTCATACAGTTTACATAAACTACCTGAGTGTTTATCTCCCTTCAAAATAAACATTTGCAAAAGCCAACATTCCTTTCCTAACAGGAAATCGTGTCAATATGTGGTATTTTGTTTTTTTGTGCACTTTTTCTCTTGCTGGAGCTACCGAGTTTTTCAATTCGAAAGGTGATCTTTTTTCTTTCTAAAAAGAGAATTTCTTTTCTTCGAAAAAAATTCAAACATAATAAATCTGAGTACAAATTCCGGCAAAAGTTCACTGAATCATCCCCGAAAATTAAAAAGAGTCCTCAAAAACTATAGATCCAACTGTTATGGAGAATATTCGCTTTGTTCAAACAAATTTACCTTTCGAACCATTCAAACCACTTTTTTCAGTCCCACCAACTCAAGTAATTCAAGTATTGTCGCGGCATTGTCGGAACAACGCTCACACATGTCCATTGGTACAAATTAGTCTTCATATTCAATCATCAAATCCAATTTCAGAGCATTCAAGAGACGGTTCACTTTTTCGAGAATATCATCGGCGTGATGGTTCATCACGGTGTAGACTTCAATGAAAATCGATACCATGAGGTAGATTTTGTGAAAAAAATAACTTTTTCCTCTCCTTTAATTGGAAGGACGACAGGAGGAACCTGTTTTTTTTTCCTGACTTTTCAACTCAAGAAAAAGTCGAACTTCTTTGTGATTTTTGGCAAAAAATGTCAAATTTACGAAAAGTTGCGGTTTCAAACATTCAACAGAAGCTTCAAAGGTTATCTCATTTTTTTCAGCAAAGGTAAATGTTTTGTGATTTTGGCGAAAATTTGAAAGGTATAATAGTTGCGGTTTCAAACCCCTTTTGGAAACATAGAAAAATTTTAATTTCACACATTATGAGTTGGCCCCCAATAAATCGTAAAAAACTAAAAGTTATCGACTTCTTGTCTCTTCAAGTTCAGTGAAGACCTCCTTTAAATGAACTGACACTACAAGTTGAGTTATTTCTTCTATTTAAGAGTGAAAAACATATACTTTTTTTTTCCAAGTTAAAAATAAAATTTAGAGTAATAAAATATCAAACAATTTAAAAAATTATACGTCTTTTCGTCAGCGGGCGTGGCTTTGAGATCCCTTCCTAAACCAAACTAAACTGAATTTTTATAGATCGGCCGAATTTTGGGTCATCTAGACGCTGGAAAAAATGCCGATGATGTCATCGAATTCGATCGCGTCTACGGTGGCGCCGTAGCTGATCTGCTCTCTAGGGTCAGCGTTTTTGAACTTTGTCTCCTGAAGATGGAATATTTTCAGTTCTCCGAGTTTCTGGCCACCGTTCCAGACGTCGAAAAGCTGAACTTTTCTCGGAACGTTCTCCGTCCTCCGCCCTATGTTTGAAAATTTGGAGCATATTTCTGTGTTTCGATTGTTTCGTGAGTTCTTTGGAATAAAGTGTAAAGGTTGAACGGCAAAACATGATCAAAAATTATCTCGATCAACCGAATGTAAAGAATTATAAAGATTTATTCAATTTTTCATAATTCTTAAGGCGTCGGTAGTGAGTTCTTAGAGTTGCGCTGCGGCTTTTGGAAGGAAAAAAATCGAAAAAAAAAATTACCACATTAAACTCGCACTCAATGGTTTTCGAAAGCGTGAAAAATATGACTCAAAAAAAAATAAATAAAAGCCAGTCTGAGCGGGATGCACTCCCTACGAAAGAGGCTAGCCTTCTAGAGTGACTTTAGCCATTCCAAATGCGGTCTTCCTTCTTGAAACTGCATGATGTTCTGACTGCAAAGCTGCAGAACGTGTCCAGGACCATAAAAAGCGACTAAGTGACGTCCTGACCCGCTGATGGGGGAAGAAGAGCCGTGACTTTTCGCGCGCTGTTGCCGGAGCCGAGGATGAAGCACCTGTCGGCAAGTCGGACAGGTGATAGTGTGGATGAGATCCGGTGGGGGAAAACACAGCGACGAGCCGCCCTATCAGTTTGCTACATCTTCCGTCCTTCCGTCACTGGCGCCGACGTTCAATTTTTAGGTTCGGAATTTTGAAATAGTCCTTTGAAGCAAACTTTAGACAGCATTCTGAGAAAATTTTGGTTTTTGACATTAAAATTTTAATAGTGTTTTGAAAGTTATCTAGCCTACAACTACTTCGAAAATTTTAAAGTCCAGTCGAAAAAATCATAAAACCGAAAAATGTTTTTTTTTTCGTCTTTCAGTCTCTTTCCAGCCTTTTTTGAAGGCTTTCACCGCTCAGAAGTTCATTTTTGACATATCTTCACTAAGCGTCCTTCATTTAAAAACGTTGCGAAAAATTTCAAGCTTTTGTCCCGAAAAATAGAAATTGATAAAATTTCGGTTTCCTTGTAAATTTATCATAGTGGGAATTACCGTAATTGAGTTTGATAAAAAAAAACTAATCACAGAACTTCCATATTTATCATCTTTGTATCACAAACCTTTAAATAAAAAAAAATACGGAACAAAATTCAACCGTGAAAAAAAATTTTTTTCCGCGCCACTACTTCAAAAATCGCAAAAAGGTCTCAAAGCGAAGTTTGCACCAGATTTTATACTGTTTTGACTCGGAAAATGTGTAAAACTTTCCAAAGTTTTCATTTTTCAGATTCATGATGCTGACAGACTCCAACTCTCAGACGCGAAAGAAGAAGAGCATATTTGAGAACATTGACGACCTTATATCCCCAGATTTCGACCCGACGCCGTCCAGCAGCTCTCCGCCATCCAAACTCGAGGTTTCGAAAAAAGACCGGAGTTTTTTGGAATTTTGGTGGTTTAAGTGTCCTTATTGCCAGAAGGTCTACTTGACTTTTTTCGGTCTTCGGCGCCACGTCCAGTTCCACGAAGAAGGCAAACTAGAGCAGCAATGTCCTCACTGCAATAAAGTTTACAAGTGAGGAATTTTTTCCCAAAAAGTAAAAATGGGAGGTTTGAAATATTGATATTACCTTGTAAGCTTTTCATCGTGGGTCGGAAAATAATTTTAAAATCGAAAAAGTACCTTCTTTGGAGAAAAATTGATTCGAAGTCGGAAAGAAGTTTTATTTTTTTGCAAAAAGTGCATTTTGCAGTAAAGTTGCCCTATTGATAAATTGTATCGCCATTTTCCGCTTTCCCGGACGTTCTGTGAAAATTTTTAGTGGCCACCTTGCCAAGGACTACTTGTAGAGGACACTAAAGTGGCCACTAAACCCACCTTTACAGTGACCACTATTTTCCGTTTTAGTGGCCACTATAGAGGTTCTCTATTTAGTGGCCACTTCAGTAGTTTTTCATCCAGTATTCCTTCCAGTAACTCTGATAACTTTCAGATTGGACCAGTTATGTTGATCCATTGACCCCTAAAGTAGTCACTAAAAATTTTAGTGGTCTAGTAGTAGCACTTAGACCTCTATAGTTGCCACTATGTTCCACCCCTTAAGTGGCCACTGATTTGACTACTATTGTGGCAACTAAAAAATTTCCCAGTATGTTTTCCCGTACGTTTCTGAAAATTTCTAGTGATACCTTTAGCGGTTTGAGTACTCTTAAGTGATTAATCATGATTAAAAACGACGGGAGCGCGTCCGAATCGCGTTTTCAAGGTCTGAATATTTTCCCAAATTCTCTAGGACCAGTTCAAATTTTTTAATATTTCCAAATAATTTCAATTTTTATAAAAGTAGTCCAGTCATTTGCTACCAAGTCTCATGTTTAACAAACTCAAAGAAAAGCCCTAAAATCAACATAATCGGTGTCGCATCCGGAGTTACACAGGTAGCGGCAGGTTGGTTGCCCGGAAGAGTGTCACCTGCCGCAGTTTATCCGGCGGCGCCAAAGCTTTGTTGCCATCCGCTCCGGCGGAACCCTTTTTCATCTTGATTGGAAGTATTTACCAATCTGTTATTATAGTTTCGGACAAGATGAAATGAAGTTGAAATTTTAGATGTTTTCAGTTTTGGAACTGAATCTATTTTAAAGTTTCAAACCAGTCACAGTGATGTAGTCCACGTAGATGTAGAGGTCTACTTTTAACAAGAGTTGTTTGAGATTTCGATCTCGTCTCGAAAAATCACGAAATTTTTAAGGAGATATCTTGCCTAGAAGCAAAGTTCCTACGTCTCGAGATTTCTCGACGAGTATTCTTTTTTTTCGAAACGAAAATGTCGAGTTTAAGGTCGAAATTGCGGTTTTTGCAGCTTAAGATAAATTAAAATCCAAAAAAAAAATGGGGAAGAATTAAACTCGGACCTTGGTATCGCAAAACGGACGTGCTCCGGACGTTTCTGGGCACTTCTAGAGATCACTTAAGAGTGCTGAGGCTACTAAAGTGGTCACTAGGAATGCTCCGAAGCGCGCCCGATTTTGGTGACGGAGATCCGGCCAGTTAAAAAATCGGACGTGCTTCGGACGTTCCAGGGCATTTCTAGGGATCACTCAATAGCACGGACGCTACTAAAGTGGTCACTAGAAATGTCCGATTTTCGTCTGTTTCGCGCTACCAAGGTCCGAGAAAAATGACAACTCATTTTGTCCATAGAGCAGTTTTGCTCCGAATTTCACTTGCGCATCCGAACTTTTTTCGTTTCCAATGTCGAAATTTTTTTCTGATAGAGCTTTCATACCGTTGGTACGTACGAGGTAGCTCTACAGATTTAATTTCTCAAAACTCTTTTTTTTCTGAATATTAAAATATACATACATCGAGGATCCGACCAAAATTGATCAGATCTTGGTAATTTTTAATCAAATTTCTTTGGTGAATTTTTTTTTTGAAGTCGCAAGGTGTAGTTTCTAGCATCTCTGGTTAGAAATATTACCTAGAATCTTGTGGGATTTTCTTGAAGTTGTTCCTTCGTCAGTCCAGCTTTTTTTCCAAAAAAAGTCTTTTTCCAACTTCAAATTCATATTTCCTCAACGAATAAAGCCACCGTAATCCAAGCAACAGCCACTGAGGAGTCGAGGTGCGGCCGGAGCAAACAAATGATGGCTGGAGGCCATTAACACTTGGCTCGGCCATCGTTCACCGTTGATTGCCGTGGAGCCCTCCCAAACGGATTGCAACCTACCTGTTCCGTCTCCTGCCTTCAACCTGCATCCGAGCCTCGCCTTCCGAAACACACACACACAACACCTGTCACCTTGAGGCTCACCTGTGCAATGTTGTACGCACACACACACACACATCACGCCCTGAAGGCTCGGCTCACGTCAAAACGAAGCGAAATGTGATGGGAAATGTGGGATGTGATGAGATTGGTCTAGTAGGGCCTCTGAGTGGGACTGTGAAAGGGAAAAAATTAGAGGCGTGAGACTTGACTGAAAGACAGAAGAAAATGTCGTTTTAGAAGCAAGGCACTTGGCGTACATTCCACAGAACCTGGGTTGAAACCTAAGCTTACTAGAGAACGTTTCTTCCCCCCTCCTCGGTTGAACTTTTTGCTGAAACTTTGCCGAAGTGTACTTTAGGGCCCCCTGATTACAGAACAGAAAGAAAATCTCGCAATAGATCTCGTTTTCGAGTTAGGACACTTCAAAAGCCCGAAATAGCGCTTTTTGGCCTAATTTGCGTATTTTGTGGACTTTTAAGCTCCATAACTCGGAAACAAGATCTATTGCGAGAAATATTTTTCTTGTTCTGCAATCAGGGGGTCCTAAAGTACACTTCAGCAAAGTTTCAGAAAAAGTTCAACCAGGGGTGAAAAAGTTCCCTGGCTGGTTTGAGAATTTCTTTAAGTTGGGCCTTCATCGAGTTGGGCCTCATACCTTGACAAGCCTGATCCTTTGACGAACTTCCAAAAATCATATTAAAAATTCAAAGCTTCTCACGAGAAAAAAGAAAAAAAATGTGTCTTATACGATTTTTTAATTGAGTCATGACACTCAAAACGCTTCGAATGAAGGTTTTTCTCTAAATTTTTCTATTCTTTTCAAACTCAAAAATTTCATAACTCGAATAAAAAATCCTCATAAGTACTAGAAAATTTTGAGGAACTTAAGCTTTTTTTTAGATCACCAGGAGCCCTCAAAATGCATCTGAAGACCCACTCGCTGCCTTGTGTCTGTGAATCGTGTGGAAAGTCTTTTTCGAGACCTTGGCTCTTAAAAGGGCACCGGAGAACACATACAGGTTGAGATAGAAAAAAATTCAGGATATTTTTTATCATTTTAGGAGAGAAACCGTTTGTTTGCGAATCGTGTGGCCGAAGTTTTGCCGACCGAAGTAATTTGAGAGCTCATCAACAAACTCATTCCGGCGAAAAACGGTACAGGTTAGTATTAATTTTAAGAAGATTGATCATGAGTTCGAAATAAGTTTAGAAGGTAAAATTCAGATGTGTCCACTGTAACCAAGCTTTTGCCCGAATGCAAGTCCGAATGCGTCACGAGGCCGCCTGTTCCCATTTTAGCAACTCGTCTTCGTCAGAAAAATCAGAACGCCGGTCATGTGAATGAATTTTTATTTTATTGGAATTCTTGAAATCAAGACATTTTTTCCTAATTTTTCTTCCCTAAAAGGAGCCAATCAAAGCAAAATAAAAAGTCACAAGTGGCTCTTGGTTTTTTCGTATGAAAAAGATCTCTAGTTTGACCAGACCAAAAATCAAAAGCAATGAGCAGAATTTGAAAAATCGAACCACTCGAAACGATCAGATTGAAAAAATCAGAACTTCAATCACATGAATAAATTTTATTTAAGAAAATTTTCGGAACAAGCTATAGCCCGTCCGCCGCGACTTGGCAGTTTTCGCGTGTCTGCGTCTCTCTGTTCCCTCACCGGTGAGGTCAGAGGAACATGGAAATAGCACGTAAACATGAGAGAGACGTCGAGAGATAAGGAGGGCCCAGAGAAGTCTCGCCCTTTCAAGTCGCGAAAAACGGACTATAACAATCATTTTCAAAAAAATGACAACGTATTGCGATCTCTTGTTCTTAAAATGAACTCCCTAAAGCGACTTTTTCAAAGCAAAAGTTCACATTCGACTGAGAGCCACAGGCTCCATGTACTCGCTTAATTGTTCATCGAAAAGTTGCCTAGTCGGAATTTGACGACTGGCGCATTTTTCGTGCTTGACGCCGATGCCGTGCCGTCTGCAGGTCTCGCAACGGTCCAAGCCCCGCGTCTGTACGATTACTGTAACCTGGAACGGTATGTCGTTTCGTTGAGAAATCTCGATATTTATACAGTCTGACTTTTCTGCGCTTTCTTCTCACTCGGTCTCTTGTCCTTACATGCATCTAGGACCTCTTCGACGAGAGAGAAGAGGGCTCAGACAGGTCAGACAGATTCAAGTCATGACGAATACATATATGATATGAAGTAAGGTAACGATAAACGAACTCTATCACCTAGAGACGCGGAAAACTCGGCAGGTCTTGGGTGAGAGACTGGAGCCACGCCGATTTCGACCTTTTTTGGCTTTGCCCATTCCGCTTCTTCGGCTTGGGCCAATATCAAAAATACCAGATTAGAAGAAATCAAAAGCGCTCCAATAAACATCCAGAGCATGCTGAAAGTTCAATTTTTCTCAGTTTACTAATTTCAACTAAACCTCCAATTTCCGACTGGAAAAATGAACTCAAAAATAGTTACGGTCAAGGGAACCATGACCATAGCTGCGATGTTGATGAAGAAGACATATTCCAACATTTTCGATGCGAATCTCCTATAATAAGTATTTATTTTAGAAAAATGAAGAAAAAAAGTACGGCGAAGTCAAAACCAAGCTCCGCGAAAATCCGAAAAAGGCGAAAGGGGAGGAAAGCTTGAAAATAAGCAGGTAGATTGCCGAAATAAGGCGATCATTGCTGAAAATGAGTTCTTTTTTCTCTGGAAAAAAATTGTTTTTAACTCAATCTTCGATAAAGCCTGGTGCCGCCAATATTCGGCATGTACTTCTTTTTTGCTCACTCCAAAAATTTTTTTCGCGCTTTGGTCTGCCTTTTTTTTATTTTTTTAATCTGACTAATTTAATTTCGGGTCTATTTATTCTGGAGACAGTTTATAGCAAATTTAAATACCATTTGAGGCAACGTGTCACATTTATAGAAAAAGGGTCTTGACACGGTTTAAAAAAGTCTTATAATTTACAGGGGCTCAGGAACAACTATTTTTGTTGTCCAGAAATAGAATATAATAAAATAACCAACAAAAAAAAAATCATTTTTCTAAGTTTTTTTTTCTTTTTCTTCTCTCAGAACTTCGAACTCACTTGAAAGCTAGTCCAAAACAAGCAGTAGACATTCCAAGAATCGCTATAGTATTGAACGCCCTTATCGATATTTTCGGATTCAGAAAGGTGAACCGAAATCCAATCAAGCATATTAGAAGTTTAACAAGGATTTCTGCGGCCTGAACTCCCGAAATTTTCGATTCTTTTTGCCGGGCTCAAACTTCAAGGATTAGACTTATGGAAAGTGTGTTGGAAGGAGTGAATCCCAGGTTAATGTGCAGGATTTTTGGAGTGAATTGTGATAAAATTTGGTTCGCGAAGAAAAAAGCGAAGGAGACAGGTAGACAGTATAGAATCGAGACGTCGTTTAGAACTTCCTGGAATTCGATTTTTGAAAAAAGCTGACAAGAGGGGTCATTTTAGTGTGAAGCTTGGAAATTTCTGTAAATTTGCCCAATACATCTCTGAAATTCCATTTGCACAAAGTTATAGTTTTTGAGATGTGAATTCGGACTTTGAAACTTTATTTATCCGAAAATATCTAAAAATTAAAGTTTCCGCAGATTTTGGCTATGAAGATTTCAATTAACGAGTTTTTTTAGTGGAATTTATAGAAATTTCCAAGCTTCATATCTAATTTATTGTTAACCTTTATTGGGAATTCTGAATCTGTTTCAGGCGTGGGATCAGACTTGTCTTCCTTTCTAAATCTATAAATGTTCTCCTAATTAAAAAATCCTTACCTTGAGAAGAGAAAAGATGTGAAAGATATGATATTCAGCCCTGCAACCACGTAAAATAAAATATCCCATCCATCAAAAGTTTGGGAAATACTTGCAACTAATAAGATAGACACCTGTAAAACTTCATTCTTGAAGTTTTATGTTGAAAAATACCTGAGGAGCGAAAGAAAACTGGAGCCATCCCTTTTCAATGGACTCTTGAGGTATATTCCGAATAAGGTTTGAAACTATGGGTATTGAAATCAGAATAGCAGCGCCCTGAACGATTTTTAAAAAGATATCAAAAAAATAAAACCAATACCTGAATTAATCGAGTGAAAATCAGCAAATGAACATTTAAAAAAGCCGCCGTTGGATGAAAAGCTGTCGATATTGACACTAAAACTCCGAAAAACAGAAAAATCAGGCTTCCTTGATAGTTCTGCAAAAAAGATTTCCATAACCTTACTGGGAAAGTTCTAGTGACCACTTAAGAAGTTCCTCAAGACACTAAAGGGACCACTAAAACCACCCTTTATATAAGGCCAAGTGTGTTAGTGGCTACTATAGTAGTTTTCAGTTCTCGGGTATAGTCGATGTGCCACGACTTGAAATTTCATGGAACAACACTCCGCTTGGGGCCTTGTGGTCGTGAAAGCGCCTTGCCTTTGCGAATTTCGGTCGCGCTTTTCATTTTTTCTTTCATTTGAAAATTTCACTGTTTTAATTATGTTTCAATAGTTTTCTTCGTGCCAAACTCATGATTATCATAGCTAGTGGATAGACTGTCTCATTAGAAACAAATAAAGTTGACTAATTTTCGAATTTTAAGCGAAAAAATGCGTTTATAATATTGATTTCAACGTCCCTGACATGCAACATTCTTCCATTTTCACTTGTAATTTTTCAAATCATTTAAAAAAATATCCCGATCAGAAATAAAACACAATGAATGTTTCAACATTGACGAATTTTGAACAAAAAAAAAACAGATACATAAGTTCAAAGGAAAAATCATTAGTTTTCTGGACATTTCGTTCAGCACATCGTTTCCACTGTTCCAAGTTCCCACTGTTCACGCCCCATTTCTGACGCATAGTTCAGCAATTCGACTTATCTGAAGCTCCATTTTAAAAAAAGGAACCAAAAGCTTTCTTCAAATTATGTTGCATTGCAAAGCTCGAAAAGGCAATAATCTCCTCATATTGAGCATTTTCTGCAAATTCTTGTATTCTTGTCGGTTGAAATTATCAAGAAGCATTAGCAAGAGAACATTAAATGATATTTAACCTCGATGAAAATTTTTTCCACAAAACGCCACAAAGACTTGTGAAGTTGAAAATATCGCGTCTTTAAAACCAAACGTTACTCTGCAATTTCGATGTCAGTGGGATATGAAAAACTAACCTCGTCTTATATCCCTATGGATAAGCTTCTTTCTTCCTCGCCAACCTTTGAAATCTCGTTGAGATTCCCTCAATAAAATCATGTCCAACGGCAATAAAAAGTAAAAGAACAAAAACAGAGGAGTCGATTTAACCTTATGTTGACCGAAACCGATCTCTCTATTTCATTGTGCTCATTCACGTGTTCATTTTATAAGGCACTCACTTTCTGAAAAAGATATATTAACCACTGCAAACAGAAAAAAAAACCATGAAAACATTAAAAAAACACAGAAACTTTTGTAGAATATTGTGGCGTTTACGGCCTATTTCACCCGCAAATTCTTTTGGTAAACCTTTGAAAACTTTTTGAGAAACGAGAAAAACAATATTAAAGCGATTGACGAATACATGAAGTTTTTCAAATTTTTTTTATCGCTTTTTTCGAGAAAGATCATGAAATTTACTGTGTTCTTTCGTTTACATTTGTAGAACACAATCCTTCTCAAAGGTAATAATACATTTTAACGGAAAAAAACAAGTAAAAAACGATCAAAAATAGAATGAAAACCAAAAAAAAATTAGCGTGGTGGCCGAGGTTGGCAAATTCGCAAAAAGCGCGCTATCGCACAAATCGAAACAGCGGAGTGTCGTTTCGTGAAATTTCAACTTGTGGCACATCGACTATAGTACCACTACGATTTGTAAAGAGCCCCCTATTGTTAGACACTGAAGACTTAATCCTCAAAACCCTAAAGTGGCCACTATAAATTCCTTTCAGTAAAATTTAAAAGAAAAAAAAATGGACTCTACCTTCAGGATTATTTTTGCTGGAAAGATTGCTAGAATAAAACCAACGCTAGGGGCCAAAAATAAAAAGTTCCACGTGAAATTGGAATAAGGGAATTTCGCTTGCAACGTTGATTCTGAAGAGGCGATTCGGGTACTTTACAAATAAATAGAACTTACTGTTGAATAAATGATTTTCGGCGAGAGGTACTTGAAGAAAAATCTTCGAATAATTGAAACATAGGAAACAGCTCCATAGTGAAGTCACACACAAAAGCGAAAAATGCATGGGAAATCGAAAAAGTCCATTTTTGGGGTCACTCTTCCTGCAAAACTTCAAGAGCTCCTGTCTGGTCGTACTTCAACCGGGTAGCCTCTATTTTGAACAAACATTATTTCAATATCTTCTTCTCGTTTCATGGTGCTAATTTTGAAGCTTTTTTCAAAAAACCTACATTTTCACTGGTTGAATAACGGCATGTTGGTCGAAACGCGGCTTTTCTCGTTTCTCGTTGTTTCTCACTTCATTCGAACATATTCAAAGCCGATTAGTATATTTATTGCATTCAGAATGATTCATTGCTGGCCAAAATGTCAATAATTTTGGTTGAAAGTTTATGGAAAAAAAAAACTGGGGTCTTCATAAATCCTCATACAGAAGGCGAACCGTGGACGGAACAGGTAGCTTTTATTTTTTTTTTCCAAGAAATAAACTGCTCATTTTGAGTCCCGATCTTTCACTTTTTTTCACAACCGACAGGAAAAATGGTTCCATTCATAAATAAAAATCTTTATTCAAGAAAAAAACAACTTTCAATGTTTAAAAAAAGAAAATGAACAGAAAGATGTTATCACATTGAGGGATCGTTCTCTCAAGAGATGCTCTAATAAATAAATTACTCGGGCATTTTTCAAACTGCGGAATATACAACTTTACAAAATTTCTGTCACGTTTCTAAACTCGCAAACTACGTCTCTGATTGGATACCTCATTAGAGACGAAGACTTGGTTTTCTGGAGCTTTTCTTCGAAGCTTCCAAACTCTTGAGCAGTCTACCAGCTCGGAGGCAAGTAAAGTCTAAATGTACCATTTTTGAAACCGCCTTCTCTATGCGATCATCGATGGCTCTGAACTCCGCGATCATGAAATCAACTTCTTTCCGGTCTACTGTCGCTTCCGCGCCAGGACGACGACGAAGATCTGCAAACTTGCGGCGATAGATTCGGCGAATGGAGGGGACCCGCTTGTCGAAGAACTCAACGGCTGAGGTGAAGGTTTTCTCGTGGTAATAAATTTCCGCGAGTAGCCCAATTTGTTGACTCGGCTCCTTCAGCTCGTAGTAGGCCTCGACGGTAGGTTCTTTGCTAGGATCCTTATCATAGTCGTTCCAAGACGTTGGTGGCGCGAACCCGAGGGCTGAACGCAGCTCCGTAAGCCCTATGATATTATGCGCCGCTTCATACAAGTTCGCATTGACAGCTGCAGTCAAGGTCCCCTTCACTATGTCCCCCGAGAAATGCTCCTGATCTCTATCGGATAGACAGGTGGTTCGTATCTTGTTCAGCTCCAAATCCAAGTCGAAGGGCGGAGATGACGTGCTCGAATTTGGTTCTGGAGCGGTCGTTGACGAAGAAGCGATGCTTGCTGAAATCCAAGCCATTTAGAAAGTTCGAAGAACTTTGATAAATCGGTTTGAAGGAATTCAGTCAAGGTTCATATGAGTTATCAACTCTCAAGAATACGAAGTAGAGTTTTCCTGTTTGCTTTTCTTTGCCTTCCAAGCTCGAAAGGACCCAGAAAGCCGGAAAAAGTTGAAGAAAAGGAGAATTTTTGGACAATTTTTAGGAACTCAAAAATAAGCTATAGAATCTTCTTTTTGACGACTTTGCCCGTTTTTTTTTCGACTAATTACAATCCTAACTATTGAGACGATCATACCTGCACGTAATTGGGTCGCAAAGAAGAGACAGGTGACAATTATGGCTCGCATACCTATAAATAATAACAAATTTTGAAGAATATACGCACATGATATCACAGTAAGAGTTTTTTATCACAAAGCCAATTGAGAGAGGGAAGAAATAAGAGACTGGGACCCGCTCGACCCAATTTCTCTCTCAAAAATCCAACCCGCGTCGAATCAGAACAACTTATACATGGATTATTAGTGGGATCAGAAGCGAAGTTACAGAAAAATTAAAATAATCATCATTTATTTTTAAGAAACCTGTTAAAAAAGATTTCTCATTTGGAACTGCTTTTCCGTTTTAATTAGGCTTCTCTAAGCGTGCCTAATTCAAGCCTGTTTCAAGTTCTGACCTACCTAGCTCATGCCCAGAACAATTTAGAACAAGTTTTCTGGGCTGATTTACAAATTTTCAATTTTTACGGACCTTTCAAAGTCAATAAAACGTAAACAATGTGTAATGGCAGTGAAAAAAAAAAGTTCTATGAAAACGATTAATTGGGGTTCAAAAAGAAAAATTTCATATTCTCATGTGAAACTAGATGTTAAATTATCACGTCTAGATATTTTACCATCCCATTCTCAAAATCGAGTTTCCAAAGCGGAACTATAGTCTGTTCAGATTTTGAATGTCAAGTCGCCGCTGAAGCTCCGCCCATAATGGTGCAATAAACCAATCAGAGAGCGAGCCATCCACAGAGTGTTTTTGAATGACGTCATTGCATTTGACATTCAAAATCTGAACAGACTATATTTAATCAAAGCCGTCCAAAGCGTATTTTTGAGATACGGTAAACGTCTGCTCCGCGCACACGCATGAATGCCGCACCGAATACCGAGCAATCGACGACAATAATTTGAATGAAAATCTTTTCGATTGTTTCTGGTTCTTTTCTCCTTTCTTTCCATTTCTAGCTTCATAAAGAAAGAATGTGTATGATTGAATTGCAAAAGTCTGTCTTGGTTGTGCATGATGCAGAAAGTTTCGCCTCTTTTAAAATTTAAAAGCTGCGTTCCTAAATTTCCGCATTTTTTTTCTTTTTCTTTTGAGGCTAAAAGTATATTTCAAGTGTAATGGCCGAAATCGACGAGGCCATTTTGCTCGGCGATTCAAAAGAGACAGGTCGAATCTCCGTCGACGACAGTGTTCTCGATTTGGATTCTGATATTGCGTAAGCTTTTTTATTTATTCTTTTAGGTCATTGATAAATTCAGAGGAGAAGATGAAGCATCGAAACTGAAGAAGGAAGACCTCGATCTGTACGACGACGTGATAGCGCCGAGCAACACATCTTTCGTACGTATTTTCATAAATGAATGTTTTGAATTAATTCTTTGCAGGATTCATCAACGCCGGTCACTACCGTTCCAGCCACGACCACGCCAGTAGAAGTTAAAACTCAACAAAAATATTCTTACTCATCTTCTGGAGCAGCCACGTTTTCTACATCAACGGATAAAAAGTAATAAAAAAGATAACTCAAAATGCAAATTAAATTTTTACAGGTATTGCTGTTATGTTGGCAACATGGTTTGGTGGAATACCGATGCTGATTTGATGGTAAGAGCTTATATTTTCAAAAAAAAAGCTTTTTTGTTCAGAAGTTGATGGCTGAGATCGGATTGGCGCGTAGCGACTTTGCTGACATGAAATTCTTCGAAAATCGCACAAATGGCCAGAGTCGTGGTTATGCTTTGATGGTTATGAACACGGAGAAAGGTGAGTGGATAGAAAAAGGAAAATATAGTATGAAAAAAAATTGACAAGCTTAGGTTAATATTTCGTGAAACTTGCGAGTGCATGGAAGTCGAAAATTTTTATCTAAGTGAGCCAAAAAAAAAGTTGTTCTACTCTGAAACTAAGTGATTCTTCTTTTTTTGAAGCTATTTTTGGTTTTCTGAAGCTATTGTAAACAAACATTTTTAACTATAATCTTCCTTTATTGAAAGTGTCAAGTTTGAGAAGGATTGAAAATGATGCGGATGAGGAGAAATTGAACTTTGAAACTGTTTCCTTCTTGGGAATCACATGGACAATTTTCGGGCTTTTTTAAATTTGGGCTTTTTTATGCACTTTCAGTTTTGTCTTGAAGAATTAAAAAAAATTTTCCTGTAGTGGAAGAAAAATAAAGTCAAAAACTGATTATCAAACTCCATTTCCAAGTCTTAAAAATACAAAAGTCGATATGCACTTTTTTATATTCAATTATTTTTCAGCCGTGAAAACTCTCTTGGAACAACTGCCGTCGAAGCAAATGCACGGCCAGAATCCGATCGTCCTTCCCTACAGCAAAATTTCGCTGGCCAAACTCGAAGACGGGCAGGCGAAGCCGTTGATGCGCGCGGATACCAAGGCGAAGAAGGTAGGAGCCGCGTTGCGTAGGGCGTAGCGCAGGGGGTAGAGCGTTTGCTCGCCGTCCGCGCGGTCGCTGGATCGACTCCCCATCGCGCTCATAAACTCAGCAGACAACCGGTTCGGAAGGTTGCAGGCTGGTAGCGGGCGCAAGAGAGAATCTCTATCTTACCAGCCAGCAACGATTAATAAATTGTTGGTTAAAAGAACGCGTACAATTTTTGCTTTTTTTGGTGTGAAATTTTTATTTCAGTTTAACATCGTTTTTGATAGAAAGAAACCCGTTTGGCGGATTTTGTGTGAAATTTTTTATGTAGTGAAAATTTCTCTGATTTTTTCGAGATCCTCCAGAAGTTAGAATGCTCTTCATATACGTGTAAAAAATGAAATATATGTTTTTTCATTCAGAAAAAATTGTTGATTTCACTTTTTATAGAAATCTATTTGAAATATTCCCTACAAGCTATGTTTCGAATAGAATTTTTAGAATTTTCGATTTAATTTTTAGAAATTTCAGATTGCGTGAAAGAAGTTTTGTGAAGTTTTTGATCAAAGTCTAGTCATCTTTTCCATTTTCCTCACACTTTTCTTCAATAAGGACCAAGAAAAATGTCAAAATTTTCAAAATAGCCTCACCAACTAAGCCACCAAGTGTTCATATTCAGATAGAAGAGAACTGCGTCAACATGGGAACCATAAGAATAGGTGGAACGAGTTCCGGCGGCGGAATGATGATGGGCAACCGTGGACCAGCGGGAATGATGATCCGTCCTTCTGGGCCTACGCCGTTGATGCAGCCGCTCCCTGGACCGCCGCCAACAAGGATCATGCCGATGAACGGTGGAATGGCTCAGGTTGGAATTAGTCGAAAAAACAGTCTTGAAATGGATATGAGAAGATCTTTCGAACTATAGAAAAGTCGGCGGTCGCAGTTTTTTGGAAGAAGCTCTAACGGTTCTTAAGCTAGTACTAGTTGATGAAAACGGAGAACAGAAATAGAGAAATAGACAATTTTATCAGCATTTAGAGTGGTCTTTGAAGTGTGAACTATAAAAATTTCGAGTTTTTCTTTATTTTATTTTTTCTTGGGAGGGAAGGGGGTGAGATCGTAATTTTACTTTTTAGAGCTCCTATCATAGTGAATCTTTGATAAATCCGTGATTGATTGTTAAAAAAAAACAAGGCGAATTATTCTGAAAATAAAAGCCGTTTTATCGATTCATACAATATTTAAAAACACTTCAGCAAAGCTTATTTGATGGTTGATTAAATGATCAGTCAATATTTATTTTTTAGTCATGGATTCAATGGGGGAACAAGAGTTTTTCAAATCAAAATCGAATAGACGCCTCTAGTAGACTAGAAGTCCAAACGTGTAGTCGAAAGAAGCATGTCATTGAAATTTAAAAAGAAATGCAAAAATTAGACTTTTTTTCCAGCCAATGATGAACCGTCCTCAACCGCTCATCGGAGCTCCGCCACAGCAGCAAGGACCAACTGCGGCCGGCATCGCTCAGCAACTTCTCGGCGTCATCGCGCAGACGGCGAATCCGGGCGGTCAAATGCGCCAAATGATGCCCAATACCAACACCCTTCCTCCTCCAATGCAACAGGTACTTAGGGGTATCGTGAGGGAAACGTTTCGGGAATTCAATAGTTTAAAAAGAACTGTTTTAAAAGGTAACCGAAACAACTATGAGAAGTACTATTTAAGAGCTATGAAATTTAGTTTTTGAAATTTCAGCCAATGATGAGCGCGCCGCCGCCGAACAACATGCCGTTCATGACCCAAGGACCTCCGCCAAACATGCAGGCTAGGTAAATGAAAAGTCTAGAAAGTTCGCGGCTTTGATAACGAAAAAGAGGCGTTTTCTGCGCTCTCCACAGACTAAGCATTGTCTCTTCATTTATCGTATCGGGATCTTTTTCTTTATGATTAGCCAGACGTGAACCAACTATCGACTATTTATGGCTGGCATGAGATACAAAAGAAAACATGAATTTTTCTGAATTTTTACCGATCAGCATATATGAGCAAACACAGTACTCATTCAGCCCGGGAGGAAGGGTTGGATTAAAATGTTTCGAACAATCAGGAAAAAATCCAAGTTTCAATCCCAGGGCTTTTGGCCACAATAATACAAGTATTAGCTCCTGGAAGGTAGTATTACCTTTATTTTAGGAAAAATTGGAAGAAAGGGTCGACGACCTTAAAAGAATGGGTTTTCCAAGTATGCCGAATAGACGTTTTTTAATCGCGTCAAGACCCTAATTCTAAGAGCTTCAGAACATCTTTTATTATTTTTTGTATAAATTATATTTTAAAATCCAACAAAAACCTGCTTCCCACTAGTAAAATCTCGAGCTTGAGCTTCAAACTTGATTCTATCAATATAATTATCATTGCATCAGTATAATATACTTTTTGCTTTTCCAGACCACCCCAGTTCAATCCGAACCCGATGGGCTACGGTCAACCGCAGCCGTTGATGGGAATCAATACGGCGATGAAACCGCCGCAAGCCATGCCCGTACATGTCAATCCACAGGTTTCAGAGCAGAAAAATGGAAAAAAAGCGGAATTTTCATACAAAAAATAGAGAAAAATGGTTTTGAAAAGGGAACATACGAAAACAGAAAGTAAAAAGAAGTTATTTTAAGTTTTACAATTTTCGAAAAAACGTTCATATTCCAATGGAAGTAGCTAGGATAACAGCTTTCTTCGATACAATATCAAATATTCACGATTCAAAAAATATGGAAATCAATTTCCAGATGCTCTCCTCGATGCAGGGCGGCCACATGTCGATCAACGAGGTCGAATTTGAAGAAATCATGAATCGAAACAGGTTTTTGAACTATTTCAAGCAGTTATATGGCTGTTTGTTGTTCAGAACGGTCGCCTCCTCAGCCATCAGTCGCGCCGTCGCCGACGCCTCATCTGGCGACATCAAATCGGCGACCGAGACGCTCCTCATGGCGATCGATTTGATCAAGTCCAGCAGGGCTTCTCATGACGACCGCTGTCGTCTTCTGGTCAACAGTCTTGAGGTTCGCAAAAAATCGTTTACCTGAAGAAAGCGCAGTTTCAATGCGAATTGAATTTTTTGACGTAAGAAGGTTTCTCACATTACTCACACTGAAATTCTTTTTTCATTAGTTCTATTAGATATATCTTGTTGTCAGAAGTAAGTTTGGGACACAAAAATTGAGTGCTTGAGGGCAAAATTTGACGTTTATAGAACAGATTGTGAAAAAAATTATAATCTTAACTTTATGGAACAGCAGTTGGAGTTTGAAAAAAAGAAATAAATTGATAATCTCGGATTTTCGGTGGGAATTTTTACTTCAAAGTTTTCGGGAGAAACCGGAAATTTGGTTGTTTTAATGATAAATATCGTTCATCATTTCGAAGTAGAATCGCTTGAGCTCAAAATTGCTGAAAACTCATGATTTTTGAATAGAAAATAATTGAATATATGCCTCATTTTATTCTTTTTCAGTAAGGCGTTTTTTTCGAAATTTTCAGAGCAAAAAAACGAATTTGAATGATTTCTCTATATAAAAATAGTCGAAAAAAAAGTTGAGATTTTTTTTTCCAAGGTGATAGGAGTTTGTGAACATAATTATTTAAAAGAAGCTTGATTTTTTTATTCTGGGGCAGAATCCAAAAAAAGGCTTTTTTTATATTTTTCGAATCGGTTTCGAAGCTCAAGTTCAAGGTTTTACTAATAGGAAGAAGATTTTTAGGTTTACGTTAAAATATTGAAATTCAAGTTTAATAACTGATTCCCACGACTTCAGGATACGCTGAAAGGCATCGAGAACAAGGCGTATCCGAGCAGCTCGCGATCGAAGCACCGTGATCGTTCGCGTAGTCGCGACCGTGATCGCAAGAGAAGACGTCGCAGCCGCACTCGCAGTCGGTAAGCATCGCAAAAAAAAAAATGAAATAATAAAGAGAGTTCTGAACTTTTTATAAAAAGTTGTGTATAGCCTGTTCCACGCGAGCTGAAGCTTTTCGAGTGTCTGCGTCTCTCTGTTTTCTCATCGGCGAAGTTAGAGAAAAGAGAAAATAGCACGTATACATGAGAGAGTCGCAGAGAAGTCCGAAAAAAACTATAAAGCTTCAATCAAATTTTCAAAAAATCATATTTCTCACTTATCATCTTTCCATAAACTTTAAAGGCGCAGAGAGGAACCTTTAGAAATTATTAGTGTGAAAAATGGTCTTTAAACGATTCTATCGAACTTTGAGCTTTGCTCTAAACTTTTTAAGAAGCTGTTGCGAATGAACTATGCTGAAAAAAACCTTTTTTTCTAATTTTCTCATTTTTCAGCTCCGATTCACGTTCTCCTTCGCCTCATCGCTCCCGTCGACGCTATTAATTCCCTCAAAATATATTTATTTCCGTTTTTTGTATTCAAACTGTACCTTGTTTCATCTTATTATACTCCGTTCTTTGATTATACGTAAGTTTTTCCCCCAAAAAAACCAAGAAAATGATCGAAATTTTCAGTGTTTCAATTTGCGATTCGTCACGCCGTTTTTCTTCATTTTGGACAAAACTTCCTTTTTTATTCGTTAATATTCAAATTCGATGATAATATGGATCTGCATTAAGCCTACAGGTTGGTTTTTCGCTTTTTACTTCAGAATTTTCTTTTGAACTGAATTTTTAATTTATTTTTCCGGGTCTTTTTGTCTAGTTTTATTCGATTTCTTTGCTTTCTTACTTCTCACTTTCCTTTTCTTGAGGTTTTTTTCTCATTCTTGAAAATCCTATTCAATTTTCATTGACTTTATCATGCTGAATTTCGTATTTTAGGTTTTATTAAAAGATTTTGGTTGACGAATTGAAATTTTCAACTTTTTGGTGGGGTTTTGGGGTCAATTTTTGAATTTGTTAATTTTTCCAACTGTTTTTTCCAAGCCCAAGGCAAAGTTGTTAGCTTATAGTAGATCCTGTGAAAATAATTAAATTTCATCTTTTTTGCTTTTTTTATCTCCTTTATTTCCCATAAAATTTCTCAATTTTTCACCATTTCTCTCTATTTCACATTATTTCACTTTTTCTTCTTCATGATTTTTTTCATAAAAATTAAATTTCATAGCGTTTTATTCATATTTTTGCATCCATTTCAGTTAGCTACTTCCATTGGAATTAAAAAAATGCATGTTTTTTTCAAAAATTTATATATTTTTTTATCAGCTTTCATTGAAAAAAATACTTTTGTTGATCTCGATCTTTTTTTCGGCTTGATACATACAAATCTGATTTTTTTAACTATAATTTTTTTGATATTTTTTTCTCAGTTTCTGAACAAAGATAAGCCACCTAAACTTAATTGTGAAAAAAAGTTTTGAATTTTTTTTATTCGTTTCTTGTGTTTTTTTAAAGGAGCACGGCTTGAATCTTGAATGATTGAATTTTTCAAGCCTGCGCCTTTAATAAGGAATATAACCTTTTGTTATCCCTAATATTTTGTGCTCGCTTAAATTCACGTGTTCTAATCGATTGTATAGGTGAAGCGAGGACGTCGATACGGAGTTGCCGAAGCATCATCTGGAGCATCGTTCGACGTCGACGGAGACAAATCTCTTCTCACCGTAGTCCACAATCGATTGTTGACCTTTTTCTCGTTTTTTTGTCTTCTGATAAAAAGTTGTGGAATCTGTGGGAATCCATCAATTGTTCAATTTGAGAAAAGCTTCAGACTTTGGTAAGCCATGAGTTTTTTTGTTGTATTTTCATTTCGGGTCTTTGGTTGTCCGCCTATTAAATTCAATTTTTCCAGAACTGAGCTTGAGGGTTATTTGAAATTGTAATTTTTTTCAAACTCAAAAAGATTTTTTTCCGAAATAACTCGATATTTTCAGGTACCGCGCCAGAAAAACGAGTCTTCGCCTTTCAACGTTGTTAATCTTCTTGTTAAATTGTCTTCACCATACTAATATAATAAATTTGAAAGATTTTTTTATCAGCAGTTTATTACTGGAACATGTAAAAAAAACAGAAAACGTAAGAACTTTGATTGATTGATGAAATGAACAAGGAAAAGGAAATATAAAAGCTTTGAGAATGGAAAATGAAGACCCGAAGTGTCAATTTCATAAAGGAAAAAAGAAAAATGGCTTTGAGCGTTGAACTTCCCCCTGACCATCAAAAATGACACGATCTGTCCAGCAAATTGTGTAATTTTCATTTGGACATGAGGTTGAATGTTACTCTTGAGATTGTGTAGTGAAAAAGAGCGGCAGAGGTTCAAATGGAAAAAAAAACTTCTGGCTTTGACATACACCGAAAATTACCCAAATTTGAAGGAAAAAACTTGAGAGATAGCACCAATACGTATTGGAGTGAAAAATAATAAGAAAAGAATATATAATAATCATAAGATTGTAAAAAAGGTAGAACGAAAAATGCACTGCGATGAAGCATATTATTCAATTTCGCGACGTTCTATCATATTTGGCTCCTAATTTGCACAACACAACGGAATAAAGGCAACATAAATGAATAGAATCGAGATTGAAGGTAGAATTCGTAGTGAACATATCCCCAGAAAAATGTACTCAATAAATTGGAACAAACAAACAAACAAAAAAGTTTCATTAGGCTAAGGTTAAAGCTAGACTTGCGGCATCCAGGAAGAGAACGGCGCTAACGTCGGGGACGCCTTCGGGACTGCGACGGGCTCGGGTTGGCTGCGAAGACGCGGGTCTACCGGCTGATCCGGCGGCAAGACCTGACGCCCGGCCAAGGTCAGCATTTGGCTGTGGGCGTCGAAAGTCGAAGAAAGAACCCGACTTCTTCGTGGATCATTGGGTCGGATATGCTCGACGTCGTCGATGCCAAAGTACAGGGGCTTTGTCTTGACTTCGAAGAGCCGCCATCGGATCGCCCTATCGTTGGGTATCATCGGCACGGCGAAGAGCGGCTCCGAGTGCATCGGCGGTGGTGAGGCCGGCGACTCGTTGATCGTGTTGTAGCCGGACTGGTTGGCGAGCTTGTTGAGCATCTCGTCGAGGTTGAACGGCACGTTTTCCGGTGCTGGGGCGGCCGGCTTCGGCGGCTCGATCTTCTTGGGAGCTGTGGAGATGGTGTGCGGAGCGCCGAAGAAGCCTGACGTCACCGGCTGCTGCGGCGGGTAGAGCGGTGGTCTTTGCGGAAGCGCAAGCTTCGGAACGACTATCGACGGCGGCGCGATCTGTCCGTTGGAGGTCTGCTGCTGCGGCGGCAGCGGGGCGTGGATGACGGCCGCAGGTGGGAGAACGCCTTGTTGGGGTGGCGTGCTGCCGGAGACTGTGGGATTGACTGGAGCTGGTCCTCCTGGTAGAAGTACTCGTCGGCCTGGAATTAGAGGATGTTAAAAAAGGGTTTTTTTTTCTGAGATTCATGAAGTGAATTTTCCTAAGATAATGAGGTATGCTTCCGAAAATGAGATAACGAAAAATTGAGTCTGTGGCCAGGTCAGCTGAGAAATTTGAGCTTACAGAAAAAATAATTAAAAATGAGCATGAAATTTTAAACTGGGAAATCTTAAGCTCAATTTTCGTGGAAAAATGAAATATTTTTGAAGATCCTCGGAGAATTTTCGAAATTCCTCACTACATTCTTAAAAATCAGAATAAACCTTATGAATCATATAAAATAAGGAAAATATTCTCGAAACTCGGTAATGAAATCGGACGCGCTACGGACGTTTCTGAGCAATTCTAGGGATCGCTTAAGAGTGCTGAAGCCACTAAAGTGGTCACTAGAAATACTCTGGCCCTTCACGTTACCAAGGTCTGAATTGTAGGTATGTTGAAGTGTTCAAAGAAAAAAGAAATTCTTCTCTTCGTTTTTAGGAAAATTAAGATCAGTTGTCTAACCTATCAACTCAAGCTTCCTGAAGCTCTTCGTGTCAAAAAATATTCAAGTTTCGCCTATGCTCCTTTAAGTCATCAAAAAAGTCACCTCTAGGCGGCGCCGGCGGGAACTGTGGCTGCGGCGGCAAGGCTCTGGCCTCGTCGTCGGCGATCATCTTCTCGATGAGAGGCCGCGTGTAGTCGGTGGCAGGGACGTGGGAGAATCGGCACGGATCCCGGGTGCACTCTCCCTTGTGGAACATCTTGCAGGGGTACTCGCCGTGGAGCATCAGACACTGGAGGCCTTTCTTGCAGAAGCCGCTCAGGTAGAATTTGCAGAGTTCGGGCCGACGGAGGGAGTCTTCGGCCTGATGCGAGTAGGAGCACTGGTCGCCGTCGCGGCAGTAGCCCTCGCGGAAGAACTTGCAGATCTGGTGCTCGGTGTTGTAGCGTTTGCCGCGGAAGCCGCGTCCGAACGGCGCTCGGCCGGCGTACGGCCGCTTCGCGCGAAGGTCGTAGTCCGGGTCGTCGAGGTTCGGCGAGTGACGTCTTCTGGAAATTCCCTTGTTGAATATTGGTCGAAAAGCAGTGAAAATGTCTCATATTCCATTTAAAATAGCTTCAAAGCGGGAGTTTTTCCATAAATTTATAACCGGTATCTTCGTCTGAATCTCTCGGATTCACTTGCTATTTCGCTTCCGGATCTAACGTTTGATAAAGGTTGGAACAACCAAAACGGCTTGAGTAAAGCAAAATGAAGTTACCGAAAAATGTGGAAATTCCACCCTTTTCAGGTTTTTTCGTTCCAGCATTTTTAGATGATTTTTGTGAGATTAAAATTTTTTTCATTCAAAAAATCCGATGATTTTGAACAATTTTGTGGCCGAAAAACTAAATTTTTCTCAAGGCAACGCCTCAAAATCAAAAACTCTAAAGTGGTCACTCAATTTGACTCAGCTCTCAAAAGACCACTTGAAAAATTTTTTTCCTATAAAAAAATCACAAAAAAATCATAACTTTTTTTCCATTTTCGGTTCGATTTTCTAACCTTCTACTGCCCATTTGTCGATAATCGAAATCTCCATAGCTTTCGTCTTCAAACCGATAATCTTTGTCTTCACCTCCGGCGCCGAAAAAATCGCCATTTTCTGTAAAATGTAATGATTATGTTAATATTTACACAAAAAAACCTTCTGATTGACTATCTTCGTTTTTTTCGCTGGATGGATTCGTGACGCGAAGCCGTCGGTTGGATTCTAAAAAAATCGATTTGTTTTATATAAATTTTTTTGGATCAAACCGTTTCATCGGATCGGCGTGCGGCCTTTTTTTGGCGTTGAAGAGGAAGGAGCGACGGAACTGGCTGGTCCGTGGGATTTTTTGAATTTGCGGATCCTGGAAAAATGGGTTTTTTTAAATTTTAATTTTAAACATGGTTCATTTCCCTGTGATAACTTCTTTGGAATACTAAATATCGGAAACTTTGGGGAGGAAATTCCGTCATAATTTAAATCTGAGCAGATATATCACAAAAAAAATTAATAATAAACTTGAAAATAAATTAAATTACTTCAATTTTTGCAAAAAAAAGAAAAAGAAAAAATGAGCTTCTAATACTACTATACTAAAAAGGATGGAGAGAAAACAATAATTTTCGAAAAAAATTGAGTAAAAAAATGAAAAAAAGGAATCATCCTGATGCCGTGTTCAAAGTACTTTGCGCGGAATTCAGAATTATCTCTGACTCTCCAAAAATTAGTTATCTTTTTCAATCTCTGACGGCTATTCTAATTTCCACGGAGTCACTTTGAACACGCTTACAAAGTTATATGAAAAACATAGGCGCTTAAACAAAAGAAATTTCAAGTTGCAAGTTATCAATGGGTCAAACTTGTCGAATGACCTTTTTTCTGTAAATTTGTTCTTTGTCGTTTCTGTTTTCCGATTCTCTTCTCCAAATGTTCTCCTTTCTCGTCTTCCCTTGACCTTTTCTCCGAATTTGAACACAATCCAACACCTCCCACTGCACTTTCCTAATAATACACACCTGCGGAGGGATCCTCCTCGTCGTCGCAAATCTCGCCGTCTTCCATCAACTCGCCGTCCTCGACGTCCAGAATATCTTTCTGATTGTGTGACATTATGTCGACCATAACCTGCAAAAATGGTTTTCGGGTCATCGTTTTGTCCGTTTCTCCGCCCTTCTTTCCATATCAAAGTGTTACAAGAACAAAAAAAAGACGCGAGAAATTGCAACAGAAAAAAAAAGAAAAACGAAATTCGCTACGGATATATCTTCTTCCTCTAACCTTCGCTCTTGGAAGAAGTGATAAAGATTTTTTTCGAGATATAATTGGAAAGTTTCGAAAGGCGAGATAGAGAAAGAAGCAATAAGTTTAGCTCAAAATGAAATATTTGAATTTATAGTTGAATATGAAGATTGAAAATTTACTTTTTCTGTCTCTTTTCTAGTTTCAGATGGTGTTTTCTCGAAAAATAAAACCATTTTCATGAGATTGCTCGAGAAGTATTATATTATGTTTCATTCATGGGAATTTTTGAAACTTTGAGACTTTTTTCTATTGATAAAAGATGGTTTTCAAAGAATAAAATTAAATAGTGCGAAATTACTCGATAGAAAAAAATATTTTTTTAGAAAAAAATGAAAAGAGTCCTTTTCTGTTTTCCGCATTAATTCATTCTTTTTCCTGAAAAAAATTGAAATCTGATTCTGTGGATTAGCGATTTAACATAATTTTAAAATAAAAACTGCAAAAAAAAAATAAAAATTTTGCTTCAAAGTAATCATTGTTACTTTCTGACTTGAGCCTTGTTCTCGTCATTTTCAATTATTATGAAGCCTCCATGGTTTTCTCTTTATCAAAATCGTTTTCCCGATCAGGTGTATCAAGACACTTATAAACAAACAGAATCATGCTGAAATCATAGAACTTTGAACGTTGAAAAAAAAATACAAACATTATATTAACAAGCAGCTTTTTGTATATTGATAGAAATTAAACGGTCATGACATGTAAAATTTGGAATAAAGTCAATTGATATTTGGAAAATATTTTATATTGAAAGCATTTGGTTTTCTAGGTAAGGATACCAGATTTCTCATCTCTCAAGTTTATACATCAAAAAATAAGCTAAAGATAAACTTTTCTTATTATAAATCGTTTTAAGATTTCAAGAAAAAAGCTAAAAGATTTTTTTCTAAAGTTGAAAAATGATATCCTTGATTTGTTCAAACCGAGGCATTTAAAAATGGATTTCCTGAAAGATTTTTCACATTTGAAACGACCCATCAAGAAAATAAAAATTCGATTTCAAAACTCCAAAACTTTCGAAACTTTTTGAGAATAGCGTAATACTTTTTATTTCTTCCACCTTTCTGAAAAAACTATAGAATCAATTTGAGATGAGAATACGGTAAAAATATATCCTACCTCCATTATTTTCATCAAAGTCTGTGCACTAAAACCTTCTCCTATAGATCAAAAAGATAATGTTTTTATCTGCATTTCAATGATGGGAACGACCGGAGAGAGGAGAGGTGGAGCTTCTGCGCTTTTCGAATGCTACCGTAAGACAAGAAGGCTAGGACACGCCCCACCGCCCAGGGCTATTGATTGGAAATGACGTCATCGCAAGGCTTTTGCTTTTTTTTCCTAGAAGTGAAAAAAAAAGAAAATTGGTTTCGCAATCTCTAAATTGAAGGTTAGGTCTGTGAGACTAGTAAATTAAAAGATTAAATTAAACCTTTTTTCTACATTTTCAAAAAAAAGAGAAAAAGTTAGTTTTGTTGATTAAAGAGCTTTTTCAGAAGAAAAAAAATGACACATCTGTTCTCTCAATTGGAATTAGAAATTGGAATGAACCTTTCTCCAAGTTTCTGAAAGAATGAGTAAAAACCGGGTTGACGTCGGCTTTTCGCAACTTTTTGTCGTATTCCAGCACTTTCCGCGTTGCTTGCAAATCAACGCTTGTTTAACCTTTTTTTCAAATATATTTTTAAAAAACGTAGCTGTATCCATAAGTAAAGATATATAGAAACGAATGCATAGCGGGCGCACCACTGCACTGGCACTCCTCTCAAGTGACTATCGCGAGGCGTTTTGGGAGGCCAGTCCGACGCGGCAAATAGACGAATCTGCTCGTCGCGACTCTCCGCCAATCGACGTTTTCTCTCGTCAATATCGATCGGAACTTGTCCGTCAGGCCGAAGCCGCGTTTTCCCCTTCCTCTCCGTCTATCGGAAAACATGTCCCATACAACTCACGGTCGCTCCCATTTCCTCCAATGAAAGAAGCATTGAAACCACAATAACCTGTTCACAAGGAGAAGGTTTCAAACACGCGAAACACTAAATTTTCCACATACAAAAAGCATTGCAATTGCTTCGCCGTTATAAAACGAAAATGAAGCTTGATAAGAATAATCAAACAACGCACTTATCTAAGAAAATAAAATTATATTGCCGTTTCATTCAATTGAGACGAATTAATTCAATTAAATTATTATTTTTACTACGTCACCGCCACACACGCGCTCCTGAGAGCGAAAGAGATTAGTCTGTGAGAAAGTTCTTGTGGTTTTGAAGCTAAAAAAGCTCTGAAAACGACTTGACCTCGGTTTTTGTATGAAATTGTTTCATGCAGATTCAAACATTACAAAAAAGATTTTTTGAAAAGACTGTGACTGTTGGAAATTATCGAAGACTTCTCTATTGCTGAAAAAAACAATTTTTTTGAGAAATATCATTAAATAAGCGCGTTAGCAACGTTGACTGAGGAAAATTGCACACTATTGAAAAAATTTAAAATAAATGAAAAAATAAAAAAAGCTGCCTGCTTTTCACAACCTCGACCACTTCGCAACCTTCCTTTTCATGGGACCAAGCGAATTTCCACGCTTTTCAAGCGTTTTCTCGTCCGTTATTTCCACTTTGTGCCCATTTTGTGAAGTAAAAGGTAAGCGTGAAGAAGAAGGAAATGGAAAAAGATGCTGCTATTCATCAACAGTAATATTCTGTGATTTTTGCATGATTTGATGAACTTTCTCAAGAATCATGAAATCGCAGCAGAGCGATGCGCCCGAATGTGTTTCGAATGCCGGATTCGTGTCTCGTGAGAGGGTCCTGTCGTCACCAGAGGGTTACGGTGGCGCGCCGTCAGCTGTGTCTTTTTCCCTTTCGCAGTTTTAATTTCATTTTTGTTTTTTTGTTTCTAAATTAATTTCAATTTTCGATCTTAAATTTCTTTTAATTGGGTTATTCAGTTTTTCTCAATTTTTTCGTGTTTTTTTGAGTGGATAACAACGCGATTGTCTTATTTGTTCAGAAAGTTTTCAATGCATGCCTTCGAAAGAGACCATTAAAGTCGAAAACTATATCTGAAAAATGCTAGGTAGCTTTCTGGTTTTAGTTTAAAAGAAAAACGAAAATTCTTCGAACTTTCTTTCGTATGAGACCATGTCCATGCACGTGTGGGTCTGAAACCGGTTCTCAGTTTGCTGTATCATTCTCTGTCGTTATGTTATTTTTTTTTGATACTTTATTGTTATTATTTCAGTTTAGCATGTTGTCCATCAAATACTTTCAGAAAATTGCCGTTTTTCGAAGTTTGCCGTGTTACACCGTGTTATGAGCTTTCATGATGACTCACATATTCTTTCAAGACTTGGAAGTGAGAAAGTTGGGTTTTGAGTTATTATTCTGGAGCCTTTAGTTCTTGACTCGATGGAAGAAAGCCCCAGGAAGAAGCAGGAAAACGCGCAAATAGCAAAACCGCACACAAAAAGGTCCGAGAAGTTTGTCGACGTGAAGTTGAATCAAGAATTGACCGATTCCGAAGACAGTGACGCAGCTTTTGATAGGGTTAGGTTGAAAAAAATATTTTTTAAGTTTTTAACTGATTTAGTTTTTCAGGATATATTGTTACCCACAAATCGTAGCGCGCCGAGAATACGAAGGAGATCTGAAAACGTGATATTGAAGCTCGTCGTCATAATTATTCTATTTTTCATTGCGGTGAGGACTTTCTCATTGATTAGAACTTGAAAATTGAATATTTCATCGTGTATTTGACGAAAAGGAGAATTTTTTGAAAGAACGAATATTTAAAATTTCAATTGTAATTCTGAAAATTTAAAAAGGTTTGTTCCACTTTTTCGGTTGAAAAGAAATTAAGGATGCTTCTCAGGCAGTTTTAAAGGTGGAGAGCTTTTTCTTCATTTTTTTTTAGGTCAGTGAAGGCTTCGAATCCTCTAAAAAATGAGATATTTTTCAAGATCTTCAAGAAAATTTGAAAAAATCTCAATAATTTTCAGGGTTTGACCAATTTGAACTTGGAAACTTTCCAATGCGGCCCTTCAGTCGAAGTTTTATCTTGTGCTTGGTCTTGTTTCGGTCTAGTTATAGGAATTCATGGAGGTTTCTCCTTCTAATATCAGATTTTTGTTCAAATTCTATGTTTTCAGCTCGTTTGATATGTTTCCGGGTGAATTTGCTAGTTTTCATGATGGTTTCTCTATTGGGTTATCTTTTTGCCGCGGTATTTCCCATCGGTTTCACTTTGTCTCTGATTACGAGAGGGTTCTTCATTGCCAGTGTGTTATATGGTTAGTTTTTTCGATAAAAAAGGAATTATAAATTTTTTCAGCCGGTTCTCTAGCATGGTTCGGCATTTGGCGGAATCAGCAGCGCATCTTACTACTTTTCCTCTTCATTTTCTCCACTGGAAATTTATTTTCAATGCTTTCTAATAGTCCAATGGCAGGTCTTTGTTCTTGAAAAATTTCTTACAAAAAGTTAAAATTTACAGATTCCTCAAACTTGGGCCACTTTTTCCAAGGTTTCCGAGACGATCCAACATTCGTTTGGGAAGGTTTTGATGAAGAGAAGCGTTAATGAAACTTCTTTACCAGGTTAATTTTGGATGGATTGAAATTCTGGAATTTTTAGAGGTTTTTGTGATTAGAATTGCATGATTTGAAATTTTTTTGATAAAAAAATAATTGACTAAGAAATTTTTATTTTTTTCCTTAGCTTTCAGGATTTTTTTGATATCACAGCTGGAAAAAAAGTATACCTTTCCCTTTGTTTTTTTACAAAAATAGCATCTTTCACATCGATTTCTATAAAAAAAGACGAGAATTGGTATAATAAAGTTACGAAATTCAAATTGTACGTATTCTAAAACCTTCCAAGTAGTGTAGTATTTTCTCAATTATTTAGATTTATACCATAACTATCCTTCTTTTCAGCCTTTGAATTGGCCAACAACACGAACCTTCCTTCGAGTAATGATTCGGATAGAGCAAAAAAGTAGGAACTTTCCTTTTTTGAAAGAAATGAAAATATTCATTTTAGACCAGAAGTAGCAACGGGAAGCGTTTCAAAAACTAAAACCAAAGCTGAGGAAAATGCCGAGAAAGAGTTGGAAGCCGCGAAACAGCAGAAAATCGAGGAGAGTCGGCAGAATTCTACGGTTTCAGGTTAATTTTTGCGTATATTTTCTTTTTTTTTTTAAGTTTCGATTTTGAGTTTATAAGAATATTGTTTTATTTTCATCAGTCCAAGGCTCACCGATCATCAGAAAATTGGAATGAACAATCTTTTTGATTTAAATATCAATTTAAAGCAAAAACGTTCTAAACCAGTAGAAAAGTGTAGTTTTTCTGTTTTTTTTTTCAATTTTGAAAGGCCTATTTTCCTATCGATCGCGTATCTCCCCAGCTAGAAGCTTTAATGGGGAAGAAACTTTTTACTTTAAGTTTTTCTTTTTTTTTTCGTTTTCAAGAGTATTTTTCAAATGCAGCTGTAAAAATTAATCTATTTCATCAAAATGAAATTCAAGAAACATTTTTTATCTGTATTTTTAGCAACTCTCACTCAAAAAACAACAATTAGCTCCACAACAACATCTACTAGTACTACAACCACCACTACGACCACGACCACTACAGTGGCCCCTACAATCCCGCTTTCTATAGCTTCCGCCCTTCCAGGAAGAGAAGAAACTTTGGAAAGGTAAACAGAAAATAAAAATCTAGAAGAAGTTTAATTCAAAAAGGGTTTGAAGAAAGCGCATTAACCGAAGGTGAGATAGGCCAAGTGTATTCAAAAAGTTGGTAGCTTTTGAACATTTGAGTAAAAATCTTTTTTTTTTCCCTTCAAAAGGGACATGAATATCAAGCCTTAAACTGTTTTTTTTTTTTGAAGGAAAACCCGAGAATTTAATCATTTTTTTTGTTCGATGTTTTGAGTATGGGAAAACTGATAAGTTTTACGGGATAAGCAACGATTTTTCCACAAGAAAAAATGAGTAGCTCGTTGAAATCATATTTATGGCGGAGTTAAAGTTTATTCGATGAGCTAGTTGCATCTACGTCAGCAAACAGTTTCACGAGCTTTGAAATATTTAATTTTGTTAAAATTGATCAATTTAGAGCTAAAGATTCCGTCTCTTCTACGTTTCCATTTTTTTAAATAATCCTTATTTCCAAAAAAATACTTTTTTTTCAGAGACGATTTCAAGAACTGCCCTCTTCGTAAAAACATCCCTGTACGTTAGGGCCAAGGGAGAAACAAATATCCCTCTTTTGACCGCCGTTTCAAGCGTTTTCGTCCTCATTTTGTTCTCTTTGGGCTACTTGCTGTGTTGTCTGCCGGTTGGAACTAAAACGGAAGCCAGAATCAAGAAGGTATTTGAAAAAAAAATCGAAAAATTTAGAATTTGATGCTTTTTGCAGTTGGAAAATGAATCGGCCGTCGGATTTGGCGTCCGATTGCGCGTCTGTACGGCTACTGTCCACACTATTATTGGATTCTTACAGCGTTCGTTGTTTTTTCTTTTTTTTAGGAATCTATGAGATTTTTCTGAGAAATATGTGAAGATTCACGTAGGTGCAAAAGAAAAAAACAGGAAAGATGGAAAAATAGAGATTTCAGGAGGATTTCTTCAGAATTTCACAGAATAAATTTATGGGTACATTGATAATTTCCTTGGAATTTGTAATTTTACTTGTTCATTTTTTTGGGTAGTGTCATTATTTCTCGTCTCACAATCTTTTTGCATATGAAAAATGACGTTTTTCGATTTTCCTAAATGTTTTTAGAAATTTTCCGAATTTCAATGCTTGTATCATCAATCCAATTACAAGAAAAAGCTAAAACTCGAGAATCTTCTATTTTCCACCCAAGTTTTTACGTTTTCGCTTTTTTTCAAAGTTCTTTCCAGCAGAAAGTACTTGTTGTTTTTTCCATTTTTTAAAAATGAGTTTTGAAGATTTTTTTTATTTATAATTTTTTCACTTCAGTTTTGGCTGTTTTTTACGGTTTTTATTGGTTTTTTCTTCAGAAATGCTTCATTTCCACCCGACGCTTTTGCGCAACGCCGAATTGTCTAGTAACCTGCACATGGTCTCGTGTTTTTCCGCATTTTTTTGCTTGTTTCCTTCTTCTTGTGATGTGAGTTTCACACTTGAAAAATTAAAAAATTAAAATTTTCAGTGGCAGACGCGTTGGGACGCTTCTCATTGTCGTCGCATCGTTTTCGATTTACGCCGTCGCTCAATTGATCTTAATTATTTCCTCAACGTCTTCTCTGGCCGTCTTCTCAGCGACTTTTGGCCTCCAAACCTTATGGGTTTCGATGTTCTTCATTGTTGAGGTGCTTGGAGAAATAATAAATTCAAATTTGATAGGATTGAGCTCTAATTTGTCTCTACTGCGAAACTAAGCTTTTTGAAAGTACGCTCAAAGGATTTAGGGAAAAAAAAACTGTATTTCAATTTAAAATCTGAATTGAAAGCTTGTCATAATCCTTTTTAATCCTATATTTAGCTCAATAAAAGCTCATAAAATTATTTAAACAAGTTTTTAAATGGTTCACTTGCGTCATTCCGTTCAATTTGGACAGGAATCTTTAAAAAAACGTCAAAAAAACATATAATAATGAATTCGGAGCTGAAATTTTCAAATATTATGGTCATGAAAAAGGAATTTTTTTATTATTTAAAAGATACATTAAAAATAAATTTTTGAGTACTTTTCGGAAGTTTTTTTGTGCCTTGAAAATTACGTGATTTTGGTTTTCGTCTTTAAAAACTTTCGTAACGGGTTTTCAGCCAGAATATGAAGAAACTTCGTTTAAAAAAATTTCATATAACAGGGATACGTTTTTGAAGCGTTCACTGTGAATACAACGCATTTAAATGTTCCGGTTCCTTTTTTTTGTGTAATCTTTATTTTCCAGAGCTTCCTTGCTCCAAGACCAACAGTTCAACTTGCTTATTTCCTCCTGGCTTGGGCTTTTGGAAGGCTTTTTGCCTGCTTTTTCGCCTTCGAAATGCCTTCGCCGGCCATTTCCAACACTGTTTCGCTGACAATGACTGTAGCTGTCGGAGCCGTCCTCTTCTATGGAACGAAGTTGTTGCTCAAAGCGAAGAAGTGAGCATTGTGGAAGTTAGCTCAACAAAAAAAAAATCCTAGAAGCTTTGAAATGTATTTGAAGACTTCTTTTTCGACATCTCCCCAAAATTTATACGGCTTCTAAAGCTTTTACCTCTGCTTTCGCCATCATATTTTTTTGAAAAATCAAATCTGAAATTGATAGAAAAATTTTTTTCTAACAGTCGTTCAAAAAGTTGATCTCTGCGATTTTTTTAGCGTGAAAAAAACCATTGAAAAAAAGATTTAGAATTTATTAAAGTATGAAAAATTTGGGAAAAATATCAAGGTTCAGTGGCTTTTTCAGTGGGTTTTAGCTGTTATTAGTTTTCCGAAAGCCCAGTTTTCAATAGCTTCACATTAAAAATAGCTTTGAAATGGTAAGAAAAAATCTGTGCATCGAGATCTTTATGAAATGAGCCGATGTACCTTCAAAAATCATTCCGAAGTTTGTTGAGAAAAGAAAAAATAACTCGAATTTTTAAGGCTCAAAGAAATCCTTGACAACTCTGGGGCGCCGATTCTGGGCTCGGAAAAACGGAGCGGCGAATATATCTCTCTAAATACCCGGATTCTGGACCCCGACGACGACAATGACAGCGTTGGAATGATCGACGACCTTCTGGACCGAAGCTCGATGGATTTGGACTTTGAGCTCGAGCAGATCGGCATCAATGTCGACGAATCTCAGCCACTCACTAAATAGCTTTTCAGTGATCGAATTTTAATGTATTTTAGTTTCTTTTTTTCTTTGTGCAGTGGGCTAGATGTATAGGAATATTCACCTCTGGTTTGTGACTAAAAAATTTATGGCTTCTCTGAATTTTTATCCTGTTTTTATCCATTTTCGATCGATTCGCCACGATTTGAAATGCAGTCGAATGACTCTGGGCTATCACCCGACCGCAAAACGACTTTCGCACTTCCAAAATTACGCAAATCGGCAAGTTGAGCCATTTGAATCCGCGCAGATAGTTCTGGTCCGGTATTCATAAAGAAAAATTTTAAAGGCGCATAGGAATCGTTTCAAAATGCAACTTGAGCCGCTACCGGTTTTCCCGTCTCAAGCCAGAGTTGAATACACTTTTGGGATTTTAGAAAAGTTTGAGGTTACCTACCGTTTAAAGGATCAGATGGCGAATATGCGCGTTTTTATGACCAGTCCCATGATCCTTTAATAGCCCTCTTTAATTCCAGACTTTTCCCGTTTTGAGGCTCATTTTTCAATTTCGAAGCTGGCTCAATTTTCCCGCCCAGGCTCCTTTAAATAACAAGTTTTTTCACACGGTTTTTTCACGTCATATTAGTTTTTTCTTCGGCAACTTTTTTCACTTTGTTCCCCGGTGCCTTGTATCATATTTATTTTTTGATTATAATGTTCCCCAGTGTGATCTCTTCGTACCTTGTGATTATTTTTTCCCGGTAGATTTCCCTTTTTTAGTTTTTGATTCCCAGAAAATGAATAGTTTTAATTTTAATTTTTGCTTTTTTCGAGAAAAATTCTAAAGTTTATTTGCAGAATCGACCGTATAGAAAACGTGGTTCGAGAACAAAAATGAAGAAATTGAGTTGAGCAAATGATTGATGACGTAGTAGACGGCGAAATATTGGATCCAGGCCCATTTGATGAGTTGCCAAAAGTTGGTTTTGTACTTGAATTCCATTTCTCCGATCAGAATATTCAGAGAAAGCTTGAAATAATCGGATTGTTGAGAAGTTGGTAGGAGGACTTGTGATTTCCTAAAAAAAAAAGAGATCATGCGAAAGTAAGAGAGATCTAGATAGTGAGAGGACTTCGAATGTGTCTGCTGTCTCCACTCTTTTAGTGCTCTCTAGTTTTCTATCAAAATTGGTTCTTGGGAATTTTGAAAACTTTTCTTCTTTTCATTTTTCACAAAATCACTTTTTTGGGTTTCGAATATTTTGAATAATTTTTCATCCTCACCTTGACAATTTCAATCCAATTGGCTGTTCCATAGCCCGTTCCAAAATGGCATTTGGTTGATAGTGATCTATATCGATCCTCGTTTCGTCAATCAGTTCGAAGTTTTCATCGCCTCTGAAGAGAAATTATTGATAATTGGGCTTTTTAGACTTTTTCCAGGACCAGGGAGTAATAGTTCATTCAATTCTGTCCACATAAAATCCAATAAAGGGAATTTCAAGGGCTAGAAAAGTGAGGAACTTATGAATGGACTATTTGTAGAAAGTTGGAAAATCAGATTTTTAGGTTGAGAAAATCATGTAGTCATCATTTTATGCATTTTTTTAAAGTCAAAATTTATAGCCGATTCAAATCTGAGTTAACGAATATTTCCTCGAAGCTATTTCTGGCTTTGGGGACATGTGCCTTTAAATTTTCAGCTTTTATGCCCCTTTTTTTGGCTCGAACATCGTTGTTCAGTGCCAGCTTGTCACGATTTTCGTTTTCCTCTGACCTACAGAACTCTTCCCTTCGATGCGAGCGGCCTTTCTCAGTGCATGCGCCTTTAATATATTGGAAACTTTTGGTCAAATGAAAGGCCACACGTTTCGAACGAAATGATTTTATAACTCAAAAAAAGACTTAAATCCATAAGAGGGCGCGGAATGGGCTATAAAATCTCAGAAGTGCGATAAAAGTCGGCGTGGCCAGCCAATCAGATACCTAGTCCATTAGAGCACACTTTCAAGACTTACCGGAAAGGTTGACTTTGATCGACATCGAGTAAAGCTGTAATCTGAGCTTCTGAAGTTGGAATAGTGAGGTGGATGCAGTCAGTTAATAGAAGTTCAGCCTGAAAATCTCTTTTTGGAAAGTTTCGTGATTCTTAAATGTATACTTCATTCCCCGCTGACTTGGAAAAAGATACTATTAATATGTCTTAACCCTCTCACTTTTTTTCAGTTTCTAGCTCATTCTCAAGACAGCGTTGGATAGTTTCTACTTTCGGCTTGGAAAAAATTAGAATGAATCTTCTATTTTACATCACGCGAAAGTAGTTTTAGGTCAGGCGCAACTTTTAATCAAGCCGTTCTACGTGCTAATTCATCCTTACATTGATGACCAAGTTGTAATCCAATTTGAAGTTGACGAAATATTGGAAATTCAGCAAATCCAGCGTGTCGTTGCCGGTGTGGATTCTCAGTGCAATCGTCAGTTTTTGGAGCTGGAATTTTGAATTTTGAATAAAAATTTTGGCTTTAAGGAATGAAATAGACTCTTCAAAATTCCTTGTCTTCATGTTTAAAGGCGCATAGGTTGAGTTTATAACGGTATCAAGGCGAAAACTCTTTTCTAATGGTTTTTTTTTTCATTTATGAAAGACCTTTGTGCCTTCGAACGATTTCGGAAATCGCCTATAGAGTTTCTCGAAGTTTTGAGGTTGGAAAACGACTGTTTTGAGACGCGACCGACTGGAAACGGTTTGCGCGCGTGGCCAGCCTTCTAAAGGCCGCTTTGAGCCATTCTATGGTATTTCAATTTGGACTTGGGCTGGAAAAGTCGATGATACATTGAAATATGGGAATCTGTACTTGACGAAGATTTGGAAAAAAAAATCAGAAACTACCGTTTCATTTGAATTTGTCTTTACTGTAGAAAAATCGGAGCTAAACTTGTTACTACCTCTATTTAAAAAAGATTTCTTGGGACTTACATCAGGATTAATAAAAACAAACCTTTTTACTAGGATCATCCACCAAAAAATAGGAGATGAACGTGGTTCGGACGTCATCTGAGGCGACGTTGAGGACGGCGAAGCTCGAAGCGACGAAGCTCGACGACGTCTTCGTCGTCGCCCAGATGACGTGTCGGCCTTCGAACTCGATCCGAGGCACTTCTCGGTAGACGTCGTACTTTTTCCAGAGACCCTAGAAATTGGATGAGAATTGCATATAAGGAAAAAAGCAACAAACTTTTTTCTTAAGATTTGGCACGACTTTTTTGCTGATTTAGTGCCGTGTTTTCAGTGAAATTTTAGATTTTTCTGTGATCCTCCGAAACCAAGTTATCTTTTTCACTCTTTGACTGCTAATTTGAATTTCGAGGAATCATTTTGAGCACAAAATAATGAACTTTTTGTGATTATTGATGTGAAAAAAGTCATCAAAAAAGGAGTAACCAATTTTTTAACGATTGATTTTGCACTATTTTTTCGCTGATTCAAGTATTTTTTTATTGATTTTTTTTGAATAACTTCTTATTATAGGTTTGAAATATCATTGGGAAACTCACATGAGTGCTGAAAATGATCAAAACCGGAAGGAAGATCCGCAAAACGTTGATTATCGTACTATAAAATGAGGCCCAACTGCAGGACGGTGCTCTGTAGATCCGGTATTGGGGCTGGAATACCTTTTTTTTCGAAAAATGTAGCATTATAATCACAGTTTCAAGCATATATGATCGTCAAAATTCGAGAAAAAAGAAAAAAATCTGCTAACCTCTTTGAAGACCTCCTCGTGAACCATCTTGCATTTGACTTTTTGTAGGAAACAGTTGAATTTATAAGAATTTCAGTTTGAGTTGATTGAACTTCGAATTTCTGAGGTTTTGAAGCTTCTGGCTGAGTTTATAATTTTCAAAAACCCTTCTAGAACTCCAAAAGTTATATTAAAGACACTCAAGGTTCGACATTTTCATTCAAATCGAGAAAATTGGGTGCGAGGCGGATGGTGGCCTGGTAGACACAGCACCAAGAGATCAGAACGAAGAAAAAGCTGAGAATATTGAAAGCGTCGCGAGTTGCCGTGGCAGAGTCGGGCATATAGTTTTGTAGAAAATTGTATATTTTTGCTACATGGAAGCTTGAATCGGAGACCTTTTGATTGGGAATTCGAGATGAGAAGGTTCTCTAGGGTGGGTCACCATGACGACGGCTGGTGCCGCCAAGTGGCCTTTTAAGTGGGAGGGGTAGATAACAGGAAGGTCAAGCTTGAACTTATAAGCCAGATGATTGTGAATAAGAAAAAATAAAGTATTTCCCTTTTAACTTCGGTACGACACTCCCACGCAAAGTCCGATTTCGTAAAAATTTTTTGAAAGTGAATTTTGTGAAACTGAAAAATGAGAAAAGGTGGTTGTAATCTTTTCAGAGGGTGGACCACAAACAATCAGAAACAATGGAGAATTTGATTAATTCATTTTTCGTGCCCCAAAACCGTAAATTTGAAAAAAATTCATATTTCCATCTGAAAAAAAGACAAGACCCCCTTTTTTTCAAATTATCCTCTTTTTTTGAAGTCTGGAGAAGATTCTCTTGCCGAAAAATTGTCAAAATCAGCATTTTTTTCTTTAAATTTTCAGAATTTTCTAGGCTTTACGTATCACTTTTTCCATTAGGAACCTAGTGAGTAATTTTAATTATTCTATAAAAGGTAGCTCAGTTAGTAGGCCTTATTTTAATAGTACAAATGGTCACTGGATTAGGAATTTTTTATCAGAAAACTATTTTTTGATGGAATGTTTCTATTGATAGTCCTTTTTTACAGAAAGAAGATCTTCTGAAGAAACGAATAGACATGGAATAGCTCAGGTGGTAGGACTCGTTTCTAGAGTCAGGGAGGGCTCGACTCCCCGACAAAGCTAATCATTTTGACGAAGTTCTTCATCTATGTTTCGTATAATCAAGCACTGTTGCTTTGAGTAGATGTAGAAAAAATCTAGTTTATAAGAAGTATAGCTCAGTAGGTAGGGATCTTTTCTAGCGTCAGAAAGGTCACTGGATCGAGTCTTCACCAAATATGGAAGACTAAGGAAAAAGCTATGAATAGCTCAGTTGTTAGGACCATTTTCTAACGTCTGAAAGGCCACCGGATCAAGTCCTCAAGACAGCTTTTTTTGTTGAATCTAAACATCTCCAGATTTATCTCGGCTTTGATCCCAGCCTTTCAGTACCTCCAAAGAGGCATAAATTAAAACAAGACTAATCATACAACCCAAAAACTTGGGAATGAGCTATGTTACATATGTATAGCTCCGTTGGTAGGAGTCCTTTTTCGTATCTGAAAGGTCTCTGGATCAAGTCCTCAATGCAACTGTTTGTTGGACAAGTTTCAAATTCATCTTGGTTCAAAACCTAGCCTTTCAGTACCTTCAAAGAGGCATAAATTCGAGCAAAACTCATCGTCGACTCGGTCGGCTGCCGTTAAGATCTTATGACGGTGCCATAGCCGTAAACGAGCTTTCCCCCTCCGCGCGGCAGATGTTTGGCTCTCCGGCTCTTTGGCTCAAAATCGAGAGGGGGCCACGGAAAACGAATTGACAAACGATTCGACTTGAACAGACGGACAGAAAGTGACCACCGCCACGGCCATTAGACATACACGGCTCCCCTCGTTCCTCCTCCAACTGAATCGCTGTTAATCGTCCTCCTCCTCCTCCCCTCTCCGTCAAATACTCGTCCACCACTTCAGCCATTTTCCGTTTCTTTCGGACGACGGCCACCTTTTTTGGCTGGTAGAGGCGGGTTTCCAAGAGATTTATTGACCTTTTTGGGACGGAACTGTTGAATTTTCTGTATCTGTCCATGTATGGAGCAAGTCAAAACTGATCAGAAGCTGGTTTTCTGATCTTAATTCGAAAAAGGAAATCAGCGTAATCTAAAGGAAGAAGGCCTCTACCAGGTTACACCTTTTTAAATTATTTATTTTTAGTTTTTTTCGAAGGATGGCCACCTTTTTTGGCTGGTAGAGGCGGGTTTCCAAGAGATTTATTGACCTTTTTGGGACGGAAATGTTAAATTTTCTGTATCTTTTCATGTTGGGAGCAAGTCAGAAACTGATTTTCTGGTTTTTAGTCAAAAAAGGGAATCAGCGTAATCTATCCGGACAGAGCCATATCCAAATTAAGCCATTTTTAAATTTTTTTTTTCTTTAGTTTTTTCCGGGCGACGCCCACCTTTATTAACTTTTTTTGGACGATAATGCTGTATTTTGTATCATTTTTGAATTTTCGAGCAAGCTAGAGCGAGTCAGAAGCTGATTTTCTGATTTTACTTTGATAAAACCGCGTTATCATAGGAAATTTATTTGAAAAAGCTCAAGTTCACGTGCCACCTTTGACCCTTTTTCGTTACTTTTTGAAAGAAGTCGGATATTTTGGATGAAATAGTGTTTCAAAAGGACCTTTTGGAGAAGATTATGTTTTTGAGACGATTTAACCTAGCCGGAAACTGATTTTCTGATTTTACAACAAAAAAAACAAATTCGCTTATCAATGCAACTGGATTTCATTGAAAATAGTATTTATCAAGTTTTTTCCACTTTTCTTTTTCGATTTTTCCGCTCTAGCTCACTATTTTCCATTTTCTATTCCTTCTTAGCTGAATTATCAGGAAAAAAGCTTTAAAAACACTTTAATTTAGACATTTTCACCAATTCGACTTTCTTCAGTCTTACAATCTTGAAATGACTCGTTTTCTGAGACCATTTTCACTTTTTCAGTCTGTCAATATCTCATCTTTGACACGACTTTTCACCGAGAAAAAAAAATCACATTCTTGACAAGAATAATGCGACAGCAGCTGGAAAACGAAGAAAAACATCTGTAATTACCATGGGAGGCAAGTTTTGCGACAGTCCTCGCATTCGATTCAAATCCCGTCTTTGCCTCACTTTTTCCTCCGTCCGTCTTCAATCATCCTTGCGAACGTTCGCACTTTCTCAGGCCCCATTTCTTGAGTCTTTGGACTTTTTTTTTGAACATTTTCTGACAATAAATTGTGGAGAAGCTTAGAGATTTGCTCATTTTAGACAATAATAAGAAGTAATTTTGGTTTCTTGATAATTTTCTTATGAATTGAAGGTTTTTCGGTCGAAAAGTATCACTAAAAACCGCTTTGTAAGTTTATTAAGTTTCGAATTATCCATAGAGCGAATTTGATCCGAATAAACCGCCTTCATATCTTATTTAAGGTTTATAGTCTTTCAAAATGATTTTTCTAACTTTTCTTTGCTTACTTTTGAAGAAATCACAGCAAAAAAACCATTTGAAAAGTTATTGAGGAAAATTATCAATGGAGCGATTTTGACCGGAAAAATGGCCTTCTTATCTTATTTGAGGTCTCTAGTCTTTCAAAATGATTTTTCTGACTTTTTTTTGCTTATTTTTAAAAATATCACAGCCTTATCAACAGAGCGAATATAGTTCTGAAAAAACAGCGTTTCAATCCTTACCTTTTTTCACTCTTTTTCGCCCCCCGGAATGTTTTTGTAACTGTTTCTCTTATTTTACCGAACTTTTTTTTTAGTTTTGGCTTTTTTGTGACTGGAAAGGTGCTGAAAAGCTCAAAAAACAGCCGCATCTCATTTTCCTCCATATTTAGCAAAAACTCTGAGTTTTTCTGCCTTTTTCGGGGCCAAAATGGTGCTGGAAAGATCGATGACACCCTACCTCTCTTGAGGCCGTGTATTTGAATACAATACACGCTGGACACACACCCAGCCACTCGACTGGAAACAGAGAAAAGAGAGTCAAGAGGTCAAGAAAAAGAAGCGGAAAAAAATGGCTGAAATAAATGCTCCCGACCAAAAATGGACTGCTGGTTCTCTAATTTCACCGTCCTTTCGGCTTGCAAGTCTGACTCACCGCCGTGTTTTCCTTTGATGAATCACGGAAAGTAGGTTCTTTTTGGGCAAATAACGCGACAAATAACACCGGCATGACTGTTTGGTGCGTGGTTGATAACGAGATTTGCCTTTCTAGGCAACAGAAATAGCATTTTTTTTCTCTAAGTCAAGGTCTTTCCGGTCTTGTCAAATGGTTATCAATGGCTCGGTTCCCCCTTTTTTTTTACTCAGAATACTTCTAAAAAAATATTTTTTTAAAAATAGTCAGTATGTGACTTTGCGTCGAGGTTGCTTGCACAGCAAGCGTCATATTCAACGAATTTTTCAGAGTTTTCGTCATTTTTCTCATGCCGTGTTCAAAGTGATTCCGCGAAATTCAAAATAGTCGTCAGAGAAAGAGAAAGATAACTAAATTTTGGAGGGTCAGAGACCATTTTGCATTTCGCGGAAATTACTTTGAACACGGCATCAATTTTGAACTTTTTTCGTTTTCGTTTTTTATTTTGTGTTAGTTTCAAACTATAAATGTAGAATGGTTTTTAAATTGTCCCTTTACGAAAGATTATATCTGAATTACTTGAAGAAATAGTACAGTTTACATTTGATATAATTAGGACAATTTTTGTTTTTCTCATTCACAAAGTTTTTTTTATACTTTCGATTTAGAGATGGATTTGGTTTGTGAAATTCATTGTTCAAAAAGAAGAAAAAGGATAAATTAACCAGTGAACAGATTGAAAAATTTTTTTGAAGTTTTTCAACTTTTTCATCACTGAATTTTTTTACTGATTCTTTCACTAATTGTATTTGTAGTATTTTTTGATAAGGAATATTTTCAGTTTAATTCATTAATGTAAAAAGTGTTCAAAGAGATTTACAGAAGAGAAACTTCGAGTAATTGGAAAACCAGGAGATTTTATCAGTTTTTATTTAAAAAAATGAGAATCAGCTTCATGACTTTTTAGATCAAATCTCACTAAAATCCTTGGCAAAAAAAAAGGAAAAAAGGTGGTTATGGTGAGAAGGTCTCTATATTTGCAATGGGAAGTGAACCCTTGACCTGGGCCAGCCCCCTTTTCTTCTCTTTTTGGCCCCCTTTCAGACCACCAAACAAGCCATTTCCACTCGTTTTCCGATGGTTCCACCCATGATACTTGTTTTCTTTGTCCGACTTTTTTTCAAAAGTGTTTTGGCTTTTTTCGAACTGAATGAACTTGAGGTTTTTGTTGGAAGTCGTATTTAACTTGTAGAAGTTTTGATTTTGAGTTATTTTTTTCGATTTTTAATTAGTTTTCTTGTAGAGGATGAAAGTTTATAGTCTCAAAATGGGTTCTTGATTTTTTCTTTTTGGAAAATTGAAATGTTTCATCGAGCTCTAATTCTTATATGAGGGCGTTCGAGATTGAAGTTTGAATCCAAATATTTTTTTGTAAATCAACTAAAAAAATATTAACGTAATTAATTTTAGAACATCCCGAATCATTTTTCACTTTCATTCCATGTTTCAGTTCCAAATATCCTTTTTCTTCATCTGATTTGTTTGAACAGGTGTCTATTTTGATTGAAAATTTGACGATTCTCGGCTGGTCTCTTGAAATTTTGTCTTTTTCGAATATTTTGAAAAAGTTTTCCGATTTCATATTAACTAGTTTCAGAGTGACTTTAAGACTTTTGAAATAATCTTCAGAGGAGTGACATAAAAAAACTTTTTTTCAAAATCACCAAAAAAATTGAGCTCGAGTACCTCGCGAAGAGGTTGGAAAAAACAGTAAGAATCGAACTTCATGAAAAATTTTTTTCTTCCTTCTTAAGGGATCACTTGGTGAGATCTTACATCACTTCAGTACTCATAAATATTTTGAAAGGCTGTTTTTACGTTTTTAACAGTCATTAGCATTTAACCTTTAGAGTCCGGACAAATTTATCCATGGAGCGCGCAAGACCCACAGCTTTTTCTTCACATAGATTAAGCATTTTTTTCGTTTTTTTTCTCAGTCATTAGCGTTCGACCTTTAGATTGAAACCTAATTTATCCATGGAGCGCGCAAAACCCACAGCTTTTTCTTCTCATAGAGCAGGCTATTTCTTCCTGTCTCGCCTGGTCATTTCTCGCTTCCGGCGCCAAACAGAAAAACAATTGGAATTCAAAACGAGGCTCCTCCTTGGGCGCGCCGTAACATTCGCGGCCCATTGGAGTCTCCGTTTTTTGTGTGTTTCATTTCTGGCTCGTCCTGTGGTCTCCACGGCCGTTCCAAACCAATTCGACCTACTACCCCCCGACGTTTTTTCTTTCCATTTTTCCTTTCCGAAGGGTTAAGCCGCTTAGTTTCGTGCGCTGGTGGTCGTGGCGGTGCGCGAGAAAGTGCACATTTTTTCCATAAATTTCTGAGTTTGGAACGTTTTTTTGTAGATTTTTCGTGTGTTAGGGAAGTTTGTGCGTTTTACTTGGCTAGGAATCGTCTTTTTTCTCTTCAAAAGCTCTAATTTTTGGTCATTTGGTCGCAAAAGTGATAATTTTTAAAGAAATTTTGAAAATGCTTATCTCGTTCTCGTTCAGGCTATTCTACTTTTTCTCTATTTTGAAGCTAAACAAGCGATTTTAATAGAATTAAGCGAAGTAGATATATATTTTCAACTTTATGAAAGCTTCTGTAAGATTTTCGCGTCTTCAAACTGTTCAGGAAACTTTAAATTAGCTTTTCGGTTATCTTAAAGCTTGCTCAATAACTATTTTCCCCCTACTTGTCAGAAAAACTTGAAAAAACGAATAATTATCAAGAAATTGATGAGCGTATGATTAAAAAAGACTTAAAAGCCCTTCCTGGTTTTTAGAGACGCAGAAGTCTTGGAAACCTTACAAAAACGCTAGGAAGTAGCTTGAAAAAGTTGCTTTTTCGCTTTTTTATTAAGAAAAGCTACCCTAACGAAAAGTTTGTTTTGACAAAGGTCACCAAGGTTTTATTTCCACTCGAAAACTTTGATCGCTGAATTTTTTCAATTTCATAAATATTGCTGATCTTAGGGGCGAAATATAGCCAAATTTCCGATGAAAATCGAATGGAAATCATCAAAATATGTTTTCAAGGGCGGATATTATTGAACATAGGTATGGAATTTCATCAAATTTGCGCTCCAAACATTCCGATGATGACGACGAGATTTTTGAACGCGAAAAATCCCGTTCTGGTCGAAAAATCTCGGTTTCTCATTAAAATGCAGCGTATTTTCCCTTCTCTCGTTGATTTTCTCATTAATTTCAAAACGTTGCATGTGAAATTCCCAAGCCCAATCATTTCGTTTCGATGAAGGCGTGGCGAAATGGTGGTCCACCAAGGGGTGACTCATCACTTTTACTCATTCACTAGGGTTCCCGGCCGTCTTTATATACTTTTTTTGTTTTCATAGAGGTCTTTATTTTTTATTTTTTATTTTTTTATATTTATGTTTCAAAAATTTTTTTGGTTTTTTCCTTTTTTTTAAGTGTAGAAGGCTTTTTTTGAGCATTTTACTCCATTGAGAACGTTATTTCAACTCTAATTTTGAAGATTTCAGGTTGAAAAGTTTTTTTGGGATAAAGATGAAATAAAAAAAGACAGGTAGATCAAACTTTTTGATTAATTTCAATTAATTAAATTTTTTAGTGAGTTTTTGTAACATGTATGTCTGGAAATTTCAAGTTTTTTTATTCGAAAAAAACTACTCTGAAAAAAACAATTTTTTTCTACTTCCCGATTTCTTCTGGTGGTTCCTGGAAACGAGGAAAAAAATTTCCGCGAAAAACCGGAAAAAGCGCAGATTTTATCGTAATTTTGAACAGTGAAATGCCCGCGAAAAACTTGAATTATTATATATATATATTTATGAGTTATCTTTCCTTCAATCCTCAAAATGAGAAATCTGATTTCTATTCAAATTTTATTTTTTTCAAAAAGCTTTTTCGAAAAATTTGAACGGATTTGCTCGTTTTTTTGATTCTCTAAATTTTGAAGGAAAGTTTAGCTTCTTATCATTTTCCATGAAAGATAAACTCAAAGTTCAACAGAGAAACTTCTAAAATCGAGAAAACAAAACCCAAAAAAGGAAAATTTTGCAAATGCGCTCGGTCGGCAAGGTAAAATTTAAAATTCCGCAAGTTTCCCCATTTTCCGTAAGGTTTTCCCACTGTGAATATAGAGTTAATCTTAATCTAAACTTTAAAAACGATCATTTTCTTTTTTTTTTACCAGAATCAATACCTTTTTTTTGGTGTGCAACAAGTTGTGTGCCGAAAGTGTTAACGCGACGTCTTTCAAAGGCCTTTTTTCGCCTTGTTTGCCCCGATATTCTTCTTTTTTCGTCTTCTTGACGGGGAATATATGGCTCAAAACGTTGCGAAAGAAAATCGAAGAAGACGAAAAATTCGGCTTTGAAATTGTCGTCATTAAACACTGATAAAGAGCCGCGATTTCTTATCGAAACCCTTAAATTTTGCCATTTCCTCCGCTTGACTGTTTTCAGCTCTTTGTTTGTCGTTTGTCACAAACTTTTTCGTGGAAGGTTTAACTTGAGTTTTTTTCCCCTGCAAAATTTGCTAGTTTTAGGTTTTGTTGTGTGTTTAAGCTGTAGTTTGAAGGTTTTTGGAGTTTTCTATTTCAGATTTTTATACAGAAAAATTGAAGTTCGAACTTTCCTGTTTGTTTTTTGTGTGTAAAAGAGATAATTTTGTCCATAGGTTCGAGAAAAATAAAATAATATGAGCGATTTTCAGTTTGAGACCAATTATTGTATCAGAAAGGATAAGATAGTGACCTTGAACTGCTTGAAAAAAATGTTATTTTACTGCTCTCCAGTTTCATTTTTTTCACAAAAATGTTGATTTTTTTGTTTTTTTAAATTTGTTTTGAAGCCCCAATAATTAATTTTCTAACTGAAGAAAGTTATAGAACACCTTTTTGTTCGAAGAAAATTTTTACTTACTCACAAAAATTGATCTTTTCCGGTCAAATTCGGGTTGGCTTGACCTCTCTGCAGATCATGCAAACATTATTTTTCCTTTCCTTTCTTTTCATACCCCCGAGAAACTCTTGAAAACTTTTTTCTACACTCAAATCAAAATTTTACGTCATTGTTTGTCGTTATCAGGGCTTTAAAATTTGAAAAGAGTATTATTTTTCGATTTTTAGGCAGAATGCCGTCTTCGGAGCTGTCGCGGGAGCAGCTCACTGAACTCAGTGAAAATTTTAGGACGGTTCGTTTTTTAATTTTCAGTTTTGGATTAAAAATTGATGTTTCACTGGAAAAAAGCGACTTTTCGAAGCCCATTTTTAAGATATTTTCCGATAAATGTCAGTTCATTTTCGTTTTTTTGAATAAGAAAATAGTTTTTTTGATACTTAAAAAAACTGTTAATTAAAGTAGTAAAAAAAGAATAGAAAAATTTTTTTGCGAAAAACTCAGTTTTCGGCTTTTTTTGTTGAAAAATCTCGAGATAAAAAAACTGAAAAGAGGAAATTTTTCGTTCTTTTTGTCGCATTTTTTTGTTTATTTATCCACTGTGAAGAAATTTATCTTTTTCAAAAAAATAGGTATTTGAAAAATTTTAACTCCATTTCATGATAAAAGGTTCGATTAAAAAACAAAAAAAGCACATTTTTCAGATATCTGAAAAATGGATCAGGATTTTTTTGGCGCGAAGCGACGTACAGCCGGCTTTTGAAAGTATTAGGAATCGATGTTCCTGGTTATAAGGTCCATTTTTTTTATTTTTTTAATGTGTTGAAAAATTGAAAAAGTATAGCTAAAATAAGTGTAGAAAAATGAAGGAAAAATTGAAAAAGCATAGAAATTGGAGGAAGATTTGTGAATTTCCGAAAGTCTTGCAGTTTTTTAAGGTACAATCTGAACTGTGCGCGTTCAAAAGTTGATTTTTCAGATATTTTATCAGAAATTGGAAAAGTTTGATAGCTTTTATGAGAGATTTTGTCACTTTTTGTGTAGGAAATGCGATTTTTATTGAAAATTCAGATTTTTTTTTTCAAATAAAATATTATTTTCAGATGAGAGAACTGTTGGACAAGCATTTCGCTAACGACGGACAAGTGGATATTCACAAATTCAATCAACTGTTCAATGAGCTCGACACCCAGAAACACCAGGAAACGAACCGTTGGAAGGAGAGAATCGGGTTTGTCGAATTTTTGAATTTTGAAGTTGAAAAAATTGAAAAATTACCGGTTTTTCTGTTGGTTTTAAAACAAGGAAGGTTATTTCACTTTACGGTTTCTTGATAATTGGCCAGAAAATTCCGAGAAACTGACAGCAGAAGCTTCCCAACTTTTATTCGAGTAAAAAAAAGGATGCGTTGAAGTTAAAGAAAAAACCTCAAAATTTGTAGAAATAGGCCACTTTGGAGCTTTAAGCCTTTATTTATCGGAAAATAGGTTTTTTTGCAGTCGAAGACTTTCGGAATATTTTTTTTTTGGTACATTAAGGCCGATTTTTAGGAAATTCCCAACCCTAAAGTGAACCTCCTTTTAAAGTAGAAAATTGGTGATGGAAATTTTTTCGTCTCTATATGTTTCTCAATTAAAAAATTGACCCGAAGACAAATTTTTAACTAGGAAACGGTCTGAAACCTTGCAATTTGAGGGAACTTTGAGCATTTTTTGTTAGAAAAAATGAAAAGAAAGTTTATTTTTCAAGTTTTACCTGAGGTATGTGCTCCTCATTGATCGGAAAGGTAAGTAAATCCCCTTTTGATCAATTAAATACGAATAGTAAAAGCTCATGTTAATTAGAAAAGACTACGAAAAAAAAACCGGGAAATATACGTTTCTCTGTCGTTTTTTAGGCTAAATCATAAAAATTTGCATCGTTTGGTTCTTTCTTTACGAAGAAAAATCTTGCAAAATCTCAGTTTTTTCATTTTTCTACTGAATCCAGGTCTTTATCGCTTGATCTCTAATAACTAATTTTGAAAAATTCTTTATACTTTTTTTGCTTAAACGTTGAAAAGGGAGTTTCAAACACTTTTTTTCAAAAACGTATTTTTTTAAGTGTTATCTATGAAAAAAATTTTTTTCTTCTTTAATATTTTCAAGGTCGAGATTTTCAGAGAACAAAAAAATATTAATTTTCAGAACGGTCAGCGGCGCTTATCAAGTTTCCAGCGAGAAGCAGGATAATACTGTCCACACGATCCGAGTAGAGGTTTGCTTCAAAATTTAAGAAAAAAATAGTTGAAAAACAGGACAAAAAGTGATAATAATTTGACCAAAATCTTGCGTTTTCCATCAAAAAAATTGAGCTTGAAATGCGTTGGCGATTTTTTTAAAAATCAATTATATCAGATTTTCTTGGATTTTTTTCATTCGTGATTTTTTTATATTGAAGAAAAATATTATAAAAAAATTACAGCCGTGCGGGAATGACAGTGAAAAAAACGTTTTAATGTAAAAAAACGATGAAATAATTTTTTTGCTCGAGGTTCCTGTTTCAATGATCACAAAAATATCAGCTTCAAGTCAAAATTTTTCATTCCTTGCGTGCAATTTAACGAGTTAACGGAATAAATGTAGAAAAAAAAAATGGATATTCGATTTTGGTAAAAAATTTTCCCGTCAAACTCGACAAAAATCATTGGAAATGAGGGGAATATCAGGAAGAAGTCGCGTTTTCCAACTGGATCAACAGCAATTTGTCGGACGACAGCGACTTGAAACGGCTGCTGCCCGTGAACCCACAGGGCGGCGAACTTTACACCAAAATCCAGGATGGATTGATCATTTGGTATGACTTTCCGAACAATTATGATGAAAATTGAATTTTTTAATTAAGGAAAAAAAAACAGATTATAGAACTTTTTCCGAAGTCTTTAGATGTGAAGTTGGAGAAAATGTGTATTTTTGATAAATCTACAGCTTTTTTTTTGAAATGATCAGTTTTTTTTTAATGTTTCGCTCCATAGTTCTGGAGTAGAATGTTGATTTCAAGAAAGGCGCGTTTTAAAGTAGTTATGTGGCTTTTTTCGAGGTATTTTGTTGAAAATTTGAAGAAAAAGGGTGTTTTTGGGTAATTTTTATGGCTTTTTTCGAATAAACTTGGGGAAATGATGAATAAAATGCGTTTTTTAAAAGTTTAGACCTTTTTTTCAAAGCATTTAGTTGACAAGATGTATTTTTACGTTAGAAAAATAGTTTTCCTTCAAAAATTTTTACTAGGATTCAGAATAGTTTCATTCAGTTTCTGGAAATTTCAAGAGAGGCTTAGAGAAAACTCTTCTTTAGAAATTTTGCACAAAAAGTTGACCTTGGAAAAAAACTCCTTTTCTGAGGCTTTTTTATCATTTTCAAATGAAAAAGTAGGAAAAAGTATGATAATGACGGGAATCCTGAAGTTAGGTAACTTTTTAAGAACTAATTTTGACGATTTCTTCGTTTTTTCGATTTGATTTCAAACAGAGATCTTGAAAATAGTCTAATTTGTGATCTGATCTTTTTAAAAAGCAAAATTTGAGTTCATGATCTCATTTTTTTAATGTGAAACCGTAATTTCCTTCATTTTCCGCTTTTCCGAACAATTATAGGTAATTATCAAGTATTTTCGGCTTTTTCTCCACTTCCTGGTCACTTACCACGCTGTAGTTTTAATTATCTTGCCATTTGTTAAGAAAAAAAAAGTTCATAGCATGATTTTGGTGTGTTTCAAAATGCTTATCAACGTATTTTTGATGTTGTTCGCATTTCCCTTATCAATAATTCGACGGATTTTTGATGATGTTTCTGGAATGTTTGCCAATTTCCAGCAAACTGATCAATTTGGCCGTGCCGGGGACGATCGACGAACGGGCGATCAACAAGAAAAACCTCAACACTTACACGAAATTGGAGAACTTGACCTTGGCGCTTTGCTCGGCTCAGGTGCGGATCAGGGGGGCGAATCGATCGGGAATGATATTTTTGATTTTAAGGGAAATTTGACTTCAAAAGCTTGAATGTATTAAAATAGTGTTAAGATCTGTTGAAAGCTGGGGAATTCAATAAGAAAAGTAGCTTTTTTGAAAATCGTTCAAAGAAAGCTTTTTTTTCCCATGAAGCTGCTCTCGGCTCGGGAAGGATATTTTTGATTTAGGGGTGTAAAAAATGAAAGGAAATGATTTTTGAGGAAAATAAAAGACAAATAACGAAATAGTCTGAAGATATTTCTATACCTACATCGAAGTTTTTTCTTCTTCTCTAAAACTCTTTGAAAAAGCGCTTTTCCAATATTTTTTCATACTCTGAAATTCAATATTTCGAAAAATACTTTAGTTCTGGAACAAAAGGGAAGATGTTATACCTGGAGAAAGACTTCCGACGTATATGAAAAAAATTTTTTCCGTTCTAAAAATTTCCCGAATTTTTACCTTTTTTCTATTTCACAACTTTTCGGGCTTATTTGCGACCTCTATCGGCTTTAAAGACCTATCAGAACAATCTGAAAAAAAAAACTAGAAAAATAGAGAGATCTTCTTTAGTTGCACTTTGGGGATCGTTTTAATTTCATTTATCAAATTTTTTTTGAAGAAATTTTCACTTACCGACCGATTAATAAAAGAGGGAAAATCCGGGAAAAAAACATGGAAACGGAAATTTTCAGGCGATCGGTTGCAATATCATCAACATTGACAATGTGGATTTGAGCAAGGGAACGTCGCACTTGGTCCTCGGCCTCCTGTGGCAAATCATCAGGGTTTTTGACCTTTTGAAGAAGTCAAGACTGAAAATTGGACTTTTCAGATTGGACTATTCAACCAGATCGACTTGCAACACTGCCCGGGACTCTTCCGACTACTTCGCGAAGGGGAAACTTTGGAAGATTTGCGACGACTTTCCCCGGAAGAGATCCTCGTCCGCTGGGTCAACTACCATCTCGAAAAGGTCCGAGGATTTTTTGGAATTGGAAAAAGTTTCTGGAATGATCCACGTTTGCGCTGCGGTTATGGTCAGAGGAAAAAATTTTTTAGTAGGGCCGCGCGAAAGTCGTTTTTGGTCGGGTGCATATTTTTTTTAGCCTTATCCGAGAAAGATGATCGTCGAGGTGAAAAAAAATCAATGACAGAAACCACCATAAAGTTAAACTCCAAAAAGTTCTGGCCGCATTTGGAATGGCTCAACGCGTTGCGGTTGCGCTGCGACTAGAATAAGAAATCTCGCATTTTAGCCAAGCGAAAGTCGTTTTTGGTCGGCTGTATACCTCTATCTAACTTGGGGAAGGCAATTTTTGAAGTGAAACAAAAATCTATCAGGTCATTATAGTTCAATTTTCAGAAAATAAACAAAAATTGAAAATTCATAAAGCCCTGGTCGCATTTGGAATGGCTCAACGCGTTGCGGTTGCGTCGCGTCTCGAGAGAAGCCAAGCAAAAGTTGTTTCTCGTCGGCTGCACCTTTTTTTGTTGGCGACGTTCGACCGCCTCGCGTTGAGCCATTCTCAGTGCGACCAAATTTGGAGCGAACAGCTTCTATCAGTCTTTTTTTGTAATTGAAAGTAACAAAAATCAGAACTTTTTTCCGTCCTTAAGGCTTTTACAAGTGAATGATGCTCTAAAAGTCCAATAATCCTTCAATTCCTGACTTTGAGAATCTATTTGCAACGTTTGCGGACGTATTAGGGTGGCCATATAATCACCTCTCCGAATTCTTTTCTGATGGAAAAATCGGAGATCGCGCGCATTATTCCTTCCACACAGATTAGTGAGTGAGCGTGTGTGTGTGGCGATCGGCCGATACAAATTGCTCACCGATTTCTTCTCCCTTTTTTGATGGGTTCCCCTTTTAGATCGTAAGGTTCAGAGGGACCTTCTTTCTTGAAATGGAAAAGTCTCAAAAAATTGGCTGATACGGCTGAAAATTGTTGGTGATTTTTCGTCCCCTTTTTGATGAAGGATTGAAGAAAGGACTTATTTTGAGAAGAAAATGAAAAGCTATTGAAGTAAAAAAAAGTATTGATGATTTTTTTGCTTTTTCTGTTGGTTTGATTGAAGGTAGGGATTATTATAGAATAGCATTTATGGGTAATTTTTAATTACTAGAAGTTATTTGAGATTTTTACTCGTTTTTAGATAGGATCCTTTTTGATCGCAAAATTCAGAGGGACCAGGTGAGAAGACTATGAATTTCTATACATTAAAAAAATCGGAGTAGCCCTATAATGGCCCTTTTTGCTGGTTCTTGGTTTTTTTGAGTTGAAATTTATATTTTGTAACTTTTCGGTTCCATTTTTTTGTAAAAATTCAGGTAGTCTGTTCCAAAAATTTAAGGGAAAAAGTTTTATTTGGAAAAAAATTTACTCAATATTTCTTTATAGTGATAGTTCAGAAAAAAATATTATTATTGTTTTAGTTTTTTTGGAACTTTCAAATCAGACGCATTCATCAAGTAACGTTTTTTTCTGAAAACTCCAGCAAAATCTGAAAAAAAGAAAAAGAAATTATATCTACAGATCCAAAGGGAGAAACAAATCCGAGTGGTAAGTTTGGAAATTATTGATATTATCTGATTTTCGATTTCTTTTTTTTAAACCCGCATTTTTATCACATCAGTGTTGTGGGGTGATTTATTATCTTTCAAGTGTTGTCGGCTATTTTTCTTCTTCATTCTGCATTTTCGATTTTGCATTTTTTATTTCAATTTGAAAAAAGAAAAATTTCCAAAAGTTGTTTCAGGCTGGCATCCAAAGAAGGCTCAACAACTTCACGACGGACATTGTCGATTCAGAAATTTACACGCATTTATTGCACCAAATCGCTCCGAATGGAAGTGGGGTCACTCTGTCGCCACTTGGTGTTCAGGTGAGACCAAAAAAAGAGAAAAAAATGAAAAAAATTTTTTTTGGATCTGTGTTATTCTGAAAGATTGACCAACAGTAAGGCTAGAGAGAAATAATTTGAAACTCTTTGAAAAAAAAATTAAAAAAAACAACCATTAGAAGGAAATTCTCGGACTTACGAAGTGGATGATTTTATTAGCGGTTTTCTAGGATTCAAACGCGCCCTGTTGAGAAAGTTTTTGATTTTCAGATGTAAATCAACTTTTTCATAATAGGGTTAACAAGGAATTAATCTTACGCAGTTAATTGCAAAAATTATGAGGATTTTCGAGAAAAAAGCTCGATTTTTTTCAGTTTTTACTTGTTGTAGGCTATGATAGGCTTAGGCTTCCAAAATTGACGTTTTCAAACTTTTTCAATCGGTTTTTAGAATTCAATTTTCGACCAAAAATCAAAAAAAAAAGGTCCGTATAATAGAAAAGAAGTGCAAAAAGAGGTATTTATGAATCTTCGAAAAAAAAAAGTTCTGAATTTTTGTTGATTTTTGAGAGGTTTTTTTTCGGAATGTCTATTGGACCTGCTAGAAATTTTCAACGAAAATTCGATTTCGATCGATTTTTAGGGAAATGTCCACCGTGCCGGAGCCATGCTTGATGAGGCCGATAAACTCGATTGCCGTGAATTTGTGACCCCAACTGACGTCGCTGCCGGAAACTACAAATTGAACTTGGCCTTCGTCGCCAATTTGTTCAACAAACACCCGAATTTGCCGGATCCTGGAGCCGACGAGATCGGTTCGGCATTCTGGAACTTCTGAATTGATTTTCGAAATGGTTTCAGTCGAAGACGTGATCCAGGAGACTCGCGAGGAAAAGACCTACAGAAATTGGATGAATTCACTGGGCGTCGACCCTTATGTCAATTGGCTGTACAGCGATCTGCAGAATGGCGTCGTCATCTTCCAGGTAGGAGGAAGATGAAAAATAGGGGCTGAAATTTAGCCCAAAAAGAGCTGGATTTTTCTAGTAAAAGAAAAACTCATTTTAGTGAGTAGTTTACCCAAAATTTTGCAATTGAGCGGGAAATTGGTGAGAGAATTATTAAGCGTGGCTGAAATTTAGCCTCCAGAAGCAACGATTTCCAAGAAAAAAAACGCAGAAATTCAGATTTTAGTGAACAAATGACCCGAAATATTGCAAATAAGAAGAAAAATGGTTAGAAAAATATTAACCGCGGCTAAAGTTTAGAAGATCAAGGAATAAATAATGAAAAAATTTTAGGGGTGGCTGGAATTTAGCCTCCAGTAGCGACAATTTTCTATAAGAAATGCAGAAAATCACGTTTTGGTGAACAAATTACTCAAAATGTTGTAAAGGAGAGGATAAATGGTCAAAGAAATCTCAAGTTCGGTTGAAGTTGAGCCTGAAAAAAACGGAAATTTTTAGCTATAAAATTAGAAAAAAACATAGATTTTCATGAAGAAAAAGTATCTAAATTTCAAAAAAGAGGGGAAAAAAATAGGTGATAGGAAAATCTAGGGATAATTTGCTCCAATGATGACAAAGCACAAGTTTCCTACTTACTGTTTCAATCATTTACCTCATCCTTATTTGAATACTCGGTAAAAAAAATTCTGTTTGGCTTGTTTTGTTTAAAAAGCGGAAAAAAGGCGTGGCCAGTGACTTTTTTTTGTTGGATCAAATTTTTAGAGCTTGAGAAATAGAAATATCGGCGCTTCACTTGGAAATGGAAAAAAAAAACGCTATTCTTCAAGAAAAAAAGAGTCCACTCTTTCATATGAAAAAAAAACCATCGATTGACTCAATTTTTCCCGGAATTCAGAGAAAAAAAATCGTGGCGAACCAATAAAAATCAGCGTTCGGTAGAGCAAATTTTCCCAATGTTGAAAAGCTGAAAAGTCATTTTTTTTAGCTCTACGACATCATCCGCAATGGTATGGTGAACTGGAAACGCGTCGTCCGACAATTCCACAAACTCCGCGGGATGATGGACCAGATCCAGAACTGCAACTACGCCGTCGAGCTCGGCAAGCAGTTGCGCTTCTCCTTGGTTGGCATCCAGGGCAAGGACATCTACGACGGCAATCAGACCCTTACTTTGGGTCCGTTATTGAAAATAGAATTCATATATTCCACTGAAAAACGAGAAAGTATCAAAAAACAGAAAATTTTTTATCGCAGCCCCAAATTTGCTCCCAAATATCTTGAAAAAAGTAATAATAATTATTGGTAAAATTTCTCAGAAGTAGACATTTCGTGCAAAAAAATAGACCTGTTTATTTGGTTTTTTATGACTTTTTTGGTTTCAATGTACTTCTGATGTGTAACAATATCCGAAAAAGCCAACAAAACCTTCCTGGGTTTTCAGCTCTGGTCTGGCAACTAATGCGCGCCTACACACTGTCCATCTTGGCCCAGTGCACGGAAGCCGGCGATTCGCTACCCGCCGATAAGGACATCGTCGCCTGGGTCAACCAGAAGGTGAATAGATTTGAAGTTTGAGAGTCCAAAAGATGAAACATAGTGTCTCAAAACTAGTCTTTCGAAATGAAACTTCGAAAACTTTCCTTCCATCACTTGATATTCCAGCTCAATTCTAACGGGAAATCTTCCTCGATCCGATCCTTCCAAGACCCTTCAATTTCTGACGGCCGAGTGGTCCTGGACCTCATTGACGCCATCAAGCCTAAAGTCATTGACCACTCCTTGGTGAGTTTCTTTTTTTTTGACTCGTAACATGCTTTTGAACAGTTCTCATGCACTTGATGGAATTCAGACGTTTTTTTTAAACTTAAAACTTTTTTAATATACTAAGGATTTTTACAGATCAAGAGCGGCGGATCAGTTGAGGACAAGATGTCCAACGCCAAGTACGCCATCACTTGCGGCCGAAAAATCGGAGCCAAGATCTACGCCCTGCCTGAAGATATCGTTGAGGTAAAACAAAAATGAATAACTTCAGAAGGAATTAAGAACAGGAAAATTTAAAAAAAGAACCGCCGATAACTGTAGCTGTCCTTGATATTATGGTAAATGCGCGCCGTGGATAAACCATATTTCAGAAATTTTGAGTTTTCTCTCAATTTTGAAGTTTAAAAAAAGGATGTGAGCAAATTATTTAGGAGTAAAATGGCCTGTAAAAGATTCTGAATGGAGCTTTTGCAATCTGCGGAAAACAAGAGATCAATGCAGTTTTTCCTTGTCGTTGAGATGTAGTTGCAGAAAAATAACTCCTCGAATAATATAGGAAAAAAGAGCCGCGTTCATGACTTGTGCGCTCTATGGATAATCAAATCTATCAATGGGGAGCAAAAATATTTTTTTGTCTACACATTCTTTCGAGTTTTTGGCTTTTTCCCAGCTATTTTCTGAAAATTAGCCACAGAGCGCACTAGTTACAGATTTTTGCGGCTTTTTTTTCCTCGCCTATTTTTAGAACTGATTTTCGGTATATGCATTCGTTTCGTTTTATTTTAGCGGTTTTCCGTAGATTTTATAGCGTATTCTATGAAATCCAAAGAAAAAAGTTTTTCCACTACCGATCAAAATTTATAAATAAGGTTTGAGAAGAGAATCTCATGATATTATTGAAATCAAGAGAGTTTTACTTTCTATTCGAATTCTTCGATTTCAGGTCAAACCGAAAATGGTAATGACGGTATTCGCTTGTCTAATGGCGCGCGACTACATGCCCGACATGAAGGAGGCTTCTGCCCCAGTTCAACCTCTCATCCAACATTGATTCCCCCAACTTTTTGATTTTTTGTTCCGTTTCCTTATGACAATTTCCAAGTTTGTTCAATTAATCGTTCGACCACAGTCACTTATTTCTTCTAAATATTGTTCCCTGCCCGAACTCATCAGTTAACACTTATTAATATTGTGATAATCGCCTTCTTCTTCTTTTTCAGTTCACACCCGCACAAAACACCAAAAATGGTCATTTCTGCTCATTTTCATCGGCACCTCTAGTATTAGGCTTTTCACAGAATCCTGGTTGATTTCCTTCCGTCTTTAAAAAGTTCTCCTCTCGGTGTAAACTCCATTCGCCACGCCTTGAAGCTTCCTGGTCGCATTTGGAATGGATCCATTCCGCGCCAACTTTTCTTTTCCTCAGTTTTGTACCAAGAAGAACATTATGAGTAGCTTTATTTGCCTGTGCTTTGAATATTTTTTTTCCTCTAAAAAGCTTAAAAGAGTGACTTTTCCCCTGTAGCTCATTTCAAAACTTCGATTCTCGTCCCATTGCCACTCTCATCGAATAAACTTCAAATAAACTTTTTTCCACTGCCTCTTCGAAGGTTCTTCTTTTTTTCGGTATCCCAACTTTGTATCATGTGTTTTTTCTGGATAGTTTATCATTTCGTTATCATCAAAAAGAAAAAAATTGAAAAAAACGAACTTAATAAAAATCTTGTGTATCTCATCTCATTCGGTTTTTTTTTTGTTGATTTTCAGCAGAAATATTAGAAAAGCTTGGAAAAAAGCAATCCACAATTGGTCGAAATTGTTTTCCAGGTTACTGTAGCGCCAAGGGCCGTGAATATAGCGTCATTGCAGCCGGTGCGCCTCATTTTACGCGCATCTCTTGTGGGTTTACTCAATTTTTTCAAATTCATCCGATTTTTCGTAAATTTTTATATTCAAGTTTCCAAAGTTCAAAATGAGCTTCATAAACCAAAATGAAAGACCATCAACAATAATAGGAACAACAAAAAATATAATACAAAAAAATGAAAACAAGATAGCTTTTATTCTTTCCACCGATGAGCACAGGAATTGTTGGCACATCTGTAGAAGACGGTCATTGGCTCGTCGGCGGAGCGCGTTTGAAGCTGCATGAAATAGGCGCGCTCGTGTGAGCACAGCGGGCAACGTTCTTTAAATATTTTGTTTCGAAAATATAGTAGAAGTGAAAAGTATAGCCATTTTTTTGATCGATTTTCAACTATTTCAAGGCCGCAAAGTGTTCTCTCAGTCAAAATAATAAATTGACTGGAAACCCTATCAATTTTTTGATAGATTTGTTCGGTACTAGTTAGACTTATGACAAACACACCAAAAATTCAAATTTTTCTAGTGGGTAAGGAACATTTTTACTGGTTACAAAAATAATATCGTTTGAAGAATGAAGCTCGAAAAGCTCAAGCTTGAAATTTCAATAGAATTCATTGATTTTATAGTCTGTCAAGTACAATGACGTCACGGCTCCGAACACGGCATGTGCGAGAGCGCCGCAGTGCATGCACACGACACACTACACTTTACGGAAAAAAAAATATGGGAGGGACGTTGTCAAAAAAACGCCGTAAACTCCTTAATAAAAAATTTGATCAAACCATCAGTAATTTGGGCGTTTTCCCAAGCCTGCGGACCGCCGAGAACATCGTCAATATCTTTCAACTTCGGGTAGATCCTGCTGCTAACCTAAAAGAATAATTGATTAATTTTTAAAGTTCTCTCGGAATTTCTAAAACTTGAAAAAGCCGTTTTTGGTTCTATTTTGCGGCTCTTTGTCTCGAGACCTTTTCTATGGTGTTTTAAACAAGCCAGAAATGATACTTTCACTCTAAACTTACCTTACTGGTTATGGGACATAGGAAAGGGCAAGCCAAGCAGGATAACTGCATGCAATTTTCGCCGCTTTCGATTTGAAGCACTGATCCGCATTCCGGGCAAAACGTTAGCATATTGTAGTTCTGAATATATGATAAATGAAAATCTATAAGGTCAGGTAATTAAAAAAAATATATACATGGAAAAAAATTATTGACACACTTGGAGACCGATAAAAAAAGAAGAAAAAAATCAAGAAATTTACAAAAAAAGTTCAAAAATTTTCTTTTGATTTTGGTTCTTCATACGTAAAAAAATGGTTTGAAACTAATTAACTGTCGAAAAAAATCTAGAAATAGACCCAAAAAAATTTTTTTTTCTTCATTTATAAATTCAGAAAAATTTTTTTATCTATAGAAAAAAATTTTTGAAAATGAAAAAAATTTTTAGAACAAACCGATACAAACGGTTCCGAACCGGAATGATATTAAAAAAATCATGAAAAAGAGACAAAAGTATAAGATTTATTCGTCCGAAAAAAAGCAAAAAAACAAATAAAGAATAGTTGAAAAAACCCGCTTCAAAAACCGATCGGTCGAGTTTGATTTTACAAAGGAAGTAAATGATACAAATAATTCTGAAGCTGTATTTTTTTGAATGTTTCTTGATAAATTTGATATGAATCCTAAAGAATGATCTTTTCGGAAAGGTTTGACACAAAAGTTGAATGAAAAATTGAAAAAAGAAGATTTTCGGCGTTTTCTTGCAGGATCAGAGAGTGACAATTCAAGTGAGTATTGATTTTGCACGAAGAGCTTCAAAAGATATACACTTTAAACATGTTCGTCGCGACCCGAGGAGAAGAACTCTCTCGGCGGCTGAGGCTCCTGTGAGAACTTGAGGGCAGGACTGGCCTTCCAGGCGTATCTGGCGTCGTCGGACAGTTGCTGAACGGCAGATCTCGCGACGACGTACTGTCGCTTGGCAGGCGGCGCCGGCGAGTACCGCTGCTGCGGGGCTCGCTGTCGCGTCGTCGGAGGCTCGTCCGCGGCGATCAAATCGTCCAGTCGCCTCCGCATCGAGCCGACGACGTGCGACACAATGACGTCAACGTCTCCCGGCGTCGCGTTCGCCAACGTGTTGATCCAGCCGCCGATCATGTCGGCTTGAGACTGGAGGTCGGCGTTGTTCAAGATGGGCACGCGAACGGAAGGCCGTCGAGCCGGGTAGAGGCCGAGGCGCGACTCGAGCAGGTTGTTCATTCGCGTCTCCACCTGCTTGGAGGCGATTCGCGCAACTTCTGTCGCCAGCTTCCCGACGTACAGATTCGGTTCGGCTCCGATGGGCGGTTGCAGGTCTTCGTCTTCTTCGTAGTAGACTGTCTGAAAATATCATTTGATGCAGGAAAAATTGATGTTTTCTAGTTTTTCTTGGGAGCTAGCCTCTTCCAGGCTTCTTTTCTAGCTGCAAATATTCAATTGAAAACTACTAGATGAGCTCATTTTGCTTTGCGTTCAGGAATTTCTTAAAATTGGCCAGAGCACTCCTTGATCCCTCAGAAAAATATCCTGAACGTCTCAAACTGCAAAACTCCCTAATTTTTGGAAAATAAGAACTCGAAGCCTGAAAATTGCCTATTTTTTTGGGTTTTAAGGTGTTAATTTATCAAAAAACAGAGATTTGTGCAGGTGAAGACTTCCAGGATTTTTGTTTGGTACATCAAGGAATGTTCTGGGCAAGTTTTAAAAAAGGCTCAACCGCAAAGTAAAACCTTCCTTGTCAGAAGTAAAATCTTTCAACTTCTCCCAAGAATCGTGTGAAAATAATTTTTTTTGAGAACATTTTTTATGTCTCTGGAAACCCTATAACTACACTGGGAACCGGAATGAATGGCAAAAATTAATTATGTTGAAAACCTGAAAGTTTAAAAGGTACGTTTCAGCCAAGCTTTAATTGAAATTTTCGAAAAAATGATGAGTTCTTGAGCTACCGTTTTCAGTATTTTGCAGAAGAACTAGATCGTCCTAATAATACTATTTCATTTTGAAGGATAGTGGTAAAACTTAGAATCTATAATATTTTGAAAATAGCGATTTTCGCTCCTCAATTCATCTCTCTACTTCAAACTGAAATGCTAAAATTTTAGACAAAACATATAATTATTCATTTTTTTGACCATTTTTTTCACATTCAGTTGTTTTTTTTCTCATACGTTATATTTAAAAAGGTGGTATGAAAAAAACGACCAGAAATGTCAAACGGCGACTTTTCTGTTTTTTCATATCGCTAGGGAACTTTCCGACGAATCTTTTTCCGACTTTTTTTCTCGATAAAATCTTCGTTTTGAATCTGCCTATATGAAGTAGGTGGTTCATTCATGATTAAAAACACAAAGAAACAGGAAAAATGTTAATAGATGTTTTATAAACCGAAAAGCATAAGGGAAAAAAGTCGGAATGGGATCCGTCGGAAAGGTGGCCGTCAGAAAGTTCCCTAGCGATGCGAAAAAATCGGAAAAGTCGCCGTTCGAATTTTTGTTTTTTCTACATACCACCTAAAAAAAAAATTTTTTTAAACGAACCTCTTCATACATCTCTTCTCCTTGAGTCTCATCGAAAAACTGTACATCTGGATAAGCGCCAAACGGAATTTCCTCCACGATTTCTTCCTTTTTCGGCTTTCGACCACGTCTTGGAGCCAGAGGATCTCGTTTCTTGTCCATTGAACGACGCAAATCGTAGGCCTTCAGAATTACTACCGAATTTTGTATTGACCAAAGGCAAAGGACCTGTTTTCTGGTCAAAATTTCCCTGGGATCCGACCTACTTTCCTCGAAATTCGCACAAACTGTCATCGGAGCCGCCGTTTCGAGCCGTCTCTGTAGACAAATTTTGATGATTTTATCCAAAAAATATTTTATTGATATGATTGTTTTAAAAAGTTTTTTTTCAAAAAGTTTTACTCATGCGGAGAGCTTTTTACTGTTTCAGATATGATATAAATAAACTTAAATGTTCTTCAATCTATTCGGGCGGCTGCAATTACTTTAACAATGTGAGCTTTTTTTGCAAGATAAATGGAAAACCCACTATTTTTTTGTTGAATAATCAGTAGTTGCGTTGAAAAAAATATTATTTAATTCAGCGAAAAAAATTAATTTTTTTCTACTCAAATTAACACACGCTTGAAAAACTATCATTTATTTTTTTAATAAATTCTGAAATTTGAAAAAAATCAAATTTTTTTCACACAAAAAAATGAAAAATTTGTTTCCAAATTATAAAAAAATTTTTTTTGGATTTTTTTAAGAATTATAGTCATGTTCTGAATATTTCTAAATTACTCTCACTTGAAAAAAATTAAATTAGTAGTTCGAAAAACCAAAAATATTCGAACGAAACTTATTTGTTGCTATAGCTATGACAGAAGATACCAAATTTCCCGCCCGATTGATTTATTCAGTTAGAAATTAAAATCCCTTCTTTTTCCCTACCTTCGCATCGTTCTTCGCGTCACTATAAAGCCTCGGCTTCCTCATATCAACTGGATGCGAAGAAATAAAATGGACAGTGTAGTGCACAAGAACTGGGCTAACTCTCGACCCATCCGCGGTGCTCACCAACCAGGAAACCTGGAAAAATATTCCACTTTTCCATCTTCCAGTTGACCTTTTTAACAACTTTCTTAGTAAGACGATTCTCCATATTCGCGTAAAACCAGTGTAAAATGAACTGGGCGTTGTCGTTGTCTTTCCGCGTGCATTTCAGCTCGTCCCCGAGTACTTCCACAAATATTTTCCGCTTCGTCGTCGTGTTTTTACCTTAAAATTCTTCCATTTTAAAACCTTTAAGTTCACCTCACCTTTGTTCCAAGCGTAGTAGTCGACGTAGTAATCTGTCGGCTTCAGCCCCGGTCTCGGTTCCACCAGATATTTCGTGTCCCCTTCTTTATGCACATCAACCGTCAATGGGAAGTCCTTTTGGATCTCCGACGGGTCGTACCTATCAAAATAATCTAATTTAATCCTAATTTTCACCAACCTTCGGAAAAACAAGGTGTTTGCAACTTTGCTGGGACATGTACAGTCTGATTCATGAATTGAAACACGTTCAGATTCAGAAGTCGCTTCCACCAACATTGACGAATCGTCCGTTACTAACTCCATCTTCACGTCTTTTTTCGAAGTTTCATCAAGCTGGGTTATATCTCTACTGCAATAAAATTATTTCTCAAAGATATACATTGAAACTAACCGTATATTCAACATGTTTGAAGACATTGAACAGAATAAGAAAAAATCCGTAAACCGGCTTGATATCGCACCTGTATCACGCCTTTCGTGCAAAACGCGCGCAGAGAACTTCGCGTTGGAGCACAGTTGTAAATAGGCTTGAAAAATTTATCTTTTTCAAAGTTCCTTTATTTCTTTTTCTTCCGTCCGTGTTCAAAAGCTCTTTTGTTGATACGTCAGAAAGGTCGCATGGCCAACATTAAAAACGGCCTCGATAACTTTCGAGTACTTCCCCTGAACAGCACTTTTAGACAGATTAGATTTTTTCTTTGCTTCTTTTTCCTATGACCAAATGTTTACAGCAGCATGGACCCATTGACATTATTACGGCGCTATACCCGTGGTGAAGTCCAGTTTCAAGAAATTGAGCATGTAAGTTCAAGGAAAAAAAAATATATTTCTCTTCATCTTTCTTAAGAATGGCGAAATCTACTACGGCTTTGGTGATTTGGCCTACTTGAAAACTACGCCTACAAACTATAAGGCAAGCTAAAGGATAATTTTTAATGAAAATATGACGATTTCCAGATCTTCAATCGAAATGAATACTATACGCTGGAAGTTTTGATCGATTTCTGGCATAATATCAAATTGACCCATGGTTTGTACGTGAAAGAAGCGGCCTCGAGGAATATTACACCTGTGACGAGGATCGACAGGTAGGAAATTAAGAGGGGAGTACGAGATTAATTTTGATTTGAAGGAAAAACTTACAAGAGTACTTATCGGGAGAAAGGGATGATTTGCCTGAAACGACGGCCGCTTTTCTCCCTTCCGGGCCTCCGATTCCCGTCAAAAACTTGCTGGCGGCCATGGGCGAGACTGAGGCCAAGCGCCAGAGGCTCGACGAGTAAAAATTCAAGGAAAAAGGGGAAAACATTATAATTTTCCAGAGACGGCTCTTCGCAAAAACTCGACCAAGGGCCTGTCGAAGTCCGAGCTTTGAGCGAAAATCTCACCGTCCACAAAATCGCTGAACTCAAAAGGAAACATCAGCTTCAACAGAAGAAGAACATTGTCGCCACTGAGTTTTAAAAATATTAAGTTTCCGAAAGAAAAAAATATTTCAGTGAATCGGTACCATCGGGCACTTTAACATCATCAAGAGATTACCCAATCGAGAGGATTCACAAAAATCGGATCAATGTCCTGAATGGGACCAAGGATTTGACCAATGTTTTGGATGTGTTTGCGTCGGTTCAGGTTTGGTTCAGTGATTTTTTTGTAGAAGTTTCACCATAATATTTTTTGTCTGCCTTTGAAAAGAATGAAAATTCATTTTATGAAGCTTTTATGAATATTTATGAAGTTTGAAGCAGAATTTTCGCAATCTGTAATTTATTTTTATTTTTATTGTTTTTTTTTTCAGTTTTTTTCAATGAAAGAACTGAGAAATTGATCACAGAAAATGTCGTTATGTATCCTAGAAAAAATTTCGTAACTTTTTTTTCTTCTGTCATTTTTTTCAAGTTTTGTTCCGATGTAATAATTTTTTTTGATTAACTGGCTTCTAAAGTGAGAAAAATTGCCTTTTTTTCTGATTTCTGAAGCCAAAAAAATCTTTGGTGATGATCCAGAAAGGACAGTTAGCAGAAAAATCTTCAATCCATTAAAAAAATAAATTTTTCTAGTCACTGTCTGAAAAAAAGTCGATGTTCAAATTGAAAAAAATAGGTTTTTTTAAAAAAATTCGAAAAAGAAAGGTTATGATTTGAAATTTTTGGGAAAGTTTTGTAGTTTGGAGCTTTTTTAAGGCTGGTAATACTTAAACTACTTTTTTGGAACTTCACGAAACATTAAAACTACGAGGAAAAACGGTATGAAATCATTTTTTTTGAGAAAAATGTTTCGCCCAAAAGGTGTTTTTCTTCTTAATTTTATCACGTAATTTAACATTCGATATAAAACTTCGTTCAAACTCTTCACTCGAAACAGTAAATTGATTAAAGCCGTTGAAAATTTTCAAACAGGGTTTTTCATTCAGAAAATATGGTCAATGGACGAGAAAAAAACGACAGTGCCTCATGGAAACGCGGCCGTTTCTCAACAGCGAGGCGGTTATTCTCGTTACGCTCAAGAAGATTTCACGAAGGTCCGGAAATAACTAATTTCAATTGAACCTCTAAAAATCATCGATTTCCAGGACAAATCGGCCGATTTCCACACGGAAATGTCTTTCATCGGTAGTAATTTGAGGGCGATTCAAAGCGGAGGACTTCTTTCTTCTATTGCTAGTGAGTTTTTCCGAAAAAATTGGATTCTGGTTGGGATTGAGGTGATTTTGGAAAGGATTTAATGTTAGAAATAGAAACGAAAATCACTCGAAATTTCAAATATTCATGGGAGAGGCTAGTAAGTTTGGGTACCATCTGAAAGATCCTGGAAAAATTATCTTTAGGTTTTTAAATCATTCGATTTGGTTCAGATTGAAGAGAGTTGTGATTTTTGAAAAATTCGATATAAAAAAAAATGATTTCTTGAAGATTTGCGTACCAGTTGAATAATCCTGTTAAAACTACTTTTTTTGCTTTAAATTTGAAAAAGTTTCGTGTAGTTTGAGAAAAAGCTTGAATTGATTTAAAATTTGAAAAAAAGGGAAAAAAATACTTGAAAAACTTGAAGTTTTTGAAAAAAACTATTTGAAAAAAATCTTGTCAAAATTCATTTCTTAGTTTTTAAATTTGTTCATTTCATTGGTTTTTTTCAGAAGAGTTAGAAATTTTTTTGATATAAACTGATTTAATTATTTTTTTCTTCTTTAAGAATTAACTGAATTTTTTTAAAAAAATTTATCTCTTTTTGGTCGATTTGTCTAATGTGACGGTTTTTTTGAAGAGAGTTTCGCATTTTTTTAAAAAAATTTTAAATGAGAGAAAATAAACTTTTTTTAGCTTTTCCGAAAAATCAACTGTTTTTTTCGACGCTCATATCACGTCCCGAATAACCATTTCTCTAAATTTTTCATAATTAAGTTATCTTTTTTTCTTTCTCTGACGTTTATTTTGCCTCTAGCTGTATTATTCCGAACCCAGCATTCACCGCCCCTTAAAGTTTTTGAAGAATTTTTCATCTTTTTTTGTTCAATGAGTGTTATTTATTCAGAACCGAAACTCCCGATGGCAGCGACGCCACAAGAAAGACCGATCCCGACGGCCGTTTCTTCGGCCCCACAAACGCCAGGCAGTAAAAGGCCCTCGAGAACTCCAATTATCATCGTTCCCAATGCCCCGAGTGCCATGATCAGCATGTTCAATGCCAGGGACGTCCTGCAGGTTCGTTTCGAAACGAGAAAAATTAGAAAAAAACAATCAAGTTACCTGCTTCAAAACTACGTTTCTTTTCTTCTATTCTCTGGAGTTTAAGACTTTTCTCAAGGCTTGTTCTATCTTACCTACTTTCTCAGGAGTAAGAACTTCCATACCTATGAAAAAGAACGGTAATAAATCAAGTAATCTGCAGAAGTTATTCTTTTTCTTCATCGTTAGACTTTGAATCATTATTTAAGGATAAGTATACTCTGGACTTTGAATTTTATTTAGAAAAATGATAAAAAAAAATGTAGAAAATCAACAAAAACAAAGTGAATTTTTTCACGTGTATTACCGGTCATTACTGATTCTAAGACTGCCTCGGAACTTTTAAAGGTTTAAAAATGAAAAGTAAGACCAGTAAGAAGTATAGTATTCGAAAGATAATCGCCCAAGATTATTTTTTTCTTTATCGTTCGATTTTTGGAAGTTTTCATAATCCGAAAATTGGATATTGATTTGAAAGGTTGAAAAAATACATAAGTTTTCAGAAAAAAACCAAAAATGTTCTTTTTTTCAAAACTTGCGTTCAAGTTTTCCGGAAATAGAAGGATTTTTTTCATGAGAAAGCGGTTTCAGTTAATTTTCTAATAAATTTTTTTGCTCAGTTGCAAGCGTTTTTTTGAGTCTTCAATTCAAGTAAACTAGAGAATCTAAGTAAGTAGATTTCGAAAAACTGGCTTTTTATAAATAAAAAAATGAAGATAAAAAAATAAAGTTTTTTTCAATTTCAAAAAAATTTTTTTCAGCACCTCAGCTTTGTTACTTCGGAAAAAAAGACGACAGGAAGGAAATAAAACGACTGATCTGTTACTTCAACGTCAGAAGGACGGCCAAACATGTGGGTTTTTGGATTAAAAAAAGCTTATGATTTTTTTGAAAAACCAGCTTTTTGAAGTCGATTTTTGATATATTTCGATCATTTTTTTATCATAATTTAGAAAGAGAAAAATTAGAACAGTAATATACCATATTCTTTCAATTCTTTTCATAATCTCCGGAAGAAAAAAAGCGATTTTTTCGAATATGCTAAAACTTTAGCATGGCTCTCATGTGAAATCTCTATTTTAGCCTAGAATTTTTCCCGTTTTTAGGAGATTTTTAACGAATTTTACAATCTTCTGATATTCTGAATAAATTTTATTCATTCTTCTCTGAAAAAATTTTTTAGTCAATGTTCGCGTCGTTGACAACGTGACGAGGTTTACCGAAGACGATTGGGATCGAGTCATTGGCGTTTTTGTCATGGTTTGTTCCGAAATCCTCCGTAAAATACAGAATAAACATCATTTCTTCAGGGTCCCGCCTGGCAATTCAAAGGCTGGAAATGGAACGGAAATCCTGTGGAGATCTTTTCGCATGTTCCTGCTTTCCACTTGCACTACGATCATGATAAGGTCTTATTTTTGATTCTAAGAATGAAAAGGAAATCAAAAAAACGTTTTTTTGAGCTTGAAATGAAGGGAAATTTTTTTTCTGACTATCTTTAAATTTTGACGACGAACTTTTTGCTAAATTAACCTTTTTGGTTTAATGAAAAATTTTAAAAAGCCACAAATTTGGAAATTCGTCAGCTTTTAGTGCGAAAAAGTACGATCTTAAAAAAATTAAATTTTTGAAACTGGATTACGGTATTGATTAAATGTGTGAGCACCACCAGTTGCGGCCAATACATTTCCTGACTTTTACCGTCTTTTTTTCGGGTTTTTTTCTGATTTTTTAAAGACCACGAGAGTTTCTGATTTTAAAATAAGGAGAAGAATTCAACATGAAAGTTTCAGGAATTTTCTAAAGTTTATTCCTGTTTTTCAAGGGCTCAAAGTGAATACTACTTTTTTTAAACTTTATTTTCATAAATAAAAGGTCCGATTTCTCTATTCAAATGTCGAAAAAAAGAGCCGTGAAAAAGGCTCAGAAACTTGAATAAAAAAACCGCAGAATTTATCTACAGAAAGATTTTTTTATTTTAGGGATAATATCTTGAAGCTAAAAATAAAAATTAAATAAATTGAAAAAAATCGTTTTTTTATTCAGCCTCAAGCTACCGTCCGAAATTGGAATGTCCAAAAAGTCCCAGTGAATTTGACGAAAAGACACGTCGACAAGGCTCGTTTCGGCCAAATTTGGGAGTCTATCGAGAATTTCTGCCGCAAATCCAAGCCTCATCTCTGTGCTCGCCTCGGAATTCAACCCTTATAATTTTTTTTCATCTTTTTTTTTTGCCAATGTTCAAATTTTCGTGTTATCATTCTTGTACTATCCTTTTTTTCTTTACATTTTTTTCGATTTTGCTATTTTCTTCATGTTTGCCAATGTAAATAGGCTTGTTTTTAAGAGCATCTCATTTCCCTGTTCCTATGTGGATTAATAAGGTCTCGATTTTAACTAATTATTTATTGATAATAAGGATCTTTTTTTTTGATTGTTCTTGTCAAATTTTCGATGGAAATGATGCGTTGCCTGATAATAAATGTTGCAGGATTGAATTCGCTTTGTTATTTGCCGATGAATTGTCGAATTTCCCAGTTTTATATCTGAGATATTTGTTGCGAAACTGAGAAAAGATTGAAATGGTCCTGAAAAGACTTGTTTTTTGAATATCCGAAGCTTAAAAAGACTAGAGATGGCTGTCATTTTTTTTCTTCGTTCAAAGTTTTAGAAAAAACGTTTTTTGTTTGAAAAACTTGGTCCTGCAACGATTCAAGGTAGTAATACTGTAACTATGTAGTTTATGTAGAAAAATAGAGCCAATTTTACTTGAAAATCGTTTTTCTTGAATTCTCGAACTTTAATATTGTTCGAAGGTTCGAAAAAAATTCTGGTTAAAAAAATCATTTTTTTAAAATTTTTTTGCACCTTTGCAAGCTGAATTCGTTCAAATACCGCTTTTTTTCCGATTTACAGATGATAAATGACTCGAAATTAAATTTTCCTGTTGAAAAGAGTATTCAGACGCTGTCATGCGCCTTTAAAGTTGATTTCAAAAATTTTCAAAAAAATTATGTTTGTATTGTAGTTATTTTGAAGTTTTTTTATACACGTGAAAATATAAATAGAGTATTTTTTTCAACCTTTTTCTAGCATTATTAAAAAAATATAACAAGTCCAACAAAAAAAGAACAAGTCCAAAAAAATTTTTCTCACAGCCACTGATTTTTGAATTCTACCATACCGAAATGCGTTGTAATGTGTCCTTTTTGGATTTTCTTCTCTGAAAGGCCTCGGAGATCGATATCTGAACAATTCCACCACGCTCACCTGCATTTTTCAGATTTAAATGATGGAATTTTGCTCGTCGAAGAGGATTTTCACCTTCGTTTTGGCGCTTTTGGGGTTTTGAATTGATATTGCAATTTTTATCAGGCAAAAGTTTGTTTAGATTTTCGATTCTCGTGTTCTTCATTGAAGAATTGGCCGAGGAGAGCGAAATGGAAGGCGAAATGGAGATGAAACGACAGTTTTATGGTTGGTTATAATTGGACTTGAAGTTGGAAAAAAATTATATTTTCTTGAGTTTTTTCTTTATCATGCTGTGGTCAAAGTGATTCTGCGAAATCCGAAACAGCCATCAGAGAAAGAAAAAAAAACCAATATTTGGAGAGTCAGAGATAATTTTGCATTTCGCTGAAATTACTTTATATTTTAGAATACAATGCGAAAATCACATTTTTCAACGACAAATTCTCATTTTTCGGCCGGAGTGATTTAGAAAGCCTAGTACTAATTACTGTAGCGCTCCAGAAAATTTCAGTCTCAGTGGCTTTTATAGTGAAAATTTTTTTTTCCTTTCTGGTTTTTTTTTCGATTTCTGGGGCTCACTAAAACCTCAGACAAGACTTTTATAATGGGAGTGATCAGGCCTGGGAATCTTCGGAATCCAATGATTATTCTGCTTTTTTTCCCCAGAAGAACAAACGAAACATCATTCGCCATCGGCTCATCGAAAATCGGAGCAAAATGGAAAAGAAAAGACCAGGGAAACGTCGGAAACGGACCTGATGTCCGACTGTTGGAAACGGGAACCCTTCACCGTCATTTCCTCTTGTGTCCAGTGCAAAGAGTTCGAAATCAAGGCTATCAAGTCGGGTGAGCCTTTTTTTGAATTTAAATGGTCCATATATAGAGGCGTAGAAAAATGGTGCTGCAATGAGCCATTCTCCATGCTTTCACGATCTTCATGATTATTTTTAGAACATTGCGTTGCGACTGGATTCTACGACCGTTTACAGTGTAAAAAGTCGAATATCACGACTGTTCGGCCCTGTATGTCTCCAAAGGTGATTGAAAAATGGAATTTCAAAGATCTATTCATCAGGAAATAGTTATGATGATAGTAAGCCTTGTATATTCGAAAAAATTTTCCTCAACGAAGGGTATTTTTTTCCTCAAAACTTCAAATTTTTCTGGACGATTTATTTTCGACGTTACAAGCAATTCTTCCCTAGCTTCGAGAATAAAATCGGAAATTGTCAATACTGTTTCAGAAAACCCAGCGACGATCCTTCTACATTTTCGCCTTTTTCAATTTTCTCGTCGTGATCATTAGTTTTGTGATTTCAACGGCTCGAAAAGCGCAACTCGACCGGCAATCTTATATGAGAATTTCCCAAACTTTTTAACTATATTAATTGTATCTGCTTTTACAAAAAAATATTCAAAGATATTGCCTTCTTCGTCTCAACATAATAATTGTGATAGCTATCAACGGGTTTTATAATAAATATTGATTTATTCCCCGACACCACTCTTTCTTTGAAAAAAAAAATTCGAAAAGACGTTTGATTTTCTTTCAGAGAGAAAGAAAATTGAATGAGAGACACTTTTATAATAGAAAAAACGTATGGAAATTGAATGAGAGACACTTTTATAATAGAAAAAAAACGTATGGAAATTGAATGAGAGACACTTTTATAATAGAAAAAAACGTATGGAATGCTTGAATTGGTTGATTTCAAATCGAATATTTCAAGGTTACTAAAATTTCAACGCACACAATCCTATGCCGAGCTGAGATGGCCCTACATATTGTCTCTTTGGCGCCGACGCCTTCGGCCTGCTTAGTATAGTGGTTAGTACTCCACGTTGTGGCCGTGGCGACGCAGGTTCGATTCCTGCAGCAGGCATCTTACTTTTGCTGATGTGCTCTCAATTTTGTTCTCTGTTTTGCTGATGTGCTCTCAATTACATTCTCTTTAGCATGTTCTATGTTGAATTTTTTTATATTTTGTCAGTTTTTGCGTTCATAATGGCGTTAACGAGGTCGTCGAGAAGGGAGAACTTTATTCGAAAGCTGTGAAACGTTTGCATCCTATTCATTAATTCTAAAAAAAAATCGAAAAGTTCGAGTTATATTAACTCTTCTGTTTGAGGAAAAATAAAGTTATGAATTAATTGACTTGAAAATAGAAATGAGGTTCTGTACGCATTGAGAACGCAAGCACGTGAATGTGAACTCACGACAGAAGCGCGTCACTTGACGAGCATTTTAAATTCATTTATATTTTTTTCAATATTTTTTTCAAAGTCTTTTTTTCAAATTGTCTCCTGGTTTTTTTCGCTCCATGAAGCTAAAAAAACACCTGGAACGAATCTTCGCTTCAAAAATTTCATGAAATTCATGCGCGCAAAAAAATCCCGGAACCTTTTTAAACAAAATATATATTCTCTTTTTTTCATTTTATTTGCGGTATTAATTATTCCAAGTTTGCTTCATTCACGCTTTTTTTAGAAAAAAAGTTTTGTAAGTAGTCTAAAAGTTTACAAACTTCGTCTAGTAACTGTGATAATAATTTCAACTCTCAAAACAAAACATGAAATCCTTGTACCAACGCTTCACTGCAGTTCATCGACTTTCTCAGAGAACGTGTGTTAAAAACGTTTTATTCAATAAATCTGCAGAGAAGTGAGCGAAAACCGAAGGCCATTTTTTTTCTCGAAAAAAGCACAGAAAATGTGAGAAATCACGAAACGATACACCGTGTGCTTTTCTTCTTTTTGGCGACACGAACGCCGCCGCCAGACGACGTCATCGTCTGAACTTTTCGAACGGGTTGTTGTTGCTGAACAAAATTAGTATTATGATATTAGAAATTGAGCTTCTCACTCTGCTGAGAGAAGCTGCCGCCATCATGTGCGAGATGTAAAACTCCTCGTCTTCAGAGTCCGAAGAAGATGTGCTGGAAAATAAATTTGTGTTTGGAGAAGCTCGGCTTTTTTTAAATTCGAGAAATTTCCAAGAAAGCCTCTGCACCATCAGAGAATGTTGAAAAAAGTTACAGTATCACGAAAATTCTTCTGTAAACCGTCGGAGAGACGAAAAAGGTACCTGTATTCCTGTGGGAAGTCCCCGTTGACGAGCTTATTCGGCGTTTTGCTGTAGTAATTGGAGGGAGAGGCCTTGCCGATGGCGTCCGAGGACATGACCCTTCCAGAGCCGCCGTACTTCTTCTCGAACTCTGGGCTACTCGAAGAGGAGCAGGGGAGGACGGTCTCATAAATATTCTCGGACGGTGGAGGCGGCGGTGCTCTTTGCGGCGGTCGCGGCTTCGGCGCCGACATCGTACGCTGTGGGGCTCGTGGCGACGCAGGGATTCTGAAGGGAAACGTCGTGGTTTTTTCAGAAGGCGTGGGAAGATTCACCTCACGACTTTCGTCGTCTTTTCCATCAGGCGACGTCGGTTCGGCGAGCCAAGGCGATCTTCATCAAGCAGTTCATCTAAAAATGAAAGAGGTTGTTGATAGAACTTCGAAACTTCCCCTAGTGACTTGCTTTACTCTATTCACTGGCTCTACCTCAAAATTGATGATCATGTCAAGCTTTAACCATAACTTCATTCAATATTCACCTTCACCGCCACAAGTTTTGTAGCCGCAGTAGAGGTTCTCGCCGACCAAACTGTACTTGATGCCGAGCAAGTTCTTCGAGCAGACACAGCAGCTGAAGCACTGTCCGCTGGCGTGCCAGTGAAGGTCGCCCTTGAAATCAACAATCTGAACGTTTAGCCGACGTTGTTCAGCGACGGACCTGCGACATGTGAGGCGTTTCGACGGGGAAATTCGTTTTGCAGGTGGTGCACATGAGGGTGGCCGTCGACGAGTGGAAGCAGTTCAGGCAGACCGGCTTGTTGGCTCTGGAAACCCATATGAATTTGAAACGAAACTGTAAAAGTACCTTTGCATGTACTTCTTGCCCCCTAGAACATCACCACAGTCGGAGCACTGGAAATGGTGCAAATGCCAGGTTCGGCCCTCAGCCTCGGTACATTCCTCGCCAAAAATCAACTGGAAAATTTAAAGGGTTGAAGAAAAAAAACAAGGCAATTTTCATGGAATCTTTGAAAAAGTTTACATTGCCCCGGAGCCCAGTTATCGTAAATTAGTTAAGTTTTTACAATGAGAATAAGTTTTTCAAAATCCGCAAAATGGTAAAAATCCGTTTCAAAAAATGTCAACGATCAAGCTTCAAGTAAAAAAAATTGTTCTTTCAAAATAATGCTCTTCTCAAAAAAGAGGTCGCACGTGGAATGGCTAAATCCTAACAGAGAAGTTATTCCAAAAGCTCGCCCGACCACGAAACGACTTGCGCGGCTTTCTAATTTTTGACGAAAGAAATCTTCAAATTTCAACTTGAAGAGCAACGCGACGCTTTGAACCATTCTAAACGCTACCAACAAACTTACAAGGACCTCAAATAATCATTTTTTCTAATGTATTGGTCTTTGTTCGAAAAAGCCTCCCACCAATCCGTAAATTTCGAAATTTCCCTTCTCAAGTCATTCCCAGCTCTATTTTAATCCGCCAAAACTCCCAGACAATCTATTTATTCCCTCGAAATTCACACCATTCTCAATTTACACATTCAAAGGCACTTCCAAGAAGCTGATGCGCGAAATCGGTGTGAGTAAACAGACGTTTCCGGTGTGGAGCTTCTTCCAAGCAGATGGCCCAAACCAAGGGAAAAATATACAACAGAACGTCGAAAAGCAGAAGGAAGAAGCTGCTCACACGCGAAAATGGTCATCATTGGGTGTTTTGTCGCGCATTCGTCACGCGCCGGGAAGAAACACGGCTGACAGGCGCCTTCGGTCGGCCTGACAAACGGCCCAAACGGTCTCTCCGACCCGTGGGCTCAGTCGTAAAAGGCACTACATCACATCGAAGCCAGCCAGCCTGTCAGCCGGCTTCTTGGCAACATCTCGCGAGATCATCGATCTGCCTTTTTTGCCCGTTTTGGAAATTGACAGACGAGTTGAGAAAAAAAGTCTTGACAAATTCGAAAGCTGAACGGTGTAATTTTACAAAACTGTGAAGTTTACCAACCGGTTGCTAGGTAAGAAAATATTTTCCCGAGATCATCAATCTGGCTTTTTTCTAATTTTTGAGCTGCTCGAAGCTCATGGAAAGGAAACCATTATGGATTTTAAAAAATCAAAAAAAAGGTCGCTTTCTGGCGAAATCTTCAGAGGTCATCCGTTCCCTTTTTATCTATTTTTCAAGCTGATAGACGCTTACGAGATAGATTGGGCTTCAAGAAAAATTTTGAAAAAAGGACATCTAAAAATCTCTCAGTCTGTTTCTCGGTAACACCTAGGAGAATTATCAAACTGGCTTTTTTTTCCTATTTTTTAAGCTGCTCAAAGCTGGTGGAAATGAAAATCTGGAATGGCTTTCTTGACATGTCAAGCCACCACCTCATGAAGATCGCACTAGGCATGACTATCCTTTCTTTTCCTCTTGTTCGGGAGCCTAGGAAAGAACCCGCGTTTTTCGAAAGATAGGAAGTTGTGGAAGTTTCAGGTTTTTTTATTTGGTACACTAAGGAGTAATCTGGCCAGTATTCAGAATCAAAAAAAAAAACTTGAAAACTTGATGACTTAATGGAAAAAAGAAAGTGTAAGCCTACAAAAATCGATAGGACCGGACAGCTACAAAAGGCCAAAGTCACAAGTTTCTGAATTATCCAAAAGTCTCATCCTTAAACCGCTGTGAGACCCAAATTTAACAGCTCCTTCTCCAAAAACTTGTTCAAAATTCAAAAAAACTCCATCAATCAAACTCTCCCTAGGATGATAAATTTGGCCGTTGTTTTGCCCACTCTCATGTATAAATTTCTACATGTATTCGTTGGAATGAGGGGGTTTCCGCACATGTTGCCGTTGTTGAAAGTTTATGACAAACGTCGGACCAGATGGTGTTGTTGGGGGCCACGACCAAAACTTTTATGTCCCTTTTTCAAGCTTGAGTCTTTTTAAAGCAAAACTTGTGCCTTACTTTTCCGAAAACTACCTGAATAAAAAATCCTCACTTCAGAAAGTGGTAAAAATCCATTTTATGCCTTTTTTGAGCTGAAACATTCTTAAGTAAAACTTGTGCCTGAATTTCCCAAAAACTTTAATTTTCTTACTCTAGGAAGTAGTAAAAATCTGTTTTATGCCTTTTTTAGAGCTTGAAATTGGCTACTCTCAAGCAGAAAAAAAAACTTTGTCAAGTATTCTCATGAAAAAAGCTTACAACACTTCCACATCCATGCTCTAGGAGAAAAATATGTTTTTCCGCTTATTTGTTAAGCTTGAACTTCTCGAGAGAAACTGTTCAAGTTTTCAAAAAGTGAAAAAAATATACCTCATCACACTTGGCACAGCGCGGCTTGAGCTGTTCGGCATGATGTCGACCGCAGTAGGCCTGAAAAAAAAAATGATGCGCTGCCCTTTTTTACTCGATCCTCACCTTATCATCATTGGCAAAGTAGATGAGGTCGACCAGAAGAGCATCACATTCGTGACATCGGAAGCATCCGGGATGGTAGGCTCGTTTGGTTCTCGAGGCCATCACGCACATTTCGCCTTCTTCCAGAGATTGCGAACACTGAAAATCGAAAAACTTAGAATGAATAGTACCAAACTGGCTCTTCGAATAACTGAGGTGGAATTCATGAGTTTCAAAAAGTTCAGCTAATCAATATTGAAATTAAGAATGAAAAAAGCTTCTGTCTCTCGTTGCTCATCATGAAAGAGCCCTAACCAAAATTGTAAGCGAGAGATCAACTACGGCTTGAAGAGACGCCAGAGAAATAAAGTTTCTCTCTTTCTCTGGGATCTCTTCAGGCCGCCGCAGCCTCTACGCTTCGTTTTTTTGTCAGTTAAAGTAAAGATGTAACAAGCTTATTCTCGACCCAATGAGGAATTTTGAAAATATCCCTTTCTAAAGTTAAAATCAAGTTTTTGATTTCTGATAAAAGTTATTAGAAACCTCTCATTAAGGACCTTGATTCGAAAAATGGGGAAAATTGTTTTTTTCGAAAACCACTCTTATGGGAGCACTTGAGAGATCACAGATTCGCATCGGATTTTCACATTAGCCGTTGCGATTCGAATCTTTCCTTACCAAGTGATTTCGCTCGTGAATTATGTAAAACGAATTGGTTTCTTATGTCCACGCACAACGTGTTGGTCGGAAATTCGACGACCCATTTTGCATTAATCTAATGTGTTTCTTCCCGCTAATTGTATGATTTATTGCGATTTCCTTGGGGGTGCAAATGTAAATGTTTCAATTTCTAGGGAAGGAATAGGAGGGGGTCTGGAGGTTGTTGGGTAACTTGACAGACAGGTTAGGTAACCTCCTGAATGGCAGACGTGTCAGGAAGGTGAAGGTAAGGTAGAGGTTTAAGTGGGGTAGAGATTATAGAGCAAAGTTTTTGACAATCCCTTCTGATCGTTTTTTATTAATCGAAACCCAAGTACGCTAAATAACCTCGAGATGAACCAATTTTCAGCCCCGTGGAAAGTCTCACAAATCCCGATTCTCCAAAATCACTTTGCCCGATCGACACACAATTCAACAGATTGCCGATCTAAATGAACCCTCGTTGCCAATTTCCTCTCCCATGGAAAAAGACATTAGTCACAGTGGAAAGGTGAAGATAGCGATCAGATGCAGCTCCAGGAAATTGGAATTGGTTCCTTGAGAGCTGGACTAGCTCAGTGGAATTAACATATATAACGTCAAACAAATAAATAACACCGAGCGTCATGTTTGCCCCCCGACGCGAGACCTTTGCCGGCGCCGTCGTCGTCGAGGGGGAAAGAAAATCGGATTTTTGTGTTTCTGTCTACCGCCCGAGTCGGAGGAGGCAGATTAGAACCTCATACCCGTGACTGGATTATTAGTGCTGCGCGGTAAGCCCGACCCTATACTTTCATCATACTTGCGGTACTGTATTCTGTGTGGGCAGATGTCTCACCAGCTTAATCCGATTCTTTGATCCGACTATGTGAGAGCAGAAAGACCGACAATAGAGAACCGAGGAAAATTGGCCTAGGACCTGTTATTCGAAATTTCTGATCATGATCGTAAATCTTCTGAATCAAGAAATTTACGAAAAAAAAAAAATTGAAACTAGAACTTGAACATAAGTTTTTAAATTCATTAAAAGTAACTGTTTGGCATAAGTTTCAATAAAAACCAAGTACTAAAAAAAGGCTTCTGGGGTCGATTTTTAGCTTGGTTTCTAGGAAAAAAGAAAGCGTGGGACCGGAAAACACTCTAGAGAAAAAACGAAGTCTGCGTCTCTTCTTTTCTCACAGTCTATCCCTTGCTATCATGAGAAATACATTTTTGAACTTGAAATGGCTTTTAAATCATTCTGTTCAATATTCGCCCTATTTTTGAACATAAAAACTATAAAACCATATCCGTAGATTCTCAAAAATGCACCAAGAAACCATAAAACCGTTGTATCCCAATCGGTACACAATACCATAAGACCCCATCCAAATACAGTTGTTTTGGCGTCGTCTCCGAGCCCATTGTTCGTCTAATTCGTCCTCGTCCTTGTCCAACAAATTTTTAGTTGATCCTAATTCAAAGTGCCGTGTTTTCCATTGGAAATGGATCATGTTATTAGATTTATTGCACAGGAGATATAACGAGTATATTTGATTTTTTTTTTTCGAAAAACGCTGGTATATAATAGTACTGCGCTTAAGCTTCCAATCGTTCCAAGTCCATTTCCCAGATATTTTTTTTCAAAAAAAAAAATAGGCCAATTTTCCCGCATTCTCTTTCTCATTGGCGCGAATTAGCCGGCTGAGCCAAGGCGCAAACGGCTGTAAACGGCCGAAGAAAGAAGAGGTCAAGGGGCATCGGCGCCGTTTTTTGATGAACCGCGCGAAAAACCGACGGCTTTTCTTCATCTCAAGCGCTGGTCACTCCACTTGTCGCCTTTTTGTTTACCTCCGATTGTTATTAGTCATATTTGTGGCTATGAGGTCAGAGGAAACGGCCTGGCGATGTCTCATAAAGGTTCCAGAAGCTCAAAGGACCTTCTATTCCATTCAAACAGTTCTATGAAACATTTTCTAGAGTACTCACTTCCCCATTTTGAGTTATTCAAGAAAAACTTCAAATTTCGAACTCCAACTTGAACCGCAACGCGACCGCGACGCTCAAACTATTCCCCTCGCAACAAAGGCTATTTCCTCTTCCAGTGATAATTAGTCGGAATAACTCATTCAAATTCCTTCATTACCTTCTTGAATCTTCGCAAAAAATTCGCTTCTTTGACCCTTCTGTGATCAAAAACTACCATAATTTTACTGCAAGGATTAATGCAGCTTTAATTCTTTCTTAAAGCTAAATAACACATTCAGTTCCTTCCAAACATCTCCAAGAAGACCATAAAAAATAATAAGCAAGCTTTCCCTTGCTGAAAATCGCTAAATTTCGAGGATTACCCCTGGCTTGGCGTAATGGGACCGCTCATATCGGTTGCATGAGCAGGATGATTGACTATTTCCACGCCGTCAGGGCAGACATAACCTTGATTGGATGCACTCAAAACGTGTGCGGATGCCCCGGCAATGCATAGTTAGTGTTATGCCGTGACGCAGTTCGAGATTTTCTCATCTCAAAGTTATTAGAGGAGAACGTTCCTTCCTAGTAGGACTTGACGAGAATGACTCAGTTTGAAGGACTCGAGTGATTTTTCTTCGACTTTGAGGTGTTCTAACCAAAAAGTTGAGCTTTCTCGTTGAGCTTCCTAAAAAACTAACAGAGGAGGTCTTTTTCCCGAAACCATGCTAGAGTGTACTTCAGGAGCTCCTGAACCCAGAACACAAAGATTTTTCTCTCTAAACTTCGTCCAAGTTATGAAAATCCCTGGTTCTTAAATTACTTAAAAATTAAGAAAATGAGCTATATAGAGCTTTATAAGCGTTACATGACTAAACTGAAAATATTTTACTAATATTTTTTTCGCACTCAAAAATGTTTTGAACTCAGCTAAGTTCCATCAAAACTTAAACCGTCGAAAAAATTTTCCCAAACCCCAATTGACCTTCCTCAAACTCTCAACTCGAACCGAACCAAAAAATCCTTTCCCAGTAAAGATTGACAAGAGTCCTAACTCGTTGTGTCCGATCTGCGAATGGTCATGAAAACAGCTGGTGGCAGATGTGTCATGGGCGCGAGGTTGGAGTTGGAGGCGCGCGCCAAAAGTGCCGAAACGTGATATTTTCCGCACTCGAGACGGAGGGAGACCTCTCGTTGACAGGACATATGGCCTTTCCTCAAGACCGTCTCGATAGGAATTCAAGTTTTGAGCGAAAAGCCGTTTAGCCATTCCAAATGCGACCTATAAAGAAGACCAGTCTGAACTGATGGAAGCTCTGAAAGAATCGAATCCAGAGTTGAAAAAAACTTTGAAGCTCAGAACCTCTCAGATGGTCTTTCTTCAAGACCGTCTCAATAAGAGTTCAATTTTCGAAAAAAAAACCGTTTAGCCATTCCAAATGCGACCTTTCCTTTCCGGGTCCCCGCATCTAGGATGGCTTGTCCGATTCGAGGAACTTCTCGATTCCCACGGTAAGCCGATTTTTTTTTTCTATGACCTCATCTGATCCTGATCCAGAACTTACAAAAAACAGGGAAGTGAGGTAACTTTCAAGCCGCATTTGGAATGGCTTCCTTGCCATATGAAGCCATCACCCCATGAAGGCCGCACTTGGAATGCCTCTCCTTTCTTTTCTTCATGATCAGGATCCTAGGAAAAAAAAAATGGCATTTCCTGTCTCATTTAAAGAACTTCTCGAGTCCCGCATTCGGAATGGCTAGATTCTCTTCTTTTCTACTAGTCTTCTCAAATCCCTTCGACGCACAAAACAGTTCCTCTGTCAAAAAGGCTTCCTCCTCTGGGGAACAATCGAGGCCACCGATTATGGGATCACCAAGGCGGTAATTGGCAACAATCGAGAGGAGAGGGCGACGAATCCTTACTGACAGACATCATCCGTCCATCCCAACAAACATCAAGGCTAATAATTCGATCGCGACAAACATGAAAAGCCGCGGGCGAAAAGTTCTGGCCCCCGTGGCAGATGGCGCCCTTTTGTTCTTTCAAGCTTGTTTTCGGTGTCACTCAAGTGGCCTCTTTTCTTTCAGCCTCTCGAAGAACTCAAGGTTATTATCAGGGTCTTCCGAGTTAGTGGTCAACTTGCCCGAATTTCGGTACTTTCAACGGATTTTGAGATCTAAAAAGAGTCCTCAAATGCGGTTCGCTGCAAATTTCCTCTATTGACAAAATGGAAAAAAATTTTTTTTTAACTCAAGGTGTTTAAATTTACTCAAGTGATCCCTCAAAACCTCTCATTTCCCAAAATCATCAAAGTTGGTCTACAGGAGTGGATCAATAATTTTTTTTTCAACTACCCCATTTGAAACCAATATTGCCCACCAAGCCTTGAATTTTTTGATTCCCAATCCCTACAGGGCATTTTGTACCATTCCAAGTACAGTTACTCTTTTAAAATCAGAAAAAAACCAACTTTTTTGCACTTGCTCGGCTTGCCATCGAACGGAACGTGTTGAACGACACCACGGCCGAGACATTCGGTTTTCCGTCCCCTCTCGAACATTCTGAAACGGAAAGTTAGTAATGATTCGTTTGAACTACGGCATCAGCACAAAAAAAAAATCATCGATGTTTCAATTTTAACGCATCAACTTCGGAAAAATTCAGTTTTATGAAAACTTGGAAAAAAAGTATCGAGAATTCTAGAAAAGCAACTCTGACTCTCCAAAAAATTCTTATACTCATATTTTCCCAGTTAATCCTCAACTTTGTAATCGAAATTCCTTACCTCAACTCGTCCTGTTCGTCAGAAGTGAGCTTCTCGCAGTACCGAACATCCGAATCCTGGAAATAAAATTTGCAAAAGAAGAAATAAAAAATCAATAAGGTGAACTGCTCATGTTACCTCTTAATGTTGATAATGATGAATAATTTCGTGGAATAAAAAAGAAATTTTTTTTTTAAACCTGGAAATGTATTTCCAGTACAAAAAACCGAAAACTTAAAATGAGAACGAAATTCCTTTAAGAACTCCTAACATTAATCTTAAGTAGATAGATATTGTCTCTCCCTTTTTTTAGATTCTAGTTAGCTTTATTGTTGACCCCTTTCCAGTTCATTACGATACAATAAACCGGAAAAATTCAAAAGCAGAGCCTGAAAAGAAGGACAGACGGGGTCGAATGATTAACGGGGGACACATTTTTTTTGCTGTGTCATTTTGAAAAAAGAAAAAGGGAAACCTGGGGCGGAAGTTGGAAGCGGAGCTGTCGCTGACGCCATTTTTCGCCGGCGCTGTTCACGTAGGGCACTTTGTCTTCCGGCAGACACGAGAAGTACGCGTGCACCTTGAAACATGTTGAATTGAAATGCATTCTTCATTTTGGTTCGAAATGATTCACGTCTCCTAATCGGAAAATCATTCAGAACGAGGTTGAAGTACTGAAAATCAATCGAAAATCAAACCGAGCAAGAAATAACATCGGGATAAGGAAAAAAAAGTCAAGTGGTAAAAGTCTTTAAGGGCTCGAATGATTTTCAGTAGCGGCTTCTCGTCTCAATACATTTAACATATTAAATTAATGGCTGACTTTAAAAAAAAAGTAAACAAAAAACTTTAAAAAATTAATTTTAAAGAAGTCTTTATCAAACGTCACCGGCGTGTCTACGTATTGTGGTAATACAGTAACCTCTTCCTTATAAAAAAAGCTTTCTATCAACAATGAAAATTTGAAGCTGGAAAAAGACTTCAAATTATATTTACACAAAAATAAATGAAAGTGAGATTTTTTTTTATCTCGAGTGGTTATCAAACTACACCGCCGTGTTTTCGTATCCATCTCTTACCGTAATCTCTCATAAAAAAATTTCCAAACAGTTTTTTAATTAACTTTTTTTCAAAAATGCATAAACTCGACGCAAATTTAAAAGCCAGAAGAAGAAAAAGTCAGTAAAAAGAAATTGTTTTTTGAATCTCCTCGAAACGACACGGATGTGTATGCATACTTAACTACTACAGTAACCTCCTTACCGCAAAATATCCCCAAAAAAATTACCATGTCAGGCTTCAATCCGCTGGGCACCCAGGCGTACTCCTCCAGAACGCATCCGGAATCGTCATCAGACGTCGAGTGACGATGAACGTCGGCGGCGATTCGGAGACGCGACGCCGGCGACAGTCCTCCGCATTCGCGCTGGGCCGACGTTCGCAGGCGTGACGTCGTCGCCGAGCCGCCGACTTCGCGACGGCGCCTCACTCGTTCGCTCATTTTCTTTGTTTTTCAGGACAACTTGAACCGGGTGATGGGAATTTCTGAAAATGAAACTTATTAGGAAAGGTAAAAAGTTTTTTCAAATGCGGTCAAGAATTAGAAAAATTGTCAAAGAGGTTTAAAGCGGTATCTAATTATACTGGATAGTTAAAAGCTCGAAAAATGATTGAAGATTTTCCGAAATATTATTCGAGAAGGTGATAAACACATAGAAGGCGAAACACGTTGAAGAAAAATTTTATGTTCAAAATTGAAGGTCGAGATTAAGAGATTCAATAAAAAATAAATGTCTGGGTAAGAATAAAAAGTTTACTTTTGAGAAGAAAGAAAATCACACAAGAATTTTTCGGCCTTGATAGGAAAATGCAAATATATGCAACACCGAGCCGCTTCGGGTCACATCAAAGCCGAGATTTTTCCAATTTCTCACCACCTCGATTATCTATCAATCAGTTGGTTTTATGGGAACATTCGGCCGTCGGCGAATAATTGGAATGGGATTGAAAACGTTTCTTTCCAGTTGCTTTTACTGTTTGAAGAAAAGAAATGTTCCGATTTAGGAAAATGCGGCGGGCTTCAAAGGAAAATACCGCCAAAAGGTGTGAACGGGGACCGTGGGAGGCGGCTTTTCAGAGACAAGCTTTTCAAATCTTTGTTTACTTGGAAAAAAATTGGAAAAACTTTTGGCATACTGTAGTGAGGTCAAATAGAAACGAAAGGAAATCGTGTCGAAAATTTCACTTTGAAGCAGTAACGATGAAAAAGCTATGTTTCAGAGCATTGAGATTACCCGAAGCAGTTCAGAAAGGAAAAAAAAGTTGAATTTTCGAAGTTCGGAATTCCACTATGCCTTCTGAAGATCAATTATGGAAGTTTAGTACGACTTCTGAAAATCTAAATATCTATCAAACCAGAAGAAAAAACTCCAATCCAAGCTCCTCGCCAAAGCGAAAAAAGGTTGTAAGAAACAAAATCCTACTTATTTTTCCACAAAATCACTGTCATAAACTGCCTTTGAGATCTTCATGAAAAGAGCAAAAAAAAAATCAACTTATTAAAGAAAATAAGCTTATGTTGAGTTTTGCTTCTAAGGATCTGACGACGGACAAAAAATGAGACCTTATTCAATTTTTTTTATGAAGTATAACCGACATTTCCTTGGGTTACCATCATGAAAAAAAGCCTCAAGGTAGTTACGATAATAATTTGAAGTTCTGAAGACCAGCTCTCATCATCAAAACTTCAAGGAAAGCTTGAAACCGGCAAAAGGTTTTTTGAGGTTAAGATTGAAGGCGCCAAGATTCTGAAAATCTGAAGACCAACCAAACCAGAAAAAGAGCTGCTAGAGTATGTCTAAAGAGGAAAGGTTTCAAATATTGGAGTTCTAGAAATCAACTTCCATCAAAATTTCAAGGTAAGCTCGAATCGGAAAACGTTAGGCTTCGATCTACTTCGGAAACTAAGGAATCCGAGGATCTGAATACCGAGCAAGCCAAAAAATCAGCTCCAAGCATGAAAAAGGTTCCAAGAACCAAAAAGCCAGTCATTTCTCCGCCCAATCGTTGTCATTACCCGCAACCTTCGCTTTCCTTCATTTTATTGATAACCGCGTCGTGGGGGGACAGGTGACGCAATTACGGCCGAATATAGAGGAAGTGCGAGGATTTAACGGTCGCAGGTCGGAAGGGACAATTGTCTCAAGCGATTTGACACGCGGCTGGGACGGCTGCCAAAACAGTGGCGAAGAGGGGCTCGGCAGGTGTTTTGCGACAGTTTTGCCTACTTGTTTTGGGCCGAGTAATTGGTCCTGGTCAAGTGGGCCTGGCCTTGGGCCGACAGACCGTTTTGCTTTGTTTAGAGCTTGTTTTTATGGCCGGTGAAGGCTTTGGCAGGGAATTTATTGGTCATATCATTATTATTGGTCCATAATGAAGTTTAGGAGTAGTGCTTCTAAATGGAAATAAAAATTTTTTTAAAGGGAAAAAGAGCAAGAAAAAATCGAAAATTAATAATTTCTGCTTATCTAAAGTGACCATTTTCCTACGATTCCACTAAAAATGTTATAGAAAGAATCAACAAAAATGAGAAACTATATTCCAATATTTTCCAAACAACCTTTCCTTTCCGAAATGCAGCAGAAAATACTGAAAACAGGAAAATCCCACACGATTCGCAAAAAAAACAACAAAAATCAGAAAGAGCCAAAAAATGGCCACGCGACGTCTTGACGACGACGCCAACGACAAATGTCAAGCCCCCCGGTCTAATTGTATTTTTGGCACTTTTTTCGTCACCTTTACCTGCCTCCAAGGTCCTTGCCAACCGCCCCAACAAATTGCCCAGGTAAAAAGAAAGATGAATTTCCAATCCAAATGCGCGACTTGAGGCGAAGAAGAAGATGAATGAAGATGAGAACCTTGAAAAATCCGATTCTTCTACCGCTAATTGGAAATTTTCTGTGAAAAAAAAAGATGGGCGAAACTTTGAAAGTGAAGAAACAAAAAATTAGAAGAAGGCATATTGAAAAAAAGCTTGAAAAGAGAAAAAAATCGGTTATTTAATAAATTCTGATCAAAAAAATGAGAAGGAATGATGAAAAAAATTGATCAAAAAAATTAGCAAAAAAACTTAAATGGCATTTTTTTGAAGACATTCGGAATAAAAATATGCACAAAGAGAACTAGAAAAACAAGGAATAATCAAAAAAAAAAAATCATCAAAACAAAAATAGCCCAGTCAAAATATCAAAGTGCGCTCCACCAGAATTTCTCTAGAAATAACTTTAAAAGCTTCCGAAAATTCTCAGAAGCATTAGAAATCAAATCATGCATGTAGAACAATGAAAAAACCTGCAAAAATCCAAATTTCAACAAAAATTTAAAAAACAGCCACTTCAAAACCTCAAAATGCGCTCCAAGGCAAACTTTGTTCCTCAAAGGGAATGCGGAAATAAACAAACAGTTCTGAGGTCAGGGAGGTTGGCGCCGCCCGATATAATATATACGTATGGTAATCAGATGTGAGGAGGAAAGGGGAGGCGTGGTCAGAGCTTGGCCACGCCCACTTTCTTTTTGCAGCGCCGTCCGTCATGAGCAATGGCCAAGTGAGAACTTGATGCTGGAGGCTGGCACTAACTAACTTAGCAAGGGAAAAAAATTAAGTTTTTTTAAAAATTTTTTTAAATACCTTGAGTAGAAAAAAATATTTCCTTTGAAAAAAATCTTGTCAAAAAAATCTTATTTCGAGGCAATTTTTTTCGATGTTTCTTCGTCAAAAAGTAGTCTAAAGCGTCTGGTCCAATTAATCAAGTACCAGATTTATTGAAAAATCGATCAAAGGCAAACTTTTTTTCGATTAAAAAAAGCCAACTTATATCTGATAATTGAGATAAAATAAGGTCCCGATTTTCAAAAAAAAATCATTTCGAGTCAGTTTTTCGAACTTTTTCTAAGACTGAAAAAGCTGCGAAAAAAATCAGGGTTTTCTTTGAAAAAAACTCATTAAGAAAGAAAAAAATATCATCTCTGCTACTTTAAAAAGTCAAAACTGAATTATGATGATTTCACTAGAGAACTAACTACACAAATCTCTCACTTTGAGTTAGAAAAGCATTTTTTTCTTAAGTACTTACTTGAGTGCTTCCTTAAGTTCCCGCTCCCATTTTTGAATCTTAAATCTTGGAATTTGAACCGCAAAAACTTTTAAAAAATCAGTTCAAAGGTAAGATTCAATATTTTCAAGCACCTTCTTCAATGCTTTCTTCATCAAATTAGAGTTTTTCGAGTAGTTTTCGAATCAATCAAACAAAGATTTTTAGCAGAACTTCAAAAATCCGTCAACAGATCTCTTTAAAGTACGACCACTTGATCCAAATGAGTTTTTGCAGTTTTCAGTCTAGAAAAGCTTCTCTGACCATACAGTAAATGGCCCAAAAACCAGTCTTCTCCTTTTTTTTTTGCCATGACAGCTCCTCACCCATATCATGTACCAACAGAGCAAACAGTCGGAAGAGGGTACTCGGAAATATAAATATTATAAATGGTGCTCCTCGGAGCCCATATGGGAGCGACTGATCTGTTTGATGTGCTCCACTGACCGCCATCTCGTATCGATTCCATCTCTCGTTCCTTCTCACAGCTGTGGTGGCGGCCTTTTTTGTTTACTTTTTTGCGCTCTCTTGAGAATGTCGGCCGAACGAGAACAACTTGAAAGGTTAGATTATATCGGATGAAGGATGGCTTGGCTTGAAGGTAGATAAGCCGGAATAGGTCGAGCTTATGAGAGCGGAAACAGTTTCTCTGTGTTTGGACAGAAGTTTTTTTTTCAAATGTTGGCAAATTTCACAGTTTCATTAATAATATGCTCATATCTTTAAAAAGTAGTTTTTTCCAGGCTGAAAAATCAATTCTGCATGATTCAAGAAATTTAAAAGTTCACAATACTTGAATTTTGAAACTTTTCGTGATTTCAAGTCATCCTACCGTAAGCTTAGAGATCCTTTTCGATTAAATCAGAAAGAGATTCTCTTAAAACTCTCTACAATTTTCAAATCAAAAAAGACCGTTATCTGGGAAAAAAAATGCTTAAATCACGCAAAATTCAGACTTTCTCAGCATAGCTTCTCAAAGGCAAAAACTTAAAAAAAATTTCCTGTATTTTTCTTCTGAGATAAGCAATATATTCTAGAAATTCAAAGGCTGAAATCCAAAGTTTGACCACTCAAAGGATTACACGCCCATTTTATTGCTCATCTTAAATCATCCAAGGCCGCGCAACAATTAAAAGATTTCACGGGTTTTCGGTCAACTGGGTCGATCATTCGAAACATGTCGAGAGAAATTCAAAAAAGGCGAGAAAAAAAGCGATTAGCATTTTTTTGGCGATTCTCTTCGAACCGATAGTTATCGGTTGTGGGGGGTGAGTAATTGGCCGTGACAAGTCAAACAGACATCTTGAAGAAGATTTTGAATTGAAATTCGATTTTTCATGTTGCAAAA